CCCCCCCCCAAAAAAAACATTAAAAAACAATAATATATAAAGATGTAGAATGCTAATTTCAGATGACAACTTTCTTTCCGTAAATCAAATCAATTGGTACAGAATAGCAATTGCTATACTTACAGGTAGCAATTATTGTGTAAGGCACAGTCTCAAAAAGAATCGCATGGGAAAAGCGATGTTGAGCCTGGATTTAACATATATGTATTTGTATAGCTTCAAACATCATGACGAAGCAACGACCTTCTTATGATACACGGCGCAGCGACGTTCAGTTGAGTAGGCTGCTGCGACCATGAAAGAACCTGTCGCCGGGTGGTGACCTGCCTTTAGACTATAGGTACAGTATTCAATGAGTAGTTCCCGCCTGGTCGTGCGTACCTACTACCAACCCTGTGCTGGAAGAGCTCCTCGTTTAGTTAGAAGCATCGCTGAAGGGTCCATGTACGGAGTTTGCAAAACATTGATGCTACGCCATCGATGAAAGCAGTGAAAGCATCAAATCAATCGCAGAAACATGCGCTACGAGCCCATCAGCGGCAATGGCATCCATTTCTCTCCGCTCTTCTCGAAGAAATGAAGGGCTCGCGACCAGATCCTCCACGAGGAAGAATGTCGCGGTGCGCCCCGGGAGCGGCAACAACCACAGCAATGCCTACACGACGCAGCACCTGTCGAATATAGGCCGGAAGAAGCGACTGCGAGATTCTACAGACGGCGAGGAGCATTCGATCCGGGCCAAAAGGGCCAAGATCGCGGTTGAGATACTCCCACGGCCGAAGGCTCAGCCAAAAACACGGTCGCTCGTCGTCAGATCAAACGCGAGCTCGGATGATGCCCCCCAGCCTGCTGCACCGCTACCCCAAACCACGACTGCACCACAGACCGAGCCAGTTCCACCACCGCGGAAGCCAACCAAACACCACGATAAGGTCGTCAATGGCATCAAGCACGAGCTCGATCGCTTACAAGCAAATGCAGCAGACCTCAAGGATGAGAAACGGAAATTGCGCTCGCAGGAAGGCGCGCGGTTCAAGAGTGAACTGTCGGCTTACTTTCCTGAGTACGACGAGGTAATCGGGAATGAGCCTAAGGAGGAACGTAGGTTGCTCCCTCCTAGGAACAGATTGGATACGGGGCTGACTTTGCTTCAGATTTGCTGAACTACGAGACACCCATAATCCTCGTTGATAATGGCACCAAGACGAAACCACTACATCCCGCCGCGCGCAAGACGAACGGTCAAACACACGAATATCCCCTCAAAGAGTTCCCAGACTCCCTTTTTGACGACCTAAACGATGCGCAAAGAGTGGATTTCTCGTTCCTGGACCCTCATCCTAACGAAGGGGAGGCAGAGGATCCTCTCTCGGATGCTTACTTTGAACGAATACATCGGAAGCCAGTGCGGCAGGAGAAGACCATCCGGAATACCGACAGAGGCCGTGCTCAACATGAGCGAAATCAAGTGATAAGATTACTGGAGGGTCTACAAGGCCACGACTGGCTGAAGTTAATGGGAGTGAGTGGCGTAACGGACAGTAAGAGGAAAGATTTCGAGCCAGCACGCGCGTACTTTATCAAAGGTTGCGAGGTAATTCTTGAGAAGTTCCGCGCATGGAGAGAGCAGGAAAAGCGCCAGAAACTTGAGAAGGAACAGGCAATGGTAGAAGCGGAGGCTGAAGAAGTAGAAGAAGAAGAAGTGGGAACGGAGGAGGCGGCAGAGTATTTCAGCGACGGCGATCCTCCAGACTACAGCGATGTGGATGCTTCAGCAGCTAGACAGCTTCATGAAGAAGCCATAGCTCGGTCAGCTGCACATCTCGCCTCGAGACAGGAAAGACGAACGAAGGTTGAGCCGACTCGGCCAGCCCACAAGCTGGAAAAGGACTTCACATCCTTTTTTGCGAAACCGTATCTGAGGGAAGCAGCCCTTGGCAAGCATCGGCGGAGCGGGAGGAGTGTTGCGGCCTGGGGCCATCCTATCCCTGAGGTTCCGCAGAGTGATTTCAACCTACCAGAAGAGTTCAGAGACGAGGAGACGTTGAAGACGCATGCAAGGCGAAAGAGGAGAGACAGAAGGGTTGATAAAGATTAACATTTGAAAATATGGGTGGGTCGAAAATTCAAAGCCGAATCGAAAGTGCTTCATTTGGCTGGGCTTGGGTTCGGTTGTATCATTGGAGCTTCTGGTATTGGCAGAGCAATTCGAGCGAAGGCGTTCGGGTATGGGGTCAATTCTTCCCTGGATTGTGTACAATTATGTATGATAGAATCACAGCCTCTCTGAAGTGGGTTGATATTGTAACAGCGAAAGGAACACTGTAAAATCCAGTACCATCTTGAGTTCTGTGACGTGAATTTTATCGTCTCTATCCAGGTACTTTATGAAGGTATCCCGAGAAGCGCGCTTACCCATTCCACGTGACTCAATTCCAGAATAATCCTAGCGCGCAGGCCTCGATTGCAATTACAACTCCAAACCAAGGTGGGATAACGCGTCGATGAATAACGCTTGATACAATATTTAGAGTGCGATAATAGTAAAAATACATTGTGATGACAGTAGAAGAAAAGTCCTCTTGAAATTTCAGATTTTGAAGAACTTGCCGTCAAGTTAACTCACCTCCGCGCGCCGAAAAGCAGCCTTGCTACGTAACCCTGTGAATCACTTTCAACTCAGGCGCAAACCATACATTCGATCTACGATCCCACAAGAACAGCCTCATCACAAACAAGAGCATCTGTGTGCTCCCGAGAAAGATATTCTATCACAGTCGAACTGCCCAAACAAGAAGATCGAAGAACGGACGATCTACTCGAGAGCTTCGCGACTACACTTCGAACTACAAAGGACGACACCGCTTCACTCTTGTCTCCGAAGGAAGCTCACGCACGCACCTAAGTCAGGCCGCATATCTCTGGGGGAAAGGCAGGAGTGAGCTAGGTGCTCTGCAGAGCTCATGAAAGCTTCATCGCAGAGCATCGACGTGCTGGGGCTGGTGGACCTCGATTAAGTATCGGCCAGACGGTAGCATACCTGCGTTTTCGAGACGCCATGCCCGGCCTGCTGCTCGATATGGAGGCTCCAGTCGCTCCTCCTGCAAAGGCGCCAGAGTATGGATTCGTGGTATCACATCAGAAGGTCGAGTTGGAGGTCGATTTTACAACCCAAAGCCTGTTCGGCCGCACTGAGATCACCATCCTTCCCCAGCACAGGGATCTCCGGACCATCCAGATCGATGCCCGACAATGCGAGATATTGCCACGCTCGGTCATGGTCAATGGGATAGTCGCGCCGTATAGCTATGAGGACCCCTTGAAGGCTTTGGACATACCCAGCTATGTCCTGTGGACTGCGAATCAATATGCTATGCAGAAGGATAGGCTGAGGCCCCTTACGGAAGGAGACACCAGAGGAGACGGCGCCCTTTATATCACGATACCAAGGAGTGTTCATATAGAGGAGGTTGATCCATTCTCTGACAACGCTGCAAATGCAGTGACCAATCGAGCCATCGGTGCATCCGCTGCGCGCAACTCATCTATCGTCGTGAACGGAGGCCCCGACTCAATTTCAACTCCAGTAGGGCTGACGCCGAAGACAGCGGCGGAGCAGTCATCGAGATTCCAACCTCTGGTCATCTCGATATCCTTCTCCACCAAGTGTGTGAGGGATGGATTGCAGTTTGTGGGCATATCAGCAGGGGACGATAGATTCCCGCACGTCTACACGAGGCATTCTATGGATCCGGGGACCGCATCTAGCATCTTTCCCTGCATCGATGACCCGGCTATGAGATGTACGTGGGAGATATCTATCAAGTGCTCAAGGACATTGGGCGACGCACTCAAGCGACGTCCGGAGGCGCACAAGCACAAAGGGGCTCATCATGGAAAGAAAGGGCCTGTAAATGGAGCCACAAATGGGGTCAATGGGCTTGCTACTGCTGAAGAATATGAAGTCCCGCTTGCCGACGACGAAAAGCTTCTGGAAATGCTGGTTGTCTGCTCTGGAGAGATGACGAATGAGGTCGTGGATCTCGAGGATAGCTCGAAGAAGACCGTATCATTCTTTTGCAGTACTATTGTTGCTCCGCAGCACATTGGATTCGCCATCGGTCCTTTTGAGCAAGTTGACCTCACAGAGTTTCGCGACGAAGACGAAGACGAGAAACTTGGTCAAGCACAGCTTGTTCCCGTCTGGGGTTATTGCCTCCCTGGACGTGCGGAAGAAGTTCGACATACCTGCGAAGCTGTCGTTGGTGCGGTCGACTGGTTCCTACTCAGCTATGGAAGCTCCTTTCCTTTCCCTGAATCCAAGCTTGTCTTTATCGATGATCAGACCCAGGATGTTGAGCATACAGCGTCGCTCTCCCTCTGCAGCACACGGCTGCTTTACCCTGAGGATATCATAGATCCGGAGATGGAAGTCACTAGAACACTAGTCCATGCTATAGCTAGCCAGTGGATTGGGGTTGGTATAGTTCCAAATGAAAGTGCGGATAGATGGGTCACCATCGGACTGTCCCACTTCATGACGGGTCTTTTTATGAAAGACCTTTGCGGAAATAATGAATATGCATTCAGACAGAAGCAACTTCAAGACAAGCTTGTGGAGTTGGACATCAAGAGACCTTCTTTATCTGCTCTGGGAGAAGTCCTGACTATTGGCTCCTTCGAATACGAATTCATGGTGTTGAAGGCACCGCTTGTCTTGTTCATCCTTGATAAACGTATCATAAAGAACTCTGGATCTGCGGGCCTCACACGTGTCATTTCGAAAATCATTACCGGAGCAAATACCGGTGGAGCAGGAGACAGTGTGTTGTCATCCGAGTCATTTCGCAAGCAGTGCGAGAAAATTACAAAATATAGAGACACCGAGAGGTTCTGGAATCAATGGGTTCTTGGTGCCGGATGCCCCAGATTTTCAATCAGCCAGAAATTCAACAAGAAACGGCTTTGTGTGGAGATGAAGATAATCCAAAAGCAGGATACTCTCCCGACGCAGCAGGAGCTCACAAAGGGTGCATTTCTGAGGGAATTCAAGGAGGAGGTCAATGGTGTCTTTGCTGGAGATCTGCAATCAGTTTTCACCGGTCCTATGACCATCCGTATCCATGAAGCCGATGGTACTCCGTATGAACATATCGTGGAGATCCGAGAAGGATCTGGCCAGATTGAAATTCCTTATAATACCAAGTACAAACGCTTGAAGCGTACTCGGAGACAGAAAGAGCGAGCAAATGCTGGAACGGGTGTTGACCTCAGTGCCGAGACTGGCGAGGACGCTCTGATATATTGTTTGGGAGACATCCTCCAGTCGCCACAAGAAATGCAGGAATGGGGTTTGCAAGATTGGGACCAAGAGCAGCAGATGAGGATGGAGCAAGAGTCTTATGAATGGATCCGAATTGATGCCGACTTTGAATGGCTCGCAAAGATCGAATTCGTTAGCATGCCGCCTTACATGTATATCTCGCAACTTCAGCAAGATCGCGATGTGGTCGCCCAACAAGAATCGATGCTTTGGCTAAAGACTCAGACGCCGCATCCTCTTGCAGCCACCTTCCTCATCAGAACTGCCATGGATACGCGGTACTTCCACGGCATTCGTACGATGGCGGTGGAGTGTCTCAAGACCCATGCAAATCCTGCGTGCAATTGGATAGGCTTCAGACACCTGGAGAAAGCTTTCCAGGAGTCATTTTGCTACCCGGGCACCAGAATGCCTCGACCAAATGACTTTACGGATAAGCAGCAATACCTGTTGCTCAAGTCTATTCCTAAGGCTGTGGCTCAGATCCGGGGCCCAGATGGACGTTGTCCCAAGGAGGCGAGGGAGTTTCTTCTTGACCAGCTGCGGTTCAACGATAATACTGGGAATGAGTTTTCTGATAACTATAAAGTTGCTGGCCTCCTATCTGCACTTGCTGAATCTTTAATACCCGAGAAGACGAACAGCAATGAGATGCTCTTCGATGATGACGAAGAGAATGATGAGCCAGCTCGATTCCGAGACACTGTCATTGAGGAGCTTGACCGATATCGTCGTATGGACGATTGGAATCCTTCATATCATAACCTCTACACAGTCACTGTCTTGGACTGCAAGCATAAGCTTATGACAGCCGGAGTCATCCCTGTGGATCCGCTTGAATTTGCTCCATTTCTTCACGATGGTACATCGGATTATGTTCGTATCAAAGCATTCGAGGCACTGATGGATCTTGGTTTCATCACCAATGACCCTCTAGTTCGCTACCTGCTTACGGTCATGAGCACTGACATCTCTCCGTACGTTCGCAGTCATTTGTTCGAGGTGTTCTCTCTGGGCTTGGCCACGGTGGCTTTGGGTCACTCGTCTAACAAGCCGGCCGAGACTCAAGCTCCAGCTGATGGCGACACTCTGATCATTGAAGAAGAGGCATCCAATGAAGAGCGGAAAGCCCATATTGCGCGAACTACGAGTATTGAGGGTGCATTGGCAGCATTGAAGGAGGAATTGAAGGGGAACATGGCAATCAAGGAGGCGCTATGGAAGGCGATCAAGTCTACAAACATCACTCTATCCGAGCAGATTGATTTACTGGATATCTGCTGGATTCTCTATGATCCAGTTGACTCTTTAGTTCTCAAATTGAAATACCCACGATACTGGAAGGTTGAGAACCTTGGCAAGGTATGTTGTTATGCTATCTTTAATCTATTCTTCTTTGCTGACTTTTTCTTAGGGACTTCTAAAGTTCAGAAAGACCGAAAAAGTTAGGACCAAGATGCTTGTGAAGAAACAGCCCAAGCCTCCGCCACCCCCCGTTCCCTTGGAGAGACCAAATCCTCCGCCAGTTCGGATAGCTATCACGAGCACGCCCATGGGACCGCCCAAATTGCCCAGCAAACTGCCCCCTAAACCACCCTTCAAACAGACACTCAAGCGTCCGCATGCTCCTGATAGGATGCCAAGCTCGGCTTCTGATGGCCAACCGCCACGGAAGATCATCAAGCTGAAGGTCAACCCCTTCAAAGTGGAAGAGATTTACCGCTCTCCTCCTAATCCTGGTGCATATTACCGTGCAACGTCGTCTTCGACTCAAAGCTCGCCGGCGTCGCGGCCTTCTGCGCCAATGCCAAGGGTTTCAACGAGTCCAGCACCGTCTATTCACTCGGCATCGCCAGCATCAATGCCGCCTACAATAGCGTCCGGTTCCGCCACTGGGAAGATTCGCAAGCCTCTTCCTGATTCAGCACCTAACCCCCCTCAAATCACTAAGAAACCTATTGTTCTCAAGTTCAACCGGAAACCAAATGCGAATTAGAGCTCCCCATAATCTCCTTCTCCTGTTTTTGCGTGGTCTCATGGCATTTAGCGTGGCGTAGTTTGGAAGTAGTCGAAGGGAAATGACTGCATTGAATTGGGCACTCAGCAGCATTCGGTTGAGCATGTAGTTTACGTTTTTTCTGCTGCCTTCCTGGTATTTTGATGAGCAGGGAAAATTGCCGATTATAGCAGAGATAGCAGAGACTGAAAAAAGTTCTCTCGTCAACTGCCTTCTTGGGTGGACATAGACAGGGTGATTGCAGGCAGAGAATCAAGTTCTTCATTTGACCTCCTTTGTGTCTGCGTGATAGCGCGCTTCTTATGTATGACGGTGTACTTGTAAAGGATGGCGTCCTTGATTTTCGTACTGCGTTGTATAGATCTAAACCTGTCCATGCCATCCATTCCCCTTTCCTGACAAGTTCTTTTATCGCAGTAGCTTATACTGGCCACGAACGAGAAGGAAGTCTCGGTCTCAGCCGCAGTCACCAAACCAGGCCGATCATAGGGTTATTCTTGCCAGAGCTTCCCAGCGAGTATTTCCAGACAAGTTATACATCTATGACCAATGTATCAAGATATAACAAGGCCTGAGCTCATCCCGGGCTGGCTGGCTGGCTTGATATTGCTGCTCGTTCTGACACCCTCCCCCTAAAAAAAAGACAGTCTCCAATCCTCAGCCCCTAGAACTCCCACCCATCAAGCCCAACCTCTCCTCTCTAGTCCTCACCTGCGGCTTAGCCCTATCGCCCGGCAGAGGCCTCAACTCATCACTTGGATCGCGCGGGTGTTGGTTCTGGTTCTTCTGGGGCGTGGAGAGTTGTTGGGCTTGTGCTTGCGCTTCAAGAGCTGCTGCTTGTTCCTGTTGGAGCTCCTCGCGCGCCCGCGCGTCCTCGTAGATTGCTATGTCTTCGGTCGTGAGCGTTATGGCTGTTGGTGGCCGGCGGAGCATGGCTGCTGTGGGTTGCTTCTATTGATTGTGCGTATGGCGTGTTTTGTGCGGATAGGGGTGTGTAATTCGTAGACGTGCAGTTTAATGCGTCTTGAATGGTGAAATACCCTGTGTTATGCACTGATGGGAAATCAATCTCAAAGTTGAACCTTGCGACTGAAGAGTTAACATGGTAAGTTGCATCTGCTGGGGAGAAGGCTGTGAGGCACGCAAGGTACAAACGAGGCATCAACTTTTTTGTAAACGAGCTCAATTTTTGGGAGTGGTCTTGAATCGCTCTCGATATGCCAAAATCTCGCATCAGAGGAGCACATCATGTATAAATGGCATGTTAATTCCGCCATTGGCCGAGGGAGACCTTCAGCCAGTGACTTTTCACGAGTTGCGGATAGGATTGCTGCCTCATTGAGACACTTTTCCGTCTCGACATCGAGGACGGCCGAGGATGACGGTTCGTTCTCCCCTGTCCATTGAAATGCTATGGAAGTGCCCTGAAATACTAATCGTATGTATAGATGGACCCCGGATAACCCGCGCTCAAAGATCAGCGGATGCTGTCAAAGAAGTGGCCTCCTTGGCTCCTACACCACCAAAAGGCATCGACGCCCGCTCTCTGGCCGCCAAACCACCCCAACAAGGCTTCACGATCCGAAGAATTGACGGTGACTATGCACCGCGCAGTAGAGGCAGTAATGGCTACTCTGCACAAAGAGGTGGCGCTGCACGCGGCGCCGCACGCAGCGGAGCTTCAGGGGGAGCTCGAGGGGCAGCTCGAGGTGGAGCAGGAACGAGCGGACGGGGAGGAGCACGGGTTGCTACTCGGGGGAGGAGTGGTGGAAGCCGTTCCAAGCGCTCAGGAGGAGCAGCAGCACAAAATGCATCTTCAGCCGATGCGGAGGATGTAGAGCCTCCGTTCACCAAGATAGAAGAAGCATGGATCGAAGCCCATGAGGGAGGTTTCGAGCTCCCTTACAACCCGACTACGAGCCTGGAGTCTCTGAGGAGGCAAGGAGCTTCTGTTATGACACCATCGAACCCCATGGGAGCGGTGGAATCTCTCGCTCATAAGATGCAGGTGGCTACCCACATGGTATCGGCCCCTAATACGCATAGTGGAGTCCATCTAGAGAGGATGGCACGAGGCAGTGGCAGCTTTTTCGAAACCCCCGAGGCAAAGGCAGTTGCTCAGGCTTACTACGATCAGAAACGACAGGCCGATGCGGATAAGCGTGCCGATAGTGAAGGCAGGGAGAGGAAGAAGATCCCATCTCGACCGCTCAAGACGCTTGACACTCTCCCAGAAAATGTTCGCTCCGCCATCGCCAAAGCTTGGGTTGCTGGTCAATATGCTGGACCAAAACATGTCGAGACATCAAATATTCTGGGCCAGGTTGAGATGTATGCAAAACGTAACGAGACTTATCTCCCGGAGACCGCGAAAAAGTTCGAGGAGAAGCTAAGATCACTCCTACCGCCTCAGTATCAGAAGCCGGAACCAACCCCGGAACCAAAGAAGGTTCAGAAGCCGCTGTAAGGAGACGGCATGTGTCATATAGTATGTATGGGTATTAGGGATAATTGTACAAGATCTGTGATATACAAAACTTCATGCCTGTTCCATAGTTTTCCGTGCAGCCTCTACAGCTTTCTTGACGTTCGCTGTCCCCTTTTCTATAATCTTTTCCATCTCCTTATGTGCCTTCTTCAGATCATCTGGCCGTACCGCCTTCTTGAGCTCCATGCCTCTCAGCCGTTTCTGCATTGCCGCTCTAGCATTCTTGACTCCCAAGTTTGCTGTCTCACCCGCCTTGTTCGCCGCCGCTAATGCTAGATCCCTAGACTCTTTCGTAGGTGGAGGGATGGGGATATTCAGCTGCGATGGATTGGTCGCATCTGGTTGCGGTTGGAGGTTTAAATCCTTAGAGGCTTGTATCGCAGAAACAATAGGCTTAATATGCTACACATATATGTCAGCTCTGTCTGCAACTACTGGCTAGGATCTAACAACTCACCTCCTTCTCACCCACCAAGAGCATCACGCTCCTCCCCTTAGGCAAGACTTGAGCCAAATCCCCCAATCGTTCTGTAGCCTTACTATCTTTTGTCAAATGCACTCTGACATTCTCCAGGATCTCGGGATTGAATCGTCCACCAGTCCGGAGCTTCGATAGGTCATTCTTGAGCTTCTCGAGACTCTTTTCAATGCCAGCTTCTAGGGTCGAGAAATCGAAAGGGTCCTCGACCACCCCTGGCGCTTCGTCTGCCTCCTTCTCTCGTTCAGCCTTGCCCTTTTTCTTGAGCAAGGGCGGTGACTGTGAAAAACTTCTGCAGGGATTGATAGGTTGTAGAACTCGTTTCTGGTGGTGCAAGGAGGTGGTGGTTCCTATGCTAAGCAATGTGTTAATGCGGGCTCAATTGCATTGATCTCGCATACATACATCAATCGTCGTTCCAAGGCAACCGGGGCCCTGGAAAGTAGCTGTTTCAGCGCATTTGCGCGTACTGGCAATGATGGAGGCATGGCTTAGTTCGTAGGAGCCGTGGGCTTGTTTGTGAGCTGTTGTGAGCGAGAAGAAATTTGGCGACGAGGCGTCAAGTCCGCCTCGCCTTTCAGCCTTCTTCCATTGATACCTTGCAAGACAACATCGTCCTCTTCATCGAAGTTTGCTTAGCAACCTACAAGAGCCAGAACACAAACCGGCAAGACGCATATGTACCAAATATATAAGCAATAATTTCCAATCCTCGTGCCTTGCAGTACCGGATTCCCCCGTCCAATGCCTCCCCAAGCCTTCAGATTCCTCGACCTACCTCCAGAGATCAGGCAGAAGATATACACCCTTATCTGCACGTCCGACTCTCTCTGCGTCCCTCTCGACGAACCAGATGCTCACTCCTCCTACCCTTCTAACCTTCTCCTCACCAACTCTCAACTCTACCACGAGGTCCGACCCTTCTATTTTACCGTCAACGCCTTCTCAGTCACCGTCCGCCGGCAGAACGAGGACTGGGCCTACTTCCTCTCCCCCTCCTTTCTAGACAACAGAAGACAGGTCCGGAGTTTGGAAATAACGCTCCTCCGCTGGGGGTCGAAGAACTTCTTTCATGAGACGCTGATACCGGTGCTCGAAGACTGTATCCTTAATGGGAGACTGAGGTGTTTGGAGATCAGAGTCTCGGATAAATGGTTTCGCTCACAAATAGGCCAGAGAAATACCGGAAATTATCAGGGAGATACTTTGAGTACTTTGAAGAGGATTTTGCTGGATCCTTATTTAGAGAAGGCCGTTTTAAAGGCGGGGGTTATAAGTGATACAGAATCAAACGACTACGACGAGAAGCCCACGTTGACGGATGTCACATTGAAACTTCTCGAGCCCCACCTTAAAGAAGCTGGGGAGAGGAGATATTTCTAGTGAGCGGTATTTATAGATAGACGGATGCGACAAGTCCGTAAAGACTTGGGTTATCAGTCACTCACGTCACCTCATAAGTTTTTGACAATTTTATTCAATTAACAAACCATTCTTCCTGTTCTACAAGCGCGCGCTATGCCCGTAGGAAAAGTAGGAAGAAACCTTTGCATCAGAGAGCAACCAGATCAGAAACTCGCAAATGACTTTTAATGAACCCCGTTATGGAAAGGAGCCAGAAATCACATGGGCCAATCCATGTCATGAAATCGTGCATCAACACCCATTCTCCATATGTGCTGTCTGTGGCGGTAGATTCAATCTAGCGGGTCGACATGGCCTTGGTAACCACTCTCTTCAACGCAAGCTCCTTCTTCTTCAGGTCATCGGCAGTAGACTCCTCAATCTCGAGTTGAGCCATGGCATCGCTGAGAGCGGACTCAATCTTGTCCTTGGTACCACGCTTGATCTTGATGGACATCGTTGGGTCAGAGACAATCTCCTCGACTCTTGAGATGTAGGACTCGAGTTGTTGTCTAGCCTCGAACTTCTTGCTGAAAGCCTCGTCACTGTTCTTGAATTTCTCCGCATCTGAACGTATATTAGCATTTGAGTCATTAGTTTGCAGGATTAGACTGACCGTTGATCATGCTCTCAATTTCACTTGAGGAAAGCTTGCCAACAGAGTTGGAGATGGTGATGTTGGCACTGCGTCCTGAGGTCTTCTCAGTAGCAGTAACCTTGAGGATACCGTTGACGTCAACCTCGAAGACGACTTCAAGAACGGCGTCACCAGCCTTCATAGGAGGAATTGGTGCAAGAGTGAACTCTCCGAGGGAGGTGTTATCCTCGCAGTTCACACGCTCACCCTGGTAAACAGGGAATTGCACAGTCTGTTGGTTGTCGGCAACAGTGGTGAAGGTTCGCTTCTTGATCGTAGGGACGGTTTGACCACGAGGAACGACAGGAGCGAAGATGTTACCCTCCATAGCAACACCGAGGGAAAGAGGGACGACATCGAGAAGAAGGAGGTCGGCAGTGTCAGCAGAAGTGGCCTTTCCGGAAAGGATACCGGCCTGGACAGCGGCACCGTAGGCGACAGCCTCATCGGGGTTGATGCTCTTCTCAAGCTTCTTGCCATCAAAGAAATCGCTCAGGAGCTTCTGTATCCGTGGGATACGGGTAGATCCACCAACAAGCACAATCTCGTCGACCTTGCTCTTGTCGAGGTTAGCATCCTTCAAGACCTGTGCAACTGGCTCAAGGGTGCCGTTGAAAGCCTTGGAGTTAAGGTCCTCGAATCGGGCACGGGTAATCTGGGCGTTGAAGTCCTCTCCGTCGTAAAGGGAATCAATCTCAACAGTGGTTTGAGCACCGTTAGAAAGGGTTCTCTTAGCACGCTCGCAAGCAGTTCGGAGACGTCGGAGAGCACGGGGGTCGTTCGACAGGTCCTTCTTGGTCTTTCTGAAGAATTCCTTCTTGAAGTGCTCAAGCAAGTTGGTGTCGAAGTCCTGACCTCCCAAGTGGGTGTCACCGGCGGTAGCCTTGACAGTGAAAACACCACCCTGGATGTTAAGAAGGGAAACATCGAAAGTTCCACCACCAAGATCGTAGATCAACACATTGCGCTCCTTGTTGGTCTTTCCGGCACCAAGACCGTAGGCAATAGCGGCAGCAGTAGGCTCGTTGATGATACGGAGGACGTTAAGGCCGGCAATGGCACCAGCATCCTTTGTAGCTTGACGCTGGTTGTCGTTGAAGTAAGCCGGGACAGTGATGACAGCCTTAGAGACCTTCTTGCCCAACTTGACTTCGGCAACTTCCTTCATCTAGAGGGAAAATTTTGGATAAGCTAAAATTCTAGTAAGACATTCCGCATTGGACTTACCTTGGTCAAAACCATAGAGGAGATCTCTTGAGGCGAGAAGACCTTGGTCTCACCGAGATACTCAACCTCAACCATCGGGCTTCCATCTTGGTCGACGACCTTGAATGGCCAGGACTCGATATCCTTCTTGACGGTAGGGTCATCAAATCGTCGTCCGATCAGACGCCTGCAGACTCCAGTCAATATGAAATTCTTAAGACGTGAAGAAGTTAGGCAAGGAGGTAACTAACTTGATATCGAAGATAGTGTTTCGGGGGTTCATGGCAGCCTGGTTCTTGGCAGATTCACCAATCAAACGTTCCTTGTCGGTGAAGGACACGAACGAAGGGGTGGTGAAGCTACCCTGCTCGTTGGCAATGATTTCAACATTGGCTCCCTCATAGTTGGCAACTATATCAGTCAGTATACATCTCGGTATGCAGCTGACATCGTGTAGACAGCATGTGGTTGATGCAACGTACCGCAGGAGTATGTGGTGCCTGTTTGAGCAAAAATTAGCAATTGAAGATCTCGATAGCCGCGATCGCGGATGTGGGAATCAATCCAGCATAAACAACTTACCAAGATCGATACCGATCGCGCCTTCGTAGACCTCGTCAGCCATGATGGATATGGTTTCTGGATGTTGGATTGTAGATGGAGGAGGGAAGGTCAATGGCGGAGGGAAGAAATAATGTTCATTCAAAGTTTCGGCCTCGAACTTTTTCTCTCGGTGAGTGGGACATTTTTTTAGTAGGTCACCGCTAGCGGTTAGCGTCGATCGGCTAAGGTATCAGGTATCCAGTATTCGCCGCAAAGAGTGAGATCACGTGTCGGGTACCTCTTTGGGGGCTCCCTGTACCTGATGAGGATAACTAGAACCCCACGGGACGGGGCGCGTCTTAAATGTGAAGGCGTTGGATTCAGGATTGTATGCAAGAAACAGCAGCTGGAACAAGATAGGGTGTCTATGACTTAATACGTTAGGCACCACCCCTCGGGCAACAGTCAGCCACTACCTGTCATGGTTGTCGGCATGGCAAACAGCAAGTGAAGGGAGGCCGCTTATATTGGGATATCTACAGTAACAGGGCGGTAGACTCAGACACCTGACTATGCTAACTAGTGTACAACCCCATAGCCCTTCGCCATAAAGACCCAGATACTCCATCCCAACCACTGATTGCTGAATCCCACGAAAACGCCATCTGTGCACCCCCAAACAAGCGTGCAATCATATGTACCCATCCCTTCATCACTATCTCAAGAGATTTGCAAACACGGTGATCTTTTCTAGTTCTGCATCTAGTCCGTTGGCGGGCTTTGGTGCACCTTTAGGTAGAGCAGCGATTAATTCGATCTCGATTCGGTTGACACCGGGAAGAAGGCGAGCTTCAAATAGGGGGCGTCGTGGATCAGCAGAATGGCCCGGTATAGTTGGCATAGTGTGCAATCGCTGAGTTCCACTCGTGACAAACAACTTGTGTTGACGTTCGAGGAGGGAGGCGGCGATTGTTGGCTTGATTTGGAGGTAGTAGTGAGTCGAAGGGAGATGAATAGTAATAGACTGTTGGGTCATGGTCGGCGATGGTGGCACATCCATACGCAAGTGTTTTGAGATATTGAGGCCCGGATGGGTCGCGATGCTCAAATTTGTGATCATGGCGTCGGCAGCCGCTATAATAGTGAGCAAGAGCCGGTTCGTTCAGTGGGGATATCACTTACTTTTGCCAGGTGGTCTCCATTTAGAGTCGAGGCCCAAGTTGGCTGTGGGGTATTGAGTGTTGTGGTTGAAAGACTGCGCATATCCACTGGGTGTGGTTTGAGTGTGCAAATGCGGAAGACCAGGTGTCGACGGCGGTGGCATAGTACTCCCATTCAAACCTGGGGTTGCCACTGCCTGGCTCCCGGAGCGATGTCCTGGAGCAGTAGCAGGAGAGTTTCTTGCCACATCTTCGGTCTTAACAGGTGCAGCATTCGATGGTGTAGGAGACGCTGCGGAGCCTGATACACTTCTCGCCCTCTCAAGCTGATCGAGACTCGGGACTGGCGTTGCAGAGGCATGGGAACCCCCAAATGGATTTCTACGGCCTGTACCGTTCACCGGAATTGCGTTGTTACTCGAGCCGTTGGGCTGTGGCGCAGGAGAGTCTCGAGGACTGGCTTTCCCAGCAAACTTTAGAGTAATCCGAGGCGTAGGCTCGGGGTTAGACATCTTAAGCTTGATCTTTGGACCTGCCGACTCCGGCACGGCCTGCTTCGCTTCTTGTAATTCCTTGTAGAAAAAGGTCTAACACTATTAGCGACCTCCAAGCCTAGTTAGGGAGACAATCAACGCACCTGTAATTGTTTTGCTCGTTCTGAAATCTCACTGCCATCTTCATTGTAATGCCAAGCGTTGTTCCAGATATGGCTAAACTCCTCTTCGAACGCAGCCCAGGTCTTGAAGTCCGAGACACCTGAAGAGTCATTCTTTCCACGGGAGCCCTTGACGCGCTTCTGAATCTGCGCGAGAGAGACAGGATAGGAAATGGTTCTATAGTAGTCTTTCAAAGAACGTGGCGGAAGTTCAATAAAATCCCCGAAAGCCGGAATCTCATCCCTTGGTTCAGTCAGTAACCATCTATTGTCATAGGGTAGAATGCTTGCTAACTTTGGATCCTCTTGATAGTTTATTATGTCTTCCATAATCTTCTCCTGTGCCTGTTGGAAATTAAGGCCTGAATAGCCAACGCCTGCATATTGTAACTCTGTAGCTGGAGTCATACTATTTCTCAAAGCGTGGGCTTGGGGATTCTTTGGAGGGCGACCTCGACTTCTCTTTGCCGCTGAAGGTTGAGGTTCAGCTTCAACTTCAGGCTCTCGGTCTCTTTCAGCACCTTCATTGCTAGCTACTCCTTCAACAGGCAGCGGTGTAGGGGTTGTGACGAATCCCGGTGTTGTTATATAAACTGGGTTGTTCTTCGTCATAAAATTGCTCAAGACCTTTCTCATTCGCTCAGCATCCTCATATATCACCGAGCCTTTCTGATTGTATTCCTTGGCATTGGATATCATGCGCTTGAAGTCGCCTTCCAGAGAGGTGAGGGTTGGGAACTTGCGGTTTACCAATTTCTCCTCTATTGTATCCAGTGCGATTGGTAGCTTTGTGAATTTGTAATAGTCGGGAAGTTGTCGTTTGTTGGGAAGGGTTAAGAAGGCTGTCGCGATGTTTCTTCCACTATTTGAAATGATCAAATTAGTTACTATTCAAAGGGTGGGTTGCCAGGAAGATAGAGTTCTGGGAAAGGTATGATAATTTGCGCACGAGTAGGAGCATGCATATCGATAAGATCCTCGGACATGTAAGTGTCCCGCCTTGTGTTTAGGTTCTTACCGGCTGCGAGGCTGGGAGGAGAATGAAGGTGTCGCAAGAGATTTAAATGGGAAGGTCAACTCACGCTTTGTCTACAGTCTTCTTGACTGTGTCCAAAAATCTCAGGCCGTATTCAGTGGTGGTTTCCGGGGTCTCTTCAAAGGGAATGCTAGTGTCATCCTTAGACAAAGTGTCAGCCTTGCTACAAGCATCCTGATAAATTTCGCCGTCTCGAAGATTTGCAGATGCCAGGAACCTGGGGGCGCCTGGTCAAGCACATCGCTAGGTTCTGCCATCGCCAATCGACTGCCACAACGAAATGCTCATCAAAGCTCTTGCAAGCAACTCGGGGGAGAGTAACGACGAGGACTTACAGAGGGAAGCTTTCTCCTCTTCGCAGCACGATCATCCGCATCTGCAGCCCCTGTGCTTCCACCATTGACCTTGCGCTTCGGGTCCATCCTGTCGGTTGCAAGACGTGTGCAGGTCGCCGCGGCACTTCAGGAATAATCGAGGCGATGCGCAGCGTCTGCGAATTGTTGCGATGGCACAATGGCTCCTCGAGACGCGTCCGGCAGAGTGAATGTTGCGCGAGGGGGAGGTAGTTGACGATTAATTACCCCTGCAGAGGTTGGCGAACAGGTAACGCCAGCTTTGTCGCAGTAGACGTGCAGTAATGGCTTGTAGCAGCCTCGTGCAGTGGTTATTATCGCTCTTCCCAATAGACAATATGGGTGGACCTGGCCACTTCAAGAAATTCAGAGGCACAAGATCGCGCGCGCACACTTCTCCTGTGGCGCGAGATCCCCGAAGAGGTGATACTGGGAATTCCAGCGTGGCACGTGACCCCTACGCTAAGGACGAGGCTGCAAGTCGGCGGGCTCTTGCCGAAAAATAAACAAAGCCGAGCAACGCAAAAACACGGATAATAGAACAACTGCAGAGCATCGTTGGTCTGTTCCGCACAGAGAAAACCCTTCCCGCCGATCCAGCAACCTCCCCCGAATCCCGCGTCCCTCTGAGCGCCTGGTTTCTGCTGCTGCACCCGCTCCGCCGCTTCAGTCTTGCTCCTTCGCGGTCGGAGGCACCTGGAGCCAGCAACCCTTACACGTCCCGAAAACACCCCCGCACGTCATACACTTGCTTCTAATCAGCAAAAGCAACACATTGCAGAGGAGTTGTTTGTTGGTTAAAGAGGGAGCGGCCCGTGCAGATCCTCAGAGCTTCGCAAACGTTTAAGTCGCTCTCAGCCCCACTATTAGCTTCTCCAACCACCCTCCGAGAACCAACACCACACAAATCAAGACAATGGCAGATTTGGACTATAGCAGACGGAACAAGGTTCCCAGACCCCTCTCCGAATCGGAGAAGGCACGTTTGGAAGAGTTCATTGATTCGATCCATTATTCCGCCAGGTGAGAGAGAGCCAACCGCGTGCTTTAACCACGAGGACTAGCAGCACCTCTTCTCCATGTACAGAGGCTGATGCGTCTGAGTAGGTACTCTGACGATGAATTCGAATACCGACATGTCCAGCTTCCCAAGAATATGCTGAAGGCCATCCCGAAAGAATACCATGACCCATCGAAGGGCACGCTGAAGTTGCTGTGGGAAGAAGAATGGAGAGCGCTGGGCATTACTCAAGTACGCCGAGAATATATATTGCAAAAGAAGCCTAGACTAACTTCGCAACAGAGTCTTGGATGGGAGCATTATGAAGTGCATGAGCCAGAGCCACATATACTCCTCTTCAAGTAAGTGCAGTCAGCCCCTTGATATGTCCAATCACACGCTAACTGAGTTCTAGGAGACCTATCAACTATGTCCCCCCGGGCCAATAGACACATTCAAGGTTTTTGGTGTACTTGATTTGAATTTGGCGGTCCTCCTGATCCGGCGCAAGACATACAACCGGTGGCATAGGCTTTGATGATGTTACGTCTTATGTCTCTCCGATACATCCCACTTTGATGGCCATCGATGGCTTCTTCGATGTACTAGATTAGGATTAATGAGTCACTCTCTCCTTTCAGAGATTTCACAATCCTTTTCCTGTATCTTGTTAACAGCAAGTAAACAAGACTATGGTACATATCAAAGATTTCGCTCCGCTTCTTCCACCCTCTTGGGTCCCGCGATATCGCTGGTGGATTTCTTTTCCAAGACAACCTTCGAAGCCTGCTTCTGCTGGTAATACAAGAGCTTCAAGCAAGATTCTCTGCAATTGAGGGTTCTTGCGTTCCTTTGAACCGTAATATTGTGTCGAACATTAATCTCATAACTCTCGTACTGGCGGATGGGCGGATATTCCCGCTCCCACAGCTCTAGCTTTTTGAACAGGCGCAATAAGACCGAAACTCCTACTCGAGTTCGCGCAAACTCAAATCGGCGTAGGATCCAGAAATATGAGGCTTAAGTTGCACCGGGGTGGCAAGGCGAAGTGGCGCATTTCAATACTCTCGGGGGCGAGGCGAGGTTGAGTTGTAATCGAACCACAAAATACCAAATGGACACCTTTACTTCTACTAAATAGGAAATTTCACTAGGCAAATGAAACATGGCATGACATTCTTTGCAATCCACTCTCTGTGCACTCTTTCTACGTGGATGCAATTTCTTGTGATCTTTTCCTTCGCTTTCATTTATACCTTGGGAAATATCTCCAAGGAATCGGCATTCCCTTGTTCAGTTTCCGTGTATGCGACGAATTGAGACCTCGATAAGGCTACCATTCCTTTGTCCCATCCATCCGGCACCTCCACACATAAATATACTACTCACTTCTGCTGCAATCTATTCACCCGCTCAATCATTTAGATATTTGGACAGTAAAAGCCAGGCGTTTCGTGGCAACTATGAAGGCCGCGGCACGCGTCTTCTATCTTGCTGTCTTTGCTCTGCTGGGCACCTCTCATGCAGCAGAACCTAAGGGCGCGTCAAGATCACAAACTCCAGGTCCAGATGTTTGCGCGGTACGTCCTCCCTCCTCTTGTAAGGCACCTGTCTGACGTTTTCAATTAGATCTCTCCCAAAGCAATTGTCTCGGACGCCTGCGCCTCCTACTCTACTCTCGACGAGCTCAACGGAGAGCTCAGACCTTCCCTACTCGATATCACTAAGAACACAGATTTCTTTTCATACTACCGATTAAATCTATTTGGGAAGGAATGTCCATTTTGGGATGACGCGAATAGCATGTGTGGCAATATTGCCTGTGCAGTGAATACATTAGAAGACGAAAAGGACATCCCGCCGATATGGAGAGCAGGAGAGTTAGGGAAGCTGGAGGGTCCTAAAGCCGGGCATCCGGGGAAGAAACAGCAAGAAGAACGAGGGCGAGAAAAGCCATTACAGGGCATGTTGGGTGAGGACGTGGGAGAAAGTTGCGTGGTAGAGTACGACGACGAATGCGACGAACGGGACTATTGCGTGCCAGAGGACGAGAGCGCTACTAGCAAGGGAGACTATGTGAGCCTGGTGGACAACCCAGAACGATTTACGGGATATGCAGGTGAAGGGGCACAGCAGGTCTGGGATGCCATCTACCGCGAGAACTGCTTCTCAAAAACCTCATTCCCGAAATCCGCCTCGCTCGGAATTTCACATCTACCACATCAGGGACCTGCGGCAAATGCGCTGAAGTCGGTGCTGGAGGATAGGAAAAGGCAAGAAGCTCTTGAGGCACGTCAGAAGAGCTCCCCGAATACTCCGTTTGTTTCCGAGACTGGTTTCGAGAATGAAGATGAGTGCCTTGAGAAGCGTGTCTTCTATAGGATCATATCTGGCATGCACACCTCCATCAGTACACATATTTGCTGGGAGTACTTGAACCAGACCACTGGTGAATGGGGTCCAAACGTGCAGTGCTACAAAGACCGCCTGCACGGGTATCCCGATCGAGTATCCAATCTATACTTCAACTACGCTTTGGTCCTGCGCGCGGTGACGAAGCTGGGGCCATATTTGAAGGACTACACCTTTTGCTCTGGGGATCCCGTCCAAGACAGCATCACCAAGGCCAAAGTCCAAGCTTTGACTTCTCAAGCTGGAACTGTGCCTCCAATTTTCGACGAGAGTATCATGTTCGTTAACGGTGAAGGCCCGAGTCTGAAAGAGGACTTCCGCAATCGATTCCGAAACGTGAGCAGGATTATGGACTGCGTTGGCTGCGACAAGTGCCGGCTTTGGGGAAAAGTACAAACGGCCGGTTATGGCGCCGCTCTGAAAGTTCTCTTCGAATTCGACAATAACGAGGTCGATGTCCCGATGTTGAAGAGGACCGAGCTAGTCGCGCTTTTCAACACCCTCGCCCGGATCTCCGACTCTTTGACTGCTATCCATAAATTCAGGACCATAGTTGAATCGGAGGAGACTGAAGAAGAGAGCGTGGGCCACCACCATGTCATTCCCGGGAAGTCACAATCGGACGCGGTCTCTGATGATGAGTTCACGGAATTTGAGGAAGAAGAACGCAGGAGGCAGAAACAGTACACCGATCAAACGCCAGCCGACATGTTCTGGAGCGAGATGAGTCTCGTTTGGAAGGCTGTGAAATATATCGTCAAGAGTTGGTTCACGTTCCCTAAGCATGTGTAAGTTATACAGCCAGCCTCTCTATGACATTGAGCCCAAACTAATAGCCGCAGGTTCGAAATCTTCATCTTGGAATTGTCCCGCTTTTGGGAATACTATATCGGATTACCAGTCTCGCCTCGAAGATGGGAGATCAGACGGCCAAATCTGGACGAGCTCTAAATCCTGCTTCATATTGGTGACAATACTCGGGAATTGGATTTTTGCATCAGCGGTCGGAGTTGTGTTCTGGGAATGGCGGTATTAGCATTAAACTTTGACAAGGCAATGAAGTAATTCTTCAAAGAAAGTGTGGTCTTGCCCGCAAATGTGAGTTTGTTTTGATCTGAAGACAGTTCTTTCTACCTATCTCCTCTCATGTCCTTGTCCCGTTCCAGTAGCTCTGGGGTAATTTCTATTCTATATGAGTTTGTTTCCTATCCAGGCAATATGCAGTATGTCTATTGATGTTACAGATCCAAAGAACGCATATCAAGATAGATGCTGGAATGGACCAAGGTTGCCCAAATATACCCTTTCTATTGCATAATTTCATAACCGCTATCATACAAGCCAAGCTATCCCGGCATTTAAAACTAATAAATACATCTTCGCCCGCAGTTATTATTACTATCTTAGCCACTGACGAAAAGAAAGACGAGCAAGATAGATACTCGAAGTGTGGATTTCGCTTACACTTGCCAAAAAAAGACGCCCCCAAATTACAGCCCTCTGTCTAGTCAATGGTGCTTTTGATAAAGCTTTTTCTCAAACTTCCAAGTCTCCTCTTCAGTGCCGCTCCTACCTGTCGTCCAGTGGTGTTGCTTCTCCGCATTTCATTCTCGAACTGGGCGTACTTGAGGCTACTTCCGGTCGCTTCGCTCGGACCTGCACTGGCGGGACTCTTTGCACTGCGGGGACTATCTGCACTGTGTTGACGAGAAGGCGGCGGGGGTTTGCTCTTTGGGGTTTGCATCTCGTATGCGGAGGCCCCATCCGACGTGACTCGTCGATGGGCATTGGCCTCGTGGTCTTTCAGAGCCTTCTCGATTCGGAAGGATGGTTCTCCTTTCCCCTTGAGGTCATCGGGGAGATAGGTCTGCAGAGAAATCAACAATCGTCATGATGGTGTGGGAGTGGGACATACCACGCCCTCCCACCTCTTATAGGCACCACCAGCCGCATCCGGCTCCCTCATCAGATCGGCGCCCTCCTCATACTGCATTGGCTTACCATCTGGCCCTTCGAATCCGGGTGGAATGACGGCCGTGCCCTGCAGAGGCATATGTCTATCCAGCGCATCTCTGATATTCTCTCTTGGCGTGGCTCGAAGGGCCTCGGCATTCGAGGTTCGCAGAGCTTCAACTGGGGAGGTCTTCGTATTCATGTTCCGCGCCCGGAGAGTCGCATCATAGGGTCCCTCATGATGATAGGCTACTCCCATCGACTTGTCGAGAGCGTCGATGACATCCGCTCCAGGCATGTGCCGTTTTCTCAAATGCGGCGCTCGATAGGCCGTTTTGGTCTCCTTCCGCAGCTGATCGAGGGGTCGGTGGGACATATCGCCGGGGAACCTCTCCCCCAAGGAACTGCGCCTTCTTCGCTCTTTGGCAGCCTGAGTGGATTCTTCATGGCTTCTCCGGCTCGGTCCGCCGTTGGAATACCCACTTCCGTACACGCTGTGTCTGTAGTTTGCCCATGGGTTTGAAGGGTGGAAAGTGGGTTGTGTCGGACTGGCAGATGGTGGTGGTGTGGGATAGGCCGGTGGTGGTGAGGGATAGGTGGTTACCGTGCTGGTCACAGCTGGGGTTTTTGAAGCTGGTGCAACGGAAGATGTAAAATGGCTCCCAGGGCCAGTTTCCTGGCTTGGTTCAGGATCCGTTAAAGGATCCAGGAGGTATTTGCTGGCCTAGATAGACAGGAACATGAACGACATCAGCGAATGTGCTGCTGCACAGAACAGAGACGAACGGCAAGCAAGGCTCGAATCGAAGCCTTGGGGCAAGACAGGACTCAGACCCTTGCATGTGCAAGAATAGCCGTGCATAGATGTGTATGTATGACCTACCCATTCCTTATCCGCTACAGGAGAGTCCATATTGGGCGACTTGAGATCTGGAAAACTCGGGACGGCGGAGGGGAGGCAAGCGGTAAATAGGAAAAATAGGAGGCTTTTTCAACACCAACACGAGTATTTGTATGTCCAGTAATACTTCCCGAGTCCCACGGAGAGCTCGGGATAGCGGGGAGAGACGATACTGCAAAAAAGAGTTTAAAATAGATGCAAGGGGTTTCGCTTAGCAGGTGGACTGCGGAGGACGGGAGGGACACACGGCGACGAGACGTCATGCGAGAGATGGTTGAGCGCTTTTGCAGTTTGCGGATGCTTCGGAGAAGTTGAGAATAGACTGTGGTCTGGCCGTCTTGGTTGTGCTCGGAAAGTTTTTGAAACCTGAAAGAAAGAGAAAGCCTTCTTGTCCGGAGTGCCCTAGGTCCTATCCTATATGTAAGTAAGGTAAGGAGGAACTTGCTTGCTTTCGAGCCTCGACCCACACGGCTGACGTTGGGTGCAATCGACTGATCTCACTGATCTCTCTTTCGACCACATTACACGCAACACGGCCCAGTCGAGATCTCCCGGAAATGGAATGTGATAGGCATGGCACTCGTCGATTACTCTTCGTCTGGTGATGAAGCAGACGACGTCCACACGGTATCCAGATCCACGGCGTTGAAACGGCCACGTGAGGATAGCGACAACAACGACGACAACGACAACAACGACAACAATAAGCACAATAAGCCCTCGTCAGACTTGCCTCCTCTACCCTCCAAGTTCTATGATTTATATGCGTCGACCACCAGGGTGGGCACGCGGGATGACCCGAGTCTCCATGGTGGGAGAAAACGGGTCACCCCTCATATCGAGGGCAATTGGCCAACCCACCTATACATCGAGTGTAAGCCTCGACCGGCCCTCGCTGCGATGCTGATAGACCATGACTGACATAGTCGAGGGTATCCTTTAACCATAGAACACGAATCTCTGACCAGTTTGATCTCGACTTTGAAAGGTGCAATCCCCTCAGAGGGGTCCAAGATCCAATCGCTCTTAACGAGTGACCTGGGCGCTCCTCTACCCCTTCACGTTAGTCTTTCGCGGCCGATTGGCTTTGCGACCGAGCAGAGGCATAGATTCGTGGCCTCCTTAGAGCGCACTATCCGCTCAGCACGAATTCGACCGTGATTTTTGCCCCCCCATCTGATAACAGCTAGGCACGTGACTAATATCAGTAGTTTCGATATTACCTTCTCACGCCTGGACTGGGTTCCGAATTTCGAGGGGACCCGCTGGTTCCTAGTTCTCCGACTGAATGTGCCCGATTCCAATGGTTTGAATAGACTACTTCACGCTTGCAACAAGGTCGTACAAGAGCATGGGCAACCGCCCCTTTATACCAAGACTATCGAGAAGAACCCCCAACCAATGGAATCGTTCAAGAACGCCAGTAAAGTGTCTCGGCCTTTCGGATCAGACGTGGAAGGGAATAGCATGCAAGATGTCTCAGATGATGTCTCAGATGCTTTCCATATTAGTATCGCCTGGACCCTGGAGCCACCAAGCCTGGACCTGCTGAAGGCTACAGAGTCTACGGCAAAGGACCAATTCCAGGACGTCAAGAAAATGTTAGTCAAGGTTGAAGAAGTCAAGGCAAAGGTTGGAAATGTCGTGACCAACATATGTCTGCAAAATAAGGTACTGGAGGGGAAAGGACTGTTTGGATTATGATGTCAAACAACGAGGGAGCATTGGTCCCCAAAGTATCCAAGACGCTCAAGTATAATTCCTAAAGACCATGAAAGGGGAAGAATGAATTATCTGTGGCCTCGGGATATTTTGCTACCACAGATTCCACCCTCTGCTGGTAAAGTAGTGTAGAGTCTGTAATTCCCCTCGTCATTGCGGCCAAAGACTCTGTCCTGAGATGCAATACTGCCCTGGGAAATTGTTGCCATATGCGTATAGTATGTAGTCCCCGTAACAGAAGCTCGACGGCTCTATAGCACCCAGGCCTTGTCCCCAGTACTTCTCTATCCTTCCATCCTCCTACCCCATCACAAGTTTAAATCAAATCAGCATAATTTCCAGCAATGAGTTGAAGTTCAATACCACAAGATAACTCCGGCATTCCAACTTATAATTCCGAGATAATTTTCTTTCTAAATTAATCTCAACTACCTAGCAAGGAATTCGCCAAACCTCCCTGAAACATGAACCTAGACCAATATTTGTACATGCTGCCTGCCTTATTACAAGTATCCCAAGCCGCCCATCAGCGCAGCCAGATCCTCGCGCACCTCCTCGACATCCACTCCTACGCGTCCCGCAACCTCAACGCGTCTCTGACTGCCCAGCTCCATCCAGCGCATCAGCATGCCGCCATCGACGACGGTCCTACCACCCACCGTTCCGTCGGGCGCATCCTTACCCACTCTGTACGCTCGGGGATTCAAGCCGCATGCATGATAGAGCGTGTTCGTGAGGTGGCTGGTTAGTGTGCTGAGGCGTCGGTATTGGGCTTCTGATAAGGGAGAGAGGAGAGCGATGGAGCCCGTGTTGTCGCTCATGAGGATCTCGTATTCGGGAATCGTGGCATCGGCTGCTTGGTCCATGGCGTCCGGAGTCGCTGGGAGCATGGTTGCTGGTTTGGTGCGCGGAAGCAGTGTCATGGTGGTGGGCATGTGACCTCCGAGGGAAAAGGTGGTGCGGTGGAGTAGGAGATGGCCGTGGAGGGACTTGGGATCTAGAATATCATCAGTGCTGAAATGAATGAGAGGATGGGAGGAGACGAGACTTACCTTCCGGGTCGTATTGCATAATGTGCAGATTGCAATCTGCGTCGGCGACCACGATGTAGAGATCTTTCCCGTCCGGAAGGATATCAACTGCCATGACTTCCATGTTTCGAGCACTCTTGCCGAAGAGTATCATCTTATAAGGTTCTTCAGTATAGCCCGCAAACCAGACTCCTTTGACAGCATCTGCCATAACGCAGAGACCTGTCCCACCAAGTTGCTTGACAGAAGTCACGTAGCAATTCATGTCCATGAAAGCAACAGGTAACAGCGTCCCGTCTTCTTTCAGACCTCGGACCATACATTTTTGGCCCTGGGCCACAAGCATAAAGCCCTGAGTACCGACTTCAGAAACCGCAGTGATAGCTCCACGAGGTATCTCTTCCTTGGCAACAAGTTTGAGTCTCTTGTTGGTTTCTGGCCGATCCGGCTCTGGTACTACCGTGACAACGTCGTATACATAAAGACGGCCTTTAATCGCAAGATCTTCACCCTTGGACAGAGCTGTCCCGACAGTGATCAACTGTTTTCGTTCATTTGTGGACTCTGAAACCTCAAGATTCAGCGTCTTGATACACATGACCATCTCGCAAGGGTCTAACTCGACGGTGTCGATGACAGTCCAGTTTATCGGGCTGACTAATTTGAGGAACCCTTTCTCCGTGGTCGGTTTGAAAGAGATATCTTCCCGTTGCCACTCACGATGGTGGTCATCGTCTTTCGGCAGCTCAAACTCGGTTCCAATGCTGGTGCCAACGACATAGGTCTCCATAGGTGGATGATAGGCGATGGCATGTACGGCTTGGCCAAGCTCGACTTTCTGTAATGTCATTCCAAGTTCAAAAGACGTATTGGGAGGCAGCTGTGAGACTCGAGCTACGCCGTTTATGTCTGCATAGATGAAGCCTCTGTCACAGCCCGCGGTGTGGAAGCTGCTCATGCCTCTGACGCCAGCCCCTTGCAAACCGATGACCTTTGGTATGCTCTTAGAGCTCTTAATAACGAAACTAGGCGAGCCACCAGGGAGGAAGACGGTACTATACCCGCCTAAGTTCGAGATGGCACGCATTGGGTTGTTTCTGGATCCGGATGTATTTTCTGCGGTCTCTGCAGCAGAAACCTCGGGATTCTCAGCTAAATGAGGATTGGTTAATTTGAGGAAGTGTAAGGAAGATGAGAGAGTTTTTGGTGTTGTGGTGGAATCTGTCCGGAAGGGTTCATATATCGTGAGATCGTCATTCGATGCGCGCAACTAAGAGAAGTCAGTCTAAGCTCAGGGGTTTTTACAGTGACACTCACAATAAGGTAAGGGGATTTCGAGACCGCATCGCCAAGATCAGCGACGAGTATTTCTGTTAAAGTCTCGCGAGCTGCTGACCTCCTGGCGGCATAATCTGCTGAAAGTACCGGAGGTACAAAACATAAGCCTTCTGCAACGTAGACAGCTTTAGAAAGATCGGGTAATGCATAGATCTGGAGGGATTTTGATTAGCCTGTTGGCTCCAATATTTCGCAGAAAGTAACTCACGTGCAATGCACCCCCGGCGCTCAGCAAGAACATCATAACATTTTGTCCATTCTTTTGCTCCTTGCCAGACTGAACACTTGCAAAGACACCCGTGGTATCGGAGTATAAGCAGCCGGCAAGCCATTTTGTTGCGAGTAGAGCGTCATCCTCTCTTTCGATCTCTTCAAGCTCGTTGTTGTCATCGCACTGAGCGACGAAGATACTGGAATCGTCTCTTAACAGCAGCAAGAAAGGATCCGCAAAGCCGGCGCTGATTATCTTCGGTTCTGCTCCTGTATCATCGTCATACATTGGTAGTATCTGCGCCAAACCAAGATCTACAAATCTCTAGGTCAGCTGTCCATTCTCGACAAACTTAGGCTTGGAAACAACATATCGCAACGGCAGCTGGCATATAGGCATATTGGTGGTAAACACTTTGATTGATGCTATTGGACATGATGTATTCCCAGATAGCTCCCTACAAAGCAGAGCAAAAGTTGAAATGTATTGAGAGGCCCATGTAGAACGGCCATGTCTCCAGTTATCGGCACAGTAGATTTCCAATACAGAAGGCAACAAATATGCTTGAGGGAAAGAAGGCAACTTACCACCATCGTAACTCCTGACCTCAGATTTCAGCACCTGAATGACACGCATGCCATTACCCAACGTTCCAGCTTCTATCGTTGAACCGGCTGCAGGGTCAAATTCTGTTCCCGTGAGAGCCTCAAAACCAGCTGCTGTTAGTGCATAAACGTCAGACAGTTCAGCAGCATCGGTTGATGCTTTGGATACTATCATGAGTCTATCATACTGAGAATCAGCAGCGTAATCCCCATTCATGGCTGATTTTTCTTTGTCAACTTGTAGGCCTTTAGGTGTAGGCCTCTTCGCACTCATAGTCCATATACCACGGGCTTCAGGGAACTCAAACCGGCCAATGACTTTTGGCTGAATGTTCCGGTGAATGACTGCAAGGGAGCCAGCTTTGTCTCTACCTGTTGCTGCAACCAATTCTAAGTCACTTGTTACTCCGCTGGCGTTGGTCATATCTTCACTGGTCGGATAGGGACCAGGCTTTCCGAATGTCATATCTATAATAGGGGCAATGCTTTCCAGCGTATCATGTATCCGAAAGACGTAATCCCCAGCCTTGCTATTGGTAGAATCCAATTTATCCACGCCGTTCGTTGCTGCGGCTTGTGTAACTGATGGGCCGTCGCCGTATAAATCATCGTCGCCATCATCTTCGTCGTCCTCTTCATCAAGAAGCGCCTCGTCTTCCCCATCGAGCAATTCGAGCCTGGATTTTCGACGAGACGTCTGACCCGTCTTCCGACTCCATCCCAGAACGACAGAATCAGCGTTCTCACTACCCACGAACAAGGTATTCGATCCCAGAGAGCTTACGGATGACGGTCTAGCTGCAATTATAGAGCCACCTGCCTCGCTCGAGACTCGTCTGATGCTTAAACCAGAAACTGATCTTCCATCCATGCGGAAACTCAAAATAGCAAGAGTACCATCGTGGAGAATTATGAGCATCTCCCCATTATCGATTGAAAGTTGCTCAATTGTACAGCCTTCCAAGCGCATTTCCAGATCCGACTGATCAACGAGACCAAACGAGGTACATTGCTTGGCGAACATATTAACTCCAACCCCATTAGCTTTGCCGGCTTGATCTATATGTATGACCTCGTTACCACCCACAAGAAGGGCGCCGCCTATAGGCGGAGGCAATGGAATCACTCTGAATAAATCGTAAGGCAATCCGCCCACGGACAGGATGGTTGTTGATGCTCTCTGATGAAGATCAAGGGTAAAAACCATGTACGTTAAATGATCCTTCCGTTCATAGAGAAGGGAGGATGATGGTGATAATGTCGAGGATAGAATGCCGAATGTTGGCTCGCGGTATTCGTGCAGGAACGCAAGATGTATCGGATGAATAAGATTGGGGTCCAAGGAAGATAACCGCAACACAAATGAGGAGCTGTAAGGCGTTTCTGGTTTGCTGCTATCCCCATTGGGTGTTTTCAAGGCGGTTTTATCAGCAGGTCGCGGGCCATCTAGTTCTTCATCCCAGTCATCCATGGTAACATCTTCATCCCCTTGCTTGAAAGGCAGGATCGCGAGATTTCGCGCCCCAAATTTGAGAGCTGCACATCTGCTACCCGGATCTGCAGTCAGGTAGTTCACGCAATCGCTGAGATTCGGTGCCCATGGGCTTCCTTGGAGTTCATCCTGCTCGTAATAATGTATCGAAATCGTCGATATTCCCGGTCGTTCTGGGTCCCATTCAACCAGACTGAGTTTTGCATCGCGGAAACCCACCAGCAGTGCTTCACCTCCTGATTTCGAAGACGTAGTCTTAATGCGTACCAACGACGTGACTGTGCCGGATAATGTGTATTCTGCTACCAGGACGAGCTTCGTTTTATGCGCGCGTTCAGAGCGGCGCAGCGCCGAATCGACACCCAGGAAAGACGATTCCAGCCCTTCATCATCGTTGACTCTCGTGTCACAGATATCGCCTTTCTTCGCAGATGAGGTATCGGTCTCTGTTGAGCCTTCGACTTCGAAAGATATGGTCTTAGTGGAAAAGATCTGGAGCAAGGAGGTTTTCGCGACGACGAGGTTGTTGGAATCTGCGGATAGGAATGGTAGACTTAAAGAGTGTGTGACAGCTGTGGGAGGTGTCAGCTCCGTATAGCATTGCATTATGGCCGTTGTAAGGACATGGAAACCAGGGTGTCTTCAGGAAGGGCCGTGATGGGATTCTGAGCTTGAGGCTCAAGGTCGCGTCGATCTGATGTTTAGCGGCGGGCAGCTCAGCAGAAGCAGGGGACCACTGAAACTTCACAAACAAGCTACACTTCAGCTACGTCAGAGCCACAGAGCCTTCGAGGATTCTTCAAAAGATAGCGTTCTACTACCTCAATGCCAGCTTTGTTGTACTCTTAACAATACGCGCAACGTAATTTTGGTGGAAGAGAGAGTTTTCTACTGCGGACCGGTATGTTTGCTGTGTACTTGGGAGCTCGAGCCACTGCTCGGGAATGCAGTCACGCAATGAAGTATTATGCTGACCGTTCGAGCGCCTTAGATTAGATCCGGTCAATCAATCGAATTCCGTGAACAGACGAGAGCCTGTGCAGCGCCATAGTTCGACAATATGGCGCTCATTCAGATGGCATTCACATGGGTGGCGTACGCTGTCGCGGTGGCGCTCGTAGCTCTCATTGCGGCCATCTTCACATATACATACCAAACCCCGCGGGACCGATCAGCGCTGGTATCCACTGTCGCGATTTTTACCTTGACCTGCTTACTGGCAACGGTTTTACTCCTGCCAGTTGATATAGCGCTCGTTAGTTCTACGACATCTTCGAAGTTGGGCGCAAAGAAAGACTGGGCTACGCCAAGGACAGTAGACAACATCCTGTTGACCCTCAAAATCGTCTATTATACACTCTACAGTTTGGATGCCGTCCTCTGCCTTCTGGTTGTGCCCTTTACATATTTCCTCTACGAAGAATATGACGATGTTGATGCCGAGGAAGGTAGACAGACCTTCCGTCAACGATTCTTTGGAGCGTTGAAATATACCATGATATTTGTCGCGCTCGTCATTATTCTGTTTATTATTGGTTTCTTTGTGCCTGTAGCGAGGGACCGCAAAGAAGCACACCTGGATCTCGATTATTTCAAGCGCCTTTTGGCCGAGAATCACGGAGAGCGGGCCTTGACATTTGCCCTTGGGCTCCTTGTATCGCTGGGCACTCTACTATACGTGTTGTACACTGCTTCAGGTTTGGCACTTCTGCCAATCTCCTTCATCAAATCGGCTCCATCAATCAGCGCCCCGCAGCTTTCCGAGAGCACGGCTACAGCTCTCGCACAGAATCGAGAAAGGCAGCGTCAGCTTGAGGCGCGCAATATAGGCCGTGAAGGTAGGCTTCCTGCCAAAGATCAAAGAGAACTCGAGGCCTTGGTTCGAGAAGAACGCACTCTGGTCCGTCGGCTGCGTCTTGCTGCAGAGGCTCAGGGCGAAGGAAAGAGCTTTATTGTCAGAGCTTGGACTAAATTTTGTGCTGTCTTCCGGCCTATTAAATTACTTGGAGGAATCCTCCTGCTCATATTCTCTGTTATTATATGGGTTTCGATGTTGATCACTGGCATCGACAAGGCCAAGAATTCCATCTGCAAGCAGCATTGTGGCTACATTCTGGGAAGGTAACCGCTTTCACACCCCTCTTAGTCCGCAGGTAGCTGACGTATACTCTAGTATTAATGTCTTCCAACCACTCAACTGGATTTTTGTTCAAGCTTCAAAAGTCTTCCCAGTTGACTATGTACTAATGGCATTATTGGTCCTGTTCTTCTTCAGCAGTTCCGTGGTCGGTATAGCCAGCGTTGGAATCCGATTTCTCTGGGTCAGGCTCTTCGAGATTCGCAAAGGGCACACGTCTCCTCAAGCTCTTCTTGTGGCTACCGTGATGTTGACATTGATCATGCTCGCGATCAATTACTCGATTACCATGATTGTCGCACCTCAATACGCTATCTATGGCGCCCAGACATTCTGCGGGAACCCGCCACACCACCCAGACGATCAACCAGACTGCTCGAATCATCCCGAATTGGTCAAGCCGTGTAGCGAGCTCTCGTCTGACTACGGATCAAAGAATGTCTGTACTCCTAGTGTGGCATCTACGTTCCTAAATCGGGTAACTTTTAACTTCCCGTTCTTTGGAGCCCTGGCTTTCTGGGCCCAGTTTGCTTTCTTGGCAATCTTCCTCATTGTATTTTCCACGGCTCTCTTCCGCACCCCGAAAGTCAACATTAGCCAGCTGGATGCGGATGCAGAGGCTGATGAGGAGGAGGGTCTCCTTGCTAGCACAGGTCGCAGATTCGGTGCGACGTGGCAAGATATCCGCGGCAAGGCCAAGAAACCCAGCGCCGGTGCTGCAGGCCGTGGTATTCGTGGCGAAGACCTCCACGAAGATGACGATTGATTGTTTGATTAGGGATTAAATTGTACTTGGGTGGTTTCTCTCTGTCTGTGTATACATAGGTGAAATTGGTCGGCGTATTGGATGCATATGGATGTAGGAGGCGTTATGGAAGTCGGGCGATGATATACGGGCCTGGCATGTAATCAAAATGCATTGTATGTATACGTTGATTTCCCTCAAAGGTTTGGGAATTCTCTTGGCGTCTCTGGTTTGAACCCGAAAATGTAACACAGTGGTTCAAATGATTGTCAGTTCACATGATCATAACCTAGGATGCATCTTGGAGCTGTAGAGGGTGTTAAAAAGGGCTCTAATTTCTGTGTTGGTATATGGCAGTAACAGTAAACATTCAAGAAAAACCTGGGCGTTCAATTCGGTTTCTTAAACTTCGTCCACTTGTGTCCTCTCTCCTCCCAACCAACATCAGGCCCCATGTGTCCCTCCTTCCAACAATTCGCACAATATAGATCTCCATCACAGCCCAGACACTTAACCGTAGCATCATCCTGGCATATGATACACCAAGAATCAATCTCTTCATCCGTGTACTTCTTCATCACTCCCTTCACAGGTTTGGCTGCTGGCGCAAAGGTTGGTGGTGATGGTAAACCAAGCTCGTTCGGTGTGCCCAGGCCTCTGAGTGCTGCCATGCGAGCAGTGATATCCGATTCGAAATCCAGCGATTTCCTAGTTGGCTCCGTTTCTGTCACGGTTGGCTCGGGAAGTTCTGAGGGAGCGGACGGTAGTGAAAGGGATTCCTCGTCTTTCCCCTTCTCTAAAGACTCCAGGTTATCCTCTTGGTCGCTAGACTCATTTCCTCGTTCAAGGTTCACTTCGTCCAGCAGCCTCGCGATGATATCTTGGACCTCACGTGATTCATTCTCAAGCCCTGAGTTCTGGGCTTGGTTTCGATCTCCATCCTCTTCATCTAGAGCGAACACCGACATATCCAGATCACTTGTGAGGACATTCTTTTCTGACTTATCACTCCCATCCCTAGAACCATTTTCGACCTCTCTGGACGAGGAACCGGGCTGATCTTCATTGCGGGGTAACGCACTCTTGGCTTCATCAAGTAACTGCTGGATATCATCAGGATCATCTGGATTCAGCGTCCATTGATACTCAGGGCCTAGTTCGGCAAGAAGATCATCGAGACTTTGCTCGTCGGGGTTCAGGGGATTGCGCAGAGGGTCTGGATCCTCGGCGAGGCTTTGACTGGGAATTTCTGCAGCGGGTGTCGCGCGGGACGATTCTGGGGCGGGTGATGGCGAAGATGTACCATTTCGGAGACTTCGTAGACGGGCTGATAGGTCTGTTTCTGGTGTTGCCTCCCTTGAATGCAGGTTCAATAGTGTCTGTGGTCTATCAGCACCGTTAGCATGTGACCAGGCAAACTGGGAGGCTGAGTCTACTTTGAAGGGTCAAGCTGGATGCTTGACTTTTTCAGTGCATTAAGCCGATCGAGAAGATGTTGGTCATAGCTCGGCGGGGAAGTCATTTCAATTTTGATTTTATAATGGGAGTGGTTGGAAAGTGTTTGTATTCAGCTCAGCTTCAGTAATTACACCAACTCGCGAAATCCAAGGCTGCAATTCAGCCTTACAGCCTTGCGATGGGAACCTCAAAGTCCCAACATCTTGTCCAAACTATATCTGTAGCATCAGATCCTACTTTGCCCTCTTCAAAAGCACGTTCTCCTTTAAATGGAGACAGAAGAAGCTCTTGGTAATCCAAGATTTCTACGGGATAAAGCAATTTTGTCAGAAGAGGCTCAGTGACACACGATAAAAACCATCTTCTGGCTACTGTGCCTGAGGGCTCGTCTGGTTCATAGTGTAACCTCAAATTGATGGATTTGATGGAATTTTGCGGGTATGTCTCGAACCCAGCTCTCTTGTCCGACAGGCGTAGGGTTCGACAGAAAATCCTGCTATGCTTTCATATCAGCTTCAGGCTAAAGTGATGATGTAGGTCAAGCGTAGAGAACTTTGGAAGTCTTTTCAGAGAGAAGATTATGTTTCATCTTGACCGGACGTCAAGCCAGAGGAATCTCACAGCAAGCTGCGGAGGCCCTGGTCTTACGCCCAATTCTGACTAAGGATGACGATACTATGATTTTCATCATTTGACTTCGGAGGAGATAAAAGCTATGAAAGTACTCACCAACATACGATTGTCGATGAAACCTCCGGAACGCATGGAGGTCAGCAACATTCCCGCTGCCCCTCTTTTATTGTTGCAAGGCATGCCGAATGAATTTCGGAATGATTTGTTGCACAAGGTCAAGATGTGTCTCAACCTTCATAGTCGTCGTAAGAGATCTTCCTCCTCTGCGATGGTTGGTTCGTGGCAAGAGCGCCGCTACTCTGTTCGTCATAATCCAGGCTTTCCATTCCCGAATCTACCTTGTCCCACGTCCTCTTTCTCAAATCAGGTTTTATCTTCTGCTTGAAGAAGCCTTTCTGTTTTGCTTGTTGTGCTTTTCTTGCTTTCCTGCTCAACTTTTGCTCGTTCTCCAACGGCGGAGGTGTAGCAACCTCCAGTACGTTGTTGTCCCCGAGCTCGCCTTCTTCGAACCGTTCCTTATCATTATGTCCTTCAAAACTGGATGGCCTCGCTTCCTCAGCACGTCTTCGGTCGCGTAGTAAAGCTTGAATTTCGGAATGTCGAAAGATCGCAATTTGACTGTCCGTAAGGGTACGCTTCACTCCATCTGCGTAATACCCCAGCTCATCTTCTTCTATCTCCTCTGCATATTCTTCTTCGACAGGACCCAGAAAGTGTGTCGAGAAGTGGTTCACAGACGTCGCGTCGAAATGGGCGGCATGGAAACTAGCAAGGTCCTCCTACAGATCTATTGTCAATATGGAAGAGCTGTATGCAATACTGTATAACGTACTAGTGAGATATCTGGTGCTCTTATGGCAGCTTCTCCCATTCTGGAGGCTGACGAGGGTACGGAACGTGCAACTGTGGCATGGCTGTTGCAGAGAAAGGAACTTCCAACATGGAGCGACGTCAATACGGTAGGCGATTAATAACTCTTGCCTACCTAAACACGAAATCACGTGCCAAATTGTTCGGCCACGAGCAACTAGTTGTCTGAAGACGGCAATGATAGATAGGTAGAGAACACTTGCATTTCATAATCCTTGACGCACAATTGAGCATTTCCTTTAGATCCAACCAAGTTCAGCGCAGTCCCGAGCTTGTGAATCTAGACAACAAATATCCATTATCAGAATCAACTCGGGATCCTATTTATCCTACACGCATTTGGGGCGAGCTTCGGGTTCCTGCGTCAGCCTTTCTTTGAGGATGAAAGTCCAATATGGCAATAGATGGCTCGTGATTATCTTCGATGAGTATGGAGTAGGTATGCGTATATAGAGTTTTCCCGTAAACCTCTCAGGATCGAGTGCTAGTCACCTCTTCCTTCTGCCAGTTCCACATCGCTCAAAGGAAGTGACGGGTAAAAAGAAATATATCACTGGGAATAATACGTGATGTAGGAGGCGGGCTCGCATTTGGGTATCTTGTAAGAATAAATAGAAAGTCGGCCTGCCTGCCTTACTCCGTCCACCAAACGCCTAATGATTAGCAAGCCCTTAAACTGTCGCAAATGCTATTCCAGCTCCGGGCCAAAATGATGCGAATATACCGACTGATTTTCCAGGTGGTGACCCGATCAGCGACTCAATAATGCGAGCGCTTTCTGAAATGCCTGAACTACCTCGACATCTGTGCCTCCAGTTAGTCAAAAACCTTACCGTTAGCCCTCGAAACTCACAATGCATCTTTTTCTGCTCCAGCCTTTGCTCGGATAGCTGCACATATCGTTCTCGAGTTTTCAAACTAGGAGGTTAGCTGGGTATAAGAGAAAGGTCCATCATCAATTGCTCACCGCTTCCATGCTCTGTCATTGTCCCGCTGAGCTGAAGCTTCGGCCCAGTAGAAAAAAGCCTTCAAGGCATATTAGCATAGGTTGGAAAACGATGCTAGCCTAGCTCACCTTAGAGAGCTTTTCAAACTCCAAAACCAAGTCATCCTCCACTTTGTTTGCATCTATCATGGCATTCTCGTATCGCTGTTCAAACTCTGTCCAGTCCATCTTTGGCACATCGGCAGTCGAGTTATGATCCGAATCTTTATCCATGAACTGGTTATCATCCTCAACTAATTGGGCCGGGCCATTAGAAGGAGGTCCTTGTGGCCCGGTTTGTTGGTCCACGGAATGGAACCCTCCTGGTCCGTTTACTCTTCCATCCCCTAAAACATTGTGTGGGTTGGGTGATGGGACCTGAATTTCCTCTCCAAGCTTGCCCAGGCCCTCAGGATCTGGTAGCTCTTTCTCAGATTTAGTTTCACCCTTCGTTGGACTGTTCTGGCGTCGAGTATTTGGTGCGATTTCGACGCCCATGTTGGTTTGATGAGGAGTTTCCGGTGGAAATCGTGATGTTGACATGGCAGAGGACGGAACAAAACAATCTTCAAACTGTGATGCTCTGTATGAAATGGTAGACGAAGCCTATTTGTTCCACTACTATTTGAGGTACTCAAGGAGTAAAAACGTCGCTGTTGCGAGTTGTCCAAGTTGCGAAGTCAAGCGCGACTTCGGGACGTGGGGAATTCACGCTATCACCTGACTGATAACGTTATCACAAGCGAGACTCGATACGGTACTGGATGTCCTCGAGATCCAGCCTTATATTATCATACCGCGACAACCTTCCGCGACATGGTCTCCCTATGAGATAAAATCTCCCCTCTGATATCTATATCGAATGCGCGCTATGCAGCGTTCTTGCAGTCCAATACTTACCCCAATTTCCTCGATCACTGAGAGATAACTACATTTCTCTGACCAGCCTCGATACTCCGAGCCTTCCTAGGCTGCTCGAGATGCAGTGTGATATCTGCTTTAGAACTGGCGGACAGAGACTGCCATTTTTATGCCCGACTGATGCCAGAAATCGACTTTATGAGCCTCGAATTCAGCACGCTCGGGTGCTGGTGGAAAAGGATGCCCTCGACCAGCAGATAACGGCCCTTGTTGCGTCACAGTCGAAAGGTGTTGAGCAGAATGAAAACGGCCCTGCAGTTTCTCGACAAGACATCTCCGAGATACTGGCTGAAAAAGAACAGGCTGTGGATAGGACACAGCAAATCATCGCACATGCAGATGAGTTGCGGATCAAAGTCGAGAAAGCCAGGGAGGAAATAGCCAAGAAGAAGGCCATCATCGAACGCAGAAAGTCGGAATTAGCCGCTGCATCAAATGGAGCTGAAGCCCGGAGAACGAGACAAATCGAAGAGGTTGAAAAGTCCATTCGTATGAGCAAATACAAATGGAACCAGACGCATGCTGTTACTGCATCATCCCGGGCCTTCCTTTGTGGCGAGGCTGCCAAATTATATGGACTTCGATGGGTCAGGAAGAACGGCGGCTTAGAGGAATATAAGATTGGCGGGATAGGAATCATTGATTTGAGGGCAATGAATAGTAAGTTCGTCCCCAGATCATATGAGACAGTACTGATTCCATCATGTAGCCGCAAGCCCAGCCCAGATTTCAACGGCTTTATCACACATCGTACATCTTCTGATACTGTCTACACATTACCTAGCTATTCGTCTTCCAGCTGAGATAACTCTTCCTCATCGAGACTATCCTCTACCCACTATATTCCCTCTAGCCTCATCGTACAAATACACAAATGTGCCCTTCCCCGGCACGACGCCTGCACAATCCTCCAACAATAGTCCCACAGCATCAAGGCATGTTGAGCAGTCAAATCAACCACGTCCCCGGCCACTATTTATCACGAAGCCACTCCCGATGCTTTCTACTGAAGACCCAGCCGGTTATTCCCTCTTCGTCGAAGGTGTGACCCTTCTGGCGTATGATATCGCCTGGCTATGCAAAAGCCAAGGTATTCCTGTAGGAGAGAGTAGCAGCTTTGAAGACATCTGCAACATTGGAAGGAATCTCTTTAACCTACTTATTGGCTCACAGTCCCGCCCTCCTATTGGCCGAGTGCCATCTGCCCAGTCCACACCTACAAGAGGTGGTCGAGACGAGAGCGAGGGAGAGGACAAGAAGACTACTTCTAGCTCCATTATGGGAAGATTTTCTCATGGCACGGCACATTCATTCCTCGGAAATGCGGATGGCACAGAATTCATACGGAGTTGGAAGCTGCTGAGTCCCATGAAGCTTGCTGACAAGTTAAGAACGAAGCTCCTCAGCGAAGTAGCCAACGCAGAATGGGAGGTGCTAGACCAGGATGCCTGGACCATTGACGATGAGATGGGCGATGACGGAGTAGTTGTTGGGGCTAGAAGGGAAGGAGGGAGGGGCTTGGGTCTGGGCATGCAAAGTTTCATGAGTATGAAGACAGTGATGGATGCGGTAGAGATTGTTGGCGGTGCTGGCGAAAGAAGGCCTGGGACTAGCGGGTGGACAAAGTTGAAACCCAGGTAAAGGTGGGTACGGGTCTCTACAGGGCTGCAGGGCTATAGCCCATAGGGCTACAAGTCTCCAGATCTACAGATCTACAGGTCATTCGGAGTTTTGGATTTCTGGAGGTTGCTGGTCGACTGTGGGTAGATTGGACAACAATTCACTGGGAAGTTGCTGATCTCTTGATTGTGATACCCGTGTTTCCGGGTTTGCGGGCCTTTGTTGAGAACTGAGTCTTACAGATACTGAGATGTTTTTGGGTACTTCGAAGTTCCAGGATCACCGCCCTTCGTGGATGCTTCAAGATCCAGTTATGCCCCAATTGTTGAGGATTCCGGTCAGTGGCGGTGCCATATTTTGAGGGCCTTTGTCCTCTTACTGGTTTTCGACAATTGGAGTGCTGTCAGGGAATGACGCGCGGCAGATCTTTGAGTTTCTTTCGGAGTCGAGAGCTCTCAGGCCAAGACTTTACGTAGTCCTTTTGCCTGGTGAGAGCGATTGGGCAGTTCTCCGGAAGTTCACGCCCACAAGTGCCCACACAGTGGCATTCTCCAGGCCAAGGTCGGCCTCTGACCTCACGGGAACAACAACTCATAGGACACGTGAGATTTCCCCTGCTCCCCCAGAAGCTTGTGGGCGGCGGTTATTGTCTGGGCGACGGGCGGACGTGGCACGAGTCAGGTGTGTTATGCTCGAGTTGCTGGCATGGCTGGCTCAATCCGAGAGCACGGTACGGGTCCGGCAGCGTTCCTGAGCAGAGGGCCTTTCGACGGCAGCCCTCCGTGGCTGGGATTGGAAACGTCTCCACGGAACACAAGGACCAAAGATTCGCGTCCCCACACGGCCTGAATGTCGGCCTCTCTGGCCGTGGCCAGACCGCCAGACGACGAGGATCACAGAGGGAAAGCCATTCCCACCGCGCCTTGGTCCCTGGAAACCCACTTGCGTTCCGACAAGGCAGAAGGGGCCGACAGATCGCTGGGATCTCTTGCTGACGAAAAGGGGCCGTGTTGGCGACGATGCGCGTGGATGCAATGCGCGTGGAATCGCGGATGCTTCGTCGCCCAATAATGATCCGCCTCAGCGATGGTCCCGAGCGAGTACTCCGTAGAAAGCGGGAACTTGAGGGCGTCGCCAGAAAGGCTATCGCCGACTCGCCTTTACCTTAGGCTTTGGCCTTGGAGGCTTGGAGAATAATGCGGGATAAAATTTTCCTTCCACATTCTGACGTTTTGCTGATCACTTGTTCTGGCTGCACAAACTCGGCATTATTAGTTAAGCAGCTTCACAGTAGTTATCCAATCCAAATGCGTACATAAAAATAATTGAGGCTGTGATTCCAGGCTTAGTGTGTCCGCTCCGCACAAGACTCAAGTATCTTGCACTGACCGACAGACTTACGGAGGATACCAGGTACAAACAGTCAGTAGTTACTAGTTAGGTACCGTCTTACCGACGACCTTCCATGATTCCTTTACGTGGGCCCTATCAGCGAATCCTGTATTATCATTCGCTTCTAAATTCGTCCCGGCGGAGTCAGCACTCTACTACGGAGTAGTCGTGGATCACGGACCATGGTTGACCTGTCCGACGTCCGCTACCAAAGCCACAAGTAGTTGACGAGCCTGTTCAACGTTTCATCCACACAGGAAAAGAACCAGAGAACCACCGCCCATCGCGATCCAGAGGCGGCCACAAGACAATAACCCACTGCGAGAACAACGGCCTGCCTAGGTGGTGGAGATATGGCGATTTCCGCGGTCAGGAAGAGGGCAAGTAGTGGGCTGAAACACGTGGAAGTCATAACATAACACGGCGGCGGAGGGGCGATGGCAATCCACCTCACGATACTTCCGCCATGGCGACCCCATGGTCTACGGAGTACCAGCCTTACGATGCCAAAACTGTCGTATCGCGATGCGAGCGCCTTCCGCCGCTTGCCACTGCTTGCAAGTTCGTGGCTCCAATCTGATGGATGGCTTTTAAAGTTGCGACATTCAACGGGACGAGCGACTCTCGAGACCAAGTCCGAGTAGCTCTCGTCCTATCGTGCAATAGGATTTAGGTCGACGTGCAGTACCGACTGGCATCGGGTGTAGTGTCGTAGAAGGTTCAACCTCATGTGGGTATTGTGATGAAAGCCCCTGGCCAGGGTTCCAGGAACAAGAAACCCGGCCACTCAGCTCGCGCAACGCATATCCACATTACCAGGTACGCGACCCTAAACAGGTCTGGCATGTCTTCCGAGTGCCAGGAACTGAGTATGATACCTCGAAGACCGTGGTAACTCTATACTCTCTTGGCAACGTCGTAGTCCGGACACAGTTACTTCGTAAATTAGCTGGCCCATCTCAATTTTCCCCCCTGTCGTTCTGCGGCCTCTCACGCCTGGAATCTGCTGCATTCGCGGCCTTGCCAGGGTTTCCCCCCCCCTTTCCCCAAAATGAGCCAGAAATGAATCCACAGTGCCACCGCCCACCCAGAGGGAGCCACACGCCCTGCTGACTTTCCACCAGTCTCTCCCGAAGCAGGTACTACTTCAACGTCCGGTCCCCCTTCTGTCTCTCCCTTCTCTTTATCGTATCACAAAAGGTTGAGGTCACCGTTGGACGCACTTCTTCACTTCATACACTCTTTTAGAACTCTTTGAGCCATATACCGGCTCGCCCGCTCATTTTCATCCCGTCGGCCATCCTTTGATCCCTCCTTTTTCCGATTTCCGATCGCTCAAACACTCGATAAACATCACTCACGATTCAATCTTTCAAAATGCGTTGCTCAACCTCAGCCATGATTATGGCCGCCTTGGGCGTTGGTGAAGTCGTGGCGGGTCCACTCCATGCCCATCTGCACCGTCGTGCGCACGACAAGAGGGAGTAAGTGTTGATCCTCTGCTCCGAACCCGTCGCCCGATGGCTAATTGATCTCTCCCAGTGTCAATTGGGACGCCCTTAACTGGGACGACATGGGTATCAACTGGTCGTCCGCCTATGAAGCTGGTCAGCATACATCAACCGTCGCTCCTGTTACCGCTCCTACGCCCACGCCCGCTGTCCATGTGGTCGCTACCTCATCCGCTACTCCAACTCCAACTGCTGCTGCGAAGTCTGATGCTGCTTCACCCGTTGACTCAATCGTCAACAATGTTGTTTCGGATGTAGCGACTCTCTTTGATGGCCTAGTGGGGTTGGCCAACAGTCTGGTCAGTTTCGGAGAGGCAGCTATAGGGAGCGGCTCAGAAGTTCAGGCCATTGGAAACATTGGTAGCCCCCAAGGCTCCAACATGATCAAGGTTCCCTCGGCTGCCGGCTACCAATTCACCAACGAGTTCATCAACACTTCTCCACAACCGATGACTGTCGTAATCTGGAACAAGGCCTACAGTCAAAGTGGAAATGTCGATGACGCCGACCCCAACCTCGGCTCTTGCATCGCTCCCGAAACACCCACTCTCACCTTCGCACTTGCTCCTGGAGAAAGCCAGGTTGTAGCCTTCATGGATGAGACTCTCATTGGGTGGGCTCAAGCTACCAGTGCAAAGACAGCTTCAGGCGCCTTTGACACAACCTGGGGTGAGGCTTCTTTCAGGAGTACTGGCTCAGGCTACGACATGTCAGCTATCATGAACTCGGCCGGCAACAACTACGACATGGCCATCAGCTCTAGCGAGACTCCATGCATTAGTGACCCGACCCAGAACTACTGGTTTGCTGCCAACAACAACCCCGAAGACCCTCAACCAGTTGGATCGAGCGACGGTAGCTGCTACGTTCCAGGAAGCAGCGCCACACTGGTGACAAAGATGGGAGGGGTCATGGCTTGAACATATAGATTTTGAGGATTTTCTTGCATATACAATTTTCTGGTAAATACTGTAGTTTTGAAATACTTTTTTCTCCCCACTGGCTGTGGATTCCCTTCTGAAGAACAAGTGACTTCAATCATTCTTGGAGGATTTTTGGGAGTACCTGGGGCGCGACGAAACAAGTTATGGATGGAAGCGTTTGATGTCTTCCCCTCATGAAAGAAGAAATCTTGTGTCCTTGAAAGAACACCAGATGAATTTGGTCGCGAAAATAAGATTCTGTTACCTTTATCTTCTGTGCACGTTGCCTTTTCCAAACTTGTCTATCCCATGATCCATAGGGGTATGTTCCTATAATGGCCAAGAGGGGATCATCTCTGTGTACAGTCTCCAACCAGAGTAGAGGTATGGACTGGTACCAAATCTTGGTGATGTCTCCATAACCTTCAATATACTTGTTGCTGGATCATTTGTACCCACATAGTACCTGCTTGGGTTCCTTTTCAAAGCATGTTTGAAGGCCTGCAATGCCAAGAGGATTGGGTAGAATGCCTGCATATTCACCTCGCCTTGGGGTGCAGTTTTGACAAAAGCATCTCGCTTTTGAAGTTGCTCTAGCGTGGACAGCAAGTGAAGTCGGCCCGGCACGTGGTTGCCGCCGACCCTTTTAGGACTATCTGGATGGCTCAAAGCGCGACACAACAAACAGGTAAACAACAAGTATCGAACGAAATCACACAACAGTCATTCATGTAATCTTTGATACATCCAATCTCACGATAGAGCAATACTAAGCTCACCGCTGTCCCTACAGGCGTACTGACCCTGTTCACGTCAAGACTACCTTGAACAGCCCCTGGCTGTCCGTGAAGGTCTGTACAGACAGCCGACGCGCCCCCTAGCCAACAAAGCCTGCAACACAAGCCTGAACTCAAAAAGACAAACTCAATACAGTGTTAATTGAAGCAGGTTCATCATGCTGAAGCTCCTATTTGCGGCTTTAGCCGCTGTTCTCTGTTTCGCAGGACAAACTGGTGCCGATCTATGCTCTCTGGGCTCCGTTGAGATCGATGGCAATTGGTACTGTCAACCGGTACAAGCTATCCAGTATAGCAATGTCGGGAGTGCAGGAACCTACAACCAGATAACTGCGATGAATGCTGATGGCAATTGTTCGTCCGTGCCAAAGGCCTTTAGTGGTCCCCTTTCGCCGCTTGATGAAGAGGTGAGCCAGCCGCCCATAACAGCACGTCGGGATTCATACGCGTCTGTAAATGCTAATCATGCATCAATAGGTCTCTCTCCATTTCCGTGGTCCTCTCCAGTTGAAGCAATTTGCCGCATATGCCCCATCCACCTTTGGCAAGGTCAGCCACAGAGGATTTCCTCATGCCCATCGCCATCAGCAGCTCCACAATCGAGTAGAAGCCAAGGGACCAGTTGCTGAGGAGCAGAAGCGTCAAGAAGTCACCGCAACTATTGATGGCAAAGTGGTTTCTTGGCAAAACAATTGGTTTGGAGAATCCAGCGTTGCTGCACCTGCATCACATACCTCTGCCGAAGCTGCCCCCCAGGAAGTCACAGCGACGATCGATGGCAAAGTGGTTTCTTGGCAAAACAATTGGTTTGGAGAATCCAGCGTTGCTGCACCTGCATCACATACCTCTGCCGAAGCTGCCCCCCAGGAGGTCACAGCGACGATCGATGGCCAAGTTGTCTCTTGGGTTTGGAACCCTTTCGGAGCTTCAAAAACCTCTACTCCTTTAACCAAGCCTCCGGTTACTACGCCGGCAGAGGTTAAGAATGCTGGTTTGCCGCTCCCCAGCTCTTTTGACAGACCTCAGTGCTGACGATCTTAGATGCGAGTATTGAAGCAGCCACCACTTCCTATCCGCAAACCAAGGTCACTAGCCAAGTAGCCACAGCAAGCCTAGCCGATAACGTTGATGCAACTGATGCTGCCAGCACCTATGACAGAATCGGATTCTATGATTCTGCTTCACAGACGTTGGATAACTTGGTCTTCCTTGGTAACCATGGCGGCCAGGGATCAGGAGTCTTTGACTAGTGAGTGCCATAAACGCACCCTCCAGAACATCTAACTGATCAAATTGCAGCATGTTCGGGGCATCTCTTGCATATGTGGACCGTGATGGGACAGGCGGGTCATCATCTCCCCAGATACTTGCCGATACAACCCTTCCTTCCGATTCGGAGATTGTAATCATGCTGGGACAAGAGTGTGGTAATGGAGATTGTGGATATGTTCGACCTGGTGCTATTGCCTATCGTGGGTCCTCCTGTGCCTGCTCTATTGCCGAACGCTAACATGTCCCAGATGGTTTTGGTGGTGCTGACAAGGTCTTCCTGTTCGAATTCTCCATGCCCATGGACAAAAACACTGGTTTCAATGGCGATATGCCCGCAATCGTACGTAAAGCTCCGTTCCAAGCCTGGATAGGTTGATGGGTTCCGAGACATGTTTGCTCCCGAGGACTTGTCTACTGCTTGGAACTTGTCACCCACGAAATGATATCTTGTCCCTCTAATCCACAATGAAGGTATTCTGACTTTTGATCCTCTAGTGGATGCTTAATGCTCAAATCCCACGTACGGTTCAATACGGAAATGCTGGCTGTTCATGCTGGGAGTCCGGTTGTGGTGAGTTTGATATTGTCGAGGCACTTCACACCGGATCCACGTACTTGAAATCAACCCTCCATACCAATACTCCCGGAGGTGATTCGGACTACATCGAGCGTCCAACTTCCGGCACTATGAAGCTAGCAGTCGTCTTTCGCTCCAGCACATCTACCATACACATCCAGGTCCTGCCAGATGCCACCGAGTTCTCCTCGAGTCTCACAGCGAGTGAAATCCATGATTTCTGCTCATCTAGCACTGGACACCAGCTCTCCCTTTTCACCATATCCTGATTGAGCCAACCTCTAGCTTTCGGACTGTGCACTTGGATGACGGAATGGAATTGGCTGATATCTCCGCTTGTGGATAAAGTGATCTCGTGCTGAAAGCTGGCGTGATCTTGATGTACTATGATCCCTGGAGGGAACTGGGCCATTGGGGGAAAGCGGTTTGATTGTATTGCATACAACATGGCATGAAGGAAGCTTGTAGGCAGAAACATGGCAACTCAATGAAAAGCTCCTCATGCTCTTTTATCGCGTTGCTTTTTCGGTGCACAGTTGAGGTATTTAGTGGCCTCAAGTATTGGAACGTGCTCCCATCTTGTCAATCGCCGGTTATATCCACCTCGCAATGCCATAGTTGGCCCCTTTTTGTAACGGTGTAACTTCACTCTCGGTGCCAAAGCCAGCTCGCTTGACTCCCCCAGGCTCTTCGCGGCCTATGAACTCGCCGAATCGAATCTTCAGGTCCTTGAGCTCCTGTGGAATGCTTTCATTGCCACCCAAACAGCCGCCAGCTGCTGCATTGTCGAGGACTGCACTTCCAGTGGACGTAGTGATGATCTGTATAAAGCTGCCATCCATTGCAGAGACACCGTTCCGCAGTAGCGCCCAACCTCCAACCAGTATAAATGGTAGGCTGACTAGTAAGGTCAGAAAGTACGGCAGGATGAGATTTAATGGTTGAGAGAAGCTGTAGATGTTGATAGTGGTCAACTTGGTTGCATTGGCCGTGGTATTCCATTCTCCATACGCCATCATTATCGACGTCGTCATGTTGAACAAATAGTCGTTGATCATATCTTGGGTGACGTTGAACGATGGATATGCTGGTTTAAAAGCAGAGTATTGTCCGAACGCGGCATTGAAGCGGGTGCTGTCCACGATAGTGCCATTTTGGGCTAGAAACCTTCAGTGTTCTGCTCAGGGGTATGAATACAAGCGTTGCAACTCACGTCCATTATCAACTGCTAAGCCACTAGCTGTGACAGTGACCGGGTTAGTCCAATGGAGGTCAGTGAACCAAGGACCAGGAGACGTGTTTGGATTGCCGGGGGTACTGTCGTCACTCAAGGTCCCAAGGAACTTTCCACTCATCCACGACATCATTGCGCTAAATATCGCCATGATGTTATTGTCGCGGTAGTACGACCGTGAGAAGTCGGTCCAGTTCGCTGGGCCAGTCCCGAAGCCATATCCAGTCTTTGCACAGATGCCAGGGACGATGACTTCCCCTTGGTAGGTCAGAAGCGCAAGGTTAATCAACTTATCAATTGGAGTTACCGATATGTTTCTGCTTTGGACGTTGTTGACATAAGTATTGTTGACTTGGAACCGGGCACGGCCTGGTGAGCAATTGATATTGTCCTGTCGAATCAGGGCTGACGCATTTTGCATGTTCATTAGTTGCTCGTGATTCGCGGCCAAGGGGGTCAGCGTTGAGCTATTGAAGCGAGCAAGTGTGTAGGTGCCGTTGTAAAGAGTATGAAGGAGTTGCGCAGATAGCGGAGACAGCCATTCTCCAGCGTAAATCGGGAAAGGTACGTAGGTGTCGTTCCAATAGGTAACTGTTGTTGAGTTGCTACATTCCATCCAAGGTCCTTCGAACTCCATTGTATACGAACAATTGGCTCCGCAAGGCGAAGGCATAGCGAAAGACTCCCCTCCAATTAGTACTTGCCGGGCGAGGCGGTTAAGCAGATTAGAATTTTGAGAACCATCACCTCTATATAGCGAAGGGGTGTTAAATCGAACATCCATATGTAGCAGAGAATATTAGAAAGGGCGGGAAACATACTCAGTAGTAAACCCGCCTGGGGGGAAAGGGGCTAGCTGTGGCAGAGAATATTTTGAAGCATCTACGCCAGAGCCATTTCCCATCTGTCAAGCGTGAGCTATGTATTCGAGCGGGGTGTATGAATACTCTTACAAAGGAAGCGTTAAATGTTGGGACCGATACTTGCTCATATGAGATCTTTTGTGATGATATAACAGTAATTGCACCGGGTGGAAAACTTGTCACAACTTGTGACGCCCATATAATACCTGCAAGAACGAATAAGACGGGCGTGGCTCGCAGGGCCGATGGCCTAAAGAAGACGAACAAGTTCGATCTGATGTTGAAGAGTAGCTCAATAGTTGACACTTTCATAGTTTGGATCCGTAGGAGATACCACAGATATTGAACGAATGCGACTGCCAATGCTCCTCGAATGCTGAAGCCGAATAGGTTGGCAAGAATGTTCGAAGCTGTCGATATATAAGACTGCGGTGCAATTTCGTTCGGTCCATCTGCTTCTTTTTCATTGAGGTATCGAAAGAGTACTAAATGAATGATGGCGATTACAAGGGCTTCAGAGAGAATATTAGAATAAAGCCTTCACTTCAGTGACAGTTTATCACGCACCATGAACATAAGCCCCGAGCATGAGAGCCGGCGTCTGCCATCCTATTCCCCAGGTCGAAGTGATCAAGGGTGTCTCTTTGTTTGAAGCTTTTGAGAATTTGGATGTTCCAGAATTGACAGTCGACTCGCTCAGATTACGGTCCTTAGAAGTCGTGAACCCAATACGATCTGTGAAACTGCGTACTAGAGAAACATGTACAGAAGAAGTATCTTTGGTATTGGATATAGGCATCGTTGTCGACCGGCGACAGACAAACTAAGATAGAGGAAGGGGAAGTGTTTAAAACGATAAGCATATGAGAACAATATACAATACTGAGATACAGCAAGACATGGGAAATCCATAGACGTATATATAACAAGCTTCAGGTTCTACAGCATACTGCGCCGCAGACATCATCTAACTATAGCGCTGGGAGACAACCCAGGTGCCGGGCGGCAATTATATGCATAAGCGTTTCAGGGTTGTAGCTCCTAAGAGAACCAACTGTTGGAATTCTGGAGTAACAGCGCTTTTGCGATAACGGGATTGGAAAGGGGTCCCCAAGAAGATTCCAAGGCCGGCAACAGTCTCTGGATCCTTCCTCAACTCATGGGCATAATTCAAGTCGCTACTAAAGTAGTTCAAAGCCACTCTTAAGGCTTTAAAAAGCTTATATGACTTGGTGCTTTGAAGATTTCCTCCCCTCTGGTGTTCTGTGCAACTCTCGGTTCAGCACTGTGGCTCATGGCCGTGGCCTACCAAGTCAAGGGGGCCTTGATTGGCAACTTAACCGCTGTAATCTATATCAAACATCGTTAGATCAAGAATAGACACCATGCCCTCTTTTTCTCTTTGGGCTAATAAAGAACATTGCAGAGAAATATGCGGGCTCTGTACCTAAGCGCCAATGTGGATGCCGAATTGCAGTCATTTGATCTAGTAGCGAGCGGCACTGTTCAACGAGTTGAAGAGACCCCGCTATGAGCCATATCGGGTACAAGCAATGGTAATTGAAGAAGTCGGATAGAGTTCGCGTTGTGTTGGTGTTTTACACCCCAGCTAAGGTAGGTAGATGATGGGATTTTCATTATGGTTCCTGATCATGTCATGGTCCGCCATTCGATCCATCGCAGACTCATCGGCGGCTTGCTTTACCCGCGGTTCTAGGTGGGATGTATAGCCTTGCTTATTAATGCAATACAGTATCTTCAAATGCAGACTTTCACATGCATGCTTCGGTGGATGATAGGATCATATATCGCCGCAACCGATTAACCCAGAATTCAAGAGAGCTGGCTTGTAAGCTCTCGGCTTCTTGATCATCCAGGCTCTCATTGTGTCCCTGATTGTTGTATCCAAGGCAGTCAACGCAGCTCAATGCGCATCTCAACAGCCTAAGGTAGCTAGCTATATTTCCCTCCTGTTTGCATTTTGCAACATCGTGGTATGCTGCTTCCGTGAGGATGGCACGAGTACAAAATAAGTGCGCGTTTATTCCCCTTTCAAACCATCTTTGGGCAATTTTGCTATATAGTGAGCAGAAAAGCAGAGAATTTCCTTTCCTCGCACAATCTTCTTGAACTTCCATCGGCCAACGGTTCCTTGCCCGGACGTCATCCAACCTCCTCGACGATAACTCTAAAGACTTCCACCAACGTCACCATCATAGTCTACCTTGAAAGGTAGCTAGATCATGAGTCTACGTTCTCCTACCGCGAGTCCATCAAGGTACTGGCCGACTAACATTGTGACTCACGCCTACCATCTATAAAAGCCGTCCTCCCACATACATTTTCCTTTCCTCCTCCATACTCCTTGGCCCGCCCAAAAAGAGAAAGCTACAATCGTGCGAAGTCAATGTCTTTTCTAATTTGACTTCCACACTCAGATGTCTCCTGGCCCGCTCAAAGAGAAAGAGAAAGCTATGAATTTTTGGTTTACTATGCTCTCAGTATTACACTACCTCTGACGAGCACCCTTTTCATTGCAAATATTGGCTTGCCAGTATTGTGAAGATGAGGAAACGGTTATGAAGCTGGCTCGGGACAGTAATTGTCATTAGCCAGGCACACTGTCCTGTATTATCGTCGGTTTTCATGACACGAAGGTTGATGAGGAGATAAGGTCTGTCCAGGAAACGAGATTCGTACGGAGGAATCGAGGATAGCGAGAGGATGACAATCTTGGTTTCTGGGCAGATGGAGGAGCTGTTGACAGTAGTATTGTCCACATCATCGTCGAGGTTTGCAAATAGCTCGTCAATGTCATGAGGAATATTTAGGGCGTGCTGGCATTTCCTTCTCTTCTTTATAATATCAGTCGGAGTCGATGTACTCCACGTAGCCGCCCTGAAACTCGGGGTTGGCTATAGTATACCGTAGCATCTCTTGCTTTCCTCGTTGGGAATTGATTGAAGATAGAAACTAGGGTATACATTTTATCTGCCTTGAGGGCCCTTCCTTAGTCGAGTTAAATGACAAAGACTTGTAGTCCATCCAAGAATCCGGCTAGCTATACATCGGCGCGACCCCCCCCAATCTGTAGATATTTGATCATGTGACCTTTGCGGCGTGCAGCCGAGGTCTATCTTCGAGGTTCGGTCGGCCCAGTGTTGAATTTCATCGCGGGCCAAATCTACCAGCGCCTCCATCACCAAATCACTTGCCCGTTATTGTTGGCATTAATTACGTTCCCCGAAGAGTACAGCTAGAGTCCCGCATCTGGGGGAGCTCCGCCTTCTCATCTCATCTGTGGCACCGAAAGCTACGATCTGGACCCCAACTTGCGATCTCCAACTTGCGATCTTAACCCGACGACACACTCCCGACGGCGACGAACACAACGACGACGAGGACGATAAGCGGTGCGGTGATTGAGTGAGCTGTTTGACGTAGAGGATACCTATATACCCGACAATATGGCATCAGTATCGCCCCCCAAGCCTTGGGAAAGAGGTGGAGCTGCGGGCGCAAGCACAGGTTTGTTATTTCCGTCACAACTTGTTAAATCCCTATCAGACTACAAAATTGCTGATATTTCTTGCGCCTCTATAGTCCTGCCATCATCAACAGGAACATCAACAGGAACTTCAGCTTCGAATCCGACTTCCACAACCCTGTCGTCCTCAACGACATCAGCTTCTGGGGCACCGGCGCTCCCCGAACGCCCCTCAACGCTTATGTCCGCTGTAAATCGAAATGCCTCGGCATACTCTCCTTACGGCGCAAACAGACTTGGAACTTCTCCTTATGGTGGTATCGGCTCCGCATATTCATCTCCATACTCAAGAATGGGAGGTATGGGAGGATACGGTGGATATGGCTCGAGTATGTACGGTGGGATGCCCGGGATGGGAGGCTACGGATCGATGTATGGCGGTGGTATGAATGGCATGTATGGTGGAATGGGGGGAATGCAGGGTGACCCCAATGACCCTAATAGTTTGACGCATGGCTTTACGCAGAGCACGCAAGCTACTTTTCAGATCATTGAGGGCATCGTGGGCGCTTTTGGTGGATTCGCACAAATGCTCGAGAGCACTTACATGGCTACGCATTCGAGTTTCTTCGGTAAGTCACTCTATGGTAAAGGCCAGAATAGTTATACTGACTCCTCTAGCAATGGTATCCGTTGCAGAACAATTTGGGAATCTCCGAAATACTCTCGGTTCAGTATTAGGGATCTTCACTATCCTACGCTGGTTGCGGACGCTCTTCGCAAAACTTACTGGGAGACCACCACCAGCAGATGCGATGTCTCTCACTCCAAGCGCATTCGCGAAGTTCGAGGGACGCAAATTCCTCCCAGATGGCTCACCAGCTTCTCCTCCAAGACCCAGCAAGAAGCCCCTATTATTTTTCTTGGCAGCTGCTTTCGGTCTGCCATACCTCATGGGTAAACTCATTAGAGCCCTTGCTGCTTCACAAGAAGAAGAGCAGCGTCGACTGGCCGCTTCAGGCCAGTATCAAATAGGCCCTGACGGTCAGCCTATCCCCCAACAAATCGATCCTTCGAAGCTCGAGTTCTGCCGCGTGCTGTATGACTTCACACCCGAATCCGGGGCTGCGGTTCAAGGGGTCGATCTAGAGGTCAAGAAGGGCGATTTGGTCGCTGTGTTGAGCAAGAGTGACCCCATGGGGAACCCAAGCGAGTGGTGGAGATGTAGAGCTAGAGACGGACGCATGGGATACCTGCCGGCTGTCTACTTGGAGGTGGCGAGGAAACCGGGACAACAACCCACCACCGGGGCAATCAAGAGCGCGAGCCAAAGCGGGAGTCGGACCAACAGCCTAACAAGCCAGAGTGCCAAGGCACCAGCGGTACCCGGAAAAGCGGGTGATATGAGCGTCGAGAGTTTCCAAAAGAGCCAGTTCTATTCTTAAAGTAATTGATTGTTCTTTTTTTTGATGATGATGTATCAAGGCATGCTGCGTTCGGATTCGGGATTCGGGAAGCAAAATGGTTTCTCTGGCTAGGACGTCAGGGAAGGAAGGTGTAGATAGGCGTCCTCTTTTTTTTTTTGACAGGTTTCCTAATGGAATGGATTATTATACTTAGGCATACATATCGTTTTCAACCCTGCTTTCTATCTCCACGTTAAGATTTAACATGACTGTAGTCTCAATTCACGTTTCCAGAGATCTCTTTTCAGTAGCGCTACACGAAAGGCATTGAATTTTTTGCGCCAAAAATCTATCAAGACGCCCCACCGTATGCATACTCATGGATAAAAAGACTACTTGGAAGGAACAATGATAGCATGATTCGAATTAACCCAATAGATCATCAAGCCCACCGCCGAGTTTCTGCTGGCCTTGTTGCTGTGGCGCAGGTGTCGAGTTCGAAGATGAACCGGCGCCCCAGATACCAGCACTGGCCTTTTCCTTGGCCAGTTGTCCGAGGGCAGGACCTGTAGTTGTGGGAGCGCTTGTCTTCTTGATCCCAGCGCTGGCGGTTGACCAGAGAGATCCGAAGGCATCTGTTCCGGACTTGGCTGCTGGCTTGGCTCCTGGTGCTGTTGAAGATGGGGTTGATTGAGGAGGAGCCTGAACGGAGGTGTAGTAATTTGGCTGCGAGCCTTGATATGATGTAGGTGCGGGTCGAGGCTGTTGAGCTACAGCTGGAGGAGAAAAGGCGGAATAGTTGACCGGCGTAGCATTGCTGCTTGGGGTGGGCGAGATTGACGAGAATCCAACCAGATCCGTCAGGTTGGCAGCTTTGGGGGCTGAAACAGGTTGGGGAGAGGCGTATTGAGTGGTAGATGTTGTAGTCGCTGTGGGAGCAATAGAAGGGAAGGATGGTGGAGCTGATGGTTGCACTGGAGCGGCAGATTGGAAATCGTCGAAATCGTCGTCGTCTGCTGTGCTTGATGCTGTAGGTGCAACAGCAGGAGCGGCCGCTGGGACTGGGTCGTCGAATGAGAAGAGATCAACTTCTGGTTCTTTCTTCGGTGGCTCCGGTTTTTTTGCAGCTCTTTCGGTGGTCTTCCGTCGGCTTGCAGAAACGTCCGCCTGTCTCCGTCCTGGCGGCGCGACCTCCCCCTCATCATATTCATCGTACTCTTCGAATCGATCTCGCCCTCCGCCCGCCGAATCGCTTCGACCCCCGTAGTCTTGGAAGTCACTCGTCTGACCTCCAAATCCACCTCCGTCTCCATATACACCTCCACTATATCCACCATATCCACTGGTCTCTTCACTTCCAAAGCCACCGTATCTGCTGCTACTTGAAAAACCTCCACCCAAACCGGTTCCACCTTCAACACCAGAGTACTTATTTCGAGTTGCTCGTGCCTTTTTCCGCTCTGCACGAATTCGGTCGACGTCCGAGAGGAGTTCCGCAAGTTCCTTGGCCCTGTTTCGCACATTCACACCCTGGTCTTTACCATTTTGGTCGATGTAATGGAATTGCCGTAGCATCTTGAGCAACGTGAGATGAGACCGCGCATCGTCAATGACTCGTTCAGATCCATTCTTGACCAAGAATTCGAGTAGTTGGAGGGCTTTATAGATCTGCCTCCATTCCTCTGCTGACTTCTCTGTGAATCGTTTGTAGATCATGGGCATAATTTCATTGAGGAGTTGACTGGGCCAGATTAGCTGAGAGCCATGCTTAACCGCTGGGAGGTACTGACTAGTTATGTGTTCCAGTGGCAATTTCTTGCATGAGACTGGGGACATCGGCGTTAGTATAACTAGAAGAGGACAATACGTGAATGTGATTGTGAATACACGAGTCGGGAAGATATGCTGTTACTCAGGGAAGGACCCCTAGCAACTTGCTTGTCCCGCAACTCTCGAATTCGACGGGAACAGAGAAGCCAGGGCGCTGCAAAGGACCACATACGTCGAAGATGCACCCCATGGCTCATTATTTGTAGCTTCTCTGACCTTGGCCTCCATTGGCGTGTAATTCATGACAGCTGCAAATCCATCGGTGAGCGTGCGAAGAGTTGGCGGAATTGCGGGATCCTACCATTCTGCACTTTGCGCACACCGGCCTTGATATCGTACAAGGTCAGGTTGGCCGCAGCCTCTCTCAAGCTGGCAAGATCCATGGTCAATTCGGGGGGCGACAAACAGGACGTGGGCGACGAGTTGCTTCAGGAACAGCGATTGTCATCTCGAGGAGTTGATGCCACGCTCGGAATCGCGACGCGCTAAACCCAGTTTGATCCGTATCACGTGATGATTGCCGAATCGACGCCCAAAATGATTTGGAGGATCGAGACGGGTGAAGCCTCTCAGGTCTACAAGTACCATTATGGATGGAGATGGCGGATACGATGTAGAAGCGGAGTGTAGATGGTGAATCGTGGTGGTGCAGGCCGTCCCATGTTCGTGCCGTTGCCCCTATACAGTACGGTACCGGATGGTAATAATAGATTAGATTAAATTACCGTAATAAAAATAAAAAAAATCAAAAAGTTCCCAGAGCATCACTCATCAGTTCCGCATCAACCGCATCATTGCTCAACTCACCACGAGAGCGCCGCGTCTTGTCTTTGTCTTCGATTCTTCCCGTGTCTTTATCTTGTACTTTACCACACATATCTCCTTTGTCTTAAGGTACGTTGATTCCAGTTCATACATATGGCAGAGCAAGCATGGAGCTACGTCAGCCACGATCCTGAGCTCAGCTTGAGAGCGGGTGTGTGAGCCGGGGATTGAGGATGGGGGGTTGCAGACCAGAACAGGCGGCGCGGATCTCGAGTTGAGACTGTTGAGGACAGAAGCTCTCTATCCCAGTGCGAACATGGGGCGCGCCGTGTTGTTCAGCCGTCCACAGCTGGGTGATGAGGCTCATATGTTCTCGTTCTCGCCCAAGACCTCGTTGCTCAGCCAGCAGCATACACAAAGAGTCAGGACCTCGGTGCAGCTTCCATGGCTCCCCTGCGCCCTTGCTGCTCTCCTCCGCTTCCCTCTTTTTCCTCTCTTCTGCAACACTCTTCGAATCCCTGAAGCTCTCCTCGAATCCCCTTCTCTCTTCCCCCCGTCCGCGTCTTCCCAGCTTCCCTTCCTCGTTGCCCAATCAACGCTCACCGTCCCCAAAGGCCGCTCGCGTAATCCAACGCTAAAGAGATGCCCCTCCAACACTTGAAAAGAGGGATCCTTCGACCCCACTTCCCTCAGTCCTCGACAATCACCAAATCCTTCATCTACAACTACCGCCCTCAAAGAAACTTTCACGCATCAAACGCCAACATGACCATCAAGACGTGAGTACTCGGCTTCAATCCCACGCTGTTCTCTGTGCTGACGGCTCTTGCAGCTTCTTCGACGTCACCTGGGAGGGCCCCGTCCTGGATGCTTCTGGCAAGCAGACTGGAAAGGTCGCTGGTGAGTTCCCCATATATTTTCTATCTACCTGACATCAATGGCATCGTCGACATCATCGTCGATGGTGTCCAGGGAGGCAGCAAGTCTTCTGCGAAGATAGCTTCGCGCCCTCGTTGTCGTTGGTGGGGTTGTTCGACCTCCACGGGATCACCCCGCATCTGCGGAATAGAGCTGACGTCGTTCCATCAACAGAGCAATCTGGCCGTATCAACTTCAACCTCTACGACGACGTTGTCCCCAAGACTGCCGAGAACTTCCGTGCTCTCTGCACCGGCGAGAAGGGCTTTGGATACGCTGGCTCTTCCTTCCACCGTATCATCCCTCAGTTCATGCTTCAGGGTGGTGACTTCACCCGCGGCAATGTACGTCCCGATCATCACTCCCTTAACAACAGCCCAAGCTCACGATAATTCAGGGCACTGGTGGCAAGTCCATCTACGGTGAGAAGTTCGCCGACGAGAACTTCGTCAAGAAGCACAGCCGCCCAGGACTTCTCTCAATGGCCAACGCCGGCCCCAACACGTAAGTCGCACACTTCCTTTCGTACTGAGTATGGCTAACATATTTCTATAGCAACGGATCCCAATTCTTCATCACCACCGTAGTCACCAGCTGGCTCGATGGCAAGCACGTCGTCTTCGGCGAGGTTGCTGACGATGAGTCGCTGGCCGTCGTCAAGGCCCTTGAGGCTACTGGCAGCGGCAGCGGTAAGGTTCAATACAACAAGAAGCCTACCATTGTCAAGTCTGGACAACTGTAAATTAGTTCTTTGGCTTCGGAGTAACTGCAGTTCATAACTACTGAGCATGGCCGACCTCAGTTATGAGAAACTGGGCATAATATCAGCAGGCTAGGGAACGAAAGGTTCAGGGTCATCTGCAATGAAACTTATTGCCACACTACTATTCATCATCATTCAACCGCGTGAATCTTTGCTGTGATTTCGTAACCCGATCTAAAAGACTACTAACCAGCCCATGGTATCTTCCAAAACTCCAGAACCCAACCACGCTATGCATGTAAAGTCAATAGAATGTACATCCTTCATAACTCCAGCCAGTCATTGAAATACTCGCAGTTACTAGGGCCTACTGGGCCGCCTTCCTCGCAAAGATCAAAAACAGGACATCGACCACAAGGTGCCTCGGTGAGGAAATTCGACTGCCTATCATCCTCCGATTTCAAGCTCGGCCTCAACGCCCTATACGCAAAGCCGTCCGGTCCCGAAACTATCTTCTCAATCCTATCATCATAGCACATGATCTCCAGCAGTTGCTCAACCTCGTTGGCCGACAGGGTTTGTGTTGTGTAGCGGCTATTCTCCACGAACGCAGTGAGTTCGTCCAGTGTGGGGTAGGCCTGATAGCCCGCAGGCATAGGAAAGAAGCTATCATACTTTCTCTTCCTCAGAGCCCTCTCATCGTCCTCCTCTGTTTTGACCCTCGGCCCCAAAGTCTTGTCCCTGAGCGCCTTGGCCTCTTGTGGATCGATTTTCTTCACCTTCTTCGGCTTCTTCAGGGCTGCGGCGGAACTGGAGTGATAAAACGTCTTCTTTTTTATGTATTCATACAAGATATTCATCATCATCGAGATGAACTCTTCGTCCAGCTCCCCATCCGTGTACCAAGGACCTCCGGTCGCACGATCGCTGGGTCGAATGCTTGATTTGATGTACATCTTCCGCGTGGGATGCTCGACGGATTTCATATCGGAGATCATGCTCTTGGATTCCAAGTGCTTGATTGCGGAGCGGAAGACGGCATCGTGGAGGTTCGATCGCGCCTTGATCGTCTTGGACCAGATTCCCTCATCGCCTGCTTCGTCGATGAGGCCGTACACAAGCTCTTGCTCTGCTGACAGGCTCCGGTATCTATAGGGATATCGTTAGCTCTAATTGGGCAGTAGAAGCATGGAACTGGGCTGCATACTTTTTGGCCTCCTCCCGCGAGCGGAGCTTCCATCCTAAACCTTCTGAATGAACTACCTTGAATAATTTGTCGTCCACAAGGCCTTGTGTGACCGTGAGCAGGAGGTTAAGGTCGCCATTAGGTACGACACCCAATCCGAAAAGAGTGGCCTGACTGAAGACTTGGTTGTAATCCTCATTGGAGTAGGCTAAACAAGAGTCGTATAGAGCGGTCTTCAAGGCTGGGATGTCCGCCATGTTGGCCGGGAATGGATGGCAGATACTTCAGAGATATGCTACCGGAGTGGGTATGACATTGAGAGGTGAGTAACCGGATATATGATGCCACCCGGCGGGTTAAATCTGCGAAGGCAAAAATCACGGTGAGGTGGGATATACGGGATGTTTGGTGTTGACTCGACGAAATATTTTACGCGAGCTTGGAGGGGGACAAGGCTACGAAAAGTCGGCTGGACTTTCCCGTTTTCTACACTCCAAACGCCATCGACGACCATCCATCATTGATATATCTATCATCGCTATATACACATCTCCAATTGCTCTCGACTCTTGGACTCACATTAGCCGCCATGGCCATTGCATGAATAAATGCTTTTACTTTATCTTCTTTGTCGCCCGGAAGTGACTCCCAGCCAGCTCAGGCGAGCCAAAGTCAAGGTTCACCACATAGCCACATCCCTTCATAGTTCCAACTTTACGAGTCCATAGTGGTGGATGTCAATGCGTCAGAGCAGTCTGGATGAGTCTAGACATTCATTTGCAAATGCCTATAGGGTCGTGATTCCTTGCGTCAGCCGCTCTGAGGTCCCTCGATGCTTCTGATGCGGCCTTCCAGCGCGCCTGTTTCGGCGGAAGTCATTGCCGTTGCGGCAGTCTTTATGCTCTTCCCTTTGTCCTTTTCATAGGCTCGCGGCAAAAGGCCAGTGTCTTGCCCATCTATTCTGGTCTTCTTATGCTTTGACGCGAGGCTGGCCAGATAATCCATTGGCATCGAGAGATCCGTTTCGGGTGGTCGCTTGTGAAGCGCCCGGCCACAAAGCGTCGACCAGGTCTTATTGGACGTTACAGCGCGAGTCACAACACTCGATTGTATCAGAAAGAAACTCTTTGCTTGTCAGAATATTCATCTGGTCTAGATCATAGTCGGTGATGAGTATTTAGGATCGCTGATTCCCTGTGTTTGTCTTGCTCCCCAGTTCATTTCTTCAGTCTTCTCTTCCCAACTACAAAGCCATCTCTTTGTTCCTTCCGCACTCGTCTCTCTCTCTTTAAGACGGTCTCTTCAGGTACTCCTTCACTCTTTTGCTGCTAGCTCAGCTTACTCTCACTTAAACAACAATTTTTCCCTCTTCGTCAATACGGCATCTTCTTCATACCCTCCTTATAAGGGTGCAGTAGTTGTCAACGGCATCCTATACTGCCCTTACCAATCTTACGATCACTTCAACCAAACCTCCCAAGCCGGCGACGCCCATCAGGCTTTCCCGTCCTCGCAGTCAGACTCTCACGACACCAAGTCCAAGAAATCGAAGCCTCGAAGATCTATCAAGATGGCACCCCAGAACTTTGGAGCTCTTGGTGCTACCTACACCGTTGTCAGGGGCATGCAAGCCATTTCTATGATCAGCATAATTGGCATGACAGCCAACTTCATTTCCGAAATGGTATCAGCCAAGCAATCGCCACCCTCCGTGCTTATTGGCACTCTCAGTGTTGTAAGTCTATCAACCTATTCATTTATAGCACTACCTAACACGATCCAGACATGCATTGCTGTCCTCTATGTCGCTGTAACCTATATTTTGTACTTTGACGCCCTTCTCCCGTTCCTCATCTCCAGTGGCCTGGATGGTCTGTTCCTCATCGCTGTCATCGTCGTGGCAGTAACAGTCGGCAAGCCCCTATCCTACCTCGACTGTACCGCCCTGCCATCCACCGGTGTCACATCCTCATTCCTCGACTCGGTTGGCGCCAACATGTCCAAAGTCAACTACTGGGTCTGGGCTGGGGCATCCAAGACGACCTGCTTCGAGATGAAGGCCATTTGGGGATTCAGCATCGCACTCTGCATCCTCTTTGCCCTTAGTTCAGTCTGCAGTATTTGCATGTGGAAGAAGCAGCGGATGAGCGCGGCTGCAGCTGCTCCTCATAAGGATGTCGAGCACTAGCTTCACGGACATAGAAGAGGAGGGAATTTGATACAACTCGTATGAGGAGTATGGGTATATGCGTCTCTGACAATGGCTCGATGGCACGGCTGGTTGGGTTTCCTTTCTATCACTGGGTAATAGTATGTGCTCTCAGGCGTTCGGATTGCAAAAAACATGTCCCTCCTAATAATGGATCACGTTGACATCTACCATTCTCTCCTGTGATCTTCAAAACGGTTCGCTATTGAAACCTCATGTTTTCTGCTCTCCATCACTCTAACTATTATAAGAATCCCTGACTTGATGATGCCACACTCCACTTCAATTCCAAATCAATTCAAATCCCCAAAACCCAAAAACTCAACCAGAGTTATTTTCCTCCCTCCTCTCCTCTCCTCTCATCTCTAATCACACAATCCTAAACATACATTCCCAAACCCATACGAGGATTCTATCTTAGCCCAACAACCTACCTCGGCGTATCACACCACGCAGAGTCAATCGGTCAGCCACCTCCTCCTTTCACATCTACATGAGTACAGTAGGTACGCAGCGATCATAAAAGCTCTCTATAATTTTCAAGATAGTTTTCTTCACTCACTCACTCAGTCAGTCAGTCAAGAATTATCACCTCTGCATTTCTTTTTTTTTATAAAGCACATCACGGCACGCTAATCATAACAACATCAACATCAACATCAAACAAAATCACACACACATACACACACACACTACCTAGACAAAAACCCCTTCAAAGCATTTCAAGGTTAAGTACCTAAGGTAGGTAGCTAAGATACAAGCAAGCAAGTTATAATCTCAATAAGTAAAGTAAATTTCTTAGCATTCAATTGTATTGATTTGATTTGATTGATATGATTGAAATTTACAGGCTCAAGAGGATTGGATTAAGTGTTTCATCGTTTCATTCATCATTTGAATCTTTCTTCTTCTTCTGCTTCTGCTTCTGCTTTATTTTTTGCATATCTGGGAATTTTGGGGTTTGAGATTTAGGTGTGGATAGGTAGGTATGGTAGGTAGGTGAGATGAGGTGAGGCGAGATGAGAGAGAGAGGGAGGGAGGTTGAGGTGAGGAGAGGTTATATTGTTCATCTTCCGACGCGGATTACGCCGCTTGCCTAGAAGGGGGGAGAGAGGGTGGTTAGTCGTGTTGTTCGTCTGGGGGAAAAGGGGGGTTTGAATCAAAGGGGGGGACATACAATCAATTTCTGAATCTTACTCCTGATAGCCGGGTTCTTCATATGTTCCTGCAACGCTGCGGGATCGCTCTGCGCCTGTTGCAGAATACTCTGCATGACGGGATCCTGCATAATGCCCAGGATCTCCGGATCCTTCTGGATCCTCTCGCGCGTCTGCTCCTCGGTCTCGTTCTCGCGCGCGCTGTACATGGCCGCGAGGGCTTTCTGCTGCTGTTGTTCGATCTCGCGCGCGTTGGCTTTGGTGTCGTCCATCTCGGCGGCTTCGGTGCAGACGTCGAGACATTTCGAGTAGTCGCGCATGCCGAAGAAGGCTTGGGCCTTGCGCAGGTAGGCACGGATGAACTTCGGGTCCTTCTTGATCGCCAGGTCGCAGTCGTCGATGGCGCTCGGGAACTCGAGGAGCTTGATGAAGGCCGCCGCGCGGTTGCTGTAGCCTCGGGGGTCGTCAGGCGCGCGCTTGATCATCTCAGTGTAGGCCTCTACCGCACCGGGCCAGTCCGACTCGGCGAACTTGGCCTTGCCTAGCTCCCGAGCCTCTTCGGCCTTCGCGGGGTCGATATATGCTTTTCTCGCGTTCTCGATCTTGTTCTTCTCGGCGTTTCGGAGCTTGGTGATCACCTCGGGCGTTCGGTTCTCGGTGAGCGATTTCTTGTAGTTCTCAATGGCTTTGTCCAGGTCGCCTTGCTTCTCGTATGCTGTACCGATACGGGCGTATGATTTGGCGATCACCTTGAAGTCGGCATAGATCTCACGACCCTCTTCCACGGCTTTCTCGCAGGTTTTGATGGCGGCATCATAGTCTCCCTTCTCGAAATGGGCTGCGCCCAGGTTGTTCAGGTATGTGATATCCTTGAATAACTCCCAAGCCTTGGTGTAATGCGCGATGGCCTCGTCGAAGTTTCTCTTCTTGTATTGCTCGGTACCAAGCTTCTTCTCCTCTTCAGCGGCAGCCTTAGCCTTGGCCTTCTCTCTTGCCTCTTCGTCCTCTGGCTCCGGCTCTGGCTCCGGCGCCTTGGTCTCCTTCTTTGGCTCGGGTTGAGTAGAAGCAGGTCGAACATCTGGCATCGGGACATCTTCCTCTGCTTCTTTAGGAGCGGCACCCGCATTTCGATCCGCATTCATGCCGCCCGCACCCATCATATCCATATCAATACCCATCAGAACACCCATGACCTGTAACATCCGCGGGTCCTGGAAGATGGCCTGCGAATCATTGGGGTTGTTCTTGATCTGCGTGAGCTTCTGCATGAAACTAGGGTCCGCCAGAAACTTGCTGGTCTTGGGGTTGGCCGCCAGCTTTTGGATCAGTTGCGGGTCGTTGAACAAGCCTCCAAGCCCAGCTGCTGGGTCGCCGGTAACTCCATCTACATGGCTACATGAGCATAGGTTCTCAACTTCTAGACGGATAGATACTACTCACCTGCTCTGGCTTCCGCCTCAATGGCACGCTTGACAGCCGCAAGACCCGACTTGTTCTGCGCATTATTCGGATCGAGCTTCAAGCCCTCCTCATACGCATCATTCGCCCCCAGCAGATCCCCCAAGCCGTGCATCGCCGCGCCCTTTCTTCCCCAGCCCTTCGCCCAGTCCGGTTTCAGCTCCGTCGTCTTGTTCGCATCGTTCAGCGCATTCTGGTAGTCCTTCTTCGAGGCATACGCCGCCGATCGGTTCGAGTACAGAATGTGATTCGTGGGCTCGATCTCAATCGCTTCTGTGAAGTACTTGCTACATACAGCGCAGAGTCAGTGAAACCCTTTCTTTTTCAAACTCAGAAGTAGTAAGATCTCATCTAATCTAAGACACCAGCTCATCCACGCTCCGCTATAAAAAAACAGAATCAACAAAAGAGAGTGCAAGGCAAACTTACATCGCGTCGTCGAACTTCTTCTCAGCAATGGCCTTGTTACCAAGGGCTTTGAGTTCGTCCGCCATGGTTTGGATGTCTCGTGCGTTAGAATATCAGTCAAGAGGGAGGATTTCGAGAGAAAGTTGTTTTCTTTAAGATTTCTCAGGGTGTGGAAGTGCGAATTATAAAATCAACCATCTGACGACGATCAGCCGCCAATTCGCAAGGCAGGCTATTCTAGAGCTTTCTTTCGTCCATCTGCCGTTTTCGAAGCTCGGTTCAGCCTCACCGCCTAGATCACGTGTACGGCGCCCAAGCCTCCCGCCCAGACTCAACATCACAGCAATATCAATCAATGTAAGGTATTCCTCCCCTATGCAATTTAGCACAAGACAATAATCGTGCAGCAACTAAGGTAGGTATCTTCGTGTACTTCCATTATTACAACTATTTTATTCTCCTCCTTGCTTCTAACCGTCTCAGCGACCTGACCAAAGGACAACGGAGAAAACAACCATGTATAAATACGTCTTCAAGGGCTAATGTATATATATGCCATACGAATTGCAAGTGCGCAAACCGATCGTTGAACTCGCTCCCAGGGAGCTCAAGCACCTGTCCCCAAACTCCAGCCAATGCCATTTTCTGTACAATAGATTTCCTCATCTCCTCGCTTCAGCTACCCTTTGGATTGCGGCCGGCGACATGTTTGATGACATGGCCAGGCCTGCCCGTTCCTGCATGGACACCATCGCACTTGTTACAGGTGTCTGAGATGCACTCGGTGCCGGGGTGCTAGTTCTTGTTGCTGGGGCGCTTCTGTTGTGTGCCATGTGACTTTTGACGAGATGGCCGGCTGCCAGCGCACTACATAACGAAAGCTCTCCAGCAAGCACGGCAGCGGCAACAATTCGCGCGAGTTTACGAGCGTTGTCACCGGGATTCGTGGGGTGGGATCCTTTAACGCCGAGCATATCAAGCATAGCACCTTGAGGTTCAAGGACTGTGCCGCCACCCAGAGTGCCGACTTCGATAGAAGGCATCGAAACACTGATTTGCAGGTTGCCCCGTAAACTATAGATGGGTTAGCGTCGTGATGTATCAATTAGCAAAGAGGACTCACTTCTTCATTAGCGTGATGCAGTTACCACTCTCCACAACCTGCGCAGGATCTTGGCCGGTGGCTAGGAAGATGGCTGCAACGATATTAGCGGCATGGGCATTGAATCCTCCCATACTGCCTGCCATAGCGCTGCCAACAAGATTCTTCGCAACGTTCAACTCCACCAAGGCATCCACGTCGGTCTTTAGAACCTTGCGTACCACATCACCTGGAATGATTGCTTCGGCCACAACGCTCTTGCCACGGCCATCGATCCAGTTGATTGCCGCGGCCTTCTTGTCAGTGCAGTAGTTGCCCGAAACCGAAATGATTTCCATATCATCAAAACCACTCTCAGTAGCCATAACATTCAGTGCGTGTTCGACACCCTTGGAGATCATGTTCATCCCCATAGCATCTCCAGTAGTCGTCTTAAAGCGAATGTAGAGGTTTGTACCTGCCAAGGCAGTCTTCATCGATTGAAGCCGGGCAAATCTGCTCGTTGAGTTGAAAGCCTTCGTCATAGTCTTCTGTCCGACCTCGGAATCCAGCCAAATCTTAGCAGCACCAGCTCTCTCCAGAGTCTCAAAGGCAACGCAAGGACCTCGGGTCATGCCATCACCCGTCAAGACGGTCACAGCGCCACCACCGGAGTTGATTGCCTTGCATCCACGACTAGTGCTAGCGACCAGGACACCTTCTGTTGTAGCCATTGGCAAGAAGAAGCTTTGACCGTCAATAACAAGAGGTCCAGCGACACCAAGCGGTAAGGGCATATAGCCAATAACATTTTCACAACAGGCTCCCAGGACGCGGTCAAAGTTGTAGTGTTCGTAAGGCAGGGCCGAGTTCTCCAACAGGCCAGTAGTCTCGGCGGTAGCAGGTGTGCGGGAAATAATCGCCCTCCTGATCTTGACTGCTCGGGTCGTGTCCTTCAAAGCTTTCTCCAAAGAATACCCAGGAATCTTCCCTTGCAATGACAATTCGATGATCTCTTTATCAGTAAGCTCATGAGTTCTCTTCTCCTGGAGCATTTTCTCCATTTGGGCCTGTGTTCTGCGGAGGGGAACCTGGCTATCCGAGGGTGTCCTGGCCATTGTCAAAACATCCTCTTCATCGTCAGTTGAAGCTGGGGTTGGAGGGGCGATTTTCTCCGGGGCTCTGAGAGTACTGAGTCTCAGGGGAGGCGTTCCTTGCGAACTGTTGAAGTTCTGTGCTCGATCGAGCTCCTCGGGGTCGACGGCGTGGTGTGGAGGCATTTGCAGGGGTTCCTTGATACTCCACCTAGCTGCATTGAAGAGGTACCCGTTGAGAACTACGCTCAGCACAAGAGCAGCAACAATCCACTTCGACAGAATCGGGTCTTCCAAACTCTTCAGCAGGCTGTCAACCACACGTCCACTCATACCGTAGTCCTCATAAGCAGGGTCCACATAGCCAAGGGCCCCATCCTTACTGCCTCGCTTATAGTGAACGGAGGGGTACTCAAGCTCGTACTTGATAGGTGTTAGAATGGTGACCACGGTCGATCTATTATGAGATCTGGCGGTCTCAAAGATGGAATCAAGCCCGTTCGAGGCAACTTTGAACGGGTCCATTGGCGGTGGAGTCATGACGCTTGATAGGCCATGTCCAGAAAGCCCAGCGACGGTGGTATCCACATTGCTCTTGCCGCCTCGGAATGGGATGGTGCAAAGGTTGAGGATGTTGATGATAATGAAGCCAGAAACCATGAGAACCTTGAACTTCGGCACGATGCTATCCTTGACCTTTGGGCCGAAGATATTTTCGCCTTCATTCTTGTCGGCTTTCGGCCACTCATCGCTCTGAGCAACATTTTCAGCAACACTTCGATTGATGCCGTCATCCTCGAGCGCTTGGCGGAGTGCTACATGTCGTTTGATCCGGTTGATTTCAAGTTTGATGCTCAAAATGGCCGTGTAGAAGGTGAAGAGGAGAATGCAATCGAAGAACAAGATCCAGGCCGCCAAGAAACAGAACTGCTGCAGGCCTCCCTGCACGCCAGAGGCTGCTCCAGCTATCAAGATGCAGATCTCAATAACGTAGTCGCGGACAATGTCATAGCCCTTCTCATTGATCGCGGCTTGGACCGCGTACTGGATGGACGTTGATGCCACGCCGTACTTCTCGGTCTTCCCGCCCTTAAGGCTGTCTTGGGGTTGAGGTCTGCGGGCTTCAAGAGCTGCAGACAAAACGGCCTTGGTCAAGACAATCGTCTTCTCAAAACCGATGGTGACAACCAAAAAAGGGAGCCCTTCAGATAAGAGAACCATGTTCATGGGCACACCCAATTTCGTAGTCACGATCAGCCCGAAGAGGAACGCAAAGACCGAGGAGAATAGCGTCGTGACAAAGAGCCAGGAGTTCGAACCCATGCGACGCATCGAAACGAACAGGGACACAAAAGTCAGGTGCATGGAGATGTATCCAAGCACCATAATAATGATGTCCAACGTCTCGGCACTCTTGATCAGATCCATAAACTCGGTCCGGGCATTGCTGGCCCACTCCCTGATGCTACGTGGGCTCTCATGCACTTTAGCTGCCTTCATGATCCACATCTTTCGCTCAATCGTAGGCTGCTGTCCAAATTCATCCCGATCGTCCTCGTCCGTGGATGGCCTTGCGGAATTAGGCAGTTCTTGAGCCCTGGCAAGGAACTCTGGGGCTTGGCTGTACGGAACTGAAAACGCCAAAGCGCTATCTTGGGATATGGGGGCTAGAGGGTTTGACGTCGGTGGGAGAGCTGTGACGGAGAGGTTCTGCGGGAGCGGTAGAGCATCTGCCAAAGGGGCGGTCTGTGGAGAGTTGGCGGCCAAAGAGTCGGGGAATACGAATGTTAGGAGCGCCAGATGGTCGGCATCATGTGGAATGGGTGTGTCTGCGTCGGCAGTCTGCCATTTCCACCCCGTCTCCGAACCAACCCTCAACTGCCGACTTCCCTCAACCAACGAGCTCCAGTCTGCTTTCCCCGCCCCCTTCGACTTGACCGTGTCGAAGAGACTGCTGTCCAGGAGGCCAATATAGGTTGTGCTGGCCAAGAGCGCGACAATGACGATCGTGTGGATAGGATGGAGACAAGCTCGATGGGAGAAGGTCTGGATGAGCAGAGTGACCCTCTTCTTCAGCCAGGAGGGTGGAGCACTGGGTTCAGTTTTGGGCGCGCCGCGGAAACGCGAAGGGAGGAAGGAGGAGCCGAGCATCTTGATCGAAGGTATTCAGGAGGCGAATGTCTATAAAGCCATTGACAAGCCGACGGCGGGGCTGACCTGCGACGGCCTTCTCACGATCTGCCAAGGTGCGCAATCAGCTCTCTGTTCAAGTATCGCAAGGTGCAGGCCAGGTGTTGAGGCGAAAAAACACGGGAAATAATTCGAGGGGCGGCAGGGTCCTCAGGGGAACTCCTTCAGTGTCCCACCCCACAAATGCGAAAGCACAGAAATAGGAGGTCTTGGGAGAAGGGCCAGAAGCCATTGGATCCTGGCGTCAGCAGGTAAGCATACACAGCTTTGTGTAGCCGTAAGCAGCAGAGCCCAGCAAAGCCCACGAGGGTGCAGCGTGAGGTGGGAGAGGGAGGAAAGCAGGGAGCGGCATACGTTTCTGCGGTGAAGCTTGGCCCGACGTCCTTTTCGAAGGCGAGGAGCGTATCCTTCGAGGGTGATCAAGTCAGCTGTTGGTCTGAGGAAGAGCCTCGATGTTGAACGGAGGCGTGCGAAGCAAGCAAGGAGCAGGATGAGCAGGAGGATGGGGAAGTTCAATTGCAGGAACGTTGGAACTTGGACCTTTTCCCTTTGAACTGCGACGAGTTGGCGGTGCAATCGGTTAGGGGATTATTACTACCTTAGAGACCTTAGCGGGCGCAGCGCGACGGACGGACCTTAGCGGTGACATTTTCCCGCGTAACGGCCCCGATCGGGCGTAGACCAGGGCTAGCGCATGCGTGGAGATAAAGGGGACAGAGACCCGACTCTGGCAGAAATACGATTGATTGATTGATTGATTGATTATTTCTCCTTGCTCTTTGTCTTTATCTCTTTGTTGGGAGAGATGTCACTTGACATTCTTCCCTTCGCAGTTAAATCATGCCCTAAAGAAGAACCACGCGACATTTGACACCCTGCTTGCTTATCTTGATAAAATTTTAGATTCTTGTTTTTCTCTTGCCTCACCCCTGAACAACAGGCTACCTTGCATAGGTACAGCACAGTCTTCATTCGGTACTGACAACGCATGTGTGCGCCGGGATCTCAAGCCTATCTATCTTGTTTTCGGTACAGCAATGCAAACTCTATCTGCACTTTTTTCTCCTTTCTTTTTTTATAGTGGGATCTATCATCTTTGAGACGGGCATAGGTTAGATGACTTGCTGGATCTATGGTAACTACCTTAGTTGGTCATAGGGTTGGTGTTATCTATAAGAGCTGTTGATACCTACCTATATATAAAGTAAGATAAGTTCAATATCAACATCCCCCTTCTTTCTCTCTCTCACAAAAGATCAAAGAACACACCAGAGTACCGCCAATAGATTTATCCAATACTCCTGATCACAGAAATCACATCCTGTATGTCGAGTTTTTATGACAGTTCTCTTGAGCTGAATGAATGGATGCATGTACTCGGGAAGTTCTTGTTAATGGCATGGCATGGGGTATTTGGTGTTCGTGATAGAGAGAAGGTCTCTTTTATGAAGAATTTCTAAAAGTAAGATTCCTAAAGGCAAGATTGCTATCCCATGACTCCTGTCTATCCCATGTAACTACCATCTCACAACTCTTACAACAACGCATCCTCAGCACCCCTTCCAACCCTCCCTACTCCCAGCCCAACCACTTCCCCATCTCCTCCCCCTTCAAGATCTCGACTCCCGCCCTCTCCAACTCCCCCTTCACCTCTCCCCACCTACTCCCATCCACACACCCCACCACATCCTCCAAAAGGCCCGTTTTCCAACCCCCCCTCACCGCATCCCTCGCCGTCTCCAACACACAATACTCACCCGCAATACCCACCACCAAGACCCTCTCAATGCGCTCCCTCTTCAACCAATCCCCCAGCCCACTACGCTGTCCAAACGCATCCTGGAACGCGCTATACATCTCGACCTCCTTCCTCTCCCCCTTATTAACCACGCCATGAAACCGCTCCTTCGCTAACCCATCAGCGAGCTCCGCGCCGGGCGTGTTCTGCACGCAATGCGTGGGCCAGAGACGCGTCGTTAGTTTTTCCGATGGGTTGAGTGGGTTGTGAAGGGTTGTCGTGCTGCTGAATGGCGTGGCTCCCGCGTGCGAAGATGCGAATGATATGTGGTCCGCAGGGTGCCAGTCCTTGGTAGCGAGCTTGAGGGTGAAAGGCTGCGCGAGGAGAGCGTTGATGCTGGGTATTAGAGAGCGCCCGGTAGGAACGGGAAGTGTGCCGTTCTGGGGATGCCCGTTAGTCAATCAATCAATCATCCTCAAAATATCAATATCATCAAATCCTCGAGTCTCCCTCCTTTCATGAATGAATGAAATGGAGATGCGTTGGGATGGAGAAGGAAAGTTTGAATGGGGGAGTACAGGAGTTAAGAAATCCTCTTGCATATCAACGACTATGAGCGCAGTCCGGATTTCAGGTTCTTGTTTAGCGTCTGCCATTTTGCTGTTATGATTCGATTCGATTCGGATTCGGATTTGGTTAGAGGTTAGAGAATGAAAGAAAATAAACAAAAGATGGAAAGCTGTCTCGAATGAGAGAGTTATCTCGGTCATTCGAACACTTCGCCCCGCGTTGACCTTACTTCATTCACCTTTTGTATAACATGGTACATGTAAGCTCCCCTCCCTCTTCCCCACTATAATCCAGGACCCCACCAATATAATCAATCAATCCACTCTAAACCACCCCTCCCCTCACAACTCCAAAACTCTCTTTATATATATATATACATATATACCAAAGAGACAAACGATCCTCATCTTCTTACCTATCTACTTCTTTTCTTTTTATTATCTATCTATTCCAACCCTTCCTAAAACGCAACCTTTTCTACAGTTAAAATAGATAGCGACTTCCTCACTAATTCTATCTCACTTTTACAGCTACAGCCCAGGTAGGTCGTCTATCTCTGTCAGGCTCTTCCTAGAGTCTAGGATACACATAGGTAGCCACGGGCTCCTGTAGGTAGGTTCCAAGGCAAAAAAAAATGATGCTAACCGTTGTGAATAATGCTAATCGTCGTAAAACCAATCGTTGTCAGTAAAAAAGGGGAGCCCAAATTTAATTGCCTACCTTAGCTACCTAGGTGTCTCTCTAAAATGGCGTGCCAGTAACTCGTTGGAAACGCTTTCCTGTGCCTTTTACGAGGATCAAGCGATACCTACCTAACTCTTCGGCTCGATCGATGATGCCAATTCTATATATTAGTATCAGGAGCGGAGATTAGGGGACAGATGGATGTTGAGTATTGTATAGATTTGAAATTTTATAACTTGGCTAGGTGGGGTGGATGGGTGATTGGGTTAGGTTAGGAAAGGAATGGGATGGGATGGGATGGGATGGGATAGGGGAGGAGAGAGGATAATTGGTTAGGGAGGGGAAGGGGAAGGGTCTCTGTTCTACCAATCTCATAGGCAGTATACATACACTCTGAGCTACCGCCGTGAGCGATCCAAGAAGGCGCCACCCTTTAGGACTATCAATCGCATCACAGCACATTACCAAAGACGGGAGAGTAGGCTAGGACAACCGGTTCGAAGCCGGTCTTGAAGGTTTTCACATTGCGCTTCTCTATCAAGGTTTCACTCCCCTTGCTATCATTCATCTTCTGATCCCAGGAGATCTAAGGTATCCATCCAGTGCAATCACCATCCTTCCCCCAATGCTCCCCCCCATGCTCCTCCCCAAGCCCCAAAAAACTCCTGTCGCATGCAAATGTCTCGCTCCGTGACTACAAAGTCAGAAGCCTTATGCATCAAACCTAATGAAGAGCTCTCCCCCAGAATAGTGACATAATACAAGGGCGAAGAAGCAGATCTATGGGCACCTCTAATGCAACCGTTGAATGGGCAACCGTGATGCAGAATTTACCAAAGCATATGCTAAACCAATGCTAATCCGCCGAATGTCAAGCCGGAATGGAACATCACGGGTGGACGGCCGGTCATACGATTCCGCCTTCTGCGCCCGCCTCCGAGGATTCTTCTGTCGAGTCGCTGGCTGGGCTGCTCGGACTTTCAGTCTGCTGTACGTCTATCGAAGGGTTCAGCTTGGTGTCGGGGAGGGGCTCAATTGTGTTGGGGCTGTCCCCGGTCTTCCGAGATTTAGAATCCGGGCTACTGCGGCCTCCCGAGCTTTCTTGTGAGGTCTGTATCGTTGGCGTATTGGCCTGGCTCCCACCCCGTTGCCCTTGATAGTGGACGACTTGAGGTGGCGCCTGCCCAGCCTGCGTCCCCAGGAGGTGAGGGGGATAGGGGTTCAGATCCTTGGATGATGTTGAGAAAGTCGAGACGATGGGTTGCTGGTATCCATTGTTGCCGTTACTAGGACTTGAACCAGATCCAAATGACTGGCTATGGTCTGCTTGCGTAGGCGTGCCTGAATCCCCTCCCGGGCTGAGAAGCTGATCATTGGACTGCCCCGTAAGGCTGTTCAGACCCCCCTCGATATCACGCAGCAAGCGCACATACTCCTCGGGCACCAGACCACTCTCTTGGGTTTTGGGATCCATTGCCACGAGCCAGCCCTGGCCGTGTCGATATGAGACCCAGATCACCTGCCCTTCTACTAGCGGTAGTTCGTTCTCGTTCTCCCGCTCGAAATCGAACAGGGCCACCGCTTTCCCGTGCATCTCCTCATCAGCAGAAGCAATTGTGAACTGGTAGTCTCGTGAATATCGGGATTCATCGTGTCGGGACATGCCGGGCGAGGAGGCCGAACTCGACGCATCTGATTCTGAGCGGTAGTCCTGGCCAGGAGCATCTGTGTACGAACTCTTCGGTAAGAGACCGGCGAAGTGAGAGTCCCTCTGTCCAGCCGTATTGTATGGGGAGAGGTGTGCCGAGTGCCGCGCCTGTTCGGGGGGATATGTGACCAGCTCTCCTCCGGGGCCATCTGCCTCGTCTCCTTCATCCACGTAGTATCTCTCGCTGCCATCACCGCCCGTGCCGACGAAGTAACCTCGATCCACGTCGTAGTCGTCCTGGCCGCGCGCGCGATGCTCCCCATCCCCTCTCCGGCTCCTGCCTCGCCCACGTCCCTCACTCCCCCCTCCGGATGACTTATGTCTCCGGTGACGGTTGACGGTCACCACTGGACTCTGCAGGTCATCGTCCTCGCTCCAAGGGGGCCCGTCGGCATACTGAACGGCCGGGAGCTGCTCGTCGGATGCCCAGCTGGCCCGACTGTCCCACGAAGTAGGAGGATCCGAAAACCTCTTCTGCGATTCGCTTGCGGGGGTTGAGAAGCCCGAGGGCGGGCGAGAGGGTTCGGGGGGCGGACCGTAGTGGAGGGGCTGGTTGGACGGGTAGGCAAAGTCGCGTACCAATGTATATGGCAGACTGGAGTGGAAGATGGGGAAGATATGCGACGGGGGCCGCGATCTTGACGGCGCGGACTGGTTCGAGTATTGCGACAGTCTGTTCTTCGAGGCGTGCGAGGACGGGCGCTGCAGGTTTGATCTCCGCGCGGGTGGTGAGGTAAGTATGGCGGTTAAGGGAGGATGGTCTGGATTATTAGGAGTGGGCGAGGAGGAGCCTGGCGGCGGTGAAGTCGCTGGGGATGTGGGATCTAAGGCTGGAGACATGACCGCGGCCATCTCTGCAATGATTGTGCGAAGAGTCGAGGATTGGATGGAGGCTTCTGCGCAGGTGACAACTGCTGGTCGTGTTGATTAGAGTCGGGGGGCTTGCCCAGCAAGCTCTGTGTGTTTGCACCAGACGAAGGTCGGCGCAAATGTTGTGGGGGGGAGGCTGGATGTGCTCGTCTGAGCGAAGTGGCGGCGCCGTCGATCAGTGAGACAGAGCGAGAGAGAATGGAAGTGAGAGAGTGAATGCTCAGAGTGACGGCGGTCGTCTCTCTCGTTGGTTCGAGAGGAGTCAGGAGGGATGGTGAGAAGGTTAGAAGGTTGGACGGTAGTTGTTGGGGGGAAGTCAAGTCGAGCGTCGAGATTGGCGCGACAGACGCGCAGGGTTCGAGGGGGGATAAGGTTGGCGATGCGCGGTGTTCGTTAGGACTCTTAGGACTCTTAGGAGGGAGACGGACGGAGAGATCGGGGGACAGCCAAGCGACCAACAGAGGAGAGACTGGTTCGCTGGTTTATTATTAAGATATTAAAGATGGGATCTCGCAGGGTGTTCGCGGGCAGTTCCTGTCGTGGAGACGGTACGGACGTGGTTTGTCCAGCCGTTGCCAGCCAATAGGGCAATGCGCGCCTTCGACCCCCGTTCCCGTCACAGAAGCACTTCTTACGCCGGGCAGAGAGCTGAACTTGACCTACGGATACTTGGGATGTACTTTGATCAGCTCTGTTCAAAGGCCTCTTGGCGGCTCCTCTCCCGAGTGACCGCTGAAACATGGATGCGGCTGCTTGGGGGAGAGAGATATATACGTATATGTATATACACCTATAAATATAAATATATTACACATTATATATATGTATATACATGTAACTGAACGTCATGAATCCATGAGGCTCTTCTAATGATTCAAGTCTATCTCAGAAGGAACCAAGGAACAAAAGGGGAAACACCAATCAACGAACAAACAAACAAACAAACAATCATCATCTTTGTTCCTTCCAATAATGCCACACACAAGAGAACATTTCTATTCTCGTCACGGAGTCGGCGCTGCGTAAGAGCGTTTCAGCAGCCCCGCCAATCAGCAGCGCCGCCGCCCGAGCAGTGACGGCCGTTCGATCGGCGCGCCTTGCCGAGAGCAGCCTAGCGGGGCCGATCAGCCATGGCGTGTATCGGCCCAAGCCCCCGTTCCCACCGCTGGGGGCCCGATCGAGGGGGAGGAAGTTAGGAACGTCGGAGATGGATGATGGATTGAGGAGTGGAGCGGGGCGGGACTCCGTTCTTCGCCGTAGAAGAGGCATGGAAGCAGAAGCAGCTGCAGAAGCCAAGATGGGAGAGGGGGCGGCACGTGATATTATAATAGACAGACGAGAGTGGTAGAGGAGACAAGAGACGAGAGATGATATCATGGATGGACAGCATAGATCAGGCATCGTGCCGTATGAGAGATGAGAAGGGGGAGGAAGGCCAACCAATCACGGGGAGATAATGACCATGGGGAAGTCAGGCAGCAAGGCATTCATTCTCGAGCATTTCTCTCTCACTTCAGTGCCCGATCAGGCAGCAAGGCAGAACATCTCCCAGATTAATACCCCAGGCACTCAGGCACCCCCCCCTAACCGCGTTGGTCCCGTGCCCCTGGCGCCCAGGCGAAAAAGCGGAAGAGAACTGACGAGGGAAATGGAACAAAAGAAGGCCTAGACGGTGAGAACCGCGCATCTCCTCCACTCGCTGTGCCTCGTCTCTTCTCCTGAGTCCTGTCCACTCTCCGAATTCTTCATTCTTGCCCTTCACAACCCTCTCCTCTCCCTTCTTCTTCTCCTCCTCCTCCTCCTCCTGACCGACGACATTGGGATATGTACGAGACATAACGACACCTACGAGTTCCTCACGATAAGATACGCCCCCGTCCCATTCGATACTCTCCTTGAAAAATACTATGTAATCGTTACACCGTCGCTCCCTTATCTAAAACAGTTCTCGTTCTGCATTCGAATCCTCCTTGCATCCCCGATCGATCCTCGCATCCACGAAAGAAGAAGAAGAAGAAGAAGAAGAAGAAGAGATTCGAAAGACCACGTTGACCCATCTGTCTCAACTCACGCTTCATATCTACTCAGCCGCGACGTCGCAGGCCTGGGGCACCGAAACCCTTGAGAAGAGAGAGAAGAGGAGTTGATTCTGCCATCTGCGCCGCTCACTCTTGAATCCCCGGCCCTGTTGCCCCCAATTGCCTGCTGTGCTGCGTCACAGTCCACAGTCCTTACCAGTCAGGTTGTGTGCGAAATCTTGACGGGGGTCACATCTCAACAAAGAATTCTCCCGACGTCGAGAATCGACCTTTTTCTCACCTTCGACAACCTCCGATCTTTCGACCCTTTCTTCTCGTTCCCTCTTGGCCAAGTTCGCATATCGCGATTTCCACGGCCTTCTTTCTACCTCTGACCTCGAGTGCTGGCCGACGCTCTGAGGATTCGATCCCGTTCAGCACCTATTCAGTAGATCGAGCATTGCGCCGCGGGAGCCCTTCTACGCTGATCCCGGCTCCCATACTCCGATCGCTTTTTCGCGCTGTCTACAATGAATGGTCGCAATGGCCCCTTGTCTCCGGTTTCTGTAGGAGGCAGTGAATGGTCAGGCATATCCAAGTACTCAAACCCCGATTCCGATCCATCGTATTCCTTCCCTCCCAATAATCGCGGTCAACTGGCCTCGCCGCCAATCTCCAGCGGCTCCAACAGTATCATGAATGGAGCGGTATTCCCACCCAGGGGGTCTTCTACCGGAAGTCCAGGCGGCCCCTCCCCCCCGTCGTCCATCGCAAGGTCGAGCGTTGGCACTGGCATGTACCCCCAGAGTGAGAGTGGAAGGAGCAGGAAGGACGAGCAATTCGAAGGCATACTATCCGAGCATTATGTAGCGCTCAAGAGATATTTGGCTGCGTCCCTGAGAGATGAGAAGGGCAACCCGAGACCCAACAGGGCTCGGGACAAGCTATTACGACTGTCCCCGGTGCAGTTCCAAGAGCTGAGTACCGATGTTTTCGATGAGCTCTTGAGGAGACAGCAGAGTGGGAGAGGGCCGCCCCCCAATCCCAATATCCCTAATGGGGGACCTCCACCCTATCTCCTCCCGAAAGAATCCTTTCATCCGAAGCGAAACCAAGCAAGACAGAAGCTTGCCACCCTCCCCCCACCGCGATTCCGAGATCTTGCGACGGACGTTTTTTACGAGCTGGAGAGGAGGTTTCCTCGGTTCGCCGGAGGTGATATCAGTCGCATGGGGAGTCCTGCGTCGATGCGAGGGCCGCCGAGTCGCATGGGCACTCCTGCCGATGGTTCAAGGGGCCCGAACCGGATGCGCCGGCCCTCAGACGCCAGCTCCATTGCCGGGTACTCGATAAGAAGCGAATCCCGGAATGGGCCACGGAATGGCTCTCTCCTGAATGGAGGGCTCGGGATACCACCATCACCGGGGTTGCCCCCGAATGACTTCGGACGGCCTACCCCGAAGACCTTTCAGAGTAACACGATAGTACCCAATAAGAGCACCATGGTTGAAGACGATGAAACTGGGGGAGAAGATAATGATGATGACGATGATGGAGATGCTTTTGGGTTAGAGAGCGCCGCTCGAAATCGGGAGAGCAAGAAGAGCACAGGGAGCGCTGAGGTAAGATTGATTTTGATCTTCTCTTGGTATCTATCTGCTTACCCAATGGATAGGCCGATAAGAAGCTTATCGAGGAGTATCAGGCTCAAGTTGCAGAACTGCGGGAGAGACTTGATGCCATGGAGGATAATGTGAAGCAGAAGGACGACGAACTAAACCAAGTTCTGGATGGGGAGAGGAATCGAGCAACCGCTGCGGATGAGGAGAAGAAGGAATGGTCGAGCTTGCGACAAGAGCTAGAGACCAAGTTAGCGGACGCCCAAAGCCTCAACGAGTCCCTTCAGTCCGAGCTAGAGCGGCTACGATCCTCGCAAGCCAACACGGAGAGAGAATTACGAGCCCAGATTGAGGAGCTTCGCGTCTCCGGGTCGAGGGACATGAACCAGGGTGACTCCGATCTGCAACGAGAGAACGAGGAGCTAAGATCGGAACTCGAAGAGCAGCGACAGGTCACCGAAGAGGTTCGAAGAGAAGCCCAGGAATTCCTTAGGGAGATGCGGATGCTCTCAGAGCGGAGCGGGTCAGCTATCGAGAGGGAGGAGCAGCTTTCAAATACCATCACCAGATTGGAAGAGGAGGTCAGGGATTGGAGGAATCGCTATGCCAGGACGAAGACCCAGCTACGTGGTCTCCGGGCAAACTCAATCGGCCTCACCATCCAACAAGAAGCTGGGAAGTATACCAAAGACAGCGGCTTTACACGCGAGGATGGTCTAGTCAAGGATGTTCACGTCACCAAGTTCCAAATTTCGATCGATGAACTCCTGCGGACGGCTCGTAGTGATGACCCCTCGAGAGTAATCGAGTTCATGAAAGCCGTGGTTGTGAATGTGCGGAGGATCACGCAAGACTTAGACGAGGCTCCTCCGAGTAATGGAGAGTTGGCTCAACAGCAGGCCAAACTAAAGTCGAGGGTCTCGGCAACGGCAAACAACCTGATCACAGCGTCAAAGAACTTCGCGGCCGCGAATGGCCTCTCTCCCGTCTCCCTGCTCGATGCAGCAGCTTCTCACCTCACATCAGCAGTGGTTGAGCTCGTCCGAACGGTCAAGATCCGCCCCACGCCCGCAGGTGAACTTGAAGACGATGACGACGGAAACCTGGAGCCGGCTGACACAACGGGATTCTTTCCGGTTCGGGAACCTCGGCAAGAAAACGCCCCGCCTCCTTTCCTTGGGCTTCGGAATGGTCACACAAGTGCCGATTCTTCAATGTACAGCCCAGTCAACTCTCCCCGGGAGTCGACCAATCTACGCCCGAGAAGTGCAGCCAAGGATTCTTGGGCAGGGCGTCGATCTCTCTCAAAGGGCTCGCCTCTTGGAAATGGCGCGGTGTATATGAACGGCAATAGTAAAAATGTTCCTGCGGCACCGATGGGCGTGGGATTTGGCATCAGGAGTCAGGATAGTGATGTCGAAGAACTGAAGGTGAATCCCGCGAGTTCTTAGTTTCTTATCTGCAAGCTAACAAAGACCAGATCTACCTCGAAGATCAGACCGCCCTCCTAGTCCAGAATATCCAGTCACTCGTTTCATCGATTCGATCTGAAGCCGGATTTCAAGCCATCTCCAGCCAGATCACAGCCATCGCAGATGTCGTGGGCAATGTTGTTTCCTCTACCGAGAACGCCATGTCTGCTACCGGCAATGGAGCGATGAGGGCGCAGGAAGAGCCGATCTTGAAGAAACTATCAGGTTGCAGAGCGCGCTTGATCGAGGCCGAAGGCAAGGGCAGAGCTCTTGCCGAGGAAGGTGGCCAAGACGAGGAAGCAGAGAGGGCCTGGAAGGTGTGGAACCAGTCCCTCCCCCCGATCGCCTTTGAGATCGCTCGGGATACGAAGGAATTAGTGATGAAGATAGACATCATCGATGGAGATCACGGCCAGGGCGCAGGCGGGGATGACGATTTCTCATGACAGCATTGCATGACCAGGCAAATACCTCGTGTCCTTTAGTTTTGATGTTTTCCTCTTTTTCCCTTTCGCATAGCGGCTGATTCCCTTTTTTCTTTCCATTTTTCTTTCGCCGCACGCATGTACCAAAAAAGCATGCCCCAACGTCTGCCTCCTCCTCGCTTTCCCACTATGAAATGAGCACGAGCACGAAACATGAAACTTGACGGTGTTGTTATCTTTTTCTTCCACACCAAGGGCGTTTTTCACGGAGGGGATTCATTCATATGTATATTCTTGCGTCACTTGCTTGCTTGCTTGCTCCTCTTTTTCTGGCTCCTCTTCGGGCTTCAGGAAAGGGAAGGAAAAGGAAACTGAACTGGACTGTGTATTTAACATGTGTTGCGTGTGGCTACACGGGATTTAGTGAGGGATATGAGAAGGGTATGAGGAATGGAAGGGAAGGGAGGGAAGGGAATGAGATTCTTTTTTGAGAGGGTTGATTGTGTTTAGGTATGATTGTGCTTGATTTGTATAAGATGTGAAAGATGTAAGATGTGAATATCTATCCCCCTCCCCCCAAAAAAACCACGCCCAAAAACCACACTCCTTCTATAAGCCTAGCCTTCTCTACACATTATCTAAACATCTAAATCAAACCCTCACTTCACCACAATATATGATCTAATATACAAAGTATAACAAAAAATGGGGATTATATAAATCATCCATTCATTCATAATCATAATCAAGATCAAGATATCTATCTATCCAGGGTCCAGGGTATATGGATAAATGATGATATAATGCACTGCTTTGCTATCAGTAGGATGAGGAATAAAACAGATAGATGATAAACAAGATCCAAGCATGCGTTTTTTGGAGCTAAGTGAGGTTTTGGTTTCATTGTCATATTATATCATATCATATCGTATATGCTATCAAAACAAAAAAAAAACAGGGTGAAGAAAAAACACACACACACACACACACAATTCAGCGACCAAAACGTCTCCTCTCCAAATATCGAAGTGGAATATATGAAATCGCAGCAAATCCAAACGCCAACTCGAAGCCTACATCACCACCATGGTCAGCACCGCACAATTTGCCCACGGGGCCCGTGAACCAAGGTTGCGCCATTCCCAGCACGGCTCCTAGGACGCCCATCGCGAAGGCTGTCATGGCTGCTGCGCCTATGGGCAGTTTTCCCTTGTCTAGATAGTCTTCTGGGTGATAGCCCGCGAAGCCGCGTCTGAAGAGGACGTGTTCGGTGATGGAGACGGCGATGTAGATAGCTAGCCAGTAGGCGATCAATAGCATGAAATCTTCAAGCACGGATTCGAAATGGTCGTACCCCGGGATCGCGATCGCGATGTAGATGCAGGTGGCTAGGAAGGTCCAGAGGAAGCGGGGAATGCGTTGTGAGGCGCGCGCGAGGAGTTGCAGACTGAGAGAGACTGAGTAGATGTTGGGACAGTTGTTGGCGATGATGGACAGGGCGAGGATTACGAGGCAGAATTGTCCGAATCTTCCTAAGGGGGGCAGGAGAACGGCGGCGAGAAGACCACCGATTCCGGAACTTGTGTAGCCGGCTTTGTAGGGGGAGGAGGGGATGGATATGGCGGTGGCCACGGCGGCGCCGAGCATCTCGGTGAAGAGGAGGGGGAAGAAGAGGCCTGCAAAGGTCCAGAAGAAGATGGCGCGGCGGGGCCGGGAAACGGGCTGGTACACGGTGTAATCGGCAGCATAGGAGGTCCAGCCGGTAGCGAAGCCGAAGACAGACGCGGCGAAGGAGAGGGCAGCACCGGCTTCTGAGCTGCCGGTGCGCATGGGCACGTTCTGGAAGTGGCCCGAGTGCGCGAACTCACCCAGCACGATGAGGAAGATGATGAAGCATGGGATCCAGGAGTAGCGCTCGTACGTGTGCACTACTTTGTACCCGAACAGCGTGATGAAGAAGGTCGCGACTGCGATGACGACCACGCCAGCCCAGCCGGGCATGTTCCCGTTGACGGCGTGGAAGAGCTGGGCGCCGACGATCACGTTCACCGAGGACCAGCCGATGCAGGCAAGGACGTTGAACACGGCGACTTTCGGGGGTCAGCTCTCGTCTAGACCCCTGAGGAGATACGACTCACTGATTTTCACGCCGTACCAGCCAAAGAAGAAGCGGGACAGGACCATCTGCCTGAGTCCGAAGCGCGGGCCGAAGGTCGAGAAGAAGCAGACGGGCAGGATCCCTAGGATGTTGATGAAGAAGATGATCAGGATCGTGTCGATGAATCCGAGATTGAAGACTGGGTAAGAGAGTGCCCCAATCGCAAATGCGGAGACGACCATGTTGGCCGAGAGCCACTGTGCATTGTGTTAATGCCTGGTCCAAATCTTACTACGGTAGAGAGCTTACCAAGGTCCCGATCTGGGACATGCCGGCGTCTGAACGCTCGTCACTGGGCACACGCTCAATGCCTCGCTGCTCAACACCAAAGCGACCTGCGAATCTCTGGGCCTTTGCAAAAAAGCTATCCCCGGTGACGAGGGCTTCGGCGGGGACAGCTCCCTCGTCGCCAATACATTCTGAACTGTCAATCTCGGTGGAGAGGTTGGGCTTAACCGCTCTGGCCTCGACATCGTAATTGAATTTCTCAGACATCTTGAGGAAGATCGACTTGCGCCCCAAGTGATGTCGTCTTGAGTCGGCACTTGGAAGTCGGGGTGGGGCGTTATGAAGAAAGCTTCTACGAGGCTTCAGTCCTCGGAAGTGTTTGGGGGGTTGTTTGAGTCTTCTCCCTGGGCCAGGCTCATCTAAAACTGTATGAGGGCAGAGGGAGTATATATGGGAAAATTGAAATACCCCAACTGGCACTTGGCAGCGGGGTTCATGAACAAGGGTGAACTGGTGTGGAGTTTTGCGACACGGACGACGCCGATGGTGCTGAATTGGGAGGGCTTTTGAGTGGTAGGGTCAATGTTGGGATGCCAAGTGACCCAGTGAGCTAGTGAACTGCAAACCCTAGTCACTGATAAGGATAATGTAGAATATGCTCTGTGGAATGATACGTCGAAAATGTAGCAGATCTTACACTTGAGCTGATCTGAAGGCAGGTACATGTAGAAGAAGAGATGGAAAAAGAAACAAGGCCAGGAGAACGGGTCAGGATTCTAAGACTCTAAACTCTACGGAGTAGGTACTCCGGAGAGCCATTCACTTGGCCTGCACTACATCCGCCTTTTCAGATCTGGACGCAGCTGCGGTGACAGGTCTGACCAGACGCTCGTTCTCACAACGCAAGTTCAGGTTGGACGACATTCTATCCCGATATCCTAGAGGTCGGCATGTCGCACGCCACCGTCTCGGTACTCGATCTCCACTCGGAGATGGAGAGCTTGAGGTGAGGAGGAGACGTATGGTTTCACTTATTCGTCCTGGACTCAAGTTTTTCCCTGTGCTGTCAGCCACTGCGTGCGTGTAGCTGTATCAGTATTTATCAGCGGTCGTACAGTCATCGCCGAATTTTTCATTCTTCACAGTACCAGTCGCGGTATCGGCGCGAGAACGATGGAACCCTGTGCACAAGCAAAAGATAAAAGGGAAAAAAGGGAAAAAAGGAGAGAGAAACAAGAACTGGGGAAAGACGAGGGATAGAGAGGAGGCAGCGGAGAATGTATGTAGCAGATAATATACCCCAAGAAGGAATGCGCAGTCGGGAATGTCTCAGTAGTTCGAGAAGGTTCACGCGGCCATCATGTGCTCACGAGATGTACATCGTTGCCCATGTGTACCATGAAGAGTCGCTCTGGAATCGTCTCTGGATAAGTACAAAGAGCAAGCATCTTGATTGTTGTAATTCGATGGGTAATATTGCTTTGTAGTGCAATCAAGGGTGTAGTTGTAGGGTTATCGGCTAGATGCGCTTCTTGGCAGTGCTGACACTTGGCAGCGAGCCAGCTCTCCTATTTCAGAACTCTTGGGAAAGACAATGTGCAGCATCGCTTCTCGCCTTTCTCCGCGCTCTCTCAGTCCCAGACCTGAGACCCCTATCCAATTCTCAAATGTAATGCTGATTGGAACCTGTACAGCACAGTAACTCGGTATCTTATCGATAGATCCTCGAGCCGAAAGAAGCGGGAGACAAGAATCAGCTCGAAAAACATCTCCGCACGGCCATATCAAATTTTTGAAAACAACACACTCATCTTATCACTTATTATTAAAATAATAGCGGCACGCGACTCCTTATTACTATAGCTATTAATACATGCGCGTTAAGCCTATATTCTAGTAACATGTCGACACTATAGCCTATATTTAGTAAAAAATCACACAAAAACCTTATTAAGGAAGCCTTTAACATTAAAATTAACTATACTAAACTTACGCGTACTACTATAGAGCGTAACCTAAGGGGATAGAAACCTGCTAATTAACTAAAGCTCCTTAAAATCATTAGTAGATTTGTAAAGAGAGTTAGGGTATACTACGACCGGATAGATACATTAAGCTTTACTAAAGCTATCCGCGACATTAAGGACAACACTAAATACCTTATAGAAAACACTAATCTTATAGGACAGAGCTAAGGCTATCCTACCTAACTTAAGGAGATCATTTAGAAATTAGTAAGGGAATCCCTTTAGGCTAGCTCGTAGAACCTAATTAAGATATTGTAAATCCGAGACTATAGTACTACCTAACATACTAACGATAGCGACTATAATAACGACAACACTAACTATACTAGTACGACAGACTTAAAAGACCTTATCCTTAGAGTACACATGCCCTTAAAAGCTAATAGTCGAGCTATTACTACTATCTACTAAGGAGCCCCTAGAGCTACATGTAACTACATTAACAGAATCCTTAACTAACACAAAGCTAGAGTTATAGCGGTAGTAGTACACTAGCTTCCCTTAAGGGATGTTAACATATACTTTAAATTACGAGAGGACAGAGAGAAAGCGATAGGCTAGAGTTTAGTATAGCTACAGGCCTTTAGTACTAGCGTAATAATTACAATAAACACATACGGTATTATAGTTTATAGAATTCTAGTATTACTAATTAAGATAATAACTATAGGTAAGGTAGAGGCCCTTTAATTACTACAACAAGAGAACCTGTTTCTATACCTAGAGACAGTAATTACTTATATAGGCTAGGTTAGCTAATACATTAGCTCTTAGAAGAAAGCCTCCTTTATTGTTATTAAGTTTAGTTACCTAGAAGACACTAACCTAGCCTTAGACAGAGGGATTATCTTTAGAAAGGAACACTACCTTACTAAACCCTATAACTAGACAAGGAGACTCCTCTAGTACAAGTAGTGTTAATAATACAATTATAGTAGATCTTAATACTCTATATCTGTTAAGATTTACGCTAGGTACTCTAGGAAGAGACATAAATTACTAGCTTGCCCCCTAGAGAACCCTATAAGATACGCTATCTATAAAGAACCGTATACATTATAGAGTAAGTCTTACGACGTTAAGAGGAGAGAGTATACAAAACTTAAGAGACAACCTAAGTTATACAGGTACCTAGTTCTCTTTTTACACAAGCTAATACCTAGGAAACTTGATTAGAATATAGGCGACAGGCTTAACCCTAAAAATCAAACCGACTCGTAATCTCTAGCGCCTTAGAACTTAGTTATACTAGGACTCTAAGACAACCTACTACCGTAAATTACAATAGCTTAGATACAAGAGGATATAGAGCTACTAAAGAACGTAATCTCTATACAAGACTTACTAGATAAGGTAGGCCCGGAAGATAGCGTATTATAGATCCGGACACAGGCCTAACAGAAACTCTTATAGAACTAGCGACTTAGAGGACCTTAGATAGCAAACACTATAGTAAGGAACCTAACCTATTAGACAATACCCCTAACTAAGAACATACCTAACATTACTATTACCCTAGTCTAGAAAGAGGACGCTTTAGATACTACTACCTTATAGTTAGAGGTAGAAGTACTACTAGCAAGTAGTAAATAGAGACTACTAACTAAGTAGATAGAAGAGGAAACTAGGCTTATAGAAATCACTATAGAGGCTTAGAGATTAAGGAAAGTCTTAAAGTACTATAAGAAAATCTAGGGGATTTTAGCGTAGTTAAGAGATAAGACACTAATCTCGGGTCTAATAGACTACTAGTTAACGACTACAAAAAGGGCCTTACGCTAAAGACCTAAACTAAAGCTAAAGCTAAGCCTACTAAGTTAACTCTATACCTTATAAGAAGGATTTTCCTAAGTAGAGTCTAAGGACGTAAGCCTTTCGAAACAAGTAATAGAGATAGGAACGTTAAGCTAACAGGATTTAGAAGTAACTTTAATAGAGTCTAGAGACATCTCTTACTTAAGGCTAGTAAGATAGAAGGCGATATAGACGAGTTAACATATATAGTAGCTATAACTTATATAAGACTTAGACCTAAATCCTACGGCTATACTAAACCTACCCTTAACCCCTAAGAGGCTAAGAGAAGACTAGACAGAATCACTAGTAAAGAGAGCGAGTAAGAGGAAACAGATATATAAGAGGACAACGTAAGAAACATTAACACTAAGCCTACTACTGTTATTACTACTTAGTTCCCTTACTATTATACAACAGAACTCTATAGACGTATAAACCCCTTAGACTACATTATAGGCGGCTAATAAATTCGACTACTTTACGGAATCTTACGTTAACGCCTTCTTACTATATAAATTACTAACTATTAGACACGGTCCTACTAGAGCGCCGACCGAATCGCTAGAATTAATAAGGACATATACCTTAAGATTATTCTAGCTATAAAGAGGAAACTCTTCTAACAATACATTAAACCTAAACCTTACCCTTAGACGACCTAAGAAAGTTACTAGATATAACGACTTCTAATCCCTTAAGGAGAACTCTCTATATACTCTAATATAATATAGTAAGTAACTAAACTACGATAGTGTACCTCTTTAAGGATAATAGTATTAATAAATATAACGTTATCGTACTCTAAGAACCGTTTACATATAATTACGGACCCTTACTAGCACTACTAAGATCAGGTAATACGGCTAACTTTTAGCCTATTATATACAAGTTAAACTCGGCTACAGCTTAAATAGTAATATACGTTAACAGACATATAGTTTAACAAAGTTAATAGAGTATTGCCCTTAAAATAACGTACGTAATAGGTATCAAATTTAGACTCTTAGGCTAAGCGACTATAGTCTTTAACATATACAAGCCTTACGACTTTAACGACTTTATAAAAACAAATAAAATAAAAGACTTAGTAAAAGAGGCCCTAACTATAGTCGTAGAATAGCTAAGAGACTACTTATTTAAACAAACGCTAGGAACGTAACTAGTAGTACTTAGAGACTTTAACGTACATTACCCTAACTAGAAAGACTACTCCCTAAATTAAAGAGAAAGAGTCCTAGTAAAGGTAATAGTAGATCTTAGACTCTACTAGCTAGTACCTTATAAGACAACTATAAGAATAGCGACAACAAAAGGTTATAGGGACTTAACAATCGACCTGGTCTAGGCTAATAACATCGTGACAGAGTAACTTAGTATAATAGCTATAGGTTAGGACGATTACTTCTTTAACTATATGCCTATTAAGTCTACCTTTACCTAGACTATAGAAGAAGAGCCCCCCTTAGAAGCCCTCTAACGATAAAGCTAGTAACGAATAGACACTATAGCCCTTATTAACGTAATTAAGGAAGGAATTAATATCCTTAAACCTAAACTCCCCTAAGAACTAACTAAAGAAGAAGTTAACATAGTATGTTAGACCCTAATTAAGATTATCTAGTAAGTAATAGACAAGGTAGTGCCTATCGCCCGGATCTACGCCTTCTCTATCCTAAGATTTACTCTAGAACTTAAAGAACTCTAGATGTCTACTAGAAGAGCTAAACGCTAATACTTATAGACAAGATTAGAAGAGGACCTAAAGGCCTATAGGACCCTTAAACGTTAGCTAAAATACGCTATTAGAAAGATAAAGAGAGATAGGTAGAAAGAACACGTAGTAAGTACGTTAGGTAATATACAAGAACTCTAGAGACTTGTTAAGGGCCTTAAGAACCGTAATACCCTAAGAGAAGCCTACATCCTTATACTTAAGGTAACCGCCTAGGAAAGAGACTAGCTAGTCAAAACAATAGAAGGGAAAGTAAAAGCCTTTAAGAGATTATTCTTCCCTTCCTTACTTGTAGTAGACATTAGCGACATTCTGTAATTCTAAGAATAAGGTAATAACTACCTAAAGGAACTTAAATACTATAAGATTACTACCTAAGAACTTATAATTACTATTAATAACCTTAAAAACAATAAGGCACTAGGCCTAGATAAAATTACGAACGAGGTCATTAAGTTAACCTTACTAACAATTATAAAGACGCTAGTATAGATCTTTAATATAAGCCTAGATCTAGGACACTACTTAGTGTACTTTAGGGACTCTACTACTATCCTACTCTATAAGAACTAAGAAAGCTCTACTACGCTAAAGTCCTTTAGACCTATCGCCCTCCTTAATACGATAAGGAAAGTACTAGAATTAATTATAGCTACCCGGATTATAGCGATAGTAGAACAACATAACCTACTCTTAGATATACACTTTAGTAGTAAGAAGGGACTCTCTTATAAACTTGTACTCTATATAATTATAAGAAAGATCTATAACGCCTAGAAGAACAGGAAGTACGTAACGTTACTCTCTCTAGACGTCTTAAGAGCCTTTAACTATATGTTATACGACAGACTTTTATATAACCTAGCTAAAAGAAACTTAAGAGGCAAATAGACGGCCTAAGTAGTAAGCTTTCTTAAGAACAGGACAACATTACTTAAACTTCCTAGCTTTACCTTAAACAAGGCCTACGTTAAAGTAAGAATACCCTAAGGATTACTAATCTACCTAATCTTATACTTCTTTTATAACGCCGACCTTCTAGACATAGTATAAGACAATAATATATATACGTACGGCTAGATAGACGACGTAAACTTTCTAGTAGTAAGAAAAGACAGAAACAAGAACTACGTTACTATAGTAAAAGCCTTCTAAGACTATAACGTCTAGAGTAAGTTAGTAGGCTTAGTCTTTACGCTATATAAATTCTACTTAGTATACTTCTTTAAGAAAGGAACTAGAGTATAGAGAGAGACACGCTAATCCCTACTACTAAACTTAATAAGTAAAGTTATTAAGCTAGAGAAGATAGTTAAAATCCTTAGAGTTATCCTAGATAACAAACTTTAATTTACTAACTACCTTAAGAAAATCTAGAAGAAGAGTGTCCGGAAAATAAACCTAATTACGTAACTAAGAAGCTTAACATAAGGTACAATACTTAAGGATAACTAAAGCGTCTATAAGGCTATAGTACTCCTGACTTTTACGTACTACGTATTAGTCTAGTACAACCTATAATAGAAGAAGATAGCTAACGTAATAGTAAAGCTATAGAGGCAGGTAGCCCTTAAGGCCTTAAGAGTATATAAGAGGATAGTAAGCAATACCCTAGACACAGAACTCTTTCTAGAACCGGCTATAAAACATATAAGGACAAAAGTACACTACGCTATTATTAGAATTAACTCGAGTCCTTAGGGCAAGGCCCTTATTAACGTAACCCCTAGTAATCTAATAAGAGAATCAGGCCTACTTATAATCTATAAGGTAACTTTTAAAGGTATATACAACACTAGACTCTAATACCTAGAAACTAGAACAAGATTTGTAGTCCTCTCTTAGTTACTAACGCTTAATACCCTAACCACAATCTACTCTACCCTAGAGAAGGCTATAGACTACTATAACAAGATCCTAAAGGAACTAGGCCTTTATTTCTATACTAACAGATCTAGGATTAACGATAGGATCAGATTAGTAGCCTTTTGTCTAGAAACTAGAGAACTCTAGAAGACCTATATTAGACTAAAGACAGTAGCTATAGTCTATATAGGAGAGGTATATAAGATCCTAATAGTACTAAGAATAATACGGGATAGTAAGTAGATATATAAAACATTTATCTTTATAGATAACTAGGCGATTATACGTACGATTACTAACCTAGTATTATAAGAAGCCTAATACCTACTAAAGGAAATCTATAGACTACTCTAGTAAATCTTAAGCCTTATGTTAATATACTAGATACCTATATACGTTAGTATCCTAAGGAACAAGATAGTCGACACTATAGTAAAAGAGTTAATAGGTTAGAGAAAGGAAGGCGCGTGTTAACTAATCTATCCTTAAGAGAGAGCGCCTCTACAACTAATCTTTATAGTACTAATAAGGCAGTAGATTATAGAGAAAGCGACTAAGAGATAGAGAGAAGAATAAGACGATAACTACTATAGAAGAGTAAACTATAAGATTAACCTTGTCTTATATAAGGCTAACCTTAAACTATACGACAGACTTTTAAAATAGTAGAGCTTACTACTTCTCTAAATAAGGACTAGAAAGATTAGACTAGCTATATTCCTTTACGACATTAAGGTCCCTAGATACGACTCTCTAGACTGTAATTAATATAATATAAGAAAGAGGCAAACCCTATTCTACATTCTAATTAAGTACCTAAAGTTTACTAAGCTAAGAAGTAAATTCTAAAGGAAAGTAAACTATTACTCTACTAACCTATAGACTATCCTTAGGGATACTTTAATCGCCTTATACGTAGTTAGGTTTATAATAGTAACACGTCTTGTCTAACTAATAAGACAGGTAATACTAGGACTAACAAAAACTACTAAGAAAGGGCTAGCTATTTAAATAGTGTAACCCTTACTCTTAGCGGGTAGAGAGTATCCTCTAATAAGAGGCCTTATTAAGGAAAGACTACTAGTTACTCTTATACTTACGTAGGCACTAAAGAGCGTCTAAACTACATAACATTTTATGCCTTTACCTTTTGTATTATATTTCTACTACTAACTTATATATAGTATACTCTTCTTTTCCCTTTAAAACCCCTTTATATCTTACGCGACAGTAGAGAAACAGTAGGATCCTTTTACGAGAAACAGAGGGCTCTTAGCCCCTAACTACTAATCTAGGCGTAGTTACTATAACTACTTAGAACAGAGACAAGGGTACTACAATTAATAAAGGTAACGTAGTAAGAAGATAAGCGATTAATAAGGGCAACGCTAAGGGACAGAGGAGTAGGTTTAGAGAGGAGCTAAGGGGACAGGCGGCCTAGCGCTTAGACATATATTTAGTTTTTTAGGTATTCTTAGGCTTTTTAGGTAGTATTCTCTTATTAGGCATAGATAGTTAGCGGGTATAGTAACCTACTTAGTTAGCTACCGTATAGGCCTTCGGCCTGGATCGGTTTATGAATAAATCAATCAATCAATCAATCAACAAGAATCAGCTCCTTCGTTAGCGACCGGGGGTTGCAAGGTGAAACCCCGCGCGGAAGTGCCCGTGGTTGATATCCTTTGTCTTCAGACCCCATACTCCCTCATCCCTTGCATTCCCGCCTTGCTTTGTTTCGCCGAAACTCAAAATCAGAGCCCTGAGTGCAAAGTGTCGTTAAGGGACCACTGGTTATCAGGAGGACAAACTTCGGTTTCATATCTAGGTAGGACTGCCTTTCGTTGAACCCTATGTCTGCTGCCAGACTTGCTTCCCAAACGCGCCAAGCATGATCGCAGCCACAGGGACTGATAAAACGAGGCCACCAACGCGGCCTACCTGAGAGCTTCGCAAAAAGTGTATCGGTAGACTTTGACCTCTTTAAGGCCCGGTTGCACCAGGGAGCCCCTCATTCGCGTACAGCAGAAATCGCGGTGCAAGATACCAATTATCCAAGATATTTGGAGAAGGTTGGCTGTAAAAAGAAGAGAAAGTCAAGCTCAATTAGTGAAGGGCTTTTCGATAATTGGTAGATGATCTTAGGATCTGTACCTTGCGCAATCGACAAAGGTAATTATCTCCGGTGCTTCCAAAACGTTGCCACACACTCTGCCTCTTTCACAGCATTTCCTCCTAGTGATCGGAATCACCTGAACATGGAATTATCGTGCCCGGCATACATACTTACGCACATACGTACTGCTGCGCCATCATTCGATCGAGTCCTACCTCATGAGGCGGCGCTGCAGCTTCCCGTGACACCGCATACCCGCCATCTCCTGAACGCAAATTCGATTTTTGGCCGCAGGCGTGAGAGTGTCATGGCAATGCTAGAACCTATCGGCCCCCGACACGTGCGTGTTTCAGGATTGAGGCTGGTATGTTTGCACAGTTTGCGGGCTGCTCGCAGTGGTTCGCGTCGTCGGTGTTGTTGTGGACTTTGGATGCCAATTTTCTCCCGTAACGGTAAGGCTAAAGACTCACTTTTTGATGCAGACATGTTTGCTTGGGCGTTTGGAGGTGGTAATAATGACTTGTACGTAGTCTCTTGGATTAGGTATGTATTGTCGAGTGCCCAATTTCTACAGCCTCGTCACGTGGAGATCCTAGAATTACCTACCTTAGCTCTTGTGTACCTAGCCTTGACCTCCTTTTCTAAGCGAGGTAAAGGGGCACAACATCGCAGAATCAGATACAACAACAGTTTACGACTGCACTAGGTTTGCGCCTGAACTTACCCAGGACTATAAATAACGTCTTGGTCGAAGGATCAAGAGGCCATTGGGAGAGTATTCCACGAAAATATTCTGATTGGCCCCCCGCTCGTTCTCGCCAATCAAATGTGACGAATAGACGCAGGTTGAAGATGAGCGCCAACCAAAACATTTGGCCATGCAGAGCTATTTCAGGAGAGTTCAAAGTTCCAAAAGCACCAATAACTTTGATAGCTAATCGCGTGGCCAAAGGGTTTTACCAGCTGCCAACACAGACTATTTCGTACATCCAATAACATGGAGTTTGGTGTACGGCTAGCCTTCCTTCATGGCCACGAGGCTATCGGCCAAGGCGCATTTCATTTCCAAAACACCAACATTGTTACATTGCAGTCCCTTGAAGCTCCATAATGGAGTCTGTTGGCGCGAGCAGAAGACTATATAGACCTTGTGCTCTTAGCTTGAGTGATGTAAGAGTCCTGGTGTTTCTCACGGATTCTGCCACACGAACTTTTCCAGGCCCGGACTTGAAGTCAACATTTCCAAATGTCGAGATTCGTTCAGCAATTATCGGCCCGGCGCATTGAGATTATTCCGGTCCCTTCTATTATCGGATCGACCTTTTTAATTCAAGCCGCGGGAAATTTTGAGTGATCCCATATATATAATAATTGGTGCGGTTGTCAGCGATATGGCTTCGAAAACTTCTTCTCGAGCAGTTTCGACGAGATCAGCTTCCCCACGGACCCCGCCTGATAACGTCGATCATTTCCTCTCCATATTCCAACGACCACAAAAGATTCATGTTCTCAAAACCAGGCAAAATACAATCTCATCCGAAAATCTCCTCAAGAAAACACCTATTGTCAGAGTAACTTCCATCCGAGAGAAAGATCAGCAGCCGTTTGAGGGAAAAGGACATCCCTGGAACACGGGCTTCATTCAACGCATCCCTTACGCAGGTGTACTTGCTCTCTTTGCAGTCATCCTCTGTGCTATTGCCGACGCGGTTATCCTCTGGAAGTCGAACAATCAAGAGGTTGATTCATGGTCCGTTTCCCCCTCTGTCTTGCTGGCCATCTTGTCAGCAGTAGCAAACATATGCCTTCAATTTGCTCGATCTCAAGGTGTTGTGATTGCCTGGTGGCGGAAAGCATTGCATGGAGCAACATTGAATGATTTGAACTGTTATTGGGAATCTGGCGACGGAGTCATAGCCGCAGCTATGTCTGGACGGGACTTCAACTGGGTTGCGCTTGCAACCCTTGTGGCATCCACAGTGTTCTTTGATGGCCCGCTGCTCCAGAGAGCTTCAATTGTCATCTCGAGGCCGACGACTAAAATGGTCAACGTCACAGCTCCGATCGCCCAAGAGATGCCTTATGGATACACCGGTCTTGCTGAACTCAACAATCCAGCTTTGTACTCAATCATTATGAACCAAAGCTTTGCACAAGCTGTCAACTCATTTTCCCAACGCACTCCCATGACGACAGAATTTACTGGATGTGTGGGGACTTGCACTGGAACAGTTAAAGCGGCAGGGCTTGCAATGAATTGCTCAACGGACTCGTTGCCATGGAAAAACAACCAGAGTCTGCCTGCCGGGCCCGACGGTGTAAATGGAAGCGAAGTGTTTTCTTCGAGCTTCACTTGGATTTCAGGGAACACTACATACTTCGCAGGTGTTCCTTTAATCAATTATGAGCTGCAATATGCGACTGGAAGGAGTGCTGCTCCACTTCTGTACGAGGGCGGTCAAACTGGAGGGTTCGACTCGTCGCCAAATTTTGGGATGTGTAATGGAACCCTGGTTAGGAAATCTTGCTCCTTGTTCTCCGCCACCCTCGAATATCCCATTACTTTGATCAACAGCACTGTGTCTCTGGGTACCAATTCCTCAAACTTCGCGGTGGACCATCTCCAAGCCTACGGAAATTTTTCCGACTTTTTTGACCACCACGATCTAAACGCTTTGTCTGTCACCACTCTCGGCGGTGTCTCCGTAGCTGCCCAGAACATGTTTGGCTCTAGAGCGGTTGAAGACGTATATCTTGTCCAAATGAATGGTTCCCTGGCAAGCCAATATGCCGTCTTCGAGACGGGAAATGGAAGCTTTGAACAGACACAAAATCCTTGTGCCATTAACTGGGGGGACCCGACCACCGAAATCATGGATTCTCTTAACGAGATCATGTTTCGAACAGCCTTGTCCGTATCCAATGTTTCGAAGTACTCCGTTCTGAACGCATCTATTAGCGAATGGTGGACGAGTTATTACGAGGCTTTCCCAGTGATATATCCAAATAGACCTAACGACACCGGAATCCCAATACCACAACTAATAGCCATGGAACAGACCTCGAATATCACCGTCTTCCAATCCCATTATTCTTACCTTGCAGCCGCCTTGGGTATCATGGCACTCGGGGTTCTAGTCGTCATGCCGACTTTCTATGGCTTCTGGGAATTGGGACGCGACGCGTCACTAAATCCCCTGGAGGTTGCAAAAGCATTTAATGCCGAATTCTTCCATGGGCAGGGCTCAAATGCTCCGGTAAGGCATCTGGCCAAAGGTTTCGGAGACAAGAAAGTAAAGTACGGTGAGGTTGTTGACGAAGGGGCTACTGGCAATAACGCAGGTTTGAACGGATCAGATATTCGGGAACATAGACTGGAACTTGCGGACCCAAGCCGTGTCATTGAGCCGAAGTCTCGGAAGGTGTACGTTTAGTTTGGAAGTGCGGGAGAAATGCAAAGGCGAATCTTGACAAGTGCATTGCGATATTCGCCATAAAAACAGAGAAAGCTTGGCCTAATCACTTTAGCTAACCGGATGGAAATGTCTTCTTGCCTCCTCCGCTAGATGTCGAGGAGCCATAACACTGTACTTCGAAGTTTCACTTTCTAGCCAGAAGTCATGAATAACTCCTCTACTCTCACCGCTGTTCGTCACCGGAACCTTGCCTGCGATGATCCTCTCGAAGAGTGCTCGCACCTCGATAATCATGTGTTCGGCATCCGCATTATATGTTAAATGGCTGCAACCGACTTTGACTCTTGGCGTTGCTTCGTGGCTCAGACCATGCTGACGTCTCAACTCGGAATTCTTGTGTAGGACAAATGAAAGAAGGAGATCAAGGGACGACATGAATTGGATCCAGTCACCTCCTTCCTCGGGGAAAATAATTGCAGCCTGCGTAGCGGGTAAACCTGGCACTTGTCCTCCGCCGTCAGGAAGTTCAGGGATTCGAGTGCTTCTTTTTCTCTCATAGAATGTGTCGCCAACGTAGAGATGGTGTTCATCGATATCATACCAGCCCAAGGAGTCCGGTGTGTGGCCAGGAATATGGAGAAATTGAATCCGAAAAGGGACCCCTGAGAGCATGAAGAACTCCAGATGTCTCGCCCAATGGGAGATCGTATATTTCGGGGTCTGGACATCTTTGAATTTGCAAAGCGAGTGCGTTGGGAAATTCTCGAGGAGAAAGGACTTTTCAAAGTCGGAGGCGATGATTACCGGATTTGCAGGGAGAAACTGAGGAATGCCGAGAATATGGTCGTAATGGCAGTGCGAGCAGAGGATGATATACTTCTTCTGCCCATCTGGATTCAAAATTTGATTATTGTTCGAGGGAAGGGGATAAGTCTCGAGGTACTGGCGAAGGGAAGTGAGAGATGGCTTGTTTGAGCGAGGCGTGTTGCAACCAGTATCAGCGATCAGGAGATAGTCTGGGTATATTTTGACGTATATGTGCGGTTGCTCGCCATAATGATCATCCTCAATGATAAGTAATGTCGATGAATTGACGCGACGGTCAACAAAGCTTGCTTTTGATAGCGGTGGCGGTTGAAAGCTTGGTAAAAAAGGATGCCATGCCACCATCGTAGTAGTCAACGTAGAAATGTTAGTACGCTCGAAGGCAATTTTAACTTTGAAAGAGTATGATCAGCATTTCTGATTTGTTGAAGAGATTTCTATCGTTGTTTCGGAAATTGTACAATCATGACCCCTACTGGAGGGTATGATTTAAGGTTAAAAAGGAGGCTGTTTCGAATTCCTAACTCAGAATACTGACGTGGTAGCCAGCTGACTCTGTAGACAACTTCAAGTCTCGAAATCTCTTAAGACCCTCGCTTTCTATTGATGATAAGACCGAGAAGACTGACGCTCAGCCGGATTGAAACAAGATAAGCAGTGTAAATAACAAAAAAAAGACTCATTTTGAAGGTCCGTGATGTACGGATACATACCAGAAGGTGCCTTTTTGTTGCAGGGTTGCTGGGGTGCAGGCCGTTGGGTCGCAGAGAACCAGAAAGTCGGGATATCTGGGGGAAGAGAAGACTGGGGTATGTATTTCTTTCTTATTAGAAGACGTTAGAATCAAAGACGCTTGAAGATTCCTTATAGTCGACGCCGTTTACCCTAAAGGTTCAGTCGGTACATGCATCTGTAGTATAGGTAGGTAAGTATGGTAGTAGGTAAGGTAAGGTAGGTGAATATAAGGTTCATGTTTAGGTACCTGGCTTACTAATAATAATCTTCCGAAATATCAACACCACGACGAGTACCTTCCCTCCTACCCCATCACCTTTCCACAACAACTGTATCAGAACGAAACAACAAGCATTCAAAGGTCTTGAATTCAATATAATGGCTCCTAGGTTTTCTATATTTATCGAACGGGATCCGAACTTTCGACGACATTCCGTTCAGTCTCCGCCCCTTCATGTATCAAGAATCCGAGAGAAGCTTCATGGGATTCATCCGCAGAATCATTTACAGAGATCGACTGGCAGTATCATGCATGCTCACAAATCCTGAGACGGCGCGTTCAAAGATCGTACTATATGTTTGACAGACCGACGCTACCTTGCCCGCATCTCGGCCTCCAGGAGCCCCAGCACAGCTTATTACCATCGAATTTACCTGTCACGAACAGGAATGACACGATCCGAGTCGGCGGTAATGCTGTACCAGCCACAGGAACAGCTAGGAGATCTGTTCATCTTCTCACACATGTCCGTCATTGTTGACCGACGCAAGTCACAAGGTATTCGTACAGCTAGGTACAGGGTGTAGGCCAGTCAATAGCAAGAACAGCCGTTGACTGGAACATCTGCATCTCATATTCGTATGCGTCGACAGCTTGACTGGTTCTGACGTGAAGCACAAAACCTTGCTTGACAGCACCAAGTGGCATTCCCGGCACCCAGTAATGCTACCCCTGCAAAGGTCGGGGGCGCGTACCCTTGCACGACTCCACCAAACTTTGAAACGTCAAGAATTCTTTCGCTTGAGGCTCACGATAGGGCGTCGATTATCACTTCTGTGCATTTGACCACAACGGCCACAAAGGGATGCAAATGCCCATTGTATCGAGTCCCATTGTGGTTTTCCTGTGTTCTTTCAGTGAATCGGGTGAATGAGACGGTTTGTTTGTGGCCATTTTCTTGTCCTTTGGAAGTGGAATTCTCTCTTTATTAGAATCGTGCGTTGCCTTTATTCGAAAATCCTGGCTTGTGAGCCTTTCCTATTGAATAATTAGAGTCAATAATAGCAACTATACTCAACAATAACCGTTTCTTTCTATTGTGCAGCAGTGCTGACTCCTTTCACGCTGCGCGTTGTTTAATTATCTGCCATTTGTTTTATTTGAGCAACGCTTCTTTTTTCATCTCTTTTAATATTATACTTCCACAGTCTTCTTCCCACAGCCAGAGAGCCCTTCTCGAGACTACTCTACAAAGATCGAACCCTTGACCTGCGCTTTCACAGACTCGAAGCAAGATTACTTGAGAATCGCGGCTCAGCCAAGATAAAAGTTTCACATAACACCAAAATTCTGAATACAACTTCAACATGAAATACATTCTGTCGCAACCAGTATGGCTGGCCATCATCTTCACCTGTGCCGCCACAATTGAAGCCCACACTTGGCTTGAACAACTCACCGTGGTCGCACCAAACGGAACCTTTATTGGTAACCCCGGTTACCCTCGGGGGTTCGTTGCTCGACTACCAGGTGTCGATCCCGACGAAGGTATGACCTACCTTCTCCCTCCGAATGGTAGATCGACTGGAAATGAAATCCTTCAGACAGACTTGATGTGCAAGAGCACACAGACTATTGGGTCTCAGACGGCGGGTAGCCCGGCTCTCATCGCCTCACCTGGAGACTTTATCGCACTCCGGTATCAAGAAAACGGTCACGTAACCCAGCCGCAGATTCCACCGGGAAAACCTGAAGGAAGCGGCATAGTATACGTGTATGGGACTGCCAGTCCCTCAAATGACGACACCTACCTTGGAATCCACCACGTTTGGAATGCCGATGGGACGGGTGGAGACGGGAGAGGAGTCCTCCTGGCCACCCGCCATTTCGATGATGGACAGTGCTATCAGATCAACAACGGCACAATCTCCAAAAACCGGCAGGAAGAGTTCCCCCACAACGCAAATCCACTCATGGGAGAAGATTTGTGGTGCCAAACCGATGTACAGCTCCCAGCAGATGCTACTGGAAACTACACGCTCTACTGGGTCTGGGATTGGCCAACACTGGATAGTAATGGCGCCGTAATCAAGAATGAGAGCTATACCACCTGCTCGGACATCAGCCTGACTCCAGCAGAAGGCAAGTCGTCGAAAGCGGAGGTGATCAACTTCGCCAAAGGACAGAGTCTCGACAGTGCAGCTATTTCAGTCCAGTTAGAAACCCCTTTTATTGTCGACCCAACTGCAGCTCAACAGGTCTACACAAATGGACCAGCAGCAGCCATCCCATCATCCGCTCCCGCGCAATCAAGCTCGGCAACCCCGACGTCCAAGGCAGCTGGAGGCTTCGTCACCGTGACAGTCACAGGCGACCCCAAAACTCAACTCGAGACAGTTACAGCTACAGTCTTCAACATAGTAGGACACATCGTCGCAACATCTGACCCCGTCCAGCCAGGCTCCAGCCAGGTGATGAGCACAGTCACCATCAGCCCATTACCACTCTCAAGCCCAACGAGCACGAACACATCTCCATCATCACTCCAGAGCACCATCTCATCCGCGGCTACGACACCCGCTATCCAACCCTTCCTCTCACCTGAATCCAAAATCATCTCTGTGAATAGCATCTCCTCTGCAAGCTCAAGCTCCCCTATCAAGAGCCCGACAATTCCAAGCGCCCCCACGACCGAGACACTAACCTCTGCATCACCAACTCGAATACTAACCCCGACCATACCCTCGAGTATCACGCTGCCAGGAGGCGTCTTCAGACTCAGGGGCCGTGTGTTCCGACGGTGATCAAGCCCTGGAATTGAAAAGCAGGAAAGAAGGTAGCGCTGGTCGTCTCATTTGTTCAGGGCGTTCATTCTCTAAAGGCTGCAATAGGGAAGGTGTTCGCGTTTAAAGGAATCGAGGAGTCTGGGGAACGGCTGTGCACTTTTTTCTTTTTCCCTCTTCACTCTTTTCTCTCTTTCTTCTTCTCGCTATGCACTTTACTACACTATGGGGTATGTTTGTAAAGGACATGAATATATCTGGTGTCTATGGAGAACTAGTTAGCTGGATGAATACCCACTTTGCTTTAACATACACGATGCAAACACAGAGAATTATCAAAGCATATTTTTGCAAAATCCCTCAATTTTTTTTACCTTTTCTTGTGCTATGTGACCCTCGCCTTAGGTACTTGCTTATTGCCCCCTGTATCACTCCTCAAGAGTCATGAGGTCCAGCTTTCATCTGATCTCCACGAATGAAAGATTAGTGGAACGAGATGAGAAGAATCTCGAATCACGCTGCGATCTCTCCATCCTACCTCGCTATTTCGAAAGCCTTTCTTTTTTTTCCCTTCGATTGATAAGCTGTTCCAACATAACCATAGCAGGCAGTATTATCCCATTTTTTCCTCCCTCCTCAACACATACACATACACATCCGCTCCTCACTCACATCTCTCCACACTGACTAATAACCACATCCAGATTCGGAACGTCTTTACCCCGATATCCAGTCTTCGTATGTTCCATCTTACGAACAACATCCATACCATCCACGACACGACCAAAAACCACATGTTTCCCGTCTAGAAAGGGCGTGGGGACCGTGGTGATGAAGAATTGACAACCGTTGCCGTTGGGTCCTGCGTTCTTTTTTTGGGGCGCGGGAGGTTAGCTTAGATGGGAATGAAAAAGAAGGGGGGGAGAGATACGGCCATGGAGAGTAAACCAGGTTCGGTATGCTTTAGGGTGAAGTTCTCGTCGGCGAAGGTCTTGGTCCCGTAGATGCAGGTAGAGCCTGTGCCGTCGCCATTTAAGAAATCGCCGCCTTGACACATGAAGTCTTTAATCTGTGTGAAGAGCCATGAATCAATCGGTCAGTTCTTTCTTTTTTCTATAAAAAAAAGGAAAAAGAGAAAATAGGTAGGGGAAGCGTACGATGCGGTGGAACTTGCTCCCCTTGTAGCCCTGCGGCCGCCCGAGATGGTTCTTCGTCTCGCCCGTGCAGAACTGGCGGAAGTTCTCGGCTGTCTTGGGGACTACATCGGCGAAGAGTTCGAATTGAATGCGGCCGAGCGGTTCTCCTGCGAAATGGAAAAGTCTGGTGTCAGTTGTGGTCGTTCTTTCTTGATGATATCACGTGATATAGAGGGCGAAAAGGAGGGCAGGAAAAAAGAAGCGAAAAAAGAGAAACAAAAGAAAAAGGACAGAAACCAAAAAGACAATCTGGAAGCACAGGAATAAAGACGTACCTCCAAGGGTGATGTCGAAAAATACCCTGTGGATTCATGTCAGTGAGGTTGGAGTGCTGGTGTGCGCGTCACGAGACTTACAGCGGGTTGCCCGAGGCGGGGAGTTGGGTGGGAGGCATGTTGCGGGGAGGAGAAGAGAGAGGAAATGTTCCGTAGGGAGTAAAGGGGGCGCGGGGGCGCGATATTACACTGGTGATTTACTGCTGATTACTACTTTGAGTACTGTGCAGTAACTGGCCCAGCTGAATAATGGAGAAGGGCGAATCGGTGGTCGAATGGGACGGTGTGCTGGGGGGTGGCGCTGATGGATGGGGATCCTGGAGTGTTGCGTGTGATGAGCGCGCAAATGTGATGGCCGTGAATCGTGATTATGGCTGTACAGTAAAGGTAAGTGTGATATGAGAGGCGGCACGAGGGCACGTCGGCGAGATCGGTCTCGTTGATCGGCGGGTGCGATTGGCCGGGGCGGGATGGAGAGAGAGGTATTAGATACTTGTGTAAAGGGGGGTGGTCTGCGGTGAATAGAGGTACTGAATACTCGGCCCTGGAGACTTGTGGTGGTGCGACTGTAGGAGACGCTTAGGTAGACGTCTAAAATAGGTAGTGTTAAAGCTTATATAGACCTTCAAGGGATCGTTTACAACGCGTTTAGAATCCGAGTAGGATACATAAATTAATATTCATACGCCAAGAGTAGAGGCTTAAGAATAAGTAAGATCCTAAACTACCTAGTAAGGTCATGTAACATCCTTTTGATGTATCTTTCGTTAGGAATCTGCATGTAGCTGCAGGCCACATGATATAACTATTTACACGTGACATACATTGGCACGTGATACCATCTTCACCCGTGTACCTATTACTTGGAGAATCTCTTCATTCCTTAATGAGGACTCTTGCAACTACATTGTGCGCTAGATTCCCTCCATCCGTATCTGCCAGAAAGATGTAGGCTCAACCACTCGACAGGGCAAGTCCAAATGATGGATGGCTTCGCCATGGGACCCAATAACGCCTCGAATCCGCTGCTTGACGATTCCAAGTTCAGACGAATGGAACTTGAAGGCAACGCATTTCCACACATCCACCACACAAGGACTTAGCTCTAGATCCCATGTACCGCGCCAGGTGATATATGCACAGTCTCTGTCCGTATGGTATATAAATGCACAGACTTCCCCCCGTGCTATTCCAGAGCGCCAAAGTATGCAGTTTGGGTCTGTAGTGCAGCACTGCCAGCACTAGGTACATAGCAGAGCATAAATCTCCTGGCGACTTCCCATATATTTTAGGAGTTGCGATGTTAGCGCTAGAGACCGCAGGTGTTGCCAAGTCCAGGTTTGCGTACAAGCTGGAAAGAAATCCTCGGCATTGACCATGCACGAGACAGAAAGTTGTTCAAGGTCGAGAATTCTAGAAGCAAAGGCTGTACCAATCCTAAGATCTACGATGCGGACAGCATCCACTTGCACATGTCCAGGAAACTGGGGATTGTGCAGTGCTACAGCAAGATTGTCGTTGAAATCTTCAAACACTAATACTCTTGAGGGTTTTGGGAAGGCATTTTTGTGTAGGAATTCTGCAACCCAGATGTCAGTGGTCGAACGCGTGAGGTAGGAGTTTGAGGTAGTGAATGTGATGTCATTGGGATCGGGAATTATGCTATAAGAAGGAGAGATCTTGAGATGTAGAAGGTTGCGACTTGCAAATGGGTGTTGGGGATATCACTTACCTTACCTCTTATATGATACCACCACAAGTCACGTGTGGCTGGGCAAATACTGCCGTGTGTAAGGTATATACCTATACACCTAATGAGTAGGGTAAGAATTCATTAGTTATTTCGGCCTTCTATAACAGTTTAGACGTCTGTCTACCTCGGTACCTAAGCCCATATGGACGTCTACGTGAGCTACTACCCTCGACTGTGGCTTGTTGTGCTACGAAAGAAAAGGTGGGGTGAGGGCTGCGGCGCTAGCCTCTTGGGGTCCGAATGCAGGGGTTAGTGGAGGGGAAAGGAAAGCTTGATTTCTTGGGCGGGGATTATGTAAGATGTTACCGTATTGCCGTGCTCGGTATACGAGGATGAGGTATCTCATATCTTTATGATTGCATGATATGTTTTTTTTTCTTTCTTCTCTTTCTCTTCTGCTTCATTGTCTCACTGTCACATTGTCTCATTCTCTCTTTGTGCTGTCCTCACCGCGTCCGACCGCTCGCTCTCTATCCGGGGTCCTGCTCCTCTGGTCAATCTCGGCGCATGAATGCTGACTACGAACCCTCTGTTGACGGCCCTGCTGCCCTGCTGCGAACCTTTGCTGTGGCCTGTAGGAGCGGTACAGTAGCACTGTCGTATGCAGTCCTGCGCAGAGCGATAGTACATGCTCTGCACAAGAGATGCGGTCGCCAGGGTGATGCATCATCACCTTACTCGTGTTCCCTCAGTGAAGCATGAACCATTCGACGCTGATAGGCACACAAGTCCAGAACAGAGACATGTGTATTGAGCATTACCTGATGTATTATTTACCGATTACCATGATTATTTATATCTACGCCGTAGTATAGGGTAAGGTAACTACAGCAGAGCGATAGGGCCCCTCCTGCCAATGCCAATCATTTTGTTCGTCGTTCGTCGATCGTCGCCCTCTGGATCCCCCGAACTTCTTGGTCAAAAAGCGGCGCTCCCGCATCGTCTCCTCTCTCCTGCCTCGCATCGGCCCATTAACGACCCACGATACTAAGGTATACTCGGGGATCCCTTCTCTCCTGTTTTCTCTCCCTCTCTCCCTCCCTTCACTCCAACGAGATAGACAAGAGTGGCAGAGTGACAGACAGACGTGCTCGCCTTCATCCTTGAGCTTCTCTCTACCGGCGATAGTCTTCGTCAATCGCCGATCGTGAATCCTTCCGTTCCCCCCCAGCCAGCCTCGTCTGCCCTTTGCTGCTTGGTTTGACCCTCCCCCGCCACCCCCAAAGCCGACCACCACACTCCACCGCATTCAGCACTTGACGAATGTCGTCGGGATATCCTTCGACTTACCTACCTATGATTCACCTTCCGTCCATCCCCTCCCATCACCTTCGTTGTGCCGGACCTGACACGGAGGTCCGCCCGTCCTTTGTACGATAATTACGAGACTGTCATTCTAAGCGACCGCTGCTCTCAATCATTGAAACAAAGGGCCCTTGAATCCTTGAATATCTATCTGTCCTACCTTACCTTCCTGCCTCGCGCCGCATTACCGCAGCCCGATCCGTCGGCGCAGCACAGCGACAATGTTCGCTATCCATCAGCTCGTCACCTCGACCTTTCATGCGGTTGAGCGAGAGCTGCTCGCACCACGCGATTCGGCGGGGTCCCAAGCGTCGTCGTCAATCGCTCCCACTTCAACCCAGTTCACTATATCCCAGACAGGTTCGACCACCTCTCCACCCTCTGCAACGTCAAGCATGCCGAGTTCGGGCGGCGGCGGCTCCAGCTCACCCCTTCTCTTCTTCGTGGCATTGGGCTTCGGAGTCGTATTCACAAATCTATGGTAAGCAGAGACGAGGAAGCGGTCGCTGGGGTTCTGGATTTGCTGACCATTCGTAAAGGATTATTGTAGGAGTCAAATACTGCTTTCGATACAATGCACGCCAACGGGCCTTGCGGAATGGCGCTGGGGAAGATGCCGATCCCATCAACCTGGAGAACATGCCTGCAAGGCCACATCGCCGGCGGAGGGAAAAGAAATTGATGACGATGGACGAGGTCAACGAACGATTCCCCTTGACGCAGTACAAGAACTGGGCTGCCAACCGCGCGAGTGCAGGACTTTCGACGAACGGCGGCGTCACGGTCGCTGAACCACCGAGTCGTGCTCCAAGTTTAAGAGAGGTCGACTCATCGCCCACCGATGCGAAGAACCCTGACCATCATGTATCCGAGACTATTCAGTCGGAGGAAGCCACCTCAACTGTCAAGAATGATATTGGGGAGAACTTTGCTGAAAGAAAAAGTTTGGAAGGGACAAGCTCTGAAAAGAAAGCACCACATACTATCGTCGAAGAGCATCATTCCCTGAAAGAAATACAAACTGCTGATAGCGCCGGTGATAAGCACGCCCCTCCGGTGGTGGACGGGGATGGGGACGACGATGACGACGATGACGAACATATTCACACTGCGGTACCGCCCGAGCTTATGACCAACCCTGGAGATACTTGTGCCATTTGTATCGACACCTTAGAACCGGACGACGATATCCGGGGCCTGACCTGCGGTCATGCTTTCCATGCTGGGTGTATAGATCCGTGGTTGACCTGTCGTCGTGCTTGCTGCCCACTTTGCAAGGCCGACTACTACATACCCAAGCCTCGTCCTGAACGCGAAGCGGCGGAGACTGAGCGTACTGGACGTCGAAGTGGCAGAGCACCCCCACCTCCACAAACAGCCTGGACCGGCATTCGTGGAAATCCTCGTCTTATTCTACCGGGACGGTTCATCTCTGGATATCCAGGTGATGGATATGATTACGGTCGACGGGAGACTCGACATGCCAGGAGAGACCGCCGGGCGGCAGCAGCCGCTCAAGCACATCGAACGGCAGCTAATGCTAGACCGGTCGAGAATAGCCGTGCTGCAGCACCAAGAAGATGGGTGCCTAGGGTATCAAACCCCTTCAGCTCGATGCGCATGCCGAATATTCCATTTCCAGGCCGAGCCCGGGGAAGGGACACCGCTGCAGAGGGGAATGCTACAGAGCCTTCACCTTCGCAACTGGAAGCCGGTGTAGTTCGATGATTCATCTTGTCACTTTCGATCACCCCCCATCAACAATACTCCATGCTGCTGGACGGACTGTAGGAGTATTTCTCATTGTTGCAAATGCTTGAGATACCCACGCCCTTTTGAAGCTTCACCTACCTCTACTCTCCCACCAAATATTTGTACACGTCTTGTCGCGCTTCACGATTTTCATACCACATCTACACCGTTTGTCACTTTAGCGATCTCTTTAATGCGTATTTCCCATGGCTTCTCCTAGCGAGCACAGCATGATTGGTAGTTGGGACTGTATTTGATTTGGCTTCGCTGCGCCGAGCAGACGGATAGCAGGGCTGGAGTACCCCAACACCGGGAGTAAGGAAGACGGAAAGGGAAAGGGAAATGGAATGGGAAATGGGAAATGGCTCCACACTGAAAGGATAGGATAATATATGCACACGTCGCTGTGTACTATGGACAGAGAACGACGAAATTTGCTTGATATATAATACTTCCTCCTCCTCCCAGCCTAGATATCTATCCATAGGCCGAGGTCGAAGATTAGGTAGCTGGAATCTATGAGTCTCTGAGAGAACGAACACTTGTATGAGCCGCATTAATTAATAACTCCGGATGTGATGGGTAGTGACCTGCGATCTATATTGCTATTTTGCTATATTGAAACTATAGTTATGTTTGCAGACAAACGTTTCTATTCGAGTCTTTCAGAGGTGATGGATGGTCTGGCTAGATAGATAGACCTTATGGGCTTTTTTTAAACATGCCCCCGTCATGAGACAGACTTAGCCCTGTCATACCTTATGATAGATAGATAGATCTCAGATGGTAATAGTTTTATTAGTAGTAGTAGTAGTGAAGAATCCCACCTTCCTTCCCCCATTCCCAGCTCACAGATACCTGCCCTTCTGAAAGCGGGATCCGAAATCCGCCGCCTTGGCCAACAATTCCTTCCTCTGGCCATGGCCCAGCCGTCCACCCAGCGCCATATCTTTCTCGCGGTCGAAGGCGCGCTTGCTCGGATCGTCCTCCTTCTCGCGCGGCGTCTGCTGCTGCTGCTGCTGGTGCTCCTCGTACAGGCTGCGGCCCCGGTTCTTCTCGTTGTACTCGCGGATGCGCCGCGCTGTCTCGATATCCTCTTGGCTCTCCTCCGGGCGGCGCGCAGCAGCTGGCCCCGCGGCTTCGCGGGACGAGGCCGCTGCGTCCTTGCGGCCTAGGACCTCGTCCGCGAGCCGTTGGCGCTTCTGCTCGGGCGTCTCGGTCCAGATGGCGCTGATGCCGCCGACTCCTCTCTCGGCGGGCGCCTTCGCGCCCTTGCCCGATGCGAACTTGCGGTTCTTCAGCTTGGTTGGGTCGACGCGCGATGTCCAGTCCGAGTCCGAGGGCGGCACGAGCATCCAGTCATCGCGTTGCGGTTTGCTGGGCTCTTGGGCTGCGGACGCGCGCTCTGTTTCTTCTTGTGAACGCTGGGCAAGGAGTTGCGCTTCGGCGGCGGAGCCAGGCGCGGGGGGTAGGGAGGGCCCAAAGTCATCATCATCGGAGGAGGAGGAGGAGGAATCTGGGTCGGCGTCGGCGTCGGGGTTGGCGGGGTCGGATGGCATGGAGGAGAGGGGGCCGGGTGGTGGAGCGGGACCTAGAACTCGTCGAGGTGGAGGGGGGCTCTTTGGTCTGGAGGGTTGGAGACTTGGTCCATATTCGTCTTCGGAGCTGTCGTCTACATCCAGCTCATCTGGGTTCTTGGGTGGTGGTGGTGGGGCGGGCCCTAAGACTCGTTTTGGAGGGCTGGAGGGTTTGCTAGGTTGGAGAGAAGGTCCGTATCCATCATCTGAGCTGTCATCGACGTCAAGTTCGTCTGGGTTCTTGGAAGGCGGGGGTGCTGGCCCCAGAACGCGTGGTGGTGCAGCGGCGGCTTGGACTTTATGAGGTGGAGAGTTGGGGTGTTCAGCATCGTCGATCGAACGCTTGCGCTTGGCAAGGTGGGGAGGTAATTCGGGGCCAACTTGAGGCATGGTCTTAAACCGAGTCTTGGTGTTGGTCGCGAATTTTGTTGTTGATTTTCTTGAAGTTGCTCAGAACTCGTAGTTGATATCCGATGTTTCAATCAGTTCGGGACATGCCGATGTCACTTTCTTGGCCACTTCAATGCGCTTGCTTCCTCTGCCGCGCTGTAGTTGGTGATATCTCGCAAACTGTCCTTTCCCGTCCCTGATTTATAATCGTTGTTATATGTATGCCTTGTAAAAGGAAGAAGTGAAGCTGAAGATACCTTAAGGTACAGACTGGCATCTCTCTATGCGGTCGATCGCATGTAAGCGAGATCTATAGATATCGGGCAAGAACCAGGGGACGAGCTACTGCACCTGTCAACATTAACTCAACCTTAGAGCTCAGAGCTCCAACTGCACGGCTACGACGATATCCCAGAGCCAGGAATCCCTTATTGCGCGGCTGGCCCTTCTCCACAAACTAATGGGGTGCTAAGATCCAGAGCCTGGATGAGTCTACGGACCGCGGCGCATTCGACCTGTCAGAGCGGAGCCATGCTCCTATTCCAATGAGCTCTTCTGTGGAAAACGACAGCGGTGCGGAGGAGGAGACGATTAATGGAGATGTGCCAGTGCCGGCGGCAGAGGAGACCCCCGCGATACATAAAAGCAATGGGAACGGGTCGCATCCTGCTGGAGGGCGCATCGTGGAGTTGTTGCAGGAGGAACGAGATGGAGCATCAACGCCGGAGCAGTTGGGAAACGGCACCAACCGATATAAAGTTGTCCAGCAGCTAGACAATGAATCTGAAGATGGGTCGTCAGAGGCTCTGCCTCGGCGAGCTGGAAGCCCTCTCGAATCAATCCTGTCAAACCCAGATGATTCTCCATCAGTTCAGGTAACTATATCACAGCCACTCCATTTGACTCGTCTAAGCTATATCACAGGGCTCTTTTATGTCTTCTCCGGCAGGAAGCAGCTTGCTTCCCTCCGTGGCGTCGAGGCCAGGTCTCGAAAGCCCGAGTCCCTCCTTTCGACCCTTTGACCGTCGTTTCCAATCGCGTCTCTCAAGCTCCACATACACTCTATCCCGCGCCTCCTCACCTGCCTTTCCCAGAGGCCACTCACGGCAAACCTCTATGAGTAGCCAAATGATCGAAGCGGGGGACACCGATACCCCGTCGCCTCCTTGGGAAGTAGTGCGATGGACGAAGCTGAAGAAGCTGAACGGCCAGGCGTTTTCTGAGGTTGGCAAACGCAATTTTGGCGTGCCAACGTGTATAGCAGTGTCTGTATCGATAGTGTTGGGAACCTCGAAGGGAATAATTCTAATTTTCGATTATCACCAAAACCTCAAGTCAATCATTGGACCTGGTACAAAGGGTAAGCGCTCGGAGTCCTTGATTTGGTTAAATGCTGACTATTTCAGCTGTCGAATGTGGTGCCGTTACCTCCGTTGCTATTTCTGCAGATCACTTGGTAGTTGCTGCAGGCCATGCAAACGGTAGCATTTTCACATGGGAGACAGCAAGAGCAGCTCGTCCCTTTCTCCATATTCCGAGCATTGAGCCTTCGCAGATGAAAAACCGTACAATTGATGGCCATGTTCTAAACTTTTCTATTAGGCATTTGGGCTTTCTCGGAACTAGGCACACAGCCCTCGTCTCTGCTGATGACCGAGGAATGGCTTTCTCACACCTTGCGACAAGAGGCATGGGTGCCGTAGGGCGCTCTGTTAAGACTACTCGTATATTAGGCCGATACCCCAGTGACATCAGTACTACTGGAAAGCCACGGAAACCAAGTACTGTACTGGCCTTTGCTCCACTCCCCCTTGGCAATGTTGAGCGAGGTACAGATACTTTGGGGCTCACAGCAATGCTCACTCCTTATTTGCTTGTGATCGTCTCAACGACCCCAATTGCTGAGACACAACATAAAGCAGCACGGCCAAAGGAAGTAGCTGCCCATAGTGCTATGAGTGGCTGTTTGGCGTGGTTTCCAGCAGTCAAATTAAAGGTCAAGGATCCTGTCACTGGTAGTGAGGTATCCAAAGTAAAGCTTGTATACTGCTGGTCTAATGTCTTGACTGTTCTGGATGTTGATGAAATCGAATCTTCTGATAAGGACAAGCCCCCGACCCTCTCTTTCAATGCTCGCAGCCGGTGGAAAGCAGATGAAGCCATTGTTGCTGTTCAATGGCTCAGTCGGTCAGTGCTCACTGTTCTAACCATTACCCAACGATTGATCATTTTGGAGGATGGAAGCATGCGCATGACGGAAGCTTTTGATCTCGTCCAGAAACATATTTACCACCAAGATCTGTTCTCGAGGCAGTTGCATAATCTTGTCGAGCAACTGGATGAGGAAGATCCGTCAATGCATGGTGTTGTGGCTGATGCATTTTACATGAGCTTCAAGGCATACAAAGGTCGGATGTTCCTTCTTGGGTTCAATGATATATCCATTGGAATCCTATCGAATTGGGCAGATCGACTCATTGCGTTGATGGAAGATGGTGACTACATTGGTGCAATCCAACTCGCAACATCTTACTACACAGGCGACGCTGATAAGCTCACAATTGGCCTCCCTGAAGACTCAGAGCTGCGGCATTCGATGGTGCGGGAAAAGTTGATTGAAATCATGACAGCATCACTCAAGTTTGCTTCTGGACAGCGACGGAAGGATCCAGTCACGACCGGCGATGGCCACTTGAGGGGTTTGGCCGAAGCATGTTTTGAAGCTTGTCTCAGCATAGGTGATATTGATTTTCTCTTCGATGAAGCCTATGAGTGGTATGAGCACAGCGATTCCGAGGGCATCTTCCTCGAGACACTGGAACCATATATCGTCGAGAAGCAAATTACTACCATACCTCCAACGATTGTCAAGGCAATAATCACTCATTATGTGAGCAGAGGCTTAGAAACTCGACTGGAAGAAATGATTTGTCATATGGAGACGGCTACCCTCGACATAGACCAAATCACCACTCTTTGCAAACAGCACAACCTGTACGATGCGCTGATCTATGTGTGGAATCAGGCACTCCACGATTATATCACGCCCCTTATTGATCTTTTATCTTTGTTGATACCCTTAGTCCAGAATGGAGACTATGTTATAAATGGGAAAGTCATGGAAGATCCAGTCTTTGGCGTTAACGCCTTGAAAATGTTTCCATACATGTCTTACACTTTCACTGGCCGGGTCTATCCCACTGGTGAACTTCTTGGGGAGGAGGAAGCCATAAACGCCAAAGCCGAGTTGTATTGGTTCATGTTCTCAGGAAAGACAATCACCTGGCCCAAGGGGAGCAAGAAGCCCTTTTTGACGCAGCCTACACAGGAGCAGGAGCCATCTTTCCCGTATCTTCGCATGATTTTGAAGTTCGATGCCCCTAGCTTTCTCAGTGCTATGAACGAAGCTTTTGAAGACTCGTTTCTTAATGATACACCCGAGAGAGCGGTCAATGGTGGCTCCAACCGCAACCTGCCAGAAGAGCGCGTATTTGGGCTGTCTGTCAATAGGCAATACATTATCACGATTCTGTTGGAAATCATGAATCCGAATGAATTTGCTCCAGAGGACACAATCTACCTCGATATGTTCATTGCACGCAACCTCCCGAAGTTTCCTCAGTACTTGCTACTATCCGGGACAGCTCTGCATAAGGTTCTCATAGGACTTTGCAACTATCCTGGAGAGGACATTGCAGATGATGCACAATTAAGTGCTGAATACTTGCTGTCCGTCTACCACCCGCCAGATCTCATGGATTTGTTGCCACTTTTCCGAAAGGCTGGTTTCTATCGGGTTCTCAAGCGCATATATAAATCGGAGAGACAGTACGACAAATTGCTGGAAACCTTCCTTGAGGACCCCAACGATCGGGAGTCGATCTTCGACTGTCTAGCTGACTGTTTGAGGCCCCGGTCAGGTCTCACCAAGAGACAAATAAAGGGAGTCCACGAAGTGATTGAGGCTCATGCAAGTCAACTTGTCTACCTTGATCCGGAGAGAACTGCCCAAACCATGGAATTATACGCCCCTTCGCTCCACCAAACACTCTTAGATTCCATTACAGATGGTTTGGAAGTCCAGTATATCTATCTTCGCACAATATTAGAGCCAGCGACCAGAGAGATCGATGATGCGAAACGTGAATCAAGAGGTGCATTTACTGAACGCTACGTGCAGTTGATGTGCAAGTTCGATCCATCACATGTTGTGGAGTATATTGAATCAGTAGAGGCAAGCAATTTGCGTCTCGATAAGGTCTTACCGTCCATGGAAGAAAGTGGTGTTGTCGACGCTGCCGTGATTCTGATGTCTCGGGATGGCCAGATACGAGAAGCAATGGACCGACTCCTTATGCATCTGAAGAAATTGGAAGCTGCCCTTGTTGGCCTACTGAGTGGCTCGGCTGAGGATATGCAATCCATGCAAGCGGGAGAGGCTGCCGAAGACCTTCTAGCTGCCTTACAAAAATATACTAATGTTGGTATTTGGCTTTGTCAAGGGCAGGCAAAGGCTTCACACCTTCGTGCAATCACATCACCAACTCGAAAAAAGCCTGTGCCAAAGAACGAGCTTCTCCCCGAGGAAGTACTGTGGTTAGACTTGATCGATATTACGGTGCAGATTACACGGAAACTCTCAGCAAGCTTGAGTGATTTTGAGGGATCGCCAGTCACGAATATTGAGCCTGATAAATTGCTTACTCAGTTGCGCACACTTGTCCAGCGTAGCTTTACTGCTTTACTAACATCGACCTCGACACCTTCCCCTTCCGGCACCAACTTGTCATTTTTGCGAATTCTTCGGGCTTTCCTGACCCGAGCGTCAATTTCTTCACCGAATCTCAGCGATTTAAGGGCTGTCCTTGCTTCTATCTTCTCTGCATATGCCTACGAGGAGAGCATTCTTGGCCTTGCCAATCGACTGCTAGAGAAAGATTTGTTCGTTAACGTACAATCTGCTGCTGCCCTCCGCCAACGTGGCTGGAGACCACGCGGTTCTACTTGTGAAGGCTGTGGTCGTCGGGTCTGGGGTCCAGGGGTCTCAGGAGATGTATTTGGTGAATGGGAAAAGAGACAAGAGTTGGAGCTCAAGAGAAAACAGGAACAACGGGCCCAATTGGCTGGAGGCAATGTGGAGCGAGGAAAGGGCAGAGCTCATGTCAGAAATGTGAGTACGGCCAGCATTTCGGAAAACCCTAAACATAAAGGCAAGAGTGTAGATGCGGAGGATGGCCAGCGGGCGGGAGGCCAACTTGAGTCGAGACCGCAGCAAGGATTGGAACCTTTGGTTGTACTTGCTTGTAGGCATATTTATCACCAGTCGTGCTTGGAGGCTATGCAGATTGATGGCCAGGCTGCGGGAGATCTGTCTGACGGCAGGGAGTTCAGGTGTCCTATAGATGGGTAGCCATATAGGCCAAATTTATTGCATAATGATACATGAGCGAGAGCCAATGGCCATGACCGTAATTTTCTGAAAAGCGCCAAACCACCCAGGAATTTGTGAAGATCTAACCCATGGTGAATTCGTCTCCAGAACGAGGATGAAGCGGGGCCCTCTGCATATCAATATACTGAAGAATTGCCATGCCAAGGGATGATCGCCGACTCGCAGATACCCCCTGAGAGATTATCACGTGAGGATATATTGCCCTGGAGATGGAATGTTTACCTAATAAGGTACGCAGCACAACCGTGCAGGACGATACATTGTCACATTTCTGGCTTTAAAACCGTAATTTTTGAAATCTTTCACTGCCTCGTAAGTTGCAACATTCTGTTACAGTCCATCCGGCAAGCGTTTCGCCCGGACAAATTGTGCACTTGTAATTCATCACGATCTGCCCTTCAGGAGTTGTTGACACGCTCTGAAACGTCGCATTGCAAGAACGCTGTTGCAGGTTACTGCCGCATATTTCATCGCCGGCACTCACAAGCTTTCCAACAAAAGTTTTATCTCTCGCCCTTTCCAGATTGTGAAGTTGAACTAGACCAAGTTGCACATAAATTTGAGATAAGAGAAGAGTGGACGCTGATTACTACACTTGGAGCCGGACTTCTTCCCCAGCGCCCCTATTCTTACATCAAAGACAAGAAGATGTCGAACATTCATTCACGACAGGATTTTAATGATGGCCCCGTCGATGATGATGGGTTCATTGTCGATGACGGAGATTCGTTTTGGTACACCCGAGTAAGATGCTCTTCAGAACCAAGACTCCCAGTCACTGACATCTGTGTAGACAGGCCATATCGTCAGATGGTCGATCTTCTTCGGCTTATTCTTCCTCTTCCTTCTGTTCCTCATCCTCGGATACTGGCACGCAAAAAGGAGGATTAGAAAAGGCCTTCCACCCTTGAGATATCATCGAGTAAGGCACCTCCGCTTGGCAGACGAGGCAAGATGACAATTAACAATGTGGTAGTGGCTTCTCAATAGACACCAGCGGGCGAGATACGATCCGAATTACCAAAATCCAACCGTATACTACGCTCCCTACCCACAAGGAGGTCAATACAGCATGTTGAACAATATGCCGCCTCCAGTCTATGACCCCAGTGCTCCGATGCCTCCAGTTTACCAACCACCCGAGGGAGCAACGAAAGTCGACCCCTCGCAGTGGAGATCGGAGCCGACCAGAAGGCCTGCGGAGGAAGATCCGGCGCCGTCCTATGAAGCTCCGCCAGGACCGCCTCCAAGAGCCGCTGTGCAAGCAGACCACACGGGAACGAGTACCACCAGCAATAATCCGTATAGAGTGTGAGTCAAGAAGTGGAATCGTTTTGGTGGTGCTTAGGAGTATGACTTGGTCTTTAATGTGTAGGGAGCGGGCGTAATTGAACATCGACCTGGGAGGACACCTGGTGCCGTAGACCTACGTATAGTACTATCAGGAATAGACACGAATCAACAAGATTTGAAGTACATGGGAAATTGTCTCTGTTGCAAACCTATCAAATTATATTATTCGAGGTATCATCCCTCGAAGTTCATCCCAGATCCATAGCGTCTGGATCATTTTCTTCCGTCTGATCTACAGTCGGAGCACTCGGCGGGTTTCCATTCACCATACCATAATACCAATCACGAGAATCCACACCGGGGGTGGCAGGCATATTTGACGTCCCAGCATTTGCGGTATCTGCGTTCTCGTTCAGGCCTTGCTTTGCTCGGAGTCGCGCCCTTGCTTCAATGATTGCTTTTCTCACGCTATCTTGCTCTTTAGGTACGGTCAAAGAGCTCGGGACGTTATACAGGACCAGTTGATTGTTTCCTGCCAGCTCGCCCTCTTTATTTGCGAGGATCGAGGGTGGTATCCGTGATTCGCGCAGATGCTTCTCGATATCAGGGAGGAAGACAAGCTTGCCCTCGTCGGAGGATTCGCTGTCTGACAACTCGGCATCGAGGTCATGTATGTAGACCTTGTGCTTCGTATCATCTAATTGCATTACATTATCGTCTCGAATCCGCGGCGGCGCCTTGATTTTCGAGGGTGGGGATACATTGTTGTTGTTGGTCGTCTGTCCAACTGGTACATAGAGCCTCTCGCCATTGCGCTCTAAGTAATTCGTCAGCCCATGCTGAATTGATCGAATTGAAAACAAAGGAAATATACAGACCAAGATTGAGCAAGCTCAGCCTTTTGGTGAGGCGTTCATTATCTTGACTTTCAGCCTTTCTTTTCCTGACTCTGCTTGTCGCTTGCACGCGATCCATCCCATCGCCACCTCGGCCAACTTTTTTACCTCTACACCTCAAAACCCTGCCGGACGCCCTTTGTTCTTCGGATCAGGATTTCGTTCCAGCTGGCCTCGATAGAGACAATCTCAGGACGAAGTTTTGCGCTCGCGTAGACTCTCACGACTGGAGCACCCGGGAGGCTGATGAATGATTTGTGTGGTTGTGGAAGTCGTCTGCGCAGCATCCGATTGAGTCACCGAATCTTCTACAAGTTCGAGACTAGGACGCGATTCTGGAACCCCGCCACCACAACAACTGCGATCTCAGGATTCCGCAACTTCTGCAACTCCCGAGCAAGGATGGCGGACCCCAAGATCAAGTGGAGCGCTCCGCTCGTCAGGAAGCAGTTCTTGGAGTTCTTTGAGAAAAAGGGACACACCATAGGTATGTGGCGGGGTAGCTGTTCACAGGATGCATTTTTTCCTGTCTGGGATTGCACGGCAGCAGCAGAGTCCAAGTCGCGACTGGCACTCATTATGCTGTCGTATCTTCGTTTTCTGGGGATATCAAGCTAACTTATGCTCTTCTACAGTGCCCTCTTCCTCGGTGGTACCCCACAATGATCCAACCCTCCTCTTCACGAATGCTGGGATGAACCAGTTCAAGCCCATCTTCTTGGGCACGATTGGCAAGACCGATGACATGGCGCAGTTGAAGAGAGCGGTGGACACGCAGAAGGTAGGGCACATAGCTCTCAAAGGACTTCTTGGGCACAAGCTGACGGTTTACAGTGTATACGTGCGGGAGGCAAACACAACGTAAGGAAGAGAAGTCTAAGCTGTGTCGATACATGACTGATTCTTATCTGTACAGGATCTGGATGATGTTGGAAAGGACGGTTATCATCACGTAGGTCTTTATTCTACTGTTTGATTACTAGCATCGCGCTGACATGTGAGTCAGACCTTTTTCGAAATGTTAGGGAACTGGTCTTTCGGCGACTACTTCAAGAAAGAGGCTATTGAGATGACATGGGAACTTCTTACAAAGGTCTACGGCCTCGACCCCGATCGCCTCTATGTCACCTACTTCGAGGGGAACGAGGCTTCTGGTCTGGAACCGGATCTGGAAGCGAAGGAGCTATGGCTAAAGGTTGGCGTGGCTGAGGACCACCTGTTGCCCGGAAACATGAAGGACAATTTCTGGGAGATGGGCGACCAAGGACCATGCGGACCCTGCAGCGAGGTTCACTACGACAGGATAGGAGGCCGGAATGCTGCTCACCTTGTCAACATGGACGACCCTAATGTCCTCGAGATTTGGAACAACGTCTTCATCCAGTTCGATAGGCAAAAGGACAGGTCACTGAAGACTTTGCCAGCTAAGCACATTGATACTGGTATGGGATTTGAGCGACTGGTGTCTGTGCTGCAAGGCAAATTGTCCAACTACGACACCGATGTTTTCACGCCTCTATTCGACAGAATACAAGAGGTCACGCAGGCCAGGCCATATACCGACAAGTATGGCAAGGATGACGTTGACGGTATCGATACTGCTTACCGTGTCATTGCCGATCACATTCGATTACTGACATTTGCCATATCTGATGGAGGCGTCCCCAACAACGAAGGAAGAGGATATGTGGTTCGTCGTGTGTTGCGCCGTGGATCTCGATATGCGCGAAAGTACTTCAATGCTGAGATCGGCAGCTTCTTCTCTAAGATTCTGCCAGCTCTGGTTGCCCAGATGGGTGAGCAGTTCCCAGATATAGTAAAGAAGCAACAAGATGTCAAGGAGATTCTGGATGAAGAAGAGGAAGCGTTTGCTAGAACCTTGGATCGTGGCGAGAAGATGTTTGAGAAGTACGCTGCTCATGCCATCAAGACCGGTACGAAGAAACTCTCCGGTGCGGATGTCTGGCGGTTATACGACACCTTTGGTTTCCCAGAAGATTTAACAAAGATCATGGCCGAGGAACGGGGCCTTGAGACTGATGATGCCGAGATCGAGATTGCCAAGGAGAAGGCCCGCGAGGCCAGTAAATCCGTCAAGGAGACTTCGCACGAATTCCCGAAGTTAAACGTGCATCAGATTGCCGAACTTGACCACCTCGGTGTGGTACGACCGAATGACGATGCCAAGTTCTCGAAGGGGGACATTACTGCAAAGGTCCAACTGATATTCGATGGCAAGAATTTCCTGAAATCAACAGAAGGACTAGAGACTGACAAGCCGTTCGCCATCCTACTTGACAAGACCAATTTCTATGCCGAACAAGGAGGTCAAGTTGCCGATACCGGCAAGCTCGTCATTGACGGTGTTGCTGAGTTCAAGGTTGAGGATGTGCAAGTTTATGGTGGATACATCATACATAATGGCTACCTTGATTATGGAACCCTGAAGGCAGGAGACGAAGTCATCTGCGAGTACAACGAACTCCGAAGACATCCTATTCGCAACAACCATACCGGCACCCACATCCTCAACCACGCTTTACGAGAGCATCTGGGTGATGATGTTAACCAGAAGGGGTCTCTTGTTGATAAAGATAAACTCCGCTTCGACTTCTCACACAAAGCCGCAGTCACTCTGGAAGAACTGAAGAAGATCGAAGACTCATCCAACTCTTACATCAAGCAAAATTGCAGAGTCTATGCCAAAGACGTAGATCTCGATATTGCTAAGGGAATTGAAGGTGTTCGTGCGGTCTTCGGCGAGACCTACCCCAATCCCGTCAGAGTGGTCTCCGTAGGTGTCGAAGTTGACGTTCTTCTTGCTGAGCCCCGGAATCCCGAGTGGCGGAAAGTAAGCGTTGAGTTCTGCGGTGGCACTCACGTCGAACAGACCGGCCTGATCAAAGATCTCGTCATCGTTGAGGAGAGTGGTATCGCGAAAGGTATTCGCCGAATCATCGCCTACACTGGCGACGCCGCTCACGAAGTCCAACGTCTTGCCGTTGAGTTCGCCCAGCGGATCGAAGCCCTGGAGAAGATGCCACACAGCGCAGAAAAGGAACAGCTGGTCAAGACAACACAAAATGACCTCAATCAGCTCACAATTTCTACGTTGACCAAAGAGGAGCTGAAGACCCGTTTCGCCAAGGTCCAAAAGGACATCCTTGATGAACAGAAGAAGAAGCAAAAGGCCGAGTCTAAGGTTGCGCTGGATACCGTTCACGGCCACTTTGCTAAGAACACAGACAGCAAGGTCTTCATTGGCCATCTGCCTATCTCTGCCAACCCTAAGGCCATTACTGATGTTATGAACCACTACAAGACAAAGGCGAAGGATAAGACTGTCTACCTATTTGGTGGAAGTCCTAGTGACGAGGCTGTTGTGCACGGAGTTTACGTTGGGACTGTAAGTACTTTCTATTTCCCAAGAAGATCACATCTAACATCATCTAGGAGCATGCAAGCAAGGGCGTTACTGCTGAGCATTGGGCTGCAGCGGTCTCAGAAGTCGTGGGAGGCATGTCCGGCGGCAAAGAGCCAACCCGAACTGGACGAGGCACCCGCCCCGACAAAGTCGAGGAGGCCGTTGCTGTTGCTGAGAAATGGTTTGCGGAAAAGCTGAAGCTGTGAGGAGTTATATCCGGATTTCTGGTTTGGGGTTATCTGACGGAGTATGAAAACAATTCATATGGCTAGCTCATGCTCGTATTCTATAGTATGATGCCGCGGAATCGGGTCGCCTTAGATAGCTACCTTAGATAGCTAAGAAAGGCTTTCTCCCCTCCCGCTTTTGTTTTTTGTTCAGATAGAATTGTTTCGGGAAGAGGGTGTAGGTCTAGATCGAGAACTGAACTTCAGTATCAAGTGAGTTAGAGAAATAGTGGGACTACAATGGTGGATTCGATATGCTTCGTGAATAGCGTGGGGAGAAGCTTCATACTGGGCCTCCAGCCAGAGCATGCATGTTCTTGAGACTAAGAAAATCTTCGATCTTCTTGAAGACGAAATTACAGGGAAGGAACAAGCAGCAGATAGAACTCCTGGTATATTGTGTATCGACTTCATACAGTTAAGAGAACACTGGCGTTCTTATACCAGGACAGGAGCGGATTCTCTCCATTCTTCGTTTCTGTCTCTTCCACATAGGCCCATCTCCTCAAGAACTCCTCGTGCGACATTACTCTCGTCAGCTTGCCTGTGATTGCTCTATACATGAGCTCCATGGCGTTGAAGTTTGTTGGGAATAGGATATCAAAGTATCCTTGATGTACCTGTTGTTTGTTAGTCACATTTACGAACGAAATATAAAGAGGGTGGGGAGAAGGCTTACAAAAGGAGTGGAAACAGGCACAGTTCGCCTTTGATATCTCGTCTGGACCACTGGTGCATTGACTCCCTTGATCGTATCCGGTAGATCATGAAAGTCGCTGGTCAACAATCGATGACCGGGGAAATACTTTCCCAAGATATCGAAGAATTGCATCAACCTGGTAGGGATGTATTCCGGGTGACTGAGATTAGGCGCGAATGGAATATTGTTCCTAAGTTTGCGTAATAGCTGGTTCTTGTACAAGGGGTGAGGATAACGTCCCCCAGTGGCCGCATGCCTCACACGCAGGAAGCGTGACGCCACGGGGTCGATTTGTGGGACATAGAACTCGTAGAAATCACCTTGAGCATCGATCAATACGGTTCCTTGCAAAGGCTCTTCTGTTATAGGATCATAGCGGATGGCGTCGTGAGCAAAATTATCGAAGACTTCCATTGCCAGGAAGTAACATGGTGAGGGAACCATTTGGTCCCATTCGAAGATCGACTTATTGATGATCTGGACTTTAGAGGCATGTCCCTTTGAATCAGCAGTTCGTAGAAGCTGATGTGATTGCAGTTTCGCAAGATTGGAGGAAATCTCTATGATCTTGTACTGCGTTCTCTCGTAGACTGATGGCTCGGCGTCTCGAATGTAATCCAAGATGTTGAGCATCAGGGTACCATTTCCGGCACCCATTTCGTAAATTATGAGATCGTGGTACGGGTATTGGGACAGCTTGTAGTTGGCCACAAGGTACCGAGCAATCGCTTCTCCATAATATGGTCGAAAGAGCTCTGTAGGTGTGTGCCACAGCTGCCGAGTCTCATTGGGTTCCTTCTCATCCAATTTATCCTCAAATTCGGTATACCGCTGTCCCAAGAGGCGGTGGAATTCGGGCTCGTCTTGGAGGTTGTTGAAGTCAAATGGCTCCCCCGGGGTAAAGATGACTACTTGTTTTGAAAAGTATCCGTATGACGGGTTGTATAGAGAATCTGCGAGCTATGTAAGCTTAGATGAAAGAAAGATCTGTGAATCTGAATATACCTTCAATAAAATCCCTTGTGAGCATCTTCACCCGCTTAGGCCTTTCTTTCCTCAACCTCAACTGCTCCGAAGTTACCATAGGGTACTTCGAGTACTCCTCCGACTTATCCTGTGGCAAGATATTCGTCCTCTGCTGCCAATTACTCTCATTGCGACTTGTCTCCACCGTCCTCCCTCTTCTGTCGGCCAGGCATCTGATTTGTGTACGGCGCGCACTATGTATTCGAAATGGCAGCGACGAATGGGAATGACAAGGGCGATGCTTGAACAGCTGTCTGAACAACTGGGAAATAATTGGTGAGTCCATGTGGTGGGATATAGTTTTGGGAGGACTTCGTAAGGTTGTGAGAGCTTCGCGGAAGGTTGATTGCGTGGGTCCAAGCTTCGGCAAGTATCTGTTCAAGCAAGTCTCGGTTCAATCTCACCAAATATTGACGACACCGATGGGCCTGTGAATATGGATATGATGATTCAACTACGATGACAAGATGTCTGCGAGCAATTATCCAAAAGTTTATGGCACTGCCGCCATAACGGCTGCCTTCGTGGCTGGTATTCTGCTGACTTTGGGCTTCAAGGATTTTTATCCAGATCTCCAACGCAGGTACCAGCGACGAAGAGGCGAGCCCGATTCTTCCCCAGATTCTCCTCCTGCGAGCACTTCTCTCCCTCCGGTGACGCTCGAAGATCACACTCGGATCCGGCAATCAGTCCTGAGTGCACCACCTCCGCCAATACCGGAAGGAATAGAAGGATGCATTGGCAATACGCCTCTATTTAAGATCAAGAGCTTGTCCGAGGCGACAGGCTGCACGATCCTTGCAAAGGCGGAGTTCCTCAATGGAGGCGGGGGCAGTTCAAAAGATCGAGTGGCGTTGAGTATGATCAACATGGCAGAGGAACAAGGGCTGTTGACGCCTGGGCAAGGAGACACGATCTACGAGGGTACTTCGGGCTCAACTGGAATCTCTCTTGCGGCATTGGCACGAGCGAGAGGCTACAAGGCTCGTATCTTCATGCCCAGTGATCAAAGTATGGAGAAATCTGATCTGCTGCATCACTTGGGAGCAGAGGTTGAGAGAGTAACGCCAGCTCCCATCACTTCTACTGAACATTTTGTCAATCTTGCAAGGACGAGGGCGAAAGAGCATACGGCATCTCAAAATGATGCTAGTAAGGGTTTCTTTGCGGATCAGTTTGAGAATCTGGCAAATTATACAGCTCATTTACAAACCACAGGTCCCGAAATATATAGGCAGACTGGTGGGCAGGTTGGTTTCGCCATTTGAGTCCTTTAATAAGCTATAGTGGCTAATGTCCCAAACAGCTTGATGCATTCGTAGCGGGTGCTGGAACAGGTGGTACCATAGCTGGAATCGCCATTTACTTGAAGAAAATAATGGGCATGGGTGATGATCTAAAAGTTGTCCTAGCAGATCCAGAGGGCAGTGGTTTATACAACAAGGTCAAGAACGGTGTAATGTTCTCCAATACTGAGAAAGAAGGCACAAGGCGCCGGCAGCAGATTGATACAATCGTGGAAGGGATTGGAATCAACCGAATCACGGAAAACTTCGAAATCGGAAGAGAATTTATCGATGACGCAGTGAGGGTCACCGATGTGCAGGCAATGAAGATGGCTCGTTGGTTGGTAGAGAAAGATGGCATTTTCATTGGGAGCAGCAGCGCTGTGAACTGCGTTGCAGCAGTAGTAACTGCTCTTGAAATGCCGAAAGGGAGTCGAATTGTGACCATTTGCTCAGACAGCGGAACGAGGCATCTGAGCAGATTTTGGAAGATGATAGGGGAGCTTGGCCTGGAAGAGGAACATGAAAATCTGCTTACACTGCTGGGCATCAAACCTACCGGGTGAGCTGTCACTGTACACACCTCGGCCAGCTCACTTATTGCACAGCGTTCTGGTCTGAAAAATGCGCATGAGTTCATTCGGTTCTCCCCACCTTCAGGGGAAGGAAGAAGGAGGCCAAAAACCACGTGCTGGATACATAGAGCGGTCCCTCACCACCAAAACGATGTCTGACCAGAAACGCATCAACTCCCCACTTGAAATCATCGCCGTTTTCCCTGTTACATGACCAGGGACGCAGTTGCCGCTGCAAAATCAAATCCGAAACCCCGAAACCATCCATAAGAGCACATCGAGAAGAGAAATGTTTGGGCTGCACAACCGGCACCTGGACCAAGATCAAGAGAACTGTAGTTTCGTCAACATCTGTTGAAATAGAAGGAAATAAATAAAACTTATACATACCTTCCAGCGATTACCACAGACTGTGCATTCACAAAACGTGGTCATCGGTTCATCAGCACTTCGGGTCTGAGCCTGGCTGTAACTGACTTTCTTCTGCCCACATCTTCCGCACTTCAAAGCATCACTGATACTCTTCTCCGCCATGGGTACCTGTGCCTTCTTCATGTTCTCCAAATGTAGTTTCTCGTCCTCCCTCCGACGCTCGGCGGACTTTAGCTCATCGTGGGTCATGAGCACAAATCGAGCTGCAGTTATTTCGCCGGACAGTACTCTAGTACCGAGTTCGCGGTTGCTAACATTTTTGAGGTTCTGAAAAAGGGAGCGAAGCTTGCTGCGATACTCTGAATTGTCGCCCTTGAATGCATCGAACGCGGCTTGCTCCACTTCTATGGCTTTGATGATGATATTGCTCGAAGGTTCCTCTGACATGAAGCAAAGACCATTGTAGATAAGACCAATACATGCATCGCGAGATGGGATTCCCGTCCGTTTAGTATCGACCTTATCTGTCTCCCACCTTCGTTTTGAACTGTCGCCTGTAAAGCCCTTCGCTTCTGCAGGTGGTGCGGCCGATGATACAGCTGCGGTCTTTGGTGGCGATGAGGCTGACATCTTTAACTTCTTTTGCTTCTCTGCTTCGACCGTCTTCTTCCATTTTGCAACGATCTCGGAGGCAAGTCGCGCTATATCTTTGTTCGGGTTTGCTCTCTGCTTTGCTACAACCATACCGGCTTTAGTAGCCTAAATTCAAGTCAGCTATGACCACAAGGACAAACATGGCATATAGAAAACATGGTAATGATTAACAAGCATACCCTCAGAAGCTCTTCCGTCGGGTTCACGTTATTCTTCAATGTCTCCATGATTGTAATAACGTTCGATGCTGGCTCTTTCTCTGCTATAGCCTTCTGCAGTGCCTTGATGCGCGAATCAAGTTCTCGTTGATCCATATTGCTGGTACTAGGTGGGGTCGTGTGAGGTGAGTTGAAGTGCTCACGAGGCCTTCCGCGGGGGGCACGGAGCTATATTGTGCGTTCTGGTGATGCGATGTTTGTCGTGGGATAGCGAGCTGTGTGCGATAGAGATAGACCGGGTGGTGAAAACTGAAATGAGAGACTGCTGTTTAGACAATATGATGTAGATGGGTATGGAAATTGACCTCGTTTGCTTCGAGTCTTCGACCCGACGATTGCTTGCAGCCTCGTCCTGTCGGCTATTTACAGCGACCATTCCTAACATGGTTTGGTGTGCAATGATATAAGCCAGGACGCCATCTTCTTGAATATTTCAGTTAAAAATACTTACAAAAAGGAATGGTAATATATGAAAAGATAAAAGGCATTAGAGGTCTCTATTTTCTCAAGAAAGCCCTCTATTTCAACTATCTCATAAAGTAGGCGTATTATTGCGTTGTGTTGCCGTAAATAGAAAGAAACGTGACGGCCTGTCACTGCAGCCAACGGAAGCTAGCCGGGTTGCGCACATCACTTTTGTCCCAAACAACCGGATGTCAAACCTCCTTGATTGAGGCTCTTTAAAGCATGAGTAAGACACCCCGCCTCGTCGTTTAACGTCAACGACACCCCTTCCTAATAGCGTCGTCTACTTCGTATACTTGGTCTATTCGAGATGCCCCCTGGTTTAGAAGCCTTGGGCCTCGTTCGCTGTTCCACGGCTTCAATAATCTCGGCTTGAAGCATATGTATTTTGTCGTGTTTACCTCACAGGCCAATTCAGTTTGTAGTTGAAGGGCTTGACAAACGTATTCAAAAGCACTTTTTTGTTGCTCGGGGGGTTTCTGGCAATCAGAATCCTCAGATCATTCTCCAGAAAAATAAACAAGAGAGAGCAATTCCTGAGAATTATCGCAGGATTCAATCCGCAACGCCGCATCGACAATCCTAGTGATATTTCTGAGGTCGCTGGATATGTGAGTAGTCCAGCTTACAGCTAAATGACAGAAAAAAAATTGCAGATCTAATAGTGGAACAGCTTGCGTTTGTTATCTGCATTTTTTCTGTCTGTTCAACCCTTCGGGCTAGTTTTGGTTGCATTCCTAGGCATGTGATTATCCGCAACCTGCTCTACCTACTGAAATACCAAAATCACCCCTCGTGCTTTCAGATTACCCCAAAGTCTTCCTTTCATCAGCACCATTAGTATATAAATAACCCCACTCAACTTGCCGAACCACCATCACTAGGCTTCTTGCCCTTAAGCTTACCCCAAACCCCCTTCAGCAGGTCATTTCTGGAGCCACCACTACCAACTGCATCACCGTACAGATCTTCACTCGGCTCCTCTTCATCCCGCTCCACCCCTTCAGGAATAGGCACCACTGCGCATCGTCAGTTTAGATTCCTCTTGAAGCTTCCCTTTATGAACGCATCAAAGATTTTCAAAGAAGGGCGGAAAGGGAATGAGACTGAAATTTGAATACATACTAGCTCTCTTGCACCAGATGTGTCTGGCAGATTTCCAATCCAAACCTTGGATACAACCGCCCTTGACAGAGACCACATCTTTGCCGGGCGTGCTGTGAATCACACGCGTGCCGCAGTTTCTGCAGAAATAACAGTTCAATTGATGACCTGTTGTAGTTGGTCTTCTGCTTTATGAAATCAGCCTCTTAACCAAAATGAATAGGCCACATGTGTGTATGAGATCTTGGGGAAATTGCGAGGAAGAGAGACATACGAATAGCAAGACAACATATCTTTACAGGGCAAGGGAAACTTTGGAAAGATAGCAGAACAGCCGAAAGCGGATGAGGATTGGCGACGGCATTCATCGCAGTGGCAGATGTAGACCGCCAGAGGCTTTGGGAGGGGCGTCTTGAAGGAGATAGCGCCGCACTGGCATGAGACATCCATTTTCGTTGCTGCTAAGGTTGATTAGATAGAACGATATCAGAAGTAGCTGATGGATGGCTTGACTGCGTTCATAAAGAGATTATGGATTATGATAAAGCAAGTACAAGGCAGCAAGGCTATGCAAGTTGTGATTTTTTTGCTCTTGTTGAAAGAATGGGCGCGAGATGGTTCTACACGCCTTTAAATAACAATTGAAAAAATAATCACCGAAAAAGAACAGACGCTGGTTGGTTTTGACGGCTTCAATGTGGGGAGGTGAATTTCAAATTGGTCAACTCGAAAGCAATGCAAGGTAAGGTACCTAGATACGTAGGTAGGGGTGCCACACACTTCAGGTAGCCGAGTGACTCACCTTGAGGCCCCTCAACCTCTACCCAAAAGGATTCCAGTAATTGACATATGATACCCTTTTTCAGTATATCAGAGCAGCTTTTGTGGTCTTCTCGCAGGACTCTTTGCAGTAAGTCAAAAATGTATATCGTTTGCAGCCTCCAGTATAGGAAACCCCTACACCACTTGATCGCCGCTTTAATAACTGTCTCCTTGTGAAGGACTGTGTCCATGACTATCCCTGTTCTCTACACCTTTCTGATTTCCCTCCATATCAGAGCATTTCGCTGGATCAAATACATACGTTGGAAGTTCTAGAAATATTGTCTTTTTTAAGATGGTTGTCATCTTCTAGTACAGTTGCGGTGGAAAAGGGATCAAGATGCTCGTGTGAGTCAGATTTCGTGAGTATCTCTTCTCAGATATTCCCACTCTCATATCAATTCTTTGCTGCGGGTTGTTCTTGAAGGGCTAAGCGGGAGATGGACAAGTAAACAACAGGTTATCGTCAGCAATAGAGCGCGCCGAGAATGGCGGCGTAAAGAGCTTTGCAAGTCCGGCTACGGACGTAATTATTTGCAGCTGGAGAGATAGCATAGCAGTCATGAAGATAGGTTTTTATTCTATTAGAATATGTAATGATGAAAATTCCGCCAGTAAAGTCTGGAATGACTGTTCTTTGCGGGGGCAGCCAAGCCCGGAAACTTTACCAGCGACTTTGTGGAACTTGGAAGAAAATGCATTGTGCTAATGGCCAAGAAAAATAGTTGGTAACCAATGAGAATCAGAGATATAATTGCAAGATAGTAATTCTCCAACAGGGGCTTTCACCTTTGTGGATACTTTGATCTTGAAAATACAAGAGTCTTGAAAGGAAGTGAAGTTATTATTGGCAGTGTGCAATTGTGACAAGGAATTTGGATCTCAACCACTCGCGCGAGTCACCTGACTAGCATTGCTTTTCTTTCGTGGAGACATAAACGTGAAACGAAATAGGAAAGAAGAAATGTACATGAGAGTTGTATCTGAGGGTTCATGCCACTGAAACCACAGGGAAGATATGGAACGTGCTCTCCTCCAAGCTAACGAGGATCCACGTCCTCGTTCGATCATGCTGTTGGGTGGCCTCACGAGTCCGAAAACGTCCTCTTGTTCAGACCTTCGATTTCACGGCCGATGTTTATATCATAGATAAACCAACTTCAGCACTGATTGAAGTGTTGTAATCACCCCTCTGGAATTTGCAATTCTTTAAGAAAGTTCCCGTCTGGAATGGAGTCACACTGGCCTTTATTTTCGGCAGTCATAGCTTGTATCTCCACACCATCCCCTCGCTAAATAGTCTAAACCTTGATGAAACTTCACACGTCTGGTGGTCTGGAACCTTACGATTTACAGCTCACTTGTGATGAAGGGAGAGATTCTGGGACCTCTTTGATGAGATCCTCTGGTAACAAGTCTGTCCAACTAGAGTTGTTCAATGTCGTATGACACATCTCTTCATAGAAGCTCAAGGTTGCCTGGCTGTTTTCCTCGGAATATCGCGAGCCTCGAGATGGCAAAATGGCTTTCGTGGAGTTGACCTCAAATCTGTGAGAGCTAACTCCTAGGCTTATCACATCTTTTCTTTCATATTTTTCTATTCATATTTTTCTATTCATATTTTCCTATTCATTTCCTATTCATATTTTGAATTTGTTTCTAAGTTTATGTGGGACATGCTTCACCTTGTCACCAAGCGTAAATGCTGAACGCTCCGTGTAGGATCTCCCCTTAACTGTTTCAAGTCATTATCTGCACCATTGAACCTTTTCTCGCTACAGACTCCTTTGCATTCTCTAGTTCTTTTGAATTTGTTTCTGCAGCTGCTAGCCACGCTCTTTTCCGACTCCATTACATTCTTTGAATATACCACGGCTGGTCTGTTGCTTTTTCGATTACTATTTCTTAGCTCCATATTTGAAGAGGGGTACTATCATTTTGTCTCCTTGCGCACTATCTATGACGATGAAGAAGATACTGAAGATATTGCTTCTCGCGACAGTTGGTATCTTAAGTTCTGTGCAGGTGCGAAGCTGGTCGATTGCGGCGTGAGCCTCCAGAAGTACTAACTGCTTCCAGGCCTCGAACCATGCACACGCCGATGAGCCTGATAAGAGGGGGCTGTCCGAGATCCTAAGCGCTATTGGTGTAGTAGGAGGAGGACAGGCCGATCCAAAAGTTATTGGGATAGAAGGACAGGGAGATGGGAGAGCGAAGACAAAAACCCTCACAAAGATGGTAACAATGACAGCGGGAGGTAGAAGAAACGAAACTGGTGTGGGCCACCTCGTGAAGACAATTACGGTGACGGAAAAAGAGCAAGTTACCATTGCTGGTGGATCAAAGTATGTCAACCACAAAGTTTGCGAAGGCCTATGTCTGACTTTACCAGCAATACGCAGCTGTCATTTGTGACACAAACTGTCCATGACAGTGCTATCCCTCATACAGTCACGGTAACACAACAACAACAGGCTGGTGGTGGTGGTAGTGGATCAGAGTATGTCAACCACAATATTCATGAAGACCAATTTCTGACTTCACTAGAAATGTCCAGTTGTCCTTTGTGACACAAACGGTCTATGGCAGTACGGTTACTGTCACCCCCATTCCTCAAATGGTTACTCAAATGGTCACGATCACGTCCACAGTCGAAGCCGCCGCTGTATCTCCTTCAAGTACTTCGGCAAGCGTAGCAGTTGCTTCTAGTCAAGCTCCTGGTGAGGTTCCAAACGGTCAATATATAGAATTTAGCTAACAGCAATATAGTACCAGCACCCGCCCCTGGGCCATCTGGAGGCGTTGCAACTGGAACCGGTACCCTACTTCCAAATGGTGCATGTGATTGCATGTGTCTGTGTGGACCCGGTTCATTCCCTACAAGCCTTGTAGCAGCAGCACCAGTTCCTCAAATAGCAGCAACACAATCACAACCCGGGGCTCCTAATTCAGAGATATCCTCTTCAACGCTTTCATCGGGTATCTCTTCCTCTTCTAGTATTGTTGTAGCTACTGGTACCCCAACTACCCCGACTACCCCGGCTGCTGCCGGCCAGAGCACTGTCAGTCCGTCAACATCCCCAACGTCATCTTCGACAGCACCCTCGACAGCACCCTCGACAGCACCCTCGACAGCATCTTCGGCAGCATCTTCGGCAGCATCCTCGACAGTATCCTCGACACCTTCCTCGACACCTTCCTCGACACCTTCCCCGACACCTTCCCCGACACCTTCCCCAACATCTTCCCCAACATCTTCTCCAACAACATCCTCGACATCGTCAACATCCTCGATATCGTCCCCGACATCATCCTCGACAACACCGTTGTCAGTGTCCTCGACAACGTCCTCGTTAACGTCCCCAGTTGCAGCCGCTCAAAGTGCGAATCAAGCGTCTGCATCGCTGGTTTCCTCACTTGAATTACCTCTGGTAAACCCAACACAAAGTGTGAATGGAGCAGCAACAGTTTCAGGATCTCAACCCTCTGACCCTATTGACATCAGTACATTTTCGCTCTCGAGCAACCTGGCTCTAGGTAGCCTTGCACAACCAACATTGAAGATCAAGAATTGAAGGGGATAATATTTGTATATTTATGGTAATAAGGAACCGGCGTTGGGGTAGAAGTAATGCGGAGGATTTTGTCTTCAAGCGTCGAGTCCCGGTGGCTCGACATTTAGTTACTTATAGATACCATTTACTTCACCTAGGGATGGGAAGAAACATATATATCATCCATTTGCCTTGGCTTTTATTGTGTTAGCGCCTAGCTCCTGTGGGCTACCTGAGGAATCTTTCGAAGATGTTGCTTCCTTTCCTTGTGATGAAAGCTCTTTTTCGGCTTTCAATGCCTCCAATCTCATCTTCTTTGCTTGCCTCTTGCTTATCTGGGGCGTAGATTCTCCATTCGCCTCCTTGTCGTCAATCTTTCTCTTGCCTTTTCCTTTCTTTCCAATTTCAGATGCACTGGTAGATATCTCTTTGTCTTTCCCCTCAGCGCCAGTCTGGGTATCTTTCTTGAGCTCCCTCTCCCCACCATCAATAACGTCTATCACCCCCCTGAACGAAGTTCTCTTTATCCTCTCATTCATTACCACGCTTCTAGGATTCACAGTCAAGGATTCCAGACCCTTCTCCCTCCCCAACCCCCAAACAGCCATCAGGTTAATGACGTCCGCGGGCGCCCTAACCCCCAGAGCCGCCTTCGCCTCACTACTAACAATCAAACCCCTCCCCTTCGTAGCCCTCATAATCCCCAAGCAATTACTGATGAAATTTCTTCTCGCCCCCGCATCCTCCATTGTAGCCTGAGCATAGCATATCTCGAACCTAATTCCCCGATTGACGGCCGTCATTAATGGTTTTGGCTTAAAATGGAAAGGAAAACGTTGTGTGAGATCGAGTGATATAATGCTGTGCTCTGTAAGATTCAGGCATGCTGCTAGAAAGGCCTTTTCGCTTGTAGGTCGGACGGCTAGGATATCGTATGCGGAGGAGAGGGCGGGGAGTCGATGGTTGAGTGAGGGATCCGAGAGATGGACGGTGCAACGGCGAAGGAGGGTTGTTTTCGAGGGAACTTTGAAGGGAGGCGTTTGAGGGATTGGATTGACGACTTGTGATGGAAGAGTGCCGGTTATTATATGGTTGAGAGCGACGACATCGTACCCCAACTCTGAGAGGAAGGATATTGTCCTTTGGAGCTCGGATGGATCTTGGGTCGAGGACCAAGGGACGTTGAGGTCGTAAAGCATTTTTGTATAAGTTCTAAGGCTTTCGATAGCTGAAGATCATTATTCTACAGCCTTGTTTGACCTCTTTGGACGTATATGAAGAAGGCTGTTCGTCACGACGGGTTGTCAAAATCAACCTCGAGATCTGAGCGCATCCAGATCCAGATCGAGAGAAAATATTTGAAACCTTATTCTCCAGGCCAGAACTCTCGACAACTACGACAGATCCGGTTAGCGAGGGGCTTCACTTCGGTCGGTCAGGCTGGCAGCACATCAACTTCCTCGTAACACATTCCTCATCATTTCACTTCATAGCGGCCACATCGCACAAAGTTCCCTGCGGGGGTTTCGATCAGAGTAACCTGCGACGACGCAACAAGTCCCCGCGATCATCCGCGATCACGAATTCCCTCAAACAGCTGTCTCTACCCGTTTTGCGCTGTGCCTTGCCTAGCAGGGCGGCTGCAAAATGGCGCGCGTCTACGCAGATGTCAACCAGCAGATGCCACGGTCATACTGGGACTATGATAGTGTGAACATCACCTGGGGAGTGTTGGAGAACTATGAGGTGGTACGCAAGATCGGTAAGTTGAAGCGGGCCTCCTCACTATGCGCGCACGTGCTGCGTAGAATGAATATGATGCTGATGTGAATGGGATCCAGGTCGAGGGAAATACTCAGAAGTCTTCGAGGGCATCAACGTTGTCAACTACCAGAAGTGTGTCATCAAGGTGCTGAAGCCGGTGAAGAAGAAGAAGATAAAGAGAGAGATCAAGATCTTGCAAAACCTGTCTGGGGGACCCAATATTGTTGCGTTGCTGGATGTTGTCAGGGACAACCAGGTAAATCACCCTTCTTCTACAATAACTCCTAAAGTCGGGCCAGCAGATCAACTTCTGAAGGATATGTCTTTATGAAGTAACTGACAATTAACACTTGATGCAGAGCAAAACACCATCTCTCATTTTCGAGTACGTCAACAATACCGATTTTCGAAGTCTCTACCCGAAGTTTGTTGACTACGATGTACGATTTTATATCCATGAGCTCTTGAAGGTATGCATTCCGAAAGGCCTCATAGACAAGTGGGTTACTGATAATCATAGGCGCTGGACTTTTGCCATAGCAAAGGCATAATGCACCGAGACGTTAAGCCTCATAATGTTATGATCGATCACGAAAACCGGAAGGTAAATATCTGGTTTGTTCCAAATATAGGCTCATAGACTAATAGCGTGTTTATAGTTACGACTCATTGATTGGGGTCTTGCCGAGTTCTACCACCAAGGGACAGAGTACAACGTGCGAGTCGCGTCGAGGTATTTCAAAGGCCCTGAACTTCTTGTCGATTTCCAAGAGTATGATTACTCTCTCGACATGTGGTCATTGGGTGCAATGTTTGCTTCGATGATCTTCCGGAAAGAGCCGTTCTTTCATGGAAACAGCAACTCGGATCAATTGGTCAAGATTGCCAAGGTTCTTGGTACAGAGGACCTATTCGACTACCTTGATAAATATGATATTGAGCTGGACCAAACGTATGATGATATCCTGGGACGATTCCCAAAGAAGAGCTGGCACAGCTTTGTCACTACCGAGAACCAAAGGTTTGTCAGTAATGAGGCCATTGATTTCTTAGATAAGTTACTACGATATGACCACCAGGTAAGTTTTATATGGCCTCCATTATCGGACGCATGCTAACACAAAATAGGAGCGATTGACGGCGAAGGAAGCCATGGCTCATCCTTACTTTGAACCTGTTCGAGCCAACGAAAGAGCGCGTGCCCTCCCTTCTAGTGAAGCCAGCTTGTCATAAATCACCTAGAACAAGCAGCTAATAATCGATGATCATATACGATGTGGTGAGCACGGGACACTCAATTCACTACAGCACCGAGCCTCATGCCATCAACCTCTCAGCCACCCCAATGGCTATCTCAAAATTGGGAACTCTGGGTCCTTTTCTCTACTTGACACTCGAACATACAGCAAGCATGAAGGACGGATGAATGATGTGTGGGGAAGGGGGCGTTAAAATTTGTTGATGGCGGAATTTGCATACATACCCATTACTCTACTTCTTCAAGAGGCGACGAGTAATTAATATGTAGATGGCAATTCGATTCACGCAACATTCGCGCGTTTACACCTTGCCCCAATTATCCATTAAAAACCTTCAGACACCTCTCCTGTTCATCTCCTTTAAGGGTGGATGCCCTGCCAGAACGCCGTAGTAAATGCCTCCCCCCAACCTGAACGCCATGCTCATCCAAACGAGACGCCAAATAGCCTGATACTACGGAGCCCTTCTCCCATTCATAGCATTAATATTTGACGCATGCGCCAAAAGAAATTTACAACAAGTAAGAGTATACTTGCAGGCCCTGCTCCAAGCATCATCCTGCGCAATTCCAAGTTTAATACTCACATCCCCTATCTTTTCTCCCTCAATAGTGTAAGGTAGGCTCAGACCTCTCCCGGTCTCGGATTGCCTAGCAGTCTCCCTCTCAACGAATGCCCCAAGCTGTCTCATACATTCCAAGAAGGCTTCCATAGCGGTATCGAATTTGCGGTGCATGAATGTTAGGCCGAGGGGCATGTCTCCCGATGAGTAAAGTTCGAGAATAGATTTCTTGGGCGGTCGGGTGATTGCCCGCTGCGAGGCTGTTCGACTGGCTGCCGGGGACGGATAATCGTAGCGGATGATTCGGGAGGTGGAACCCATGGGTTGAAGTTCGTAGCCTTCAAATTTGAAGCCTAATCGGTCGGCGACCGTGGCAAGTAAGAGGACAGTGTGGCCCCATGCTGCGTTAATCTCTGGCCAGTCAACAGGAACGTTGGATAATCTTCCAAGGCGTAAGCCGTTGATAGTTCCGAACTTTCCATCATGACTTATACAGAATGTATCATTGTAGACATTCGTTCTCTGTAGTTTTTCCAGTTGCTGCGAATCGTGGTCGTACTGCAGATTCACACTGTCTCGTACGTTTTGAAACTCAGCCAGGTTCATAGCAAAGTCATTCCGTTCCCTCCAGAATTTCTCCTCTTCGATATCCAGAGCTCGAGCTGCTTCTTCGAGCTGGGCGATCTCTTCATCTACGGCGGCTTTTTCTTTCTCCAACTTTTTGAGCTCCTCGATAGCAGCGGCTTCCTCACTCCGTGCCTTCGCTAGGAGTTCTTGAGACTCCTTGACCTCGTCCTCCGTCGGCATCTCGGCGTTCACTTGCTTCAGAAAGCCCACGTATGCATCCCGCTCCTTTGTCGCGATCTCAAGCCGATGCTGTAATCCCTCAACAAGTAGCTCCGTACATTCCACACATATCGGATGGTCTATATCAGACCGTGAGGAGAGAATCTCGAAGAGCCTAGTTACTCTCTCCATATCCTGGGACATCGCCTTCCCCTCGTCCTCCGTGATCTCTTGGCTTGTATCATCATGTCGCTGCTTTTTAGGATTTGTATCTTCCGGAGACTTCACAACAGATGGAGGAACCACCTGCGATTCCGTTAACATAACGAAAGACATCGCCGGATTACTGAGCCCGCTCCTCATGGCATCTGAAGAAGTGGTGTCACCGCGTCGGGGCGCGGAAACGTGCCGCTTGAAAGTCGGCGACAGAGCATTTTTAGAAACTCGGTCGTAGAGCTGTTTTCGTTCTTGGGGATAAGCTGGTCGGGAAGCTGGGAGATTCTTTGGCTGATGTTGGGAGGATGCGCCTGTGGGATAGAGGATCAGCTTGAATGCTCGCATTAGATGGGATGGATTAGACAGACCAACTAGTAGATCAAATGCTGCCGGGTTAAGGTCTTCCACGGAGCTGTCCAGCTTCAATGGGGCGCGACACTTTTGGCAGTACATTTTGAACTGTGTCTTAGGATTCCTGGGGGTTAAATCGTTGCATTGTTAGAGAGTATGATGTGTAAAGTGACTTCCACAGCCTCAGAAGACGGGTGAGCCTTGCGAAGTGGAGCCGGTGCGGCACGACTTATTTATGCACCCTTATCTATTTATGCACGAGGCAAGGCTAACAAATAGAGTTATGCGAACCACTTTAGCATCACCTCTCACTTCAGCATCGAGACACGAGTATCGCGACGCGTATAACCCAACTACATTACATATTACGAGTATCGCTCACAACACCTACAGGCGCTCGATCGCATATGTTAAGCTGATGGTCTGGCATATCCTTCGGCTGCCAAAATGGAGCCACTTGCAAAGCGACGACGATTATCTCCCCCACTAGATGCCGCTTTCACGCAGAGCTTCGACGACGAGCACGCATATTACGAAACGCCTGCTAGCGAGCTCGACGAGGAGGACGAGGATGCGGGTGGGCCAGTTTACGGTCCGGACGAGGACTTTCTACAGAAGAGAGCGCTACTCGATCACAAACTGAAGTCTACTTTCGAATCCATATTCGAAAAGTACTCTAAGGACTTCGAAGGTATTGGGGACGAGATTGACTTGTATACCGGCGAGATACTTGTTAGCAATGGTCATCTGCTCCAAATGGAGAATGAACGGGATCCAGGGGATATTCGTCGCGCTCGGAGCATCCCAACGTCAGCCACGGAGGAAGATGAAGAGGCCATGACCAGTTCTGCGGAAGACGATGACGATGAGGAGGAAGAAGGAGAGGAAGAGGAAGAGGAAGGGGAAGAAGAGGAAGAAGAAGACGATGATGAAGATGAAGATGTTTTTAGCGATGAGGACATGATCGAGGATGACATGATTCTCCGTGGATTTGCCCAGGCCAGTCAGTTTATACACAGGAAGCCGCCGCCGGAGCAAGGACCTTTCGAAACTGGCTTCATGGGCCGGAGCGAAGGACCGAGGCGAAAGGTAGTTACCCCTCCAAATATGCAGAGGGGCAGGTTGCCCTCGCGCTCTGAGATCTTATCGCAATTTGGGCCTCAACTTGGTCAAGAGATTGCGAAGTATGTTTCACAGCAAAGTGTTCTCGGGGTGGATGCCAATGTTGAACCAGCTTGGCAAGTGCCTCCAATTGCATCTGTAAAACCTGCTACACGACCTATAATCAGGTCAGTTGTTCAACCCGATGTGGAACGATCCCCGTCTCCGGATAATTCAAGATCGATCTGGGCACCAGCAGGGTCGAGATCCAAACGTGCAAGATTCACAGCCGAAGAGGATCAAGTGTTACTAGACTTTGTTGCAAATGCGCGGAGGCAGGGCCTTGATTTATCGAGACATCTGACTTGGAGACAATTGGAAGCAATGGTGAGTTCAAGTCTTTCGACTCCAGTCTCCCTCTGACAATGAGAGTAGTATCCACGGCACAACTGGAAGGCTTGGAAAAGACGACATAAAAACAAATTCACCTATCTTTCCAGTGCCCAGGTTGATGAGTCAGAGGTATCAACCTCTGAAGTATCAACAAGCGCTCGTTGGATACCCCCACAGCGCAACGCTGGTCGAGATTCGAGGCGAGATTTCGTAGATTCTACCTCTATTCAACCATCCCGACCTGTAGCGACCGAAAGGCCAATTAGAACTCGAAAACCGGCCCAACGTGATTCTACCATTCTTAGCTGGTCCGAGGCAGTTGCTACTATTGAGTCTGTCGACCCGGATCTGCACGCTGGGTTAATGGAAGATGCCAGGAGAATCAAATCAGATGCCTCTTTCGGTTTAAAGCATCCAGTGTCTTCCTCACAAATACTTGGCCGGAATACTTTGCAGCAGACAAATTCCCATCCTGGTATAAAAGAATCTGCTAGGCAAACTGGACGCTCTAACGCCTCAAATGAATTTATGGAGGACGAGCTGGCTCCGTACAACCCAGGATTTCAAAGGGAAGCCAGGGAAGCCAAGAGAGCTAAGAGAGCTAAGAGAGCTGCATGTCCGCACTCCGACTGCAGAGATTTCCCATCCACGCTATACAGACTAGGACGTTATGATGGCGAAGAGTTATCGCCGCTGTGCTTGCACCTTTTACGTGTGCATCACACAACCCCTTTTCCGTGTGCTGAATTCAACTGCGACCGCAAGGGCGAACAAGGATACTTTTTGCCGGAAGACCTGGTAAGGCATGTCAGACAGGCCCATCCGTACGCCACGGCTTTGGACAGACTTCGAGGTCGCGTAGCCTCTAGTTTCTTGGACAGGGAGTTCGATTTCACGCATTATCTTCTATCAACTGAAGCTTCTCGGCCCTATCCTACTAGCATCCATTCCCGAGGTAGAGATCTTATATCCCCTGAGAGACATGTTGGCCGTTATGTCCGATCAAGTACTCGGCCTTCCTCATCAAACTCTGCCCAAGACATTACTTCAACCCCACGAGGCCCAGCGGCCTCAAAACAAGCAGCAGCCTCGACAAGTGCTTCGTCGCTTCATGTAAACCCATCATTGGTTACAACCAAGGACATGCAGCCGAGGGAACCCTCTGAAGAGAGGCTGTACGACTCGGACGTCCAAATATTAGATGGTGACCCATTTTTGTCAGATCGCAATCCTTTGTTAGAAGAGACGAAATACTCATGTCCGCTCAAGAATTCAATTGGTTGTAACGAGATGTTTACAACACGCTCGTTGGCTTCGGCTCATGGACGCATCCACACCAGTGAGAAAGCTCAGTCCACATCCACCGGGTCCCAAGAAAATACCAGTACAGCTCAAGAATCTATGGAGGAGCAATCCAATGTTCATGAGAGAAGTGCCCCAGGAAAACCTCCAGGCGAACACATAGCAGCTTTCGAACCAAAACACTCGCTACCTAGTAGCATACCTAATTCATCAAGTTCTTCCGGTGACTGGACTTCATATAACACGTCTGCCTTGACGCCCAAGCATGGTCGTCATGGTGCCACGAGGAAACGGATCAGTGATCCTCTACCTCGGAACACCATCGATCCATCTTATGAGTTCTCAGATGAAGAACTTGGCTTGACATCGTTTGTCAAGGAAGGACCACAGACATCAAAAGTTATCCCAAGGGGTCCCCCTCGACCGGTCAGCAATCCAATGCTGCCTCTAGGATCTTTGACAAACAGTCCACCTCGTCCGATCAGGAGGCCGCCATTTGTTACGCCGGCGAATAAAGCCAAGTCTCGAAAATCAGTCATTCCCAATTTTGAGGATTCTGAAGATTTTGATGAGCTCAGTCTGGGTACGGATGGTTTCTTGTTAATGTCGTCTCGGCCAAGATCCGGATTTCGATCCAAGCCCGAAGCTCAAACCCCCCTGAAACGAGAGGGGACGGAAGTACCAGGTGTATCTGCACAGTCCTCACGAAAAAGAAAATTCAGCACGCTTGAAGGGGGGAATGAAATTGATGAACTAGGAACAGGGATTTCCACATCCAGTCCAGCACAGCCGACACAAATTCCCATCCGGGAACCCCAGATCAAGACAGAAGCTGATGAGGTACTTGGCACAAATAGTTCTTCGACAAGATCGCAAAAAGCAAACACCAAAAATCATAACAAAAGAAGATCTCAGCCAAAATCCTTCCAGCCTCCCCCAACACCAGTCCGGAGTGAGAGACAGTCATCGGGAAAGAACACTCCTCTGATCAATCTCGTTGGAAATAGGGGGTCAAGTGACACTGGGGCTGCGAAATCTGGAGTAGATGTGTCAATTCCATCGACCTCGGACCTAGGGTCATCACCGACTGCACGCCAGACCCAGACCAGAGATAGAGGGGTTGTAGAGACGAGTTCTCTCGCTGGACTGCTAACTCCAGTCCGCAGAAAAAGCCAATCGAAAACATCAATCAAGCAAGAGGAAGAAGACGGAGTCGTCAAGACACCTGGAGGAACATTGCGCAGGTGTGGAGAAGACGGGTTTGCTTGTGGCAGATCATTCTGTTTCACATGCTCCACATCCTAACCTGGTCGTGATAGTAGCTATATATATGTATGTATGCTCTGCTATACTATATCGATTAGATAGATCCTCGGTTGTCTAGATACACCCTTCAAGGCGGGTCACTTCATTGATCAAGACCTGAGAATGTGACCGGTAGGCCTCAATTTCATTATCGGTGTGATTTTTGATGTCTTGTGATACACCGCTTTTCGTACGAATATACGTCGTACAGCCGGAAATGACAGCTTCTCCCCGGTATCTCAGCGTCCTCTTTCAAAGCATGCCCGATGCTTTTGCCGGTGCGTGAAGGAGCTTGGAGTTGTATCGGCTCTAGATCTGCAAGCTCTCCAGAGGAGGTGGACGTGAGTATTGGGGGCTTGATATCGGGGCGGGGAGAAGCCGATGTTAAAACGGCGTCCCGCTGCGCATACTGCGAAGCTGACCTTCAGGTGAGTAAGGTATGTATGGGGGGGAAGATCATGTTGATACAGCGAGGGTGTCGAGCTTGGAGGGAGAGAAGTCCTGAGTCACGCATTAGGAGGGAAGGTTTTCAATCACTGGAAGGATGATGAAAAATTCTAGGGGGCCAGTTGGGAATAACGTTGAAGAGATAGGATATTCCCATCGCAATAATTGTCAACTCTGTTCAGTGGTTGCGTGGTTGCGTGGTTGACCGTTGACATGTATTTCAGCCTCCATCTCGGAATGGTAGAGTTCATCAACGGCAGAAAGAAGTGAGCAAGAACCGTACAATTGTAGGACCAACACTCTTCAGCGTCTTCGGGTTCGCGATGGGGGTCAAGGTAGCAATGAACCTTGTATTCCGTTAAGTGAATTCCGGGGATAGCCAAGGAACCCAGCAGCGGCAATAGCGCGACGACATGTCAAATGCAAGGCGCAGGAGCCTGTTGACCGTCATGCAAATTATCTGCCGCAAGATCTGGGCATCGAGGCTTCAGTCAATCTCCCGTCCACACACAGCCAATGACTAGAGCACACCTTCGTGTTGAGAGGATCCCATTATTCATGCGCCATCAGAATTTTCACGGCCGTGTCGCATATCAACGGCAGTATCGTACCTTTGTACCCCTAAAGGTAGGCCCTCGCGATGCCTGAATTACTATTATTCAGAGAGACCGTGTAAGTTGAAAATACCCGTGGTTGGCTTGGGCCGTCTGGCTGGTGCGGGAAAGGCGCATATTACTAAATCACTAAATTCAGCACGATATACAGTATCCGACAAGGTTTTGAGCCTTGAAAAGCCGACAACGCTTGTAATTACACGAAATATACGCTATATCGCTCGTAATATGTGGCGTATTACGCGGGATGTCGTTATTATAGCACGAACACGGCTAAGCGTTGACATGACCACAGGGCGTCGAGAGGAGCCGCGATTCCAGGTCTGGGGCATCACACACCGCGCGGAGTACAGAATGGGCTTACAGAAGGGCGTGTGTTTGACCGTGTGGAGCCCTTCTCGGCCGAGTCCAGAGCCAATGCGAGTGCAGCTCCTCCTCCACTACTACTGCGCACACGGCCAGGTCGATTCAGAAGCACGGCTAGAGTCATGGAAAGATCATGCCCATTGCTAGTTCTAGTATCGTCCAGAGCATGGATCTTCTCTTGTCCAGACCAAGATATCTGTTATATATATATGCGCAGGTAGGTCGTTTGCATTTCCGCTTTCCTCTCCATGTTGGTTGAGTCCAACCTCAAATCTCTCTTGCAAAGTACCTTGTACAGACAATATGTCTTACGCTGTATCTGTTCAAACCACCACCGCCACGATTGCGAGCTACGCAAGGAAGATGACCCAGAGCTCTCGTCCAGGCGTGGAAATCATTCTCCATAATCACAGCGCCGGGAAGGCCTACACTACCTTTGACGAGATAACGGGCAGGGTCAATATCACAAGCTCTCACAATGTACGGTTCGACGAGATCAGGATCACATTGGAAGGAACAACAAAGACCTTCATCGACAACTTGCCAACAACAGGTACCACCTCGAGGAAAGTAGCGTATCACAATTGGTTGAAGCTGCCCATGCCGATACGAGACACCGACTACCCTCAACCACGAGTGCTGGAATCTGGCAGAACATATACATTTCCGTTTAACGTAAGTCCAACTTTTATCCTGGACGCAGAACATGCTGAGTGTAGAATACACTCCGGCTTCTGTCCCGGTTCAAAACCCATGCTAACCCAATTTTCAGTTCAACATTCCTGCTCAACTACTTCCACGAGCTTGTTCCCACAGTGTTGCAGCAGATCACGTCCATCAAGCACATCTGCAACTTCCACCAAGTATGGGTGACCGGGAGGTTTCCCAACATGATGATCTATCACCAGAGATGACAAGGATCTCATACGCCATCAAAGCCAAGGTCATCAGATACCGGGAAGAGGATGAAAAAGAGGCCGTCCTAGTCGAAGGTCTCAAGAAATTGTGTGTTGTTCCAGCCGTAGTGGAAGCACCTCCTTTGAGCATCGTGGATGGCAACCGCGACTATGTTCTCTCAAAAACGAAACTGCTGAAGAAGGGTGTATTCTCCGGGAAATTGGGACGAATTACTGTTTCAGCAGACCAGACGAATGCCATCATTCTCCCATCACCAGCTTCACCTAGCACAAGTCCAGCCACCACAATGGCAACATTAAATATTCGATTTGAGCCACACGATGTCACCTTTGAGCCACCAAAACTCGGCAGCCTAACAACGAAAATAAAGGCCATTACATTTTACAATGTAATACCAGCACAGGCACTTCCATGTACCTTCTTCGTGACCGCTCTGGACGAGGCAACCCGCGGAATATATCACACATCCATCCCTCTATCGTCCAGGCGTGTAACGTCAGTTGCATGGACAAAGCATGAGCCTGAGGTGACGGATACCAGAAGAGATTCGGACTCATCAACCAACTCATCCTACTCTTCAGACAGGGTTTTAAGCCCCGTACAGGAGAGTGCAGTCTACTACACAGCAACCGTCTTGGTGCCAATAACTCTACCTTCGTCAAAAACCTGGATCCCGACTTTCCACTCATGCACCGTCTCACGAATCTACACTCTAGATATTTCTCTCACCATCCACACACCTGGAGCAGGTGTCCCTGCTTCATCGGCATCATTGCATCTTCCCGTACAGATTGCCGCAGCGGGAAACCAAACCCAGCGGCTAGAATTGACTGCATCAGAGGCTGCTGCGGAACTAGCCCGTGTCGACGAGTTCTTCGCGCCTAGGATGCTGGAGATTCCTAGCGAGGAGTTTCTCGAAAACAGCGTACTGCGTCCCGCTGCTTCTATTGCTCCGGCTACCACCACGCCGGATTTACCGCCTAGGTACGAGAACTTCTTTTCGCAAACTAGAGCCGTGGTTAATCCTAAAAGACGTTGATGCTGCCAGCTCAAAATACGTTGGTCTATTGATACACGAGCGAACTGTTTTTGCAAGGCGTTGAGGATAGTATATGAATGGACAAGGAATTTGAAGTTCTTGAATGACGGTCGGGGAATGGGTTTTCTGCTTGAAGAGAAATAGATACCCCATAAAGAGCTAATAATAGTCCTTTTTCCTCCTGCGATATTTTATTTCCGTATTTAGATCAATCCCCGGATGTTCCTGAGTTGAAGAGCCCCAGAGCAGATCCGTGACCTCATTATTCAAGGCTATTATTATCAGTTCCGCGGGAAGACTACCTCGCCGGCCCACTTTATTCCCCACGGGGACTGCTAAAAGTAGCCGCTCGAGATTTAATATCAAGATCCAATATCCTGCTATGTCGATAGAGAGCCGCAACTCCCCTGAGAGTCTGAAGCTATGGGCGATGCAAGAGTCTTCGAAGGATTGCTCCTTCGCCTCACCGCCTTGTTTGACTCTCCTAGAGCCCCATTCGGGCGAAGCCGCCTAAGTACGGTATTAGCCTTTGCCAACTCACCTCTTGACACCACTGGTGATGTTGCGCATCCTTCCGAGATCATGACTTGACCTCTTCAAACCACTTGTCTCCTCTGGCAGCATATATTGCGACAAAAACTATGCTCGTTGGAGTCCTGTTTTCCCTTTGGAACGGTCACGGTTGACGATGGCGCAAACGGTCGATCCTAAAGCTTACTATGGCTACCTCTTCGAGGCCAACAAGCAACCCACGAAGGTACTTGACGCGCTGTTGAGAGGCGTCGCAAACTACATCGTACGTCCTTATTCATGATGGATGCGCTGCTTCGGGGCCAGCCACGAAAGAGTGCTCTTAGAAGCTCACAGACTGCAGAGCGAATCCGTTGGAGATAAGGACGAGAGATGTCTCACCCCTGCAAAGCTGGCCGCATTCTATAAGGCTGTGGGAGGGAATTACGACTGTGCGTTACTTTATACCCACTGCATCATTTGAGCAAGGCTGACAGTATCCGGTACTACAGCACTCTTCGTGGACGTCCCGCATCCTTCGATATCGTGGATTTACGCCTCGATCGGCTGCCAGCATACACTCCAGCCTACAACCGACTGCTTCACACCCCCATCAATACCCGCACTCACTGCGAAAGGGTTTGTGCGATGGCAATCGATAGAGATTCTTCTGGGGCCGGAGGAGCATGTGCCATTCATACAATATGCCGTTGCGAATTTCGGCATCAAGCACCCTGATACTGGGGAGAGCTTTCCGAAGGAGCTCCCAAAGGAAGCCTTTCCTCTCAAACCAGATGCTGAGATAGAAAAGTGGCATACTATGTGTGCTGAGAAGCTTCGTCAGCAAGCAACACCCCCCGAGGAGGATGAAGGGCCACATCCACAACCGCATCCACCTCCCCGACCGCAAGTGCAAACAGGCTACGCACACGTCCGTCCATCAGCATATACTACAAGAGAACGACCCGACACTAGAGATTTTTTTGAGCCCAAATCAAGAGCTGGATCAAGGCCTATCCCATATCAACATGTATCAAGCACAGGCATACCTGTTCACCCAGGCATGTCGTCTCGCCCACCTTCCCACCGGGCACGCCATTTTTTCTCGCCAGAAGCGCCTGAATCCTCACGAATGTCACGTTCTCGTCGGCGGTCCTACCCTGACACTACCTCCCCCATAACGCCGGCTGGCGATGCGACGTCGCCCCATCTCGAGCCACCCATTAACCATGACCATCTGCGTCGGCACAGCCATCCTCGACACGCGCGACGCGGTAGCTACTCATCCGATGCGTCTTCAGAAGGTGATGATCCTCCTAGCCCACCTAGTCCCAGAAATGTGAACTACGTAGCCGGTACTGCCCGGCCCCGACGCTCACATCCTTCCCGGGAGGAACCTCCCCCTGTCCGATTTGCGTATCCCAAGCCCAGCTTTTCCCCGTCAGTCCCAGCATCTCCCGAGTCTCGATCTCGAACTAGAGAAGAGAGGGGAAGGGACGAGGAAGTGAAGAGAACGAGTTTCCCTATTCCGATCGACCTGAGCGGTAAACTATCCGCGCCCTTCCTCTTAGGGAAAAGGGACCAGGAAAGGGGGTTACCGAGGAATAGCTCTCGCGGCGGAAAAGTTAGCTGGAAGGACCTGAGTGATCTCCCGGAGATGCTAAGAAAGGGCAGTAAAAGCTCCGAGGAAGATAGGGAGAGAGAACGGGGGCGGGCAAGTAGAGACGAATGGGAAAAGGATCACGGGCTTGGGAACGGGAGAAGTGATTATATAAGGAGAGAAAGAGATAGAGATAGGGACAGGGGGCAGGTCAGAACGAGCGCGTATGCCAGGCCTTCGAGTCTTGAAGATATACCCAGGAGAGATAGAGATCGCGGACGGGAAAGAGATCCTATTGGGAGGGATATTGATGGGCGACCTTTCCGCGATAGAGATCGGGACAGGAGAGCTATGAGCCCGGTCAGAGGCGTGGATGGGAGATACTACTCCTCAGGCCGGTGATGATGGATTATGCTTGTTACCACTTTTTCTGGAAAAAAGAATATATGATGAATCTATGAGGCATTTCAACTCTATCACTTCTTTCCTACCTTGGCTCGTGTAATATCTATCAATCAATTCAGCTCACTCCAGGAGATTTAAAGAAAAAGCAGCTGAGAAATATACATTCTTCTTCTTGCATATAAATACATACAATTACCTAAAACAACCCCCCCCCCCCCATCCTTCTAGATTTCCCTAACCATACCTTCACTAACAAGAGCACAGCTTTACCAGAATCAATTGAAATAGATATCTCCTCAAATACCTAGGTATATATAAAATTCCTATAAACGAACTGCGCCAAAAAGAAAGTATAACAAACGAAGAAAACCTGCACTCTCTGCATTTTGGAGAATTCGACGCCTTCTTCTCTAGAGGGAGGAATGTTGGGGCGCTTTTCTTAGATATAAGGGTTTATGTATTGTGGTGTAGAAGGGTCTTCGGCTGGCGTTGGGATTTTGATTGTTGTGGGGTGATATAAAGAATGGATGTGTAAGTAAGCCTTCGAGATTAGAACACAGAAATCGATATAGATAGGTTAGGTAGGTAGGAGGAGGAGAGCATATTGCTAGATCCTGCTGGCTCCTATTCACAGTGTCATAGGTATGGGAATGGGGAGGGAGTGTGAATCATCAGTTTTACATTCTCTTCAAACGCGCTTATCTACTTAGCTGGGCATAAATAGCATTAGAAACTTGCTTTGTTCTCATTAATTAGTAGATTTAAGAAGATTTGTCTTTATCGACAACAGCATGTAATGGATACGTCGTCGATGAGAGCAGCAAGGGCTGGTTTTTCCGGCGCACAGCAGCTTATTCCTTCTAGCCAGTCCCAAGCTTCATCAGTGCATATCGCCAAGAATCCCAGAGATACTGACGCCTTGAACAGAAAGCCAGTAGGAGCTTCTTCATCTACCCCACGGACGCCGAGAGATATGGACGCACAATCTGTGAGATCAGCAACATTTCCTTCCATGGCATCAAGCCGCGCTTCTAGACGCTCCGATTCTTTGTATCCGCCGGGTGAAGAAGAGCCGCTCATCGACACCAGTGTACCTGCTCCACAGCGGACATGGTCTGACCATCCATCGGGCGGCGAACGAACGATGCTCCTTCTCAACCCCCGTGGCGTTGCATCAAGATTTGGAAGCGAGGACGGTTTCGATTTGGCTATGGCAGCCATCATCCAATACCAATTTCGAAACCCTGATTTACTGGAAGAGGCCCTCGAGAGTCAAAATTCTGGAGTGGTCGTTGTCGGGAAGAGTCATAGACTTTGCCTTGATGGAAATAGACATTTGGCGTTTGTGGGGGAGGCGGTCATGAAATTGGTCTTGAAGGATCAGTGCTATTTATTTCTTATTCCTGAGGGTGAGGCATAGCTATCAAATTTGTCGACGGTTAAAGATAGTACACTGATTAACGATGTATAGACGAAGCGACAACGATCATCGATAAGATGCTTTCAATAACCAACTTGAATAACATTGGCAGGAACAGCAAGCATGGAGGCAGTATTGAGAGGATGGTCAGACCGAGAGCACCTATAAGACGCTCGAAGAGAAACAACGTATTGGAGCTCCTCAAGGATGACGTAAAAGGTATAGGGCAAGATCAAAACAGACAGATTGCGAGGGCAGTTAAAGCTATCATAGGGGCGGTATACTTTGATGGAGGATTTGAAGCTGCAAGAAGAGTCATGGCGCAATTAACTCTCACAATCCGACTAGGGACATGATGTTCGCGGTGGCCAAAAAATGGGGTGGAGCTCTCAAAACTAAGCCTGAGAGGTAAATACTATAAGAACAGCACAAATAGCAGTCTTCGTTGAGTTGAGACATCCCCTCGGTACCTTGAACTTCGTTGATGCGGTGACAAGAGGTAGCCTTAACCATGTGACGACAAAATAAGAACACAAGCCTAATGTGTTTAAACCAACATAGTATGGGTCTGTTAGTTTATGAAGCAACACAATGAACCAGAAAACCCCAATACATTGCGAGTTGCTGAAAAAGGGGGTCAGGCACGTGACCTGAGATATTGATTGAAGCTCCGGCTCCGGCTTCGACTAGGAACAGGAGTCATTGACGGAATAGAGGGCACTATGTGTAAATGAGATAGTGGGAAATGTCATTCCAGCATACCAAAGAGAGGAGGATCCCACACAAGATTTGGATATCCAGCTTCGGGTTTGAGAAAAGAGCTCAGATACTGTTTATTGGTGGATTGAGAATGGTTTCCAGATGCCCAGAAACATCTTGATATCCATTGATACATGATAAGGTAGCCTATAAACCAATCCAACATTCGTAGTCCTCAGATAGTGGCATTGGCTGAATCTGTACAAAGTTGAGCTCTGTTGGTATGCCAGGATCATGTCTGAATAGCCCCAAGGTCGGTGAATGGAATTGGACAGCGACGAACTGGTGGCAGCCTGATCTTAAGAAGTATTCAGGAGTGCTCACAACAGTTGCACGAGAAGGGTGATGAGTCGCTTACCTCCTCTTGGGGGGGAATGGGTGTCCATCAGCCGAGGATCGGGGTCCTCGTTCTTATTGGGTCAATAGAAGGCGCGTCACGGGGGGCCTGCACATATAAGAGCTATGATCTTCCCCCCCCTCCTCTCCAACTTTCTTCCACACTCTTACATCAATTATCAATCCATCGATATCTCTCTCATAATCATCAACAACTTTGTTGAACTTGATCGTACCTTTCCCCAACCATTTGAGGACTTCCTCACGTGAGCCAGACTGGGTACCCTCGATCCTTCTTATCACTAGACTGCAGATCACGACCTGCTCAGCCGCACAGTCGGGTCAACCAACTCCAGTAGCAAGTTCCCGTTATAACGAGTTCGTCAATTTCAACCACTAGACGGCCGCTACTTCAAGCTGCCATAAACCAACATCAGCCCAAGGAGCCAGATAGTTGACCGAATGGATCATCGATCTTATTACCAGCATCATACCTTGAGGAGAATGCAAAGTGCCTCTGGGTTATGGAACGCTGATGGCCCAGGTTATCGCACCCATTCGCATGCAAATACTTACGCGGCCTTCCCGACGATGTCAGGAGGTAGATTTGAGACTCCCGCTTCATCAGCCCAAGGAAGCGCAACCAGACGGATGGAGAAGCGGAAGACAGTCCACTGGGCTGCCAACGTCGTGGACAACGAATTCAAGATGCAGTCAAGACCTAACCTTCCTCCTGTGGCCAAATCCGCGTCACAGACCTCAAAGGGATCATCGTCGTGGTCAGAACCAACACCTTCAGGATCGACATCGTCGTCCAAAGGGTACCATGTTAATCCTTCGTCTGAGAGAAGCACGTCGTACTCTAACCAGCAACGGACTCAGGTGCCATCACAAAGTAACTGGTCATCCAGCACCGCACCGATAACCTCAAATCAGAGACGAACTCAAGTCTCAGCCTCTACAGCGAGCATTCCATCAAGGAGAACTCAGCCATCACCAAGACAATGGCCACCAGTAACGACCACCGTACTCCCTCCCCTTGTTCCAGATGTTCCATGGACACAGAGACCACCCCCCGCTCCTAGACCAAGTCGACTCCCGACTCCAGAGTTGCCCGAAATCTCGGCCGGTAGATTCTTCGCCATCAATCAGCCACGTGAGAGTCATGGCAGTCGGGAAAGACGCGGCATTATTAATGTGAATGTGCAAGGTAAATAGCAGTCCAGCAACCGTTATCGTTGCTGATGATGTGAAATAGTGGGAGTATCCTTGGAGTATACGCAAGATAGGGGAAATGGGTGGTGAACGTGTGGCCTCCCTTTCGTAGTGATGGAGGATCGGAGTAGTTTGCGAGTTTTCAGGTATGGCTGTTCCTGGCTCTCAGCGTTGGATATCGAACGAATTGACGAAGTATTCCCATAACCATCTTCCACAATTCTTCATCTGTGCCGTCCGTGAATAGAAGATGTCTGCCTGTTGTATGCCCAGCTATACCATCCCACCCAGATTCCCCATGCCAAGAGCGCGCCGCAGCGTACCCAGCTCAAAACCGCCTCTCCAAAATCTACTCACCTTATTTCAAATGCTACAAATCTCTCCTTCATTTGCGCGCTGGGAGATTCGCAGAGCAAGAAACGGTCGTCGTCGTCGTCGTCGTCGTCGTCGTCGTCGTCGTCGTCTAGGCACAAACTCGGTTATCTCCTCGGGCCGGTTATTTTTCCCGCCTCCCGATCCGCGATCGCCGCTTACCTAACACACAAAACCCCACCTTCCCTACGAATATCAGAGCTCGCACACCCCGCCATCCGGCCCATTCCCCCAACTTTCGCATTTATCACAACACTTTTTCCACTCAATCAGGAAAACATTCTCCAAAAACGCTACAATGGCAGAAGAATTCAAGCCTGTTTTCACTAAGGATGCTGCTCCTCGTATGTGTTGCTCTTGCCAATTGATCCTGTTTTTCTTTTCCTTTTCTGTGTGCCGTGGATTCCAAATGGATTTCTTGACTGACAACCCCCGCTCTCCATACAGCCGCAGGTCCATACGTATATCTCCCCTTCTCTTGCCTCCAATCCCCCCTCTAACTCCCAAATCCCAAAAAGAACCTGCCCAACTAACAGCCCATCCCAACCAAACAGTCCCAAGCCATCGCCACCCCCCACGGCATCTACGTCTCCGGCCAAATCCCCTGCAAGCCCAACGGCGAGATCCTGACCGCGCCCAGCTCCAGCATCGCTGAGATGACCGAGCTCTGCATCCAGAACGTGAGCGCCGTGTTGAAGGCTGCCGGCTCGGACCTCACCCGTGTTATGAAGGTCGGCGTCTTCCTGACGGATATGAGCCATTTCGCGGAGATGAATGGCGTGTATGAGAAGTACTTTACGGGGAAGCCGGCGAGAAGCTGTGTGGCTGTGCACCAGTTGCCTAAGGGCGTGCTGGTCGAGATTGAGTGTGTTGCTTTGCCGTAAAGGGCTTATCGAGGGAAAGTTGAGGGGGACGGTTTAAGGGGACGTGGGTGTGTCAGAACGAGGAGAGATGGGCGAGATGAGCTGTGTTGGATATAAAAGTTTGGCTATTTAGAAAAGTCTACGAGACATCTTCTCCCTTTCTCCCCAGTAGTTGGGGTCAAAACCGGCGCCTTATCTTTCCGTGTCTCCATAGTGCTTGTTCAGTGTCAGTAGCTGTTCAGTATCAAGATGAAGAAGCTCGCTTCAGGTCAGCGACTGGGCACCTGCTTGCAGATCGATAATAGCTTAATACAGCATCAGCCATCAAGGTAAGTATAAGTATAGGCTGGAGACTAGCTCAGCGTTCATTCTGCATTGCTAGGGACTACCCTAGTCACCAAGGCATATATCCTCACAGACGTCTTACAAACGTCAAAGCTGGTGAAAGACTGATACTGTCTACTCTACATATCTTAGTCCCCACGGTATGTCATCGCAAGAGAGAAATCTCATGTGTTAGTTGCCTGACTCACACTAGGTATGAAAAAAGTAAAAAAAGAAAAGAACCCCCCGCAATGCATAAAACGCCACCTATATCTTAATATGCAAATGATCCACTTGCCGCACGCAACCAGATACACATGTACCATCGCGTGGGAAGAAAAACAGGGCAAAAAAGAAAGTCTGACCAGGATTTACCCAGAATGCCAAACGCCAAACGTTGCAAAGCACAGAATTCAGGCCCAGCCCTTCCTCCGTATCTACCAATCTGGCCTACGTGCACCCGCAGCGCCCGATGGCTACTGGACCGTAGTAGATTCCCTTAAAGCACTCGGGGCCTTCTGGCCTCTCCGTCCCAGCAATGTCGCACCCTCAAGGTTAAGCTCAAATGTCCCTTTCTTATTCCTGACCTGCTGCTTGGCCGCCGCCGTAACCGCTGGGCTATGCTGACCGTAGCCTTTCTGTGCTGTTGCATTCTGAGGCGGCTTCCCATTTGCCGCAGAGTTGAGATTTGTATTTCTGAGACCCTGCTCTACCTGGTGTACATCCGCTTCTCTGGCCTTTGGTACCTTCGTCGGGATACCATGATCATTTTCGTAGTCCTCTTCCTCCTCGGCAAATTCTTCGTCGTCGATAGGATTGAGACTATTGATGGCGGCTGCACCACGATAGCCCTGCTTGAAATTCTTGCGGCGCTTTCCTTCCTCCTCTTGTCTATGGACCGCATATCCTACATCGAAAACCTCACGCAGGTTGACAGCGCCCGGACTGCGGAAGTCCATGCGTTTGCCCGTTGTGGGTGATTCGAGCAGGTCTGGGTTGAACGCATGCAAGCCAGCGCCAGCGCCAAGTTGCTTTTGTCGTTCTGCAGCTGGCGTAGCGAGTGGAGGTGCGTCCAGAGCGGCGTACGTGGGCTCTTCGGTTCCTTTGATCCATGGATGATTTAAGAATTCTTGGATCGTGTAACGCTTGTTTGGGTCGACAGTCAAGAGATGGGATACGAGGTCCTGAGCCGACTTCGAGATATCGTCCCACCACGGTGACAGGAAGGTGTATTGTCCTCTTGCAACTTTCTCGGTGAGTACTTGGATACTCTCGTCGTAGAATGGGGGAAAGCCGCAGAGTAGTGTATAGAGCACACATCCCATGGCCCACATATCAACGCTCTTCGAGTATCGTTCGTCCTTGACGATTTCGGGCGCCGTGTATCCGACCGTTCCGCAAGGGGTCATTGTTTGTGTATCCCAGACAACCTTACTCAAACCAAAGTCGGCAAGCTTGATCTGTCCAATACCGCCAGACCCAACTCCCTTGATGAACTCTCCCTCATCTACCTTGTCCTCATCTTCAGCCGATCTTGGCTTCGGATTCTTGGTAGGGATGAATGGAATAGGTGTGAATAGTAAGTTCTCTGGTTTGATGTCCCTGCGATGACGTCAGTGAGGCAAAATGATAAGACTGGGGAGAAAATATACCTATGAACAACACCTTTCTCTTCATGCAAGTACAGTAATGCTTCCGCGACTTGAGTGATGACATGCCTGGATAAGTCTTCACTGAAATAAGTAAGGCGGACAATCTGGTGGAACAGTTCTCCCCCGGGTGCCAGCTCTAAGATGATATAATAGTACTGTCGAGATTCTGCAAAATCGACAAGCTTCACTATGTTGGGATGGTCCAGTTGCCGCATAATCTGTACCTCCTTTAGGATATTTGCTCTCTGTAGGGAACAGTCAGCATGTGTTGCCATATAATATGACTGAAAGGAATATGAAGAAATGAATTATATCGAGCGCGAAGCTGATGCCGACTAGTTCATGCTGCTGATAGGAATATATATGTTCGCACCTCCACTACTTTTGGCCCCTTCTTGAAGTTCGGATGAAGGTGTGCATCGCCCTACGAGACCATGCGCGCGTTGGTAAGGAAGCCCAAAAAGAGAAGGAGGTGAGTAGCCATCCGCGCTAAGACTCACCTGGCTCGAATTCATTTCGAATTTCCGGACGACCTTGATAGCGACCTCTCCAGCTTTACCATCCAGGTCCCGCGCTCGGTAGACGTTGCTGAAGGCGCCGTCGCCCATCTTCTCTAGCAGTTGCCATCGCTCAAGGCCGGGGTATTTTGGCAGCTTCCCTTTGCTCTCGTTCTCCTCCGCTACAATTCTCGCAAGATCTTCAGCATCCACCTTCTTCTTCGTGGCGGCTTGTTGACGAGTCCCTGCGGCCTGCGCCGCCGCGTTTCCGGCCTGCGCATCAGCCATCTGTCCTTGAGGTTGTTGATGAGTGTTCCCGCTGGGATCTGAGGTGGCGTAGTGGTGCTGCGGGGGTACAGCACGGTGGTTTTGTGAGGCTTGTTGATGTACATTGACCGGCGATACTTGTGTGGTCGGGTCGTCTTGCGGATGCGACGTTCGCCCTTGCTTTCCTATGTGACTGTGAGCAAACATTCGAGGAAGATGGAAGGCGAGTCAAGAGAAGAGTTGCGAGGCTGGGCCTCGGCGGATTGCATCACGCACCGTGTCGGATTAGATTCTTTATTGACTGGGAGAGAGACATGATTCCAAGAGGTTCTCCAAAGCAACTGACAATGTTGAGGGTGTCGCAGGTGCGAGGGACTAATGAGGCCAGGGAGTGTCGAGCAACGACGAATGGACTCTTCTTGCCCGGGCGGCGGCTTCAGAGAAGGGCAATGGGCAGTCACGACGTAGTCACGTAGGTCAGGCGTAAGCGAACAGGGACCCCAAGAAACGAGACGTGGTATGATGGAGGTGGAGATGGATCAAGTTCGCAGTGAGCAGCGATCGTCGCGCCAATCTGCGATGCCTCTTGACCCGGACGGGATAGGAGGGGGGGGATTTGCGACAAGACAGTGGAGAGAAAAGGCGGCAGTTGCGGATTCAATTCCAAGGGTTCAAGAAGTTCAGGATTCGCGGCAGTCGAGGAATTCGGAGGCGAGTAATTCCAGGATTTAGGATTCCAGGATTTCCAGGATTTCCAGGAGGAGTAAGGTAGTTCAAAGAAGATCAAGGGGGGATTGCAAAGCAGATGGTTTTCAACGTCATCGGCTACCATCGCTACCGTTAGCGCCGCCACGCTCCCTACTTACTCCGGACTCCGTCATTCCTCGCCTTTTCTTTCTCGCGGGGTCGCTCGTCTTGATAAGGGCCTACCTAAATGTCCGCCACCTAGTGGCTATATGTCCGCCACTAACCTTTTTCGGGATAGGGCGACAAATTCCGGGTGTGCATCTATGGTACCTAGGCTATAGTAGTAATCTGTATAGTAGGGCAAGTATATACTGTGTAAACAAACAATCAATTCATAACTATACAAAAACGGCAAAAGTGAAGCTATTCCTAGTTCCCTATTCATCGTCTAACTCAAACTCCGCATCCTGGGTATATACCTTAACGCCGCTAATTACCTCCCGTGGTGTTTCTACCTCTACTGCCGTAACACTCTCTTCTATCGCGGCAGCAGCAGCTATAGTAGAGTCTACTATAGAATCTGACTGATAAATAGATGATATGCCCTGCATATACATTCTCTCATGTCGGGTACCCGGCTTATACAGATCCCGGTGCCTATTTGCAAGTCTTGCCAGCCCTGCCGTAGCAGTTACAGGTGCGCCAGGCACTATATATAGCTGCTTAGTTGCTGGCCTAGGTCTATTAAACGCCGGAGGTGCTGAACTCGAAGGTAGCTCAAAAGAAGAAGGATCCTGGCGAGTATTTAAAGGCGCTACACGCGCTACCCTACCTAGAGCACCCCTTGGCCGGCCCCTCCCTCTAACCGGCACAGGATTTAGTAGAGGTAGTGGCAGCGTAGGGATGGGTTGCTAAGGAAAAGTACTTGAATCTGGCCTGTTAAAGTACTAGTGAGGATGTATATCTTCCGGGAGGATCACTCCCCGGCCTGATATCCGCTCCTAGAGCTTGTGGTAACAAGGTAGCCCTATAGACTGTTGAATAGAGCACTGACATCTAGGTGGTGGCCCCCCTCTAGCCGGTAGCTTTAAATACTCCTGTAGTATCCGTTACAGCGCGTAGCCATGAACTTGCTTTACAACAGCAGCAAAAAGAGGGATGTTTGTATGGTGTTTTGGCCGTAATTGCTGCTACGCTAGAGTCGTCTTGATGTTGTCATGCTGTTGTTCCTAGAACAACTGTAGCTTAGTGAACACGCCCCTTAGATCCCCATGGCCCCGGTGCAGGCACCTCTTTATAGTGGCGTGACAGCCCTTAATTAGACTAGTAACAGTGACGCCAAAGTAGTAGGAGCTGTTGATATAACAGGCTACTAGATTCTCTTTCCATATTAGCCAGGTGCCTTTACAGTAGCTCATGGCCTCCCGAGGGAACTTAGCCCGCATTTCTGCAAGCAATTTCTTATAGTCCTCTTCTGTCCTACTAGCTAGTAGTGTATTCCACTAGCTAATAAACTCTTAGAAGGCCGGGTGGCGGGCTACCCTGCCGTCGTCATGTTTGATAGGCCCTAGGAAGAACCTCTTGGTCTTAGCTAACACGTTCATATTAACATGCCACTGGCAAAGGATGTGGTGAGAGCGAGGGAACCGTGTACTTAAGCACTTGATAAGAGCTAACTCTCTATTAGTTACTATAGCAGTTAGCTCTTGGATCGTGTTGTTGTACATGACGTTCTGGAGTTGCTGTATAGCCTAAGTGTAGTCCTCCTCCTTCTCCCCTGACAAGAAAACCACCGCGATTTGTATCACTATGTTGTTACCAGTCATCCTACAGATGTTAAGTAAAGGCATGTTGAATCTGTTGGTTTTGTATATACAATCGAGTAGTAGGACATCCGGATGCTGCTTCCACAAGGAGAGTAAGGTAGGGTGGATGAAAAAGAGTCGCTGTATGTTGCCAGAGAGGGGGTAGAATTAAGGATTAAACCCCTTGCTTTGAAGCTCCTGTAGTAGGTAGGTAGTTAGTAGGTAGGTAAGGTAGGATTAGAAGGGACTGTAACACTACCTCTACAAGCCACTGTATTAGAGTCTTGCCATCTAGCTCTTCAAGCCTTGACTTTTGGAGTATATTTGTCACATCCTTTGCCGTCAGGAGTGCCTCTGGATACTCAATCCTGAGCGTTGACAGAATCTGGCTAGTAGACAGGCCAGCGCGTCCAAGGGTACTAATGGCGGCATAGGCGTTTGGCTTGAGAGCAGCAATTCGATAGGCAGGATAGGCCTTTGGATCTGCTGATCTGTCGTGATTGTGTGTAGCCTCAAGTACACTAAGACTCCAATTTCCGGATATATGATCTAAGCGCAACTCAACACCCATTTTGCACCTACTCTTCTTTAAGCTAGTGGATAGTCGTTGTTTTGAAGGATCCGTATCAGGGTTCTTGCTAGTAGCTCTGTATTTGCCGCCGCGATCACAGCGAAATACAGCTCTATTAAGCTTCTTGTCGTGCCTGTAGAAGGCGTAACCGTTAGCTTTTACATGCTCTTGAACAGCAGTAAACGCAGCCTTAAGATCAGGGTAAATAGCTAGAGCAGGGGCGGGCCCGCAAGCGTTAGAGGCAGTAGAAGACATGGTAGAGAAGGCGTGGTGTTGTTGGTGTTGTTAGTAGGACGTTGTGGGTAGGACGTTGTGAGTGATACTTAGGAATAGCTTCAATTCTTGAATGTTTTGATTTTCGAGTAACATTACCGAGTATCCGGTTACTATACAAATTACTATGGCAACGCGATGGTGATAGGTGTACGTGGTAAAATACTGCATTATCCCGAACAAGGTTAGTGGCGGACATATAGCCACTAGGTGGCGGACATTTAGGTGTAGCCCTTGATAATCATCCTCCATCCTGGACGAAATGCGATGGGACCGTCCCGTCTTGCCTCCCCAGATCAACGGTCATCGCTCATCGGACGACTCCATTGGCCGTGGGCACGCGACCGGGAAGATGCATTGCAGTTGTCCCGTTCTGCCGTGAGTACGGAGCAAGGCAAAAGGTAAGTACTGCCTACTCCGCCAACGTCAAGCTCTGGCCCGTCCAGAGTCTAGACAGGTCCGGGCGGGCTGACTCTCGAGTCGAACAGGGCCGGTGCCATCCTCGAGACGTTCCCGATCTCCCGATACTTATCGGCCATAGTGCCGGCTTCTTGGCGCTTTCCGCTCCTCAAAGGCCTCTGAGCTCTGAGAGAGTCGGGCGGAAGCACAGATTCGGATGGGGATGAGGTCAATGATGTCCTCCCAAGGCTCACGATACATACTGACACTACACTACTGCATGTTTCCAAGCACAGTCTCTGGGAGGCTTGAGCCGGCCGCATCTTGTGCCACACTGCCAGGCCTTTGTACACGGTACTACAGTATCTGTCGGTACTGTACGCCATGCGGGGGCCCAAAATGGCTGTGTTCGTTCGTCCCAGCTGCAAGTTGCAACACACTCTCCTGGGATGATTAATCCGACTTTCCCTTCCCTGGAGGCTGCAGGACCGCAGGTGGCATCCGCCCTGACTCCGCCGAGTCATATGGTTTCTGCCCATACGTACAGAGGTATGTAATTTCCCAGCCTCCGCCCAACCATCGAGTCTCCCGATCTGCCCATGTTTTCAAGCCCCTCCGCAACAAACTCAGAATGCGATCCAAGGCAGAACCTCTCGATCTCCAGGAATACTTACATCGAAATGGGCTGATCCCCACGCGGGGACGGCCACTGCTCCTCTGTGATCTCGACTCCCCCACGTCCATCTCTGTGCATCATCCGACAGGGGTCCCCAAAGATCCCAAGATCCCCCTGTCCTCGATCCGCCGCCCATGACGCACAAGGCGGGCCCCCTATGCCGCAGCGATCGCCTCGCGCTGCCTCCCGCCTCCCATCACGTGTATCGCCTGAACGCTTCCCAGCCTCCAGTCTGGACTGCAGTGACCAGTATGGTGCTTTGCTGGCGGGCTGGTCATTGGCCCGACTGACTCGCAGCGGAGGACGCCGTGGCCACTCGGTTTACTCAACTGCGAATTGATAATTTGTCCAGTAGTTTCTCAGCTTCAATCTCTCCCGAGTCCCGATCCAGTAATTGATAGGTCGCGATTGATTGGCCGTGCGTGTTGTGGGGAAGAGCGGTTCTAGAAGGCTGAGTAATGATGCTGCACCGTCAGGAACCGTTCCTTATGCTTCGCGCCGGCCGCGAACGTCGGAGTAGGCTTGCGGCTAGTCTCCCACCTTATCTCTGCAGACTCGATCGAACCATCATAAGCATCAACTTTTAATGTTTCAGCTTTGGCTGATCCTCGACTATTTGGGACATAGGAGTGCCTAGTACCTCTATAATAGGACCTGTCTAACAGTCTAGGTAAGGGAGGCATTAACCATTGTAATTAAGCTATCATTCCCGGACTCCGCCTAACCTACCTAAAACAACATACCATAACACTAGATTGCATTTGAAACTTGAGGTCCCAAGGAGATACTGTAGATAGATTTTCTGCAGAACTCGCCTGCTTTCCAAAGCTCCATCCTTTTCATGATTAATTGGGAGATTGTATCAAACGAAGCAGCTTACCTACCTGCTTATCCCGTAGCCATTAATTAATAGAAAAAGGAATACATGACATTTAATAGACGCGGAAGCTGAGACAAAAAACACCCGCTGAGCAGAGGCAGACAGGCAGAAATAGATGCCCAACGCCAAAAAAAGAGTAACAACTGATATTCAGGCACGCCCGCAAGACTATCTCCCACACAACGCTGTAAAAAACTCCTAACTAAGCCCTATCTTATCTCCTCAGATGAGTCCCGCGCGCGCTGCCTCGCCGCCGCCATCCCCAAGCACTTCTTCCATGCGAGCCTTGCCGCGTCCGATGCCTCCCTCGCCGACGCCCATCCTGCGAGCCACGTAGCGCTGGGCTACGATGCCTGTGCCCAGAGCCAGGACCTCTTCCACCCACTCTGCGACCCATTCGCGTGGATCCACGCCGCCGCTCTCGATGATCTCGGCGATCTCCTCTGGCAGGCCGGGGTCCTGGTACTTGTCGGTCTCGCTGCCGAACATGCCCTTCTCCTGCGAGGCAGAGCCCGAGGACGTAGGGGTCATGGGAGAGGGGGCGTCGAGCCATTTGATCCACCTCGCGGGGATGGATTGCGAGATGGTGTGGAATGTGATGCTGTGTACTGGGTCATGCAGGTAGATGGCGAAGGAGATGAGCTCATCGGGTTTCTCATCCTCTTCTACCACGGCGCCTTGCTCTTTCTCCTGGGCTGGCCCTTGGAAGAGATCTACAGGCGCGTCGTGGGAGATGGCTTGCAGGGCTAGGAAGATATCACTGCTGCGGACGGGGTTGGATTCGCTGAGGACTTCTGTTGCGCGCTGGGATGCGAGCTCGAGTCCCCCGTGAGAGTTAAAGTACTCGCTCGCATAGGACTCGGCGCTCACACGGACTAGCTTCGTTCCTTCAACGAGCCCTCTGACGGCTCCAAGGTCGCGGTGCTCGTTGCTTTGACGCCACCAGGGGCCGTCACTCCAGCCACCGCTACCTCCAGTGTAACCAGCTTCGGAATTGCGGCGGGCTGTGGATTCATGGCCTCGTTGGATGACGAGCAAGTCGCCTCCTTCAACCTGGGCCATGACCCTTGAGAAGGTTGAATAGATCAGGGGGTCAAGAGAAGGGTATCCGATAAAATCATGGGTGATGTGTATCTGAAGTCGTTCATGAGATGAAATAGGCGGCGCAAGGGTATGCAGTATATTGGTAAATGTTGGGAGCGCTCTCGATCGTAATTCACCTCCTTTGCTTGATTAGTGATGTACTCCCAGACTCGTGACACTGTATCTTACCAAGACCTCTCAAGGCGCCTACATTGCCTTTGACTTGCTCAGCCCACCTCTTGGCTTCTTCATTCTGCTGGATTTCCTTCACAGCTGCCTCAGCGGTCTTGACGGCAGCACTTGCTGTCGCGAAGATGCCTCCCCACCAACTACCACCCCCGCCTCCAGTAGAAGGTGTGTCTGCAGGCTGAGCGATTGGAGCTTTCTTCTCAGCATCCTGGAGTTCACTACTCGTAGCGGAAGGTGTCAAGCTGGCCTGGAGTGGTTGAGCGCTCTCCCCAGATCTCCTGGGTCCAGCTGTCTTCTCTGGACTGGTTCGTGACGAACTTGGTGGAGGAGTGGCAGTAGTTGTGCGCTTCAAAGACTGCACCCGCGGCGTATGCGGTCTATCTGGTGGTTGGGCGCCCAGGTTCTCGAGCTCAGCTAGAAGATCCTGCTCTGATTGAGACGGGCCTGACGTTGCCCCCTTCGAAGCTCTTGATGTAGTAACCGGGGTTGGCGTACCATCTCCACCAATGCCTTCCAAGAGCTTGTTCAGCTCGTCGTCAGTTGGGGCGGCCTTGGATTTCTTCGATGCCATCACGCTCTCAATGGCTGCTGTTCGGACGGGCGGAGAGTGAATGCCGTGGTGTTGTCCTCAAAAGCCAACAATAGGCGTGGATTCAATTCAATATGTACGTCCGTTGCTATTGTCGATAGCATTCCAAGCTCCGACGTCCACCGCATTAACGGCTGCCCGTGGCTTTAGCGCGGCTGGGAGCGCTGTGATTGGCTCGGTCAGCCACACTTAACGAGCCACCCGCCGCATTTTCCTAGCTTGGTGCAGCACTGGGGATTCGGTTGGAAGAAGCAAAACTACTGTACTCCGGATTACCTGTATCAACAATAGGATCAGAAAATCATGACTTTGGCTATTGTTGCTCGATCATACAGCTCTTCGGTTGCTATTCATTGTCTTTAGTCGAAGATCCCCTGCTCATCCGTCCTTGCTCCTCCCGTCTTTTCCTCTCTTCTACAACTCTTTTCGAAACTCCAAATCTCATTCAGTAAGACTTTTGTCGCCAGAACCTACTCCCCCATCTACATGTGGTGAAAAAGTACCACAACCTCGACATCTCGATCACTCCTCTGCTTTCCCAGCGATTGCAAAAAACTCTACCTCATCATGGCGAGGAAGAAGTCAGCCCCTATCACAACTTACGCACCACCAATACCTACGATGTCCTCTCAAGCAGCGAGCGCCACGCCGACTTCTTCGGCCCCATCTTCATCGACCACTGCTTTAACATGCCCCCATTGCCTCGTGGTATTTACTAATATGACCTCTCGGGTTTGTTTTCCTTTGGATTATATTTTGTCATTAATTGACCCGGTCCTAACATGGAAATAGGCCTTCAGTAATCACGTGTCATGCTGCGTTGGTCCCGTCGCTGCAGATGACGATGCGTCTGAAAGTGTCTTATCTTCTCCTCCTGATTCACCAATACAGACGGTTAAGAGTACGATTTCTGTTGGTGCAACAGCACTCCGACAAGAAGTCACTGCTCCGTCTGATGCCAGTGTTGCCGAAGAGGATGGCGCAGCACCACCCATTGAAGATCCTGACGCAGCCATTCATGCATATCTGGACCCGAAGAGAGAATTTGAATATTACGATCAAGGCGAAGCTGTAGAAGAAACCGCTCAAGACGAAGATGCTGATGCAAGTCAACTCGAAGTCGTGGAGACTCCTGAAGCTGACCAGCAATCGGTGACTGCTGAAGAGGTTCCTGAAAACCCAGAGGCCTCAGAATCTCTTGAAACCTCTGAAGCAGTAGCAAATTCTGAGAGTGGAGATTTGGAGACTGTCTCGCAGCCGGCAGTTGTGGATGCTCCCGCAGCTTTGGAAAATCCGAGCGTCTCCAAACAGTCCAAATCCAGGACCCCAATTGTCACAAGCAAATCAGAGGCGAAAAAATATCTATTTCCAAAACTCACCCCAGTTGAAGTCTTCGAGAATTACCTACAAGATGTAGAGGAGATGTCCTATGAGACTCTATATAACCGGGCTACGAGAGTCGCTGGTGTTTTACTCGAACTTCAAACTGAGTTCGTAGAGGTGGACAAGAAGCTCTACCGGCATGAAATGATTGGCAAAGCCGAAACTAAGAGAGCGGCAGAAGACGCGAAAGAAGAAGCCGATAGGAGAGTGGAACTGGAAGACATGGCTCGCGACGCAGTTGAAGAGAAATACAGCGAAAAGCTTGCTCTCGAGGGCGAGGAGTGGGAGAAGTTCCTGGAAAAGTTCAATCGTTCCTCCGACAAGGAAACATTGAAGCACCTAAACAACCTACACAACCCCCAGTTCATGGAAGCTGCAATAAAGCGACGTCGAAAGGCCGCGGCCAAATATCATAAGCTTGACAACGAGCCGCCCCCAGAAACCAAGCCTACCAAAGAAGAAATTGAACAGGAGAAACGCAAGCAAGGCTGGCTGATAGATCCCGTGAAATTTGACGATCAAAAGAGAGCAGATGTGTATGGATTGGAGTATTCGTCACATTTCAGGCACCACGGACATCAGCCAATTGATAGAATCATTCGTCAAGCACAGCAAGCTCGGAGGAAAGTCAATGGAGATGCACACAGCACTTCTGAGGATACCGCTGGATCAGCTCCAATAGGCCGGCTTAGGATGCAGCGCAACAAGAGTAAGAGAGCCTACGAAGCCGAGCGTAGTGCAACTTCGGAAGAAGATGAGGAGGAGCTTCCCGCAAAGAGATTGAGGAAGCCAAGAAGATTCGAAGATGGAGTCGAAGCTTTGGGAAAGCCTCGGGGTAGCACGCAAAGCCGTGGTGGAACCCCAATGATCAGAAGACGATTTCCATCGGGTGCACCGGTTGGACGACCGCCTAGATGGTATATCGAATCGAAACTGCAAGCAGTCCAAATGGCACCAAAGTCCCCAGAGTTGACGAATGGAGATCTCCCGCAGACTTCTCAAGAAGCTGCTCCATCCGATGAAGGTCAGTTGCAAGGTGTGGCAGAACCCCTGGCCAACCAGACTGTTACCGTTTCGGATAATGCTACTGCAACTGCACCTACCACAAAGCGCAAGCACCCTGGCGGTAGGCCAAAAAAGGTTGTGGCTGAAGCCCCAGCAACCAATGCTCCATCCGAAGACGTCTCGGTGGAAGCTTCACAGTCGAAACCGAAGAACAAGGGAGGCCGTCCCCGCAAACATCCGGTCCAAGAGCCGGCACCAGCCGAAGCCAGTACTCAATCAGGCCCGCAACCCCGCGAGACTAAGAGCAAAGCTCATTTGCAATCGTCCACGATCAAAGTCGAATCCGGCTTTGATGACGACCTTGTTCAGTTGACAGAAGCTGAAGATATCATTCAATCAACCGAACAGGACGACGGTTCTCGTTACAATTCCGCAGAGACATCCAGACCTACCAGCTCATCCTCTACTGAGTCAGTATCTACGGTTGCTAATCGACGCAGCGCCCGACCATCTACTCGCAATAAGACTCTTGCAAGAGAACTTAATGGCACGAAGAATGCGAACGATGATACTGGCAATAAGCTTGAGGAATCGCCATCATCATCGCCATCTGTTCCTAGGAACAAGCGCAAGCATGACTCGGAGGAAACAGAACTAAATCCAATTGTCGTCGATGCTCCTCTTCAAACCGAAGAGCCTGCTCCAAAGAAGCGTCGCACTCGAGCACCAAAGGCCAAAGAAGACATGGTCGAGACTCCTGTTGCAATGGGAGCAAAGAGTAAGAGAAAACGTGCCAACAGTGATGCACTTGAAGAAGATCGTGTGGGCAAGAAGGGCAAGAAGTCCATTCATGAACCAGCCGGCATTGAGGACGATCACGAGTCTAATGCAGACATCGATGAGGAGTCGCTGACACCAGCTGCTAGAGAGGAGCTGAAGAAGAAGAGAGCAAAGGAAGAGAAATCGAGAAAGTTATCAGAAAGCACAAAGGCCAGATGGGCGTCAGGAGGTATGAAGAAGGCACAGGAGACCCGCAAAGCCAACCTTGCCCTCAAGAAGGCTGCTAAGGAAGCTGCTGCCAAGGAGGCTGCTGCCGCCGCTGAATCATCTGGCCCCGCTCCCATCGAACCTGCCGCCCCTGCACCCGCTATTGAAACACCCGAACAGCCTGCTCCAAAGAAGCAGAAGGCACAAAAGCCAAAGCCCTCCCTGGAACCGACCCGTCCCGCAAGTACCCGAATCCGGAAGCCAACCCGGCATGCCGCTGGATTGGATGGAGCTGCCGACGAGGACGAGGACGAGCTGGCGGAGCAGTTCCGATCCGAGTATGATCGGTATCAGGCACTCACGTCAGCCGGCAGTCCGGGTTTGGGCAAGCGCGTGCGCAAACCATTGATTGATTTGTCTGCGGTTATGGACGAAACCTCAGAAGACGAATACTACCAGTGATGGGTGTGCACTTGACCACGTTTATGGTGAGATCCGCTGGGAGGATCACCGCAGGGTGGATATTTACTTTTCTCTTCGTTTTTACCTGATGGGCGCTCAGAGGAGGTTTACTGCTAGAGATGGATATTGACTTGGCGCAGTTACGGATGAGAGCTCATGGGATGATTGTTACATTACGGATGGGTATTTTGCTCTTCTTCGATTATGGAGGAGAATTTCGAGGAGGATTATTTCAATGGATATTGAAACAGCGGCCAGTTTATTCATGGGTTCCCAGAGGTGGTTTACTACCAGGGATGAATACCGACTTGGCCGCTGTTATTTCATGAGATCGATCCCAGATGATAATATCAGGGATGGATATCAGCTTGTACATAAGATTACGATGATGAATACACTCACGAACTTTGCACTGAAAATCTCTTAGTTCCAGTGTGATGACACTGCAGATGAAACGAAATTCAGAACTACTGCGAATGGACCCCTAGGTATATACGACCCATTCTTTACTCTCGTTTTTTGCGTACTTCTCAATAATCCCATTTTATCCCACATAAGCACTCTATCCTCATCATTCATCCCTACCTATTATAAAAACAACCCAATCACCCCAAATAAAGGACTCAAACCCACCAACAAGCAATTCTCACCCGCCCATCACATCAGTGCTCAAGAAGCAAGCAATCGCTCATCCTACCTAGCATGAACACAATACCAAAAATCACAATATCCAGTTCCTATCTATCATCTCAATTCTCGAATCATGTCGAGATATTCAAAGTTGGGGTCTGTATATATTCCTAGAGAGTAGGTAGCTTCCTGATAGCGGAGAATATAGAATAGAGGAGTGATCGGGGGCCTTATCTTGTGTCTTCTCTCTCTTCAGAAGTTTCATTTGGTAGGGGGATGGGATTTAGTGTTTCGGGGAGAGTATTCTTGGGGGTTTTTCTTGTTTTGGCTTTTAGAGTAGTTGGGGGGGGGGGGGGGGGGGATGACCACGAAAAACCATCAACTGAGCTCGTCGATCACTTGCTGGTGCCACTTACATATGTTCTCTTCTGGCGTACTACCTCACAGATTACAGGGTCCAGTCTATCCCTGTATTGATAAACGTTTGTATCAAGCAACGGTAGATCACGAAAGATTCACGAATCGATACTTGCGTCTACTCAAATTAAGGCCAAAATAGCTTTGGCATTTACTATCTACTTCTCGCTCTACTTTCCTTCAATAATCCGAAGTGCAGAAGAGAGGAGAAAAGAAAGGAAAAGAACGGCAGGAAAAGCCAAAGCTCGTAAAAGGTCTCATCATCATTACCCAAGTAACACCTATCAACAGCAACGGGCCAACTGCCATCCTGAACCAGCAAACTACTGTCTATGGGCGCATATCCAGATCAATTGTTCGCAGGTTCGGGCTCGCGTTGGTTGTCCAGCTGGACGCCAAGACCGTTGAAGGGTGTCATTCGCAGAGGATCGAGCTCAAGTCGGTTATTACCCTGCACGTGAGCATCGGATCGGCGTCTGCGAGGGGCTGGTCGGGCTGGTAATATCTCTGGTGCAACAGGAGTAGTAGGCGAGCTGAGCTCTTCCCAAATTCCTGGCGGAGGGATGTCCTTCGTGATGAGTTTGCCATGGCGGTCCTTTATGACCTTGCTATGCCCGCCAGCTTCACGATGGAGATAGAAGTAGTACGCAGATAGACCTAAGTGAGCGACGAAAAGTACGCTGTGGAGAAGTTGTCAGTTTTGCTCTTCGGCAGTGATGTAGAAGCGGAACTTACACTTCCAAGGCGAGGAGGACAATTAGACCCTGGTTGAAAGTAGATCGATGCTCTGTCTTAGCCTGGGGGTTTTCATTACCGGGATCAAGTCCATGGCTGGTAGAATGGGGTTTCTTGGCTTCGAGCACCAAAGCAACGATCCAAAGCGCGGTGAAAATGACGTCGATTGCGATGCGTACGTAGTAGTTGTACAAAGTCGTAGCCCAAAGCTGAACGATGAGTACAACGCTAACAAGAGCGACTGCAATTCCGCTCTGTAAATTTGATATCAGTTCTCGTTAGTTATCGGGTGGGAACTGATGGGCCATACAATGATCGAGGTGAACAGCTCTGGTGGATTCAAGGAGGCACTGTACACCATAGTCACAAAAGCAAGGAGAATGGCCAAGATCGGAAGAGCCTTCAACCATGTTGGGGTACGAGGGATGTGGGCGGGCACTGGCTTGAAGGAGAGAAAGTGCTTCCTAAGAGGGTGGCGCGGAGTGCAGGGTACACGATCATCATGGCCCTGCACCGCGGGTGGGGAACGCTGGACGATATTATTGCTCATATTGAAAAGGAATGCTTAGGGGTTGTTCAAAACGAGCGTTGAATATGCGTGCGTCGATCTGCACGTCCCGATATGGATGCGTCCTGCGCGATCTCGAAATGTGCGTCGCGACTCGAGGTGTGCGTCACGATCTTGAGAGTTGGTGAGAAATACCCTTTTGGGTAGCTTCAACAACATCATATCACCGCTTATCCCGCCTATTCTAATCACGGGGTTTAAACGACAGTCTTCGATTCACTTGTATGTAGGCACCGTCCGTCTATTGGTAAATATCAGGTTGGCTCGGTGAAGGCTGATGATATCTAACCAGTGGAAAGCTTCAAGTACTTCTATGAAAGCATAGCATCGATTCGCTTTTGGCACAGCATGATATTTTTGAGAGCGCTATTGGGAGTTTCCCTGCTCACAGCTTCGACCTTGCGGCCATGGCAATGCTCCATTGCGAGAAACAGAAGGGCGAGTGCTTTACATACAGTTGGCCAAGGAAAGATGGAAGTTCCCCCAAACTCAGGCGGCTGTAGCTTTTACAGCTTCTCACATTCTCTCCAACACATTTCATGCGCTTCAATGAATGATCTATCTTTCTTTTCCAAAGGCTTTTCCAAAGGCTTTTCCCGCATCCTTTCCCCCCTTTCTTTGAAAACTGGAGTCTCAGAGTGACACTTGTCAATCGACCTCTGATCACAACATCATCGCTTGACTGGCGACCTGAAATCAACAAAGTAGCAAAGAAAGTACGGATTATAGTTCAAAGTAGAAAGCAAAAGCAGGATGTCACTTATACGCAGCATCGGTGTTCGAAGTCGAACAGACGATAGCGGTCGTCGTCGATATTGCCTTCGATGACTAAGCACAATATCAGCCCCCCATTTACAGTGCCCGATCTGCGGGCCGTGATAAGGAGAGCGGATCTCCTGCACCCCACCTTCGTTGTTACTTTATCGATATCGATATCACCAAGATATATTTCCAGGAAAGTCACCCCGAGGCATATCACGATGCTACGCTGCGCTCTCAGTTCTGCTGCTTTTCCAATTTCTTCTCCTGATCTGCTACAGCATGGATGATACCATTACATTCGGTCCCTCGGGCCAAGAATGGCATTATTCAAAGACCACGAAGACCTACGACCTGTCTGGGGGATCCGTCAAGAAACTGACCTTTCCAACCAGTGAGGGTCCCAAAGAGACATCAATTACAATTTCTCCCGAGTCGTCTGCCCTGGTGATTGTCGATATGCAAAACTTCTTCCTGGATCCGAAATGTAGGGACCACCCTAATGGCCTGAAAGCCGTGGAGCCAACGATCAAGGTCATAGAGAAGTGTAGAGAAGCTGGGATACAGGTATATGACAATCTTTATCTTCTCCCCGAGTCTCTCTCAACCTATGAGAGTCAATACTGCTGAAAGTGGCGCTCATATTTTGCCCAGGTAATTTGGATGAACTGGGGTCTTACGGACGAAGATATGAAATCCATGCCCGCTGGCGTCCAACGAGGCTTCTTGAGAGACACGCTTCAATCCGTATCTAGTAGCATACAACCCTATACTGGCCTTGGATCTGATCTAGGGGATGGCAAGGGTCGTTGCCTCTTCGCCGGATCCTGGAACGCCGATATCTACCCCCCTCTCAAAGCGCACGTCAAACCGGAAGATCTGCACTGCCCGAAGAATCGCATGAGTGGGTTATGGACCCCGGAGCAACCGCTGTGGAAAACGTTGAAGGCAGAGAAGAAGAATACTATTCTATTCACGGGCGTGAATACGGATCAGTGCGTGCTCGGAACATTGGTCGATGCGTACAACGCGGGGTGGAACTGTATCTCGATCGATGACTGTTGTGGTACTACCACGGTAGGCGGCAAGGAGGTGTCACTTCACAATATTGCAGTAAGTGCTTCCTTCCATTGCGCAAGGTTTGCCAAGTTGGCTAAGGAAGATAGTCCTCGTATGGGTTCGTGACGAATAGCACCGGATTTATAGCTGCAGAGTAATGTGTGCCAAGTATAATCGTTTCGATTTGTATGCATGTGTGTTGCATGTGTCTCGTGAGAGCTTTGTACAGATGTGTACGTACAGTCCATCGTTTCATCGTTCCATTTACATCTTCCTCGTCCCATCGTTCCATCTACATCTTCCGCGTCCCATCGTTCCATTTACATCTTCCGCGTCCCATCGTTCTTCCATCCACATCTTCCTCGTCCCATCGTTTGACAGGCTCGTATGCCGCTATGTCCCAGTTTCAGTTCCCAGTTCCCTGTGTTCCCATGTCTCCCAAAGAACGCCAATCCCAATGCAGATATCGGGTTTCAAAATCCCAGGACTTCTCATCCACTCTGAACATTCACATCTCCAACACAAACGCCATAGGTGCAGCACGCAGATGGATCCAATTGACCGTTAAGGATAAGATCTCTGATTTCCTATAGGAAAAAGGTTAGGTTTTATGGGAGCGAAGGAAATGTTGGGATGGTGACTTACGTCTGGGCATTTTATCGGTGTGGATGTAACGAGAGAGATGGTGCTGAAGACGCAAGCCGCCAGGGCAAGCAAAGCCGGAGAGGAAGTGCGCATGGTATTGTCTTCAAGCGATAGTAGTCCAGCCGAATCGAAGAAGATAATGATACCAAAAGCAAGCTTGCTGATACTGTTATACCAGGTGCTTGAGGCAGTTTTCCATCCGAGAAGAACGAACACAGTTCGTCCTCGGTGATGATATCTCCAACGAGAGCAAGGTAGCGAGTGACGTGGGGCAACGATGGGAGGTTTTAGAAGAAGAGAAGTGTTTACTCAGTACGCTCACGCAGTACACGAGGTCTCGAACACAGTCACAGGATTTTGATGCAGGGCCTCGGACATACATATAGTTGAAACTTTGGCAGCTAAGCCATGCATGCAAACCCGCACCTTGGTAGCCATAGAAACCCAATGACTCGGTACTTCTGTACCGGTTATCCAGCTCTTTGCGTCGTTTACAGGCCAAGCCGCACCGTTGAGATGGGATTCAGCCACCTACTGTGAAGTTACGATAAGCATTGATAAATATCCGTCATTCCGGGGGGCCAGGAGCCAATTGGGTTCTTGAGAAACTCATTCTGCAGGGTCTTGAGAGGAGGAATAATACGATTGTGGGGTCCACAGGAAGCGATTACGGAATGCTGTTCACGATCCCCCTTGTTGGATTGGCTTTGGTTACTTTGGTGGGATGTCCAGTACGGAGCGGCTTCAAAGTTCCGCATCTGCAAGCCACAGGCGGACCAACCAGCAACTTGGGAGTCGGGACGGATATAAATAGGAGTGGCAATAGATCCCATAGGAATATTGTCCGGCGAAACGGTGGTGAGTGCGGAAGAAGCTCTCGTAAAATCCGTCCGCATAGCTCTGTAGCGAGTAGAGAGACCGAGCTACAGTAGGGAAGAATTGAAAATATGGAGTAAGTGGTGAGACAGCAGAGATCTGGCAGAGATCGTAGGGCGAGGACTATGCCCAACTCGGATAACTGTAGAAATAAGCATATAGAAAGTCTCTTCGAAAAGAACGAACTCTACCTCCCAGCCAGAGAGTATTTGATATGGAACTCTGCCTCACAAATGCTTTCCACAAGGCGGAAAATCTAAGACTCTTTGCTTGTAGTTCATCCGGCATCTGCAGGTATTGCCAAGGGTCGTTGGTCTCGAAAGGATCACAACAAGTCTATCAGCGCTACTCTGGCAAATGCTGTCGGTACTGGCGATGTTGCGTCTAGAAGCCTCCCTTGCCTTACCTTGGCTACTTCTACCAGGATGTTCCCGAGCTCAGCGGTACTAGAATTCTATTTCCTGAATATCTTCTCAGTAGTTGGGAAAGCCTACACGGAGTGTGTGCTGCTTGACGAAATCAACAATGTACGACAAGCCATTTTAATAGCCCGATTGGCTCGCGGAATTTGACAGGGCGGGATCTCATACAGAAACTCTCTTTACTAGGGCAGAGTAGCAAGACAAGCCTTTAAGCTTCGATCTGAACTATGATGCAATCACTCTGAGAATGAGAATTGCGCGATACGATTCTACTCACAATTACTGGATTTGTTCGAGCGGGAAGACGGTTCTTTTGAGAAAGTTGTGCCGTCCGATGTCCCTAGTCCACCATACCTTGATGACGGTGTAGAAGACCCTGATTTTCTCAATGACAGTGGGAAAGAAAGCAATATTTCTGAATTTAGTTTGATAGCCGGGTTTGGAAAGTTCCAAATTTGTCTCAAGATTTGTGGCCAAAGACACGGCACAGCCTTGGCTTCGATTGCCTCAACACCCCGTATATGGGAACATGTACAATCCCAATCCTGGTATAGAATACTGTACCCAAGATGTAATCCTCTCACTTGAGCCCCAGGTTCGCAGACAAGACTTTCTTCTTGAATTTCAATCTTTCAAGGCTCGCGATGTACGAGGCAATGGAATGCACACGAGACAAGGCTGAATTGCCTCGGTTCGTAGCTTCGGACGGGTATCCCCGCATTCTCAGCTCGACTCCATATCAAACTCTCTCCAATGCAATGACCATCAATGCCTCACAATCGACTGCAGAGCGCGTCTTTGCGACAATTAGGACGGCTTGGTGCTACAGGGTCGTGGTACCGGATCCCAAGACCTCGAAGCCCACTCCCTACGAAGCCTCAATCATCTAGGCCATTCCTCTCCTGCGCAATCCCCCTCAGCGGACGGAAACCAGGAACCATGGCTCCTCCCGCCCTCCAGAAACAATACATGTCCTCCGGCACGGCGCCCAAGAAAGCCATCGCTGAACCACGACCTAGTGCGAGGTATGTCGCATAAATACAATCAGCGTCGCAGCGTTGGCTGATCCCACTCTAGTATCCTGTTGATCTCGCCCTCCAACCAAATCCTGCTCCTGCACCGCGTGCAGACCTCGAGCTCCTTCCCCTCCGCCCACGTATTCCCCGGCGGGAATCTATCCGCGTCGCAGGATGGGGAGATTCCTGGGCCTACCGATCCGAGACGGCATGTTGACGGGCCGGCGTACAGACTGGGCGCTATCCGGGAATGTTTTGAAGAAAGTGGGATTCTGCTCGCGAGGCGGGACGACGGGAGTGGTGCATTATTAGAAATCCCCGAAGAAGAGCGGGAGAGAGCCCGGAAAGATATCCATGCCGGAAAACTCAGATTCGGCGATTGGGTTAGATCCCAAGGCGGCGTTGTGGATTCAGGTAAATATGTCGAGCGGGAGGAGCCGTGGAATTGGGGAAGACTAATGCCATGCTAGACTCCCTGTTGCCATTCACAAGATGGATTACTCCAACGAATATCCCGAAACGGTTCACCACGCAAATGTACATCTATTTCCTACCACTAACCCAGACATCGGCGAAAAACATCTCCTCTGAAGCAGTGATTCCGGTGCCTACTTCAGATGGCGGCGTCGAACACACCGCCGCTTTGTTCGCGAGCTGTAAGGAATGGCTTGACCAAGCCACGCGCAACGAAATCATCTTATTCCCACCACAATACTATCTAATGCATCTCCTTTCCCCATTCCTCGACACCCCATCCTCAACATCCCTCTCAACCGAAGACCTACAGAAACAGCGAGACGCCGTATTAGAGTTTCTAAACGGGGATGGTGATGGCAAGGGCGTGAAATGGGCAGATAAAGTTATGAGTCCTACGGGGTTGCTGATTAGGAAGAGTGATGGCAGAAGCGTTCTGGCGCTTGACAAGCCGGGACCGGAATTGAAGGATAGTGGGAGGAGAGGTGATGAGAAGAGAGTCGTTTTGGTTAAGTTCAGGAAGGAAGGCCCTAGGAGTTTGGAGGTAAGACTGCGGAAAGATGTTTTGGATGAGGAAAAGGCAGTCGAGAAGGATTCAAAATTATAATCATGGCGCCTTCAGACTCTTCCGTCAACTACAGTATTAAGAGGCGAGGAGTTCAGCTTCGGTCTCAAGTTTGGTAAGAATCCTTACGAGATTCCGCGTTGTTGAATAAGGATTTCACCCTCGCAGATAATACATCTAATAAGAATAAGGCCCATGGTATTATCTGGGCGGCATCAAAATTGCCTCTGTTCAATCTAGGCAGGGGTATATACAAAGCAGGCTGCATTAGCTCTCAATAACGACTCCTCGCAGCGCCCCTCAAATTTTCTTTCCAAAGACAGCAGATACTATTACTCATACACCACTTCTTAACCTCTCCAGGATATACCTCTCCATCCCATCCCGCCTTGTCCAATGCACCCGTGTTGAGCCACACTGTCAGGTCTTCAAGTATAATTGGATCATAGAGAAGGATCTTCTCGTGCCAGCTAGGATTCAATGGATCCTGGGATGGCGGGGCAGTGGTGACTGCGCGCGTGATGTGCTTGAAAAGTTGGAGTTGGGATGACGTTGGCGAGAGATCTGGACTATCCTCAACAGCTGTCGATGCCGAGGTCTGTAAAGGCAACTGTGGTGTTCGAATTTGAGAGGGGCGACGCCTCGGAGGCGAGGGTGTAAAAGGGGAATCTGGATCGGAAATATCATCGATATCATCGATATCATCGATGGGTTGTTTGGTCTTCGTCTGGGTCTTTTTCGGCGTGCGTACCTTAGACAGGGGCGCATCGCTGACCAGTTCCAGATATTCATCTGTCTCTGTTGCCTTTACTTTGCCGGCCTGTGATTTTGACTTGGTTTTCGGTGAAGCTTCAATGCTGTTCTTTCTGGGTCTGCCCCGGGGTCTTTTAGTAGGTACAGTTTCAAGTTGGTTCGAGGACGACTTTGGGAGCGCTAGATTGGAATCTAGGGAGCCCAGAGCCACTCGTTGTTTACCTTCCCAGCACCTTTCTAGTAGAGTGATCATTTGATCCCTGTTCTTCACAGGTTTGAAGCGATATGACGCCAATTCCTTTGCTAGCTCAGCAGTCGTATAACAAGAGTAGTCCGGCTTTTCTAAATCACTGCCTTTAGCAGATATTTCCTTCACAGATTGCGTAGCTCGAGGAAGTGGCTCAGACTGCTTCGGTAGCCCCAATGATTTGTGTGATAATTCAAGATCTTCCGCATTGCTTGGAGGACGGCTAACTGATTCAAGCTCAGGGGAAGCTTCCGCTTGTTCAGCTTGCGCTTGGGGGGGTGGCGCATTGGGAATTATCTCCTCAATGTCATGCCAAATTCCATCGTTGTCTGGTACGGCAGGTGACACGGCAATTGTGTTAGTATCAGATGAGTTCACCTGCGTCTCGGCTGCCGGCGAATTTGCTAAATCTACTATTTCGACATTCAACAGCTCGCCAGCATTATCTCGAGTTGCAGCGGACCAAAGGGTTCGTTTCGTTGATGAGACTACCTTTCCTCGACTCGCTGTGAACGAGACAGTAGGCTCACGCAAGTCAGCGAATGGGTCATCATCCTCTTGGTTTGAGGCTTGCATAGCTGCGTGTACGTCACGCAGGAGAGTTGGCGATTCTTCCCTTGCCAGTTGGCTTGAAGTCCCGAAGACAAAATCCTGGTTGCCGACTTGCTTCAATGCGGACTCAGGTGAGAGTAGAATTGGCGCCTGTGCGGTGCCATTCCCAGGCTTCGACGGTCCTTTAACCGGGCTTCTCGAGCGAGGCTTCGCAGGGACTTTGAACCCATCACAAGCGACTCCATCAGTCGTCTCATAAGAGAAATATTGTAGTAGAGGCGCTGTCTTTGTAGGTAGTCCGTCCAGAGTATACGCAGAGGTGGCTTGATCTGTAATCGTTCTGGCTTTTTTCTTGGGCGCTTTGGTCTTTGGAGTCGTCGCAGCTTCCGAACTAGAAGCGGAATTATTCGTATTAACCATCTCGAGTTTCCGTTTCCTCATAACAGCACCAGCAGGCACCTTTTTTGCAACAACATGAGATTCTGTACTGTTAAATCGAAAGCTACCAAACAAATCTGTGGACTTTCTACTCCTTTCTTCCGAACTTCTTGACCCATCTAAAGCCACACTGCCATCTATGGAGCCTTCAGAAGTCAGGGGCGTGACATACGCAGATTCAGTCGTAGCTTTCGGCGGAGTCCAGAAAGGACGCCTCTTGACAGCTTCGACTAAACCGGTACCAAGATTATCCTCAAAGGCAGCGGGAAGCCCCTCAGCTGTAGTAACAGATTCAGGCTTCTCAGGTTTTGCCGTTTCTGTAACTTTGTCCAATTTAGAAGTTGATGTGGCCGAGGCCTTTGTGACCTTTGATTTGGGCATTTTCGTTTGTGCTTCTCCATTTGTCTTCTTCGCTCGCGGCTTTCGTACCGCCTTTGCCTTTTGGCCGTCACCTCCCGCGGGATCAGCGACATTTCCAGATTTTGGTTTGCGAGCTTTCTTTTCTTTGACAGTACCCTCTTCAGCAAGGCCAAGATCTGTCTTACTTTTCCGTGGTTTCCGTGGCTTTTGGGCTTCGGCGCCATCGATCCCAACGTCCTTGTCCTCCGAAGTCCTCCTCTTTACTGCCCTTGCCACTTTGCCATCCTCCAGAGCATCCTTCTTTTGAACAGGTTTCCGAGGCTTCGTCTTCGTTGATCTCGACTGTTTGGGACCCACAGCGCCGTCGTTCTCGGCCGCTGCTAGGGATGAGTGTATCGTTTCGACGCGCTGTGTATCCTCCAACAAAGGTTTCCAGAGGCTCGAAGCCGTCGTAAAGGAAGCATTAGCATTTGGTGGAATTGGAGCCGCACCGCTTCCTGTCCGCAACCCAACTGGTCTTTTCTGGAAAAAATGGCTCGGCGATGGCATGACTGGAGATGAAGACATGTTGAATGTCCTGAACTGTCTCGGCGGGGACGAGAGGACCAAAACGTCTGCGGAAGCCATGGTGAGGCCCACACCCCAAACTCTGCGCTCAGCGCAGCTCGTGAAGAAAGAGAGGGACGACAGGCTTGTTATTTCTGCGCCCGCATTAGAAGGGCGTTGCGACAAACTGGTTGCTGGATGCTCGGTTTGCCGCGGTGTTTTGTTGACGCTTCCGTCAGTCTCGATCGGGGTTTCTTCGGCACATCGCGAGACCACGTGATGATCCACACACGCCTCGCTAAAAATCTCTAGCCCTCATTTTCAGCCCACACGGAAAAAGACAACGATTCGTGAATCCTCCTCCCACGCAAATCCACGACTCCAACCTCTCTCTGACCGACCGATCTCCAAAGTCACAGTCAAAAAGTCGCCAAGATGGAAAACGACAAGGGTGAACTCGTCGACCTGTACGTTCTCCCTCAATGCGGGCTCCCAATGCTGGAAATACCCCTCGAAGCGTAGGAATCGAAGCTGATTATGGCCGTTTTCTAGTTACGTCCCCCGCAAGTGCAGCGCCACCAACCGCATCATCAAGGCCAAGGACCACGCATCTGTCCAGATCTCCATCGGCAAGGTTGACGAGAACGGCCGATACACAGGCGAGAGCCAAGTCTACGCCCTTTGCGGCTTTGTACGAGCAATGGGCGAGAGCGACGATTCCCTGAACCGATTGGCGCAGCGAGATGGTCTGTTGAAGAATGTCTGGAGCGGAAGCAGTCAACGATAAATGCATATTGCGGTGGTGTCTTCGGGTACGGCTCACGCGAAAGATCTGGGGAGCCTCTGCTAATCAGGGTCGCAGATTTGCTGTTATGGGCAGGGCTGGCTGGGAAAGATGAGAACAAATCTGGTGGAGAGCAATGGCCTGGTTTGGTGTTAAGCTGAGATAGCCACTCTTCGCATGTGATTATGAATCGACAACCTTTTCCACCCCCAGAAGCTGGCTTACGCGATTGTGATACTGTGTTGCGGATTCGAAGTTATTGCACGGCTCTTCCAGGCTCCTCGTACCCACTTTAGGGTGACTATATTGTTCGAGGAGTCAGAATGCTATTCCAATAGCTTTGGAGCCGAAGATCGATTCAATTCTAGCCTTCTGAAGAGTTGTGACGTTAGAGCATCTCGTCGGAGCACAGATACGGGCCAGACATTCTTTTTTAGGCCTGGGGATTTGAGTGAGCATGACGAGAATTCCATTATGGGTCAAGATAGGTAACAACATGTGCTAAGCATTTCTGGATTGTACCATGTCTATGCGGGCTATTTTGCGATTCCGACCTGATTTGTTTACTCTGATTTGCTGTGTGGTTCAATCTCCTTGGTTATAATAACCAGACGACAATAAGTCACTTTCAAGTTTCAACAGAATCAGAAGGCTAGTGCCTCTCTCATGAAAGTCTTGAATCTCTAGCAGGAGTACTGATTATTCATTCCGGATATCCAAGGACATCTCAAATCCACCTATGTGGATATTCATCCCCGACAAGCCAGCCGAAAGACCAACCGAGTATCCCTGACTGGAGTCCGATCTTTCTGATATCCTCCCTACAAGACCACAAAACTCCCAATGAATCAACACAGTCTCAGGATTTCAGACTCCTACCATCATAATCGCTGAATTAACAGACGGTGAATTTTTCCATCCGCGAAAAGCGTCTATCGATCTCCAAACCGCCTTCCCCGCGTCCCTTCATGGAGATGGGTTTATGAAAATGAAGAAAATCCTCCCTCAATAGGTGGAGAGCCGTTCGTCAAATCCACGTTCGGCGATCGTGGGTATCCATCCATTCATTATTTCCTTCTTTTTTCCATGCATGCATTATTTCGTTCGTTCATTCCTCGCCCACCACCACTAAGAGAGAAAAGGTGGGCAGGAACAAAAAGGAAAACAAAACACCCCATTACTGTCTCCACTCAAAGCACATCCTATCTCTCAATCCATCCCTTCAAGCTTCTCGTTTCCACGATCCAAAATACTACCATCTTCCAATCAAATCTCGACCAGAACTTTTCCTTCTCATGAATTCTCTACTTCAAAAATATCTCATCCTGTCACCTTGGTTTGTTTGAAATATATTGAAACCGGGTAAAAGTACATACATACCTGCTCATTCAAAGAATCCATAAAGTAGCAGGTAGGTGGTTATTCGGGAACAAAGACTCGATCCGGACTAAGGTACCCCCGCGGGTGATGGGGCACAGATTTCGCTAATCTAGCGCTAGATCTATTCTATGCATGAAGGTACCTAGGTACCTTACGCAACTGAGATGCAGGGAATGGTGACGTGTGATTGACATGAGCTTGAATTCCCCTTTTGGGGGCGCCCTCTTCTTTTCTTTTCTCCTTGGGAGGTAAGGGTTGGGCTGCGGGGGGCTGATGTCATGTAGTCGCAACGAGCTTTCTTTTTTGATATCTCATATCTCTATTCAAGTACCTACCTATCCGTGTTTGTAGGTTTGGAATTCGATTTCCTTCCTTCTTTCTGTCCGCGGTCAAATTCCGTGTTGAAGAATTATACGTACCTCCATCCTCAGCTCATATAAATGCAAGATGCCTCCGAAGAAGAAATCTATCAATAGGAAACGTACCGCTTCTTCTCCCCCATCACGCTCCCCCGAGAAAGCAAAACGCAGCGGGCATGGAGCCTCTCATCCCAATCCGCGCACCACCGAAGAGAGCGGCACGGCGAAGCGCGCTTACTATCCCCCGGAGATGAGCAACGTGCAGGCGCGCGCATACGCGAACTCAGAACTGCTTCGACCGATCGAGGATCTGGAAGCGGCGCTCTCGGAGACGCGGGTCTCTCGCGAGGGGATCGCGGGCGGGAAGGCGGTGGTGCATTGGTTCAAGAGTGATTTGCGGACTCGGGATAATCGGGGACTGGAGCGGGCTAGTGAGAAGGCGAGGGAGGAGGGCGTTCCCCTCATTGCGATGTATATTGTTAGCCCGCAGGATTGGGAGGCGCATTTGACGGCACCGGTTAGAGTTGATTTCATACTTAGGACGTTGGAGGTGTTGAGGGGGGATCTGGAGAGGTTGGATATCCCGCTGTATGTGGAGACCGTGGAGAAGAGAAAGGAGATCCCGGGACGGATCTTGGAGCTTTTGGGGGAGTGGGAAGCGAGTCATTTGTTCGCGAATGTGGAATATGAGGTTGATGAGTTGAGAAGGGATGCTGGTCTGGTTAGAGCATGCTTAGAACGTGGGATGGCCATGGATGTTCTCCACGATACCTGTGTTGTGCGTCCAGGGGAGCTGGTGAGCGGGGTGGGAAGACAGTATTCTGTTTACACCCCATGGTTCCGTGCTTGGGTTGCACATATCCATAAGGATCCCACACTACTCGATCTTCTTGGGGAGCCGCACAAGAATCCTGATACTGCGAGACAAAAATACGCCAAATTATTCGAGACCACGATACCCAGCGCACCTGACAATAAGAAGTTGAGTGACGAAGAGAAGAAGCGGTTTCGTTCTATGTGGCCAGCGGGAGAACACGAGGCACATGAACGTCTCAGGAGGTTTCTAGAAGAACGAATAGGAGAGTACCAAGAGCTGCGCAATTTTCCAGGAGAGCAGGGTACATCGTCCCTCAGCGTACATTTCGCCAGCGGCACTCTGAGCGCGCGAACCGCAATCCGAACTGCACAGGACTATAACACCACCAAGAAACTAGATGGCGGGAAAGAAGGAATCCAAACTTGGATCAGCGAGGTTGCCTGGAGAGACTTCTACAAGCACGTCCTAGCTCACTGGCCATACATCTGGTACGTCTTCTTCCTTTCTCAAAACCACCCGTCTGATCTTTTACCCCCCTCAGTATGAATAAGCCATTCAAACTCGAATACACCAACATAGCCTGGGAATACGACGACGACCACTTTGCCGCCTGGTGCAGCGGTAAGACTGGCTACCCGATTGTCGATGCCGCGATGCGCCAGCTGAACCATTGCGGCTGGGTGCACAACCGCTGCCGGATGATCGTGGCGTCCTTCCTGGCCAAGCACCTCCTGCTGGACTGGCGCATGGGCGAGCGCTATTTCATGGAGCATCTGGTAGATGGCGACTTCGCCTCTAATAACGGCGGGTGGGGATTCAGCTCGTCGACGGGTGTCGACCCGCAGCCCTACTTCAGGATCTTTAACCCGTTGCTGCAGAGCGAGAAATTCGATCCCGAGGGTGAGTATATCAGGACCTGGATCCCGGAGCTGAGGGGGGTGGATGATAACAAGGCAATCCATGACCCGTATGGAAGAGGGATGGCGACGGAGGCGAGAGAGAAGGGATACCCGGAGCCCATTGTTGACCATAAGGAGAGTCGAGACAGGTGCTTGGCTAGATACAAAGAGGGATTGGGAAGGGAGACGGCTTGAGCGTCTTTCTGGTGGATTACCATTTTGGAAAACGGGTTGCAGAACGAGAACTTTCTTCTTCATGCCTTGCCGCTGCTTGGCGGTGGGAGGAACATTCAACACTCACAAAACTTCCCTTCCCTCTATCGTCACGTGATGCTAATCCCATCTCCCTCAAAACCCCCGGTCAACACTTCCACGCTTGTCATGGATGCGACGTGCAACAAAACTTCTTACCTCTCTGCACTGTCACGTGATGCTAATCCCATCGCCATCAAAACCACCTTCAGCACTCTTCGTGACAAGCGCTGATGCGATGTGCAACAAAACCCCCTAGTGACACGTGATGCTAATCCCATCGCCGTCAAAACCAACGTTCAACACTCCCACGCTTGTCATGGATGCGATGTGCAACAAAACTTCCCAAGTTCCCACACTTTCTAATGCCACGTGATGCTAATCCCATCGCCCTTCAGCACTCCTCACGACAAGTGTCGATGCGATGTGCAACAAGACTCCCCCTCCCACATCACTGCCCAATATCACGTGATGCGAATCCTACCACTATCAAAATCGAACGCGGAGGGGAGAGGAGTTCAATCATTCCATGTCGTCGCCGGGAAAGGTACGTTTCCTTGCATCAGGACCCTTTGGACCATCAAGGCGAAGTCAAAGGGAAGAATTCCTCGACCGCTTGTGAAAGTGGACGTGAGCAGACACTTTGACGATTAGACCAGTGTGGAGGTCCTGTAGATTCTAAATCAGGTCATCAAGCAGTATACAGAGGCAGATCTCTCGCACCAGTAGCAGGATTGGTGCCAAGTGTGTTCGAGAGAAGGACTCCTATTCTGAAAGCAAGGTTGTGATCTGTAGCGTGTCAGGATCCCCGGAATGAAGAAATGGAGGACTCAGGCAACCACTTATGCGTTCTACAAAGCTCTTAGGTTCTTCTGGCCGGGCCGAGGTACGAAATAGGAGATGTGGCGGAGGTCCAGACCGGCATGGGTCGTTACGCAGACGGAGGGAACGAAAAGCAGCGCCGGCACATGCCGTAGAGGGAAGGGAATTGGTTATCCTGGATAGGGAGAACACGGAGTTTGTTGCAGTGGCATGAAAGCGCGAGGCATCGATACAGGACCTCGGCAGGTTCATGAACCCGTCCCTCTGGGATAACTTCCTACCTCCTATATCGGGGTCAGATTTTCCTCACCGGTCATATCCATGGTTACAGAGGGAGAGGAGGCACGGGGAGGGCCGGTAAGGGCGCAGCTAAGCTTTTCGTCTAAAAGCTTGTACGGCTTAGCTCAGCAGGCTCGGGCGCTTTGGATTACGCGTCCAGGGGCTGACGGTCGCCGGAGTTGGAGTTCGGGGCAGGGGGGCACGCGACAGGAGCTTTCTTCTGTGTGAATTGTATGGGACCGAGTGCGGATAAATAAGGTCGAACGAGCATTATTGTCCCGACGGATCGTGATAGGACCGGAGACCCTCTTCCTCTGTCCTGCTGCAGGAATCAAGGAGCTATCGAAGCGTGCATGCACATATATATATAGCCCTACAATATACATACATCGTATATATATACATTGCCGTCGTCAGCTTCCCCGAGGTTACGCGTACGGCGTAGGTAAGGAAGGTATGGATGGCCCTGCGATGCTTCATGTATTATTATGGTACGCAGACTCGCAGAGTCTCAGACGCGAGTATCGAGGAACAATATAGGATGAGGAACGAATATAAGAGTGATAAATATACAATTACCCCTGAATCGTCCACTAGGCTCAGCCATTGACCGCAATATCTGATCTCTTCATCATCACCATCGCATCCCCCACGCCGCAAAAGATGCTGTCTTGATCGTCGTGGGCTTGACAGCGACAGGGGTTGAAGCCGGCGTGGATCTCTGAGAGACGGAGAACCCCAACACCCACCGATCCCCCCTGGCGGCTTAAAAGACAAAGAATTCTCACCTGTCATTCGAAGACAAAGATTATTAAATAGTACATATATATAGTATACGCCTGCCAGCCCAACTAGCAGCGCTACCGACGTCTTTCAGGAACGCGACCCGTTCTTCGAATTCGCTCCATCTACCTACCTGGAGCTGCTGCAACACCCGTCCCCATCCCTCGAGGGTACTCTTCTCTCTCTTACCCTGCCCTTCCTTCTTGTTTACTCTGTTTTCCGCTTCTTACAGACCTGAGAACTCCGGTGCTTCTCTCCGCATTCCGCGCTATTCCGCCGTCCTCGTATTGCTCGAGATACCTACCTCTCCTCTTCTCCAACCACTGACATACACCAAATCGCCCTTCTTCTGCCGCCACACATTGGATCTTCGAATCACCACCCATCGTACGCACACTGCCAAGCCCGCGGCGCTCTTATCGCGTGGCCAGCAAGCCCTCCAACCTAACGTCGTGCGAATCCGCCGCCCGCTGGAACCTCCATAGCGATGCGCCTGTCATGGCTGCTCTCGCTGCCGGCCATCCTGGCCCCAGCGTCGGCCATACCGATCGAGAAACGTGATGCCGATTTCTTCAGCGTGCGCACCAAGATGCATACTGATATGAGTGGGAGGAGAGGTGACCCTGCGGGTAAATATTTTCGTGAGTCCGCCCGCCAGCAACTGTCGCGTGCTCAATCACCTTTCCGGGTCTGGGGCCAAGAACGCTTGCTAACAGATCGCGCTTACAGACGAGAGCATGTAAGTTGACTGCTGAACCCGCACTCGTGCATCTGGAGAAGAGAGAATTGGAAGTTACTGGAAGAGAGAAGTGTGCTGACCTTCCGTCCGATAGATTCCATCCGCATTACGATGGCAGGTACGCGCGTTCCGCCCGAGCTGCAGCTGCCCGGTTGCTGAACTAACCTTCCCGCAACAGATTCGCGGACCATCAATTGGATTATCGTGAACGGAAACAGGCCCTCTCGAATCTAATCCAGACCTACCTCGCAACCTTCGCAGATATCGGGGTGGAGACATGGCTCATGCACGGCACGCTTCTAGGCTGGTGGTGGAATCGCAAGGTAAGCTTTGGGATGGCATCTTCGTCCGCAGCGCCAGCTAATAAGCATCCCCTTCCTGCTAGATCTTGCCATGGGATTCCGATTCCGATGTGCAAGTAACCGAGGCTTCGATGCATTTCCTCGCAACGTACTACAACATGACCGTGTTCCACTATAAGACGCCTCGGATTCCGGAAGGGAGGGATTACATGCTGGAGGTGAACCCGCACTATGTCAACCGGGAGCAAACGGATACTTTGAATGTGATTGATGCGCGGTGGGTTGATACGACCAGTGGGCTGTTCATCGATATCACAACTGCAAGATACAACGAGTCCCATCCGGCCGGAAAGGATATGTTGAGCTGCAAGGATGGTCATGAGTACAGAGTACGTTGGTTTGAATTGTCGAGGTAGATGATCCCGCTAATGGTGGATAGGATACATACATCTTCCCCTTGAGGGACACCTTTTTCGAGGGCACTCCTGCGAAGATCCCATTCGCATACAAGGAGGTTCTGGAGGCGGAGTACAAGCCGAAGGCTCTGACCTTGACCGATTATGAAGGGTATGCGTTGTGAGATATCTAGAAGGGGCAGTACTAATTGTCGTTTTATAGCCACCACTTTGATGAAGAAAAGCTCGAGTGGGTTCCAGTGTCAAAGAATTCACCGTCCACGCCCAGATCTGGTAAGGCCCAACCAGCCAAGTCTACTCGAGCCCCTAAAGTTAATTGTCTCTTGTAGGTGGAGCAGCACCCCAAGGCCAAACGTCTGAAGCGCCGCCGGTTTCCAAACAGTCGTCGAAGGCAACCCGTGACGCCAATACTGCCGAAGAAAAGCGAGACGCAAGCAACTAGATGACAAGAACACGATGAGGGTCAACCCCAACACGAAGATTCGGACGTATGTGATTTTTTCTGCAACTAATTGGAAATGGCAAGCCAGCCCCGACGAGCGATAGTACGTGTAGAGAGGCAGATATCTTCCGCAACACTACGACGAAGACCGATCTCTTCTACCGATGCGAAGCCAACCTGATCAAATTTCTATATGTCACGAGTAATATATCGCATGTTACGAGTGTCCTTTTTTTTTCTCCTTGGCTATCATCTTCTGCGTCATGGGATCTTGGCCGGCTCAGCGATGCTGCATACCAGCCATTCATATCGCATAAAATCCACTCATTCCAGCGTCGGTTCAACAAAAGAAGGAGTCAGGGAGTCTGCAAGAAAGCCGTGGATAATCTAAATGGGAGAGAATATGTTGATACCCACATTGAATAAAGAGCTGAATGCCGTATCTGTAGGTATTGTTAGGGGCGTTGGAAAAATCTGTACACGTATTGCATAGCAATTGGAGCAGAAGGCGTTTCGATTTTCGCTCGCCTTTTGAACACGAGGTTCCATGAATGAAGAGGATAGAGATCGAAGGAATTTCTAAATCGTTGGGGTATTTGGACATATATTATCTTGACCAGTGGGAGATCGCGTTAGTGATGTACGTTGCCATGTCCAGTCCTCCCCTTCCCCTCCCCGGGGTAAGCACATGATCTGCCAGTTTTAGGTAGTCCATTATGGCCCGTGCGTCTTCAGACCACCTCACCTCATGGATCCCACCTCTCCCTTCCTCCAACCTACAAAAACACAGCAAAGCCGAACCATGCACTACCCAACCAACTCCCGAAGATACCCTGTGTGCAAAGCCCGGCGGGCGGGAAAAAAAGTCTTGGGGTCGGGAAAAAACGACCTCCCACTTTCCCTCCCACTTTCCCGAGGGCGACCAGATCCCGATAAGCGATAAGAGCGGGACAGGGGGAGGGTGGAAAATTGCGTTAAAATAGGTAAAAAGGGAAAAAAAAGATCGGGGAAAAGAGGGGGGATGTGGAGTTCATAAGTAAGGAAGGAGAGAAGGCTAAGGGATTGGATAAGGAAGAAGGAAGGATATAGAGAGAGGGAGGCATAAGGGAATTAATTGGTGAGGTGAGGATTTGTTTTCTGTTTCTTATGCTCTTGCTCTTGCTTTTGCGTTTAGGGGTTTGTGGGGTTTTTTGAGAGGGGTGTCTGAATGTGTGATTGTGGGGTTATTGGTGTGAGGTGTCAGGAGATTAAGTGGTCTCTGAAGTAAGGGACACACTTGCCTTGCGGGGTGCTTGCCTGCGCTGTGCTGCGATGCGAGAGTTCGATGCTCCTCTGTTGGCGAGGTGATTGTGACGATGCAGAGCAAAATAATCCTGGGAACACACAGTGGCATCTGATCTGGCGAGAGAATCATGTTTTTCTGCACGTTCCCTTCAATTTAGCCCTCTATTGCGTCCTTGAACTATATCCCCGAGCAGTTTGAAAGACAGAAACTAATCAAGAACGACAGAACGACTTTGAGCAACAACCCGATGGCATCTCTCGAGCTGGAGAAAGGGATTGAGATCACTACTGACTCCTCACCCCTTTCGGGCGGGACTTACACCCCTCCTCACGATGACTTGCTCAGCAACGACTGCGAGCTGCCCGTCGTGCCCGACAATCGATTCTTTCGGTGGGCACGGAAAGTAGAGAATCTCCTAGGCCTAGAGTCCCGCGGCATCCACCGCGTAGAGCAGCACGAGCAGTCGCAGAAGACGACGCTGAGCTTCCTGCAGATCGTGATGCTGTGGTTTTCCATCAACACCGCAGCGCAGAATATCACGCTTGGGAGTATCGGGCCCGGCGTGTATAATCTGGGCTTCACAGATTCTGCGCTCTGTAGTGTCTTCGGGGCTTTGGTGGGGAGTCTTCCCGTTGCGTATACAGCGACGTGGGGACCGTGGAGTGGAAATAGGACTTTGGTATGTGTTTGCTGTGTCTGGTCTTGCCCACGAGGCGGATGGTTCTCGTTGTGCTGACTAGCCCTAGATCTGTGCTCGTTTCACCATGGGGTGGTGGCCGGTGAAACTTTGCATTCTCCTGAACCTAGTTGTCCTAATTGGATACTCCATGATTGATGCGGTCGTTGCGGGCCAGATCCTCTCTGCTGTCTCCCCTCATGGTAGCTTGACCGTGGAAGTTGGAATTGTCATTACAGCAGTTATAACCTTTCTGGTAACGATCTTCGGAATCAAAATATTCCATCATTATGAGAGGTTTGGCATCCCTTGAGGTCTTGAACCTAGCTGACGGTTGTAGATATGCCTGGGTTCCCCAATGTATTGTCCTCCTGATCTTAGCCGGGACGGCGGGCCCAAAATTCAACATCAACTTCCAAGCTACGGGTGACTCGCAAACCATCATCGGTAATCGGCTTTCCTTTTTTGGCGTCTGTCTCAGTGCAGCTGTCACCTACGCGCCCTGCGCCGCGGACTTCCTGGTGTATTGCGATCCCAAGATCGCCACGCGCTGGAAGGTCTTCCTAGCCACCTTGGTCGGGACGTCTCTCTCCTTCACCTTCACCTTCATGATCGGCGTCGGCCTTGCATCCGGCCTACAAGATGACCCTGTGTGGGCGGCCGCCGGCGCTGGGACTGGGGCGCTTGTCGTAGCCGGCTACGACGGCCTGGGGAACTTCGGCAAGTTCTGCTCTGTGGTGGTTGCGCTGGGGCTGATCGCAAATATGGTTGCCCCAATCTACGCTTCGGGAATTGACTTCCAGATTCTAGGCCGGTACCCAGCTCTTGTGCCGCGCTTCCTCTGGAATGTGGTGGCGGTGATCATTTTCTTGATCTGCGCGCTGGCGGGGCGGGACCATCTCTCGGAGATCTTCACCAACTTCCTCGCGCTCATGGGCTACTGGGTGGTGATCTGGATCGCCATCACCCTCGAGGAGCACCTGCTGTTCCGCCGCAGTATGAACCCGCCCTTCATCTGGAGCGATTGGAACCGCCGCGACAAACTCCCACACGGCCTCGCGGCCCTGACAGCCTTCTGCGTCGGCTGGGCGGGCGCCGTGCTTTGCATGGCGCAGTACTACTTCACGGGCCCGATTGCAAGGCTGGTAGGTGCGGAAGGCGGGGATATGGGTAACTTTGTCGGGTTTGCGTGGGCGGGGATCGTGTATCCGCCGCTGAGGTACTGGGAGTTGAAAATGTTCGGGAAGTGAGGTTGGGATTGGGAGCTTTCCGCGCGTGATTTTGGCTTTGTGTCTCCTGTTAATAGGTAGTGTCTAAATAAGGAATAATGAGATGAGATGATAAAGATAAAAGACTTGGTTTGGGATCAGTGCTTGATAGAAGTTGTACGGATGAAACTTTTGGAAGCCAGACGCCGCTTGACGAGGCTCCTATCTGCCTAGGCAGTTGCTTAGTGGTATGGGGTTTCAAGATTGGATATAGAACATCCTATAACAAAGTTCTAACCCCTTATTCTTCTTCAGGAAGTAAGTAAGTTGGGAATATGCGGCGGGATTAAGTAGTAAACTCCTGTATCATTTGATATCCAACAAGAGAAGAGGAAGAAGAAAGGGGAAGTGAAACTTGGCCCGAGAAATCGATAGTATTAGGAGTAAATCCTTCTATACTTCAGAATTAACTTTTCTTATAGCTGGGAAACCATCCTCTGGATATAATTTCCAGCGGCAGGGTCGCATGAAATGGACCTCACCATCTTGCCGATAACCTTTCCACCATGCTCCAGTAACCGGAAATCAAGCGCCCAACATAAATACCCTCCAGATCCGAAACGCCGTCCCTTACTCCCCATCGCAATCCTATTCCTCGTCCTCGCCTATATCCTCTGGATATTGGTCTTCATAACTACTCCACTCCACATGGAACTGCACCTTCTCCTCCCCCTCATCCCCCTCAATAAACGCAAACGCAATCACACTATTATCCTTCAAGCCCAGGCTTTTCGGACAATCCTTAGTGCTCCCCACTGTGCCCATCTCCACCCATCCTTTGCTCGGTTCGTACACATCTATCGGCACCCCGAGCAGCACCTCGTTAATAGAGTCTGGGATCGGGAGCGGTGCATCCGCAGTGCTGGTCGGCAGACCATCGGGGTAACGCTCTTTCAAGGTGGTGAGGAGCTCGGTTTTAATCGTGGATATAGGTGTGAGGGGTTCTGCGAACAGGAGGATCGTGTGCTTGCCGTGCTTGAAGCGCAGGGTCCAGGCTGTGGCTTTGACGTCGTCGTCTTTTGCCTGAAGGGGGCGGGTCAGTATTGCATGCAGCTCTGAGTCAGGGATACGCATTCTCACCATCGCGAGGATTTATAATTTCGACACTGCTGTTGGAATGGGGAATTGGATGGGGGGGGGGGGGAGATCTGATATCAGGCTTTCGACTCGGGGCGAGGTTAATTCGGTGCCTGAGGACAGAACCGGGTATCACGAAAGTCACTCGATGTCAGGTGACCTCGCAGGGCTTAGGTATTCCAGCGTTCGCCTCAGCAGCGCATAACTTCAACGACCTTCCTACAACTTGAATTGAGCTCACCATGGCCGAAACAGAGGATCCAGAGATGGCACAGAAGGCCGAGAGGAAAGAAGAACAGCTGCAGCTGCTGAAGACCGACGCCCGCTTCTCCATGCCCTTCGGGGTGCGTCTCCCTGTAGCGACATCTCTATCATTCCTGGTTGGCATGAGCCTAGGTCTTTCTCACGGCAGTCAGGTAGCTGGCCTACGATTCCGGGCGGAGAATGCTCATAGATTACCGACGTCGCCGACAGGATGGTACCTGTACCACAAGAGTAAGAATTACCACATGGCATTCGGCGGTGTCAAGGAAGGCTTCAAGATGGGAGCCAAGGTCAGCGTGTGGACGGCCGGCTTCTTCTACATCGAGGATATGTTTGATCGCTACAGAGGCACGAAAGATTTCATCAACACCGTCATAGCAAGCTTGTCGGTAGCTGGCGCGTTCAGCTTGTGGAGTACGCGCATCCCATCCTATTCTCAAGACCCTTCCACAGACTGATAGAGTGAACCACTACAGATCGATTCCCTGTAACCACGGCTGCGAGAACGGCGAAGACTGGATTGGCTATCGGCGTGATATACGGGTTGGCACAAGATGCTGTGGGGGCGGCGCGAGGAAGAAAACCAGGATATGTGGATTTTATTCAACGAACAGGACGCCGAACAGTCGAACTACCGCAAAGCGGAAGCTCATGAAGACCATGGAACGACAAGAAGGTTCTGTGCCTACATTCCCCACCAACTCCTACCAACCAGCTCGAAGAAGGCTGATGGTTCAATGGTTGTCCTAAATATGTGGGGCGATGGCGACCGGCTTCAATCGGTTCAAGCTGATAAGGCTCGACCCTGAGGCGATGCGGGAAGACAACATCAACAGCGCCCCTCATTGACGTGAGGACTTCACGCCGAAGTAATAAAGTTGCTTCTCATTGATAGTAATATCGAAATTCAATATCATCATTCCACTCATTGAAGATTTATCGGGACCAGCTGATCTGCATCTGCTTCTCCAAGCAATACCTTATCCATTGCAAGGCGAGACGATCGTCATTGCGATGGCGGGGCCAACAAAGATAGCCATGCTCCTTCGGTGCGAAAAGGCATTTCTTCCTTCTACTAGATGCATTACCTGTCAGACATCATCTCGAAATGTCCACAATTATGCTTCTCCAGGCAAATATTCTTTGCCAGATTCCACAGTACTTGCGCCTGCCCCTCCGTCAAAGCCGAAGTCTCCTCCTCTTGCAGTTCTCCCTCTTGGTTCAATAATCAGGTCACTAGCCATTCTTTCCATATCCTCTTCTACAGTAAGTCCACTTTCATTAGCAGCTTCGAGCAAAAGCTAAGGGCTTTTCAGATCCTCCTCGGACCCTCTCTTGCTGTTATGTCCACACTCGCACATTCCAAATCATCCATACTCTCCCCCGACGCGAACGCAGTCCTTCGATTCTTTCTCAAAAAGACCTTCTACCAACAGTTCTGCGCTGGGGAGAATGCCGCGGAAGTCAAGCGGACAGTAGATGAGTTAAAGAACATTGGTTACAAGGGTGTTATACTGGGTTATGCACGGGAGGTTTCTCTAGACGAAAAACAGCAAAAGGACTTGGCCTCTCGTGGAGAATCAGAGGCTGCAGAGGCTGCCTTACAGAATGAGATCCTCCCTTGGGCAAAAGGCACTTTGGAGACCGTCAAATTAGCCACTCCTGATGATTTCGTGGCTTTGAAATTCACGGGGGCCGGTAGCCAGGCTCTATACGCTCTTACGCACCAGCAAGATCCCTCACCTGCACTTAAAGATGCGATTGATTCTATTTGCGATCTCGCTGTTTCTCGCGGAGTCCGGTTACTCTTTGACGCAGAACAAAGTGCCCTACAGCCTGGAGTCGATGCATGGACCCTCGAATATATGCGGAGATACAATAAACAGGAGCCGGGAAAGGCTGTTATCTATGGGACCTATCAAGCATATCTCAAAGCCGTACCCTCAGTACTAGCATCCCATCTGGCAGCTGCTCGCCAGGAAGGATTTACGCTCGGCGTTAAGCTTGTCCGCGGCGCATACCTTGGCTCTGATCCACGACATCTGATCCACGACACGAAAGCCGATACCGACCGGGCATACGATAGCATCGCCGAGAGCCTAGCCCTTCGGTCCTACGGCCCCATCCTTCAGCCGGCAGCCTCAGAAACCGACCAAGAATTCCCATCCGTCAACGTGGTCCTCGCGGGGCACAACCAGAACTCGGTCCGAAAGATCCAAGCCATCCGCAGCGCGCAGGCCGCGAAAGGCGAGCCGCAGATCAACCTGGTCTACGCGCAGCTCCAAGGCATGGCAGACGATGTTAGCTGCGAGCTGGTCCAAGCGGGCAAGGTGACGGAAGGGGAGAAGACGCAGGTATACCGACCGCAGGCGTACAAGTATCTGGTCTGGGGCACGACGGGCGAGTGCATGAAATACCTCTTGAGAAGAGCGCAGGAGAATAAGGATGCGGTGCAGAGGACGAAGGAGGGCAGGAACGCGATGGCGAGGGAGTTGGTTAGGAGGTTGAGGAAAGCCGTGGGGATGGTGTAATCGAGTGGGGGAATTGATAGATAGGTAGATGGATTGATGATTTCACGACGTGATGGTAAAGCAACGGGATGTATAAAACAGATTATAGAGCTACCTTATGATCCATAAACTTCCTTGAACTCAACCAGCTTAAGTAAATGTGCTTATAGACGTACTCTTCTCGATAGAGCAGCAAAAAGGCTCTCTCTCGGAAGATGTGAAAATTGATTAACTTCGATATCCATATATCATCCATCCCATCTTCCAATCCCTAAAACCACGTCTCGTTAATTCCATTTCCCTAGCCCTTCCCCCTTTTCCCCATCCTACCTATGCAGAACTGCTAGAATTGGCACTGAGTGCAATCTATCTAGCTATGTAGATATTCTTTTCTGGACCTGAGATATTGGAAGATGAATTGTTGGGGAAGTCCAGCTATGATTTCTTTGCCTAGTAATGTATTGTTATGGGATAGTGATTGATTGATTGGTTAATCTGGGATTATTCTTCGATAGAGCGGATCACTAACTGTTGTTATAGGTCACAGAGAAAGAAAGAAAGAAAGAGAAAGCAAAGCACCACCTATCCTACCTACATTTTAGTAGACACAACCTGTGCCATGCCAGTCATAGAAAGAAAGAAAGAAACTCAAAGCGCTCCATAGCGAATCGAAATCCCTATATTGCAATAGGAGAGAATGATTGATTTATCCCCGCTGTTCCTCTAGCCTTCGACATTCTAGTCGTCGTGGCCGGCCGACCAGACTGACAACTCGATCTAAAAAGTCTTTAAGTCAAGAATACTTAACTTATAGCGCAACATGTGATGTCTGTCTTAAGACTTGACTATTTCTAGGCAGGAGGACGCGCAGACGTATAGAAGCCGACTTGCAAAACGAAACTCTTTGGAAAATAGAGGTTTAAACCTTGAGTTCCTCTGGTATTTCCTTTGATATCGAGCGACATATAAGCAAGCAGACTCTATCGATATTCGATACTAAAGGATGGCAAGTCTGACCCCGGTAGGTCGTCGGGCCAGGACTTATTCCCCGTTAGTAGTCCTCTCTAAGTAGGTAGGTACTACCGAGCAACTCAAGGGAAGTAAATAAACGACTGGATTAAGGACGCTCGCCTTCCTATCCTCCTAGTATATCCTCCCCTTATGTTCCTAATGTCTCAAATTCCTGTCTAATGAGATGCTCAAGCGATTCACCCTCCGCACAACCTCCGCCATAATCACCCCAACCTAACTCACGAAGAGCTTTAATAATCCCCACCCAGTCCTCGTCCAAATCGCCCTGGTCCGGATCGCCCTGCTCCAAATCGCCCTCATTCGCTTCTACACTCCGCAAATACCTGGCCACCCGGCTCCATTCGTCTATGAAACCCTTCTCGAAAGAATTGATTGTATCCTCCATGAATAACTGTTCTTCGGCGTGCCCCACACGACCCCATGAATTCCTCATCTGAGGATCATCTTTATCGCGGGGTTCGTATTTTCGGAAAAACCCACACTTCAGCCCCGGGTCCAACCTCGGGTTCTCCATAATGCTATCTTTGAGCAGCAGGCGGACCGTGAAGTGGATCTTCAGGCGTACAGTGTTATTATCTTCATCTTCAAGTTGCCATTGGTCTTGCTTCAGCCGCCAATATTCCTCGACTATGCGCGGCCCTTCCCCTTCACTGCCCTCAGCTTGGCTGAGTTGCTTCCTTTGTAGCTTTAGGACCTTTAGTTGTTGTCGTAACAGCTCTCGTTGTTGTCCCACCCGCTGCCGCTGTCTGTATAGTAGTTCTCTCAACAGCTGTCTTTTTTCCACTGACCGATTTTCCTCAAGCCCTTCAAATTGTACATCTAATCGTTGTTGCTGCTCTTCCAGTTGCGTTCGTAGCTCTTTCACCTGCTCTTCCAGCTGTTCCATGTCTTCTTGCTGCCTCTCCAGCTGCTCTTCCACCCCCCCCTCTAGCTGCTCCTCTTGCTGTTGTTGTGTCAGTGTCCGCTGTCGGCCGTCCAGCATTTGTTGGTGTTGGTGTAACTTTAGTGCAAGTGACGGTTCTAAAGGAATCAACTGTTGACCTTGTGTGTTTTGTTGTTGTTGTCCTTGCTGACGCGGTTGCTGTCGTCGTTGCTCTAACTGTTGCTCCAGTTCCTCTATCTGCTGCTGTAAGTCTGTTTCCTCATCCCCTTCCTGGGTCCCTGCCTCGCTTCCCTCTTCGTCCTCCGGAGTCTGCTGCTGTTCGTCCCTCTGAGTCTGTTGCTGTACATCATTCTTATGCTGCTGCTGGTTTTCTAAGTCCCTTTGCAATTGCTCCAGCAGCTGCCGTGGTTTTTCCCCGTCGGCTGACTGACTTCCCTGTTGAGGCTGAGCGTTCTGGTCGATGAAGCGATCCCGTTTCCCATCAAGAAATCCAAAGAAGAGATAGTGCGGTATCGCCCACAATCCTACGCGCGACTCGGTTACTAGTCCTTCTTTCTGTTAATTGAAAGTCTTGTAGCCGTAACATAGACTCGATTTTCACGTACCTTTTGTGGATGCAAGATTCCAGAGCCTCATTGGCGGTTTTCCCCAAGGCCTCAGCGATTTTTCTTGAAGCGGCGTCAGGAACTGAAGTAAAGTTGCGTCGTCAAATTTGGCCGAGCTTGCGCGCCTGATTTTTGAAACCATCCAGAGCAGGGCTACCGTGGAGAGGCCGGGATCACGGTTTCCACCACCGATGTCTGAGTGGCAACCGGTGAAGGCACACTGCTCGACCGTTGTATATTTGCCAGCTGTAGTCTTCCACAATTCTGGTTGGAAACTTTTCCTTTTCTCATGGAGAGACAGCGCAAGGAAGGCGTGATCGACTTTCTCTGGGACGCTACTATTGACAAATGAGAATTTGTTTCTACACCCCATCGCACTTACTGTGTCCCATTCGGCGAGCACCTTGATTCTGACTGGGTAATATAACTGGTGTAGTGCGTCTAAGAGCTTAGGGTTTATAATGCCCTCTCCCTCCTTCCATGACCGGTAAACCTTTCGAAGAAATACGAGACCCTTTCGTCGAAGTAGACCAAATGCACTGATGAAATGTGCCAGACATCGAACAGTGAAAGCGCCTCGCGAGAATCCAACAAGAATGATCTCGTCCTGGAGAGAGAGGAAGTTGTAGTTGTTGCAGATAAAACAATAAGCATCGAGCATGTTTTTGGTCAGTCCTGTCTTGCTGTCAATATACATATTTAAGTATTTTCTTTTGGGTTGTGTTGGGGGTGTTTGGGGGGGAGGGGGTAGACTAGAATGGAGGTAACTTGCCCTTCCCTGTAGCTCCTGCAAAGCTGCTGTCGCTCCATAAGGACGACGCAGCCCCGACTCCGCTTGAGTAATATACTATTTGACGCACAACACCATACCGATCATGCTCTGCTCCTGAACCCCAGTCGGTATCGATATTATGGTCTCCTTCGGGGACTTGAAAATGGTCTTCACCCAACCGATAAACGGCCCGGGCGAGCTTTGCCACGTTTGTGAGAGGTGCGACGGATCCTGAGGCATTCTGCCATGTACCATCACAGCAAACGAAGAGACGCTTCTTCTCGCAACGTTCAACCATTGATCTCATGACGTCGTTTTCAGAATCATGATTCCCATTCTCCAAACGAGGGAGGAGTCGTATAACTTTCCTCGTTTGCTCTCTGAGTTTCTTTCTCAACCCTCGATTGGCATCGGGCGCGCTCGTGTCACTCGTGTCGCTCATTGTGTTCAGTTGGATTAAGCTCGTAGTCTTATGCTGTGTCTAGGGTAATTCCTAGGACCTCGTAACAAATTCCTAGTCTCCAGAAAAGCCTGATGAAAACTGTAGAATAGGCTGTCCTGTTATACACGGCAGTAGCTGGGAGGGACCGCAGACGCGGTGGCGGCATGCGCATTTGTGGCATCTTTTGATTGGCATGTTGACTATCCAAAGACTCGTAAAATAGCAGATTAGATGCAGAAAGACATGATAAAGTGCTGGCATTTGTGACATCCATGGCCTACTTTCACCGAAGGACACCTGCGGGAACATATTTCGGCCAGAGCGGGCCGAGCGGCTCCTGAAAATGCAGTCGATCGACAATGGAAAATTTGAAATCGAGGTGCCACTCAACACCCTTGTTATTTCACGCACTTCAATGTAACGCTCATGTTGCCCAGTGATAGAAGCAGGGCTGAGTAAGGTAGTGGTACCACCTTGTGATATCCAGGGGTATGTGTTATGCCTTCTTGGAAGCGGCTCTGTCTAGGCATTTTCGTTCTCGAAGGAGATCGAATTCCGGGCTAAGCAAACTGTCCTAGCCTCAACTTTCCGAGGTACTCCGCTCGGTGCGTCATTCTATCAGAGAAGAGTCCAAGTCACCCACCTCGAACATATCCACGACCTGAGATGCGAGGCTCGCGGGTTCGACCGTCGGGATCGACTCATGCAGAGCCAGCAGTGCCATGTGGGCTGAGAGGTAACGTTCCCTTCCTTTACTTTCCTACCTCAATGCCTCATCCAGTAAAAGCAATCTGCCAGACTTTACCCCGAGGCTTGTGGTGGGATAGGAACTGTGCGGAGATGCTGTTGTGAGCTAGTGAAGCAAAACCTAGGATTCTGACATTGCAGTAGTGCAGTATTGCAGCATTGCATGCTGCAATGCTCTGGATTTGGATACTGGAACTGTAGTAGTGTAGTAAGAGCTGAGCGCGAGTGTGAAAAATCAATGTGCCCTTGCCATTGTTGTTGTACTGAGTTGCAAACGGGATCCCCACACCACTAAGCGTTGGGCTATATAAATATAAATATAAATCTGGGGTTCATGAAGTTGTAGGGAGGTTTTCCTAGCGTGGCGCCTTGCCTAAAGGAGGATAGTGCTCCTGGCCAACTAACCATCCCTGGGCTGCGGCGAAGTACAATTCGAGCTTGGTGCGGCTCTCGACATGCAACAAATATACTTATTCACGTGACCGTAGACGTCCGATCACCGGCTTGCATTCTTTTGCTTCCGCGATAACTTTTCGGTAATTGAATTCGAGAAGATAAAAAGTGGCCGACTCAACACGTCCTAGGATCCATTAACATGCCGACTTTAATGTCCAGCTATCGGAAGTAAGATTGCGAGACATTCTGGTGGCGGATTTTAGAGTCGAACTGCTTGTTGGTGGAAGAAGCTACCGCTTTTGAGATGAAGGAGAAATTTTCACCGGAGAATTGAGTGTTTCAAATTAGTGAAGTTCACCAAGGAGGTAGTTGGGGAAAATTTTCTAGTAGGTAGAGTCTGTCCAAATGTGATCGGATCCAGTAGTGTCTATCCCCGTGGTCGAGGCGAATAGCATAATACGCTAAACATGAGCAAGGCAAAACCCAAAGCGGGACTTGAATCTAATTTTATCACTTCTGCCCCAATCACAACTAAGTGCGCAAGACCTAAATGACGGCGAGACCGAATACTCTTGCCCTCGGTTTGTATATCTAGGAAACATGCTAATAATTTAACAGTAGGTAGCTTTGACGGTCGCCGTAACATCTCTTCTTCCTTCTCCCTTTATGCTCTTATCATTGCAGCTGCTGACTAAGCAGCCCTACATTTCCTACAGTACTTGTATACCTTAAACCTGTGTAGGTACCTTTCGGTAGGCCTTCTGTAACCCATACCACGAACATATCTACTGTGCCTACGATGTCCACCGAAAAGCCATCCCAAGTCTTGGACCTCTCTATCTACAGTTTGTCCCGTTGTCTAGGAAGCCGTTGCACTTCCTTGCCTTAAATTTTCAAATCGAATGTTCCGAATTGATGCTTCATTTATAGTACTTGTGAAAAGAAGACGGGTGAATCAACTCGCAAAAGAGAACTTATTGTAGAAGAGTCAGAAAGGGATACAGGGATTGAGGAAAGGGCAACGATGCTACAAGTTTCCAGAGCTCGTCACGTGGTAACCGATTCATACCTACAAAGAGGAATGGAAGACATCACAGTGCGTGGCTTTTGTAGTCATATAATCGGAATAGGATTCGCATTCCATTTAAATGCTACCTGTTTACATTTTGATTTTAATCCCTATATGTAATAGTTTTCAGTCGAAGCCATTCCTCGAGTCCAACTGAACCGAATCTCCCGTAACCGCTCCCCTTCATGCCTTCACGTCATATATTAGCATATCTCTTTGATACAAGGGCTGCAGAAAGGGATGGATGGGACTTACCACCATGCGGCAACGCCGTCTCGTCATGTACCGTCATGCCATTAATATGAACTGCACCACTCTCAATGTTTTTCGCGAATCTCAATGCCCTTCTCAAATCTTCTGTGAAAACACTCGAAGTCAAGCCGTACTCCGTATCATTCGCCAGCTCCACCGCCTCCTCCTCGCTCTTGATCACGATTATACTAACCGTTGGTCCAAAGGTCTCCTGGTGGTAGAGATCCATCTCCCTGGTCGTGCCTTTCACCACAACGGGTCTCATCTTAGCATCGACCCCACTTTCTATGTCGCCGTAGATTATCGTCGCTCCCTTGCTGACCGCATCTCTCAAGATCCGCTTGGTCTTTTCCACGCTTTGTTTATTAATCAGAACCCCTGGTTCCTTGTCCTCTGGCGCAAAGGCCGCAACAGCAGCCTTGAAGAGCTTCTCGAATTCATCGACCACCTTCTCATGAACAAGGAGGCGGTCCGTAGACATACAGATCTGTCCACTGTTTAGGAATGCGCCGACCGCACATTCCTTTGCAGCGAGTTCCAAATCGGCGTCCTCCCAGATGATAGCGGGGTTCTTACCACCCAGCTCCAGAAGTACGGGCTTGAGATTTCTCCCTGCCAGTTCGCCAATGATCCTACCTACATTTGTGGAGCCCGTGAAGTTGATTTTCTTAACAATGGGAGAATCGATCAAATGTTTTGTAACCTCCGCAGCATCAGCTGGCTTGTGAGCCAGGAGATTCAGGACACCATCCGGAAGACCAGCATCATGGAAAATTCTTACGAGCGCATGCGAGCATGCGGGTGCAAGTTCGGACGCCTTTAAAAGCGCGGTATTGCCCGCAGCTAGCGGGTAGACAATCGATCGCATACCCAAGATGAAAGGTGCATTCCAAGGAGCAATAGCGAGGATCACTCCATAGGGTTCTTTGCAAATCATACCACTGATGCCTTCCCCTTCGGGGGTAGGAATACTCCCTTGTATACTACTGATCCGCGCCGCCGCATCTCGCAGGATTTCGGAGGCGAGCCCCAAGTTGAAGTTCGCCCACGCTGTGGATGCACCTGTTTCCGACATCATGTACCCCGCCAGCTCGTCGCGACGAACCTCCATCAGCTCTGCGGCCTTGAGCAAGATGTTGCGTCTCTTTATAGGCTTTGTATCCCGCCATGCAGGAAAGGCCTTGTGTGCGGCAGCAAGGGCGGCATCTGCATCATCGATGGCGGCGGAGCCGAAGTGGTGGACAAAGTCGCCAGTGGCAGGGTTGTGAACGGGGAAGGTCGAGGAGGTTTGGTGGGGCTGGTTGTTGACGAGGAGATGGATTGTGGTGGGGGTGGAAAGGTCTTTTTCAAGACTCACGGTCGGGGTCGTCGAAGACATGATGATGAGGGTGAGGCCGTGGCCTTGGTCTGCGCCTGCGCTGGGCCTTGAGCTTGAGCTTGAGCCTGAGCTTGGGGCGGGGTAGTGGATGTATGCTTTGCGTGCGCTGGAAAACAGAGACTTCAGGAGGGCGAAGGCGAGGAAGAGGACGACGGCAAAAAGGGCGAGAACAGGGACGACGACGGGGGCGAAGGACGATAGTTGGTTGGTGGGCAGAAAGGGGGAGCAGACGGCGGAAAGATGGCCATTCTTATCGTTGGCGGCCAGAGCTCCACTGGCAGAGACTGGCGGGCGATGGGCCTGGGACTGGGAATTTCCGGCAGAGTAGTCGAGAGTAGTTTCGTGGGTTCATCCCAGGTCGTGGACCCTCCGCAATGTGAAGCGACGTTGGAAGCGCGCTTAACCGGAAGCGGGCAGGCGTCTGGAGCCCCGCGCAGCACGGTAATGGAGCACGGCCATGCAGCTCCAACGGTCTGGGTGGACTTGTCTCTCTGGGGTCCTGCAGCTTCGGGTAATGACCCCGGGAGTCGGGTCTGTCTGTCGGCCTTCCTTCGCTTCTCCTTCCGCGGTCTTCGGCCAAATCATCACCCGCCCGCCCTCTGGTCAGACTGGTCAACACTGGTCTCGTCCTCGCTCAGCTGTCATGTCCTCGGCAATTGTTTCTCCTCCTCCTTCCTCTCCATCTTCCCCATTCTCTCCCCCCTCCCGTTCCCCTCTCTTCTCCATTCCTCCCGCATCCCGCTGTCTCTCCCCAGCCGTCTCCTCCCCTCGCGCCCTCGCTCCTTCGCTCCCTCATCCACTTGCCGAGTGGACCACAGCCGGGTTCGAATCGGCGGATCTCCCTTACAAATCTGCCCGGAGTATATCTCATAAATCCGTCGACGGGCATGCGCTATACTCCATGCGTGAAGGGTGGAATGTGGATGGACAGACCTAGGTCCTATACCCGCCCCCACTCTGCCTTAGGGCTTATACAGTCATCCCCCCCCAACTCCTCCCCGAAGCCTCGAAGGTCCCCCTCGCGGTCCCTCGGGACCTCTAATTCCCTGGGATCATGCACGAGGACGTCTGGCATTGGCCCGGATGCTTCCTCGAGGTTAGAGGCTGGGGAATCAGTCCGGCGCGCGTCAGGTTCTGGAAATGCCATTCGGGCGCGCTCTCCGTCTTCCATGCCCAGAAGATCCAGCCCGAGTGCGCTTCGTAGGCGTCCATCTGTGCCTCGACAAAGTATTCCAGGTTCGTCTTGTCGACGTCCAGTAGGCCATCGACCGTCCCTTCGTACTTGGTTTGGCAATCTCCGTAGTAGCCCGTGCTCCCAGAGAGCGTCCCGTCATATCGTGCCCCTTTGCCAAGGCCGTTCAGCCACTTCGCGCAATCGGTCTGCGCACCCGTCCACTCCCCAACTATTGTCCATTTGTCCGTGCTGGCAAGATTGGATGCCTGGCTGCAGGCAGCTTGCACATGGTCGCAGGGTTTCATGGCAACATCGTCATCGGTGAAGATCTGGTAGATGTGTGTGTCGAGAATGACATCGTTCACCCCGGCTTGTGTATTCATGAAACCATTCCAGTAAGAAACAACATCCTCGAATGCGTCGTGGATGGTCACAGCGGTGTAGGCATTGGCGTTGCGGACATTGCCCCACCCATCGTAGTAGAACTGCTTCAACGCGGCCATATCAATGGCCCAGTTTGCCGGCTCGTTCAAAAGTTCAATTGCAGTGACCACGTCCGTGTCCCCCGCGTAGCGGTATGCCAGATTCTGGATAGCGGTCAATGTTTCAGATGTGGTGTCGCCTTGTTGCCAATCGATTGGTCCGTAGCGTCCTGAATTGTCGAACCCGTTTTGGGATCCGGGGGCTGTCAGTGTCACATTATGTCAGATAGGGAACTCGAATCAATCAGTGCCGAAAGAGAGCCCACCTCCATGTAAATCAATCATGACTTTCAAGCCTGCGCTTCTAGCCCAGCCAATGGCATTATCAAGGATTGGTAATTGTCCCTGAACGTAAGGATCCCCAGGGAGAGGGTTGATGGCCCAATAACCGATGGGAATTCGCACATGGTTCAAACCCATCGAAGCAATCTCGTTGAAATCATCTTGCGTGATCCAGTTATTCCAGTGCGCTTCCAACTGATTCTGGGCCGCCGTTGGACCTAAAGCTTGGGTGAAGGTATATTCGTCGACCACTCCACCACCGTTCGCCCAGGGAGCAAAGAGTGATGGAGTGATCCATGGCTCTAAGACGAACCAACCTCTTTACACGAGGAGTTAGCGTCATGGATCACATCCCCAGCCCAGTGAGCTTCAGGGCAGGGGTTGCTCGGTTAAGATCTCTAAGAAAAGGTAGATAGTGAGGAAGGAAAATAAAAAAGGTATCTGGGGGAATGAGAAATAAACAAATGAAAGAAACCTATCAATTGTAAATTATAGAAGAAAATATTCAAGGAAAAGAAGAAAAAATAAGATATACCCAAGGTTCACGCCGCGAACTTTATCGTAGTTGTAATCGAAGCTTATGCCTTGTCGTCGTAGCCTTGTACAGGTCAGCAGGTAGAAAAGCAAGCGTCGCACTCAGGAAGCCTCTTACAAAGGTTTCGCTTGAACTGCCGGCAGACAAGCTGCTGCAATGATCATAACTTTAGTGAACATCATGGTTGCTAGTGTGCAAAACAGTATGCTTGTATGCTTATAAAGAAGGCGAGCACGAAGGTTGAAATCAGCTATATCCAGGATTATTCACGGTCTCTCTGCGCTGGCAGGGCAGTCTGCCCATTTATATAGAGTCAAAGAAAAGACACCGCCCTCTTCCTTTTTCCCTGCCAAAGAAGCAATGCCGCTGGGGTGTCGATGCCTGCCAATAGAGATGGTCTGACTCTTCGACCCCAACAATGGCTGCTGCTCTGGGGTCAGGTCGGGCCGGGCTGCAGGCAATACATGTCGCATGGCCGCTATCTGCGGAGTTGTGGGCTCCCCGCCTTGCGAGGTACCGTTCAGCCTTTCCTTAGTAGACGCTTTAGACTCTTTTAGAGCTTCCTTGAATCTCCAGAAGGAGGGGTCTGGTCAGGGACGGTGCGCTGGCCCACTCAAATGCCAGGCCCGTGGCCTAGGTAACTCCGCTGACAGCAGCAATTGGCAATCGTTGAATCGAATCTGATACCACGAGACCCGAGTTGGGAGACGCCACAAGCTGTACTCCAGGGGTATCATCACATGAATGGTACGGAGGACCTACCTCTTCTTCAACCGGCGCACGCCTCGAAGTGTTTACTCTGTGCGACGCGGGAAATTCCCAGAACTGCTACCGAGGTCCGGTGGTGCCACGACTCGGGACTTATCTACCTTATACACCGTAATTTGACAACACTCATATCACTGGAGAATGGCACATCAAAAGAAAGTTCCGGGCTTTACGATTCATGCATAGCTGAATCTTTCTCTTTCTATCATTATTGCAAGACGAGTACTCTAACCCTGCCTATCCTTATTATCTGCCCTGAAAGCCACTCAATTATTGAATCATGAGGACAAGGACCGTGGGTTCATCTGATTGTCTAAAGCGAGACATAAACAAACGGTCAGATGCTAGGGGTCTCAACGTTGCGGTTAAGCCTGGCTTATCCGGGAAAAGGCATTCCACCAAGGTAGGTACTTCATGCGGCATCCTGGCAACGCAGTGCATAGACGGACAACACACGCCTTCATACTTTCATGTATGTAGCTTCATGTATATGATATGATGAAGCCCGGGTCAATACCCTCTGATCTACAGCAACAGTTCCCCATTGGAGCCCTCAACTCCGGAAGATCACAAGAAGATCACAAGGAACCGGAACACTCTAGACTATACCCAAGGTAGGTATGGATAAATGCAAGTCGGCATGCGGGGTAGAGACATGATTCAGGCTGTCCGGTGATGGCCAGGTGTAAATCTGCAGGGGCCATAATATCATGAGACGCGGAAGATCTTCATCTTCATGAGCAATGAACGTGTTTATGGCATCGAAAGAAGCCGAGTCTGGGAAAGGGGGAAGAGCAGGACCCCTTGTAACCCCGCAGTGCAGTTCCGCGTATCATGTGATAACGGAGAGAGCGTGATGCGGGGAGTCTCATGCTTCTTCAGAGACGTTGAGAAGACGAGGATGATCCTCCCAGCTTGGATCTTCTCTCATGATCAATCTCTTGCTGCTTTGCGGCTTGGATTCGACGCTGGATGATCGATGGGTCAAGAAAAGGCTGGGGGACAGCTCGAGATGAAAATTCGACCACTGTTTTTTTTTTTTTACTTAATATGAATCTGGCATGGAACAGCCAAGAAATGTCATCTCACCTGGAACGCTCGCCTCCTTATTTCTCACGGATACCTCGCTCTTCGATGCTGGTGGTTGAGAATAGGACAGACTCAGAGGGGTCGGTCTAGGAGGACGCAGGGGTCCTTGGATCAACTCCCGCTTCGACTTCGAGGCCATCCTTTCACGACGGATGAGTTGAACAACAAGAGATGGCGATAGTTTTTGATAGCTATAACCACGCCCTATCCGTGCTTCGATGGCTAAAAGGAGTGCCACGCAAGGAAGAGGAGCGTTTTAGGTAAGAGAAAAAAGTTCCCCAGGCCAGCCGTTATGCTATGCTCGTCTAACATGCCTTTTCCGGCCTGGCGCCCTGCCGTGAGAAATGCTATGGAGTCCTGTATGGGGAGGCAAAATGCGAGAGCCTCCGCACTTCTCAACCCCTCTACCGTAGGCGTCGCTCCCACTGATTGTTGATCCCGATATCGCGGGAGTCCTGGACCGCGACACAAACAGCTTTGCCGGTGTTAGCCAGGGCTCACTGATAGACGATTTCCAACGGCCCCAACCCATACATGCGCGCGCATGGAAGGCGTACATGTGAGTGGTGGGGCGGCAAGTCCCACAACGAGCGCAAGGCCTGGCACAGCAGGTGGCAGCTACAAGAGGAAGCGCAACGGTGCTGAGTTCGAAAGCAGTCCTGGCACCGGAGGCGAGGAAGGCGACGAAGAAGAGAACAAGAAGAGGCAGCCCGGCGTGAAGAGAGCCTGCAATGAGTGCCGGCAGCAGAAAGTGAGTCATCATTGCTAACAGAATAAAAAGAACGACTCGACTCGACATGACGACGAGGCGACGATGTTGCAATTATGGAATGACAATGAGGCTGATGTTCTGGAATTATAGTTGCGCTGCGATGTTGTCCAGGATCCGTTCACGACGTGCTCACGATGCAATCGATTGAAGCTCGAATGCAAAATCGAATCAAATTTCAAGCGCGTAGGCAAGAGGAGCAAACATGCCGAGATGGAGAAGCAAATAGAACGCCTGCAGCACCAGTTACAAAGAGCGCAGGCTCAAGGGTACATCGTAGAGGATGACGAGGAGATGAAGTCGCCCATGGCGAATGGGATGTACTCGAGAGATAACCAGTCATATATGGGATCGGACGAGGCTGTGTCCTCTCTCCTACACCTTAAACAAGGCGGATCATACAACATGCCGAGAATCGTGAGAGAGATTGAGAATGTTGGGTTGACAGAAGAGGCTATCAACCATCTCTTCAATGAGTTCTGGTGTTGCTATCATCCGTACCTCCCCTTTCTCAACCCCTCACAGGCACCCGATGTGTACTATCAACAACACCCACTCTTATTCTGGACTATCATCACAGTAGCTGCTCGCCGCCACACCCTCGATCCACATCTCCTAACAAACCTCTCTGGCCCCGTAACGAGGCTACTTTGGACAACCATTGGGGAGGTACCTAACAACCATTACGTAGTCAAGGCATTATGCTTGATTTGCACCTGGCCTTTGCCGACGAGCACTACATCGACAGATCCCACACACATCCTGAGTGGTGTTATGATGAAAGCGGCGACAGGCATTGGCCTTCATCGCCCGAGTCATACCCAAGACTTCTCGCGCGTCTCCGTGGATCTTAACAGGGAGCAGTTGCATGATAGGGTCGTGACTTGGGCAGTATGCAATATCGTTGCACAGAGTGTGGGCACAGGTTATGGCCAACCTGCTTCGACTCTATACGATTGGACGCTTGCAATCAGGCCGGGTGACGATGGGCCGTTTACATTATCCCCGGAACTTGAGGCTCGACTTCAGATTGAACGTTTCTGTGACAAAGTCTCAAAAGAGATGTACAGCAACGCCAGTGATCCTCGAGGTGTGGCAGGTGATGAGCTTAGAGCGATGTTAACTAGAGTATATCGTCGAGAGTTCAACGAACTCAAAGTCTCCATTCTATCGCGGCAGGACTTATCACCTATCGTCAACCTTCATCTCCAAGCCGCCGGCCTACACCTGCGCCTGTCCGCATTCTTCGACTCCAGTACCACACAAGGTTACATGGACGACTTGATGGGGTTATGGCGGGCAGTGCTAGCGTTCCTTGATCTCGTCTTCGAGCTCGAAACCCCCTCGCCAGATAATAATCTGAGCGGTGGCATCCTCCGTTTTGCCACAAACTATATACGGCAGATGATAGTGGCCGCCTGCTTTGCGCTGCTCAAATTAACCAGCTCATTTTTCGCTAGAGAAATTGAATTTGAGCGCGGGCGTCAACTCTTCCATCGCACTATCCAAGCTATCAGAAGCATGAGCATCATCAGCAATGACCTCCCGTGGAGGCTTGCCGAACTCATGGTACAAATGTGGAATGGTGCACGTGTGGAAGCCCGTAGCTTACAGGCACAAAGCAATGCTAATGGCCAGGAAACGGAGACTGTGATAGATGATAGTTTGCAGCTCAAAGTACGATGTAGGATGAGTATGAGTTTAGTATTTGACTCTACCTGGAGGTGGCGAGAAGAGTTCCAGGCTCAGGGAAGAGGAAATCTTGAAGGTCTGTGCAAGCCCCTATCTGTTGACTTATGTAACCGTGTATCTAATTCCGACCGCACAGCAGCGACGAAAAATCCGACGAACCCTGACAGTGCAGCGGAGTCCTCAGCATCCTCCACGCACCTCGACTCCACATTAATGCCTCCTTCACATCAGCTGCAGAACCAACTCTTGGCAGCAGCCGGAGCAGTGACTCCCAATCATGGGTTGTCGTCTAGTAGCATGATTGCAGGAAGCGTGGGGTATAACGAGAGTAACTATGAGGTTTTTGATCCGCTGAATTGGATGCTGGATGGGCTGGTCGACTTTCCCTATTCTTATGCAGCGGTTCAGGGTCTAGAGGCGAATGGGATGGGATAATTTCTTGATACTTTTCCAAGGCTGTGCTTTGCAAAAGATGACAAGGGGCAATACAGGGCCCTAAACGTACCGTAAGGAAAATCAAGCGGAGCGGAGCAAGACTGCATGGCACGGACACGGCAGGGAGGGGACATTGGAAGCCCCTCTCCTTTCCTCACAAAATATTAGCAGGCTCCAATGTTTTGAAGGTTTTAGAGGCCGTAAGGTTATGGCATGACGGACGAAATACCCCTGGAAATTAGCTCGATTCAAAAATTTATGCTTATTGTACGAAATCTTCAGCTTACGACTTTTAATTATGTACTGTATGATAATCAAATCAAACATAGGTTTTTCCATTCTTCTCTTACTATAGGTAGTTCTATTGGTCCATAAAGAGAAGCTGCTGCTCCTATAACTAGGCCTGATTTCCTACGCTGTAGAAGAAAGGGGAAGAAAGGAGAAAGTGTTGGGTGGGGGAGGCAGGCGAGGGAAAAAGGGGGGGAGGGAAGTTTTGTTGCACATCGCATTGGCGCTTGTCATGGGATGGCTTCGATGGCGATGGGATTAGCATCACGTGTCACTAGTTGGGGGGTTTTGTTGCACATCGCATCAGTGCTTGACATGAGAGGTGCTGAAGATGGTTTCGACGACGATAGGATTAGCATCACGTGATATGAGTGAGATAGGCCCGTGGTGTGGGAGGGGAGGGACGTTTTGTTGCACATCGCATTCGCGCTTGTCGTGAGAATGCTGAACGTTGCTTTTGATGGCGATCTGATTAGCATCATGTGATACAAGAGGGGAGGTTTTTGTTGCACATCGCATCGGTGCTTGTCATGAGAGTGTTGAACGGTGATAGAATTAGCATCACGTGATACGATGGCTTTTGTTGCACGCTCATCTTGGGAGTGTTGAACGGTTGGATTCATTTCTCACCCTCTTAAGATCGGTGTATAATTTTTACCTGTGTATACATACCTTGAGTCACCTGTTATTTCTAACAGAGCTTTTTCTTTTGAAGTATACCTATCGGCGAACGGTTACATTTCTCCTGATTCTTTTTCCAACTTCTATTAACGTCCTCCCTGATACTAAATTCCGCCTAGAGCGTAAAGGCAATTGATAGGTATGTAGATACTGGATTCTGACGCACTTAAGAATAACAACTCTTCTCATTTAAATATTAAAAAAAAAGTTCCAATCACCAAATAACCAAACGCCAACCTTTTCAACCCTCAGGAGACCCCCCGCCCCCACCCCCCCTCCCCCCCCCCCGCCAAAAACAAAAAAGAGTACCGAAAATGCAACCTCGGCAAAACGCCTCGATGTCACACACCTAAAGGATCTCAATAAGCATTCGCTACTAACAAACACCAAGCGGCTTTAGCTCACTTGGGAGAGCGCCAGACTGAAGTCAACTTCAGACAGTCCTATCTGGAGGCACTGTGTTCGATCCACAGAAGCCGCAACTATCTGCGAATCGGGGAACACCCCGATTAATGAACACAAATTTCTTTTTTGGGATTTTTCTTTTTTTGGGACTTGGCTTTTTTTTTCCTTTGTAGGGATCCTTTTTTCGGGCGGCTTTTTCTTCCTTTTTCTTCCTTTTTCTTCCTTTTTCTTCCTTTTTCTTCCTTTTTCTTCCTTTTTCTTTCTTCTTTCTTCCTTTTTCTTCCTTTTTCTTCCTTTTTCTTCCTTTTTCTTCCTTTTTCTTCCTTTTTCTTCTTTTTTTCCCCTTTGCTTTTTCCTTTGCTTTTTTCGAGAAGGGCTCGCTTCGCGCTTTTTTTGGGGCCGACGACCGACAGTGCTGCAACTTCTTCCTCTCCAAAGATCGATCTATCCAACCTTCACAACTTCACACAAAATAACATGTAAGACAGCAAAAAGTACTCCTTATCAAGACAAAGGTTTTCTCGGTATTTGATCCATAATCGTGTTGTGTCGATGTAGATAAAGTCAACACGTCAAAGCTCCAGCTTGAGTGAGCATCCAGGAAGGAAATGATTCTGAGCTGGTTACAAGTTACAGCGGTGTTTCCATACTCCTCCTCTATCCTGTTTATAATAATATAAAGAATTCTTAATATATTCAGGATTCAGTAAGAGATCAGACTATGTTGAAGGCAAGAACTATAAAGCTTTCTTTTATCGTAGTTGTGGGAGAGGTTCTGAGGTTCTTGAATCTTCTTCTTGCGGATCGTCTTTTTCAAATCATCTTTTTCAAATCATCTTTTTCAAATCATCTTTTTCAAATCATCTTTTTCAAATAATCTTTTTCAAATCATCTCCTGTACAGTTCCAACCCAGAGTTTCTTGTCCACACGACGACAAGGACAAAGGACATGCAGCAATTTTGAGTCCCCTTGAAATTCAGAGTGTCAGGTTATCTTGTATGAGATACCATTCTGAAGCGCAAGACTTGCTAATTCATCGTTCAACCGTTCTAGGATGATACTTTGTTAGCCCGGGAGTATGTCGACCTCTATGCCTCTTCTCGTTCACATTGCAGGGTCTCCAAATGACTGCTTGGACCAGGAGGAATTGAAGGGTTTGAAATCTTGATATACATCCTGTGATTAGGATGGAATTTGAAATCCTATTGAGGGACCACAGGTACATACTCTCTTTGCCATGATTGCGCTCGATGAGTTGTTTGGTTGTTTGACATATTAAATAGTCGAGGGTGGGTTGAATCTTCAAGAGTACGGATGGTAGGGTTTTCGGGCCTCTTTTGTGCAACCGTCACCAGACCGTCGTCTTTCGATGGGTGAGATTCAGGACTTCAGAGCTAAGTTGAAGGGAGCATCCTTGGATATACCTAGAAAGATGCTCCTCGGCTGGGCTTCCCAAGGGTCCAAAGGCTTGATGATGGATTCGAACACTTGGTCGCAGCCATATGAACTCATGTAATGCTGGGAGCGTCCAAGAAAAGAAAAAAAGAGGGAAAAAAAGAAAAAAAGAAACGAGGACATACAACAGTAGGTATTCGCTGGTGGTCACCCACCCAACTACTAATCTACCGATCTGAGGCTTATGTATGGCAGAGCGGACGGGATGCCCAGTTCTCCTCAGTCTGTGGTCGTATGTGACTGCTTTTCCATTATCTATATACATATACCCTGCTTCCAAGGTGATGATGATATGCAAAAGAGCGACGTCCCTCAGCTCCCTCCCTCAATTCCATCCAGAGTGTCCACCCTACATAGCTGAACTTACACTTTGCAGTAGGTCAAACGAGATCCGCGCAGTTCCTCTAATATATTGAAGTCTCGGTCGGTAGCATGAAAGTTTTCCCAGCAGTTTTAAGACCGATACTTGAAGATCCATGTGCCTGGCGGCTCCGTGACTCTCGAGCAACCCTTGCAACTCATTGGAAAAAAGGACGTCGGTTATACATCGCGGCACTCCCGTGGATGGTTTTGGAAGTCGGAAATTTTGTTGATGCTCGTGACCTTTCCGAAGACATTATGAGGAACTTACCCGAGGTCCCGAGCTCTTCATCAGACATATGATTGTCGGACTTCCGATCCCTCCCATAAGATTACCGCCGCATGTAGAGCTTTCCTGTCGGCTCTCACTGGCTCTAAATTGACTAGTACGGTCGGGTGAGAAGCTGCAAATGCACGGATGATCATGCTGTGAGCGAGGAGAAGAAAGGCAGGTCAAGTTCGCTCAACATTGGACAACAAAGTCCCGCGGTCCAAAATCCGAGCCTTGGTCCTGGAGTTTAGTTCCTTCTGCTTTTGTTGTTCCTGCTATGTACTACTCATTTCAGAGCACGAATCACCAATCCCTCATCGACGAGAAAATTGGCTTTGTTCCGCTGTCGGTAGAGGAAAGCTCCACGGCAGCAAGCACCTATGAATCTGACGCTCACTAGCGCGGGGATGCATCTCCAAAGATCGTCCAGGCCCAGCCAGAGCCCGTTCTATTGAATTGAGATCGCATTATGAAGACATGATACGGATTTTACTTCATCTGCTCCCTGTATTCCTCCTGCTCGTGGCTTGATCTTGCTCATGGAAGGATCATCTCGAGAGACTTCCTCCTGGTAGCCGTCAAAAAAGGTGAAAATGATCCCAATTATGTACTTGCCAAGATAGAGAAGCCACATATCACGCAGTGATCAAGTTGCCAAACTTTGAGCCTGATACTGAAGGGCTCTGCCAAGGAATCTGCAGCATAGCCCTCGATTCGCCTATTCTGCAAGCGGGGAGATAGTGGACATGGTTTGCCATCAAGGTAAAGAAGGGGCTAGAACTTGTTCTGAGGATTTTTTGGAAACTGTAAATATCTGGGTGGTAGTCACTCTTCGACAAATTTTCGATATCGCATAGGGTATGAAAGGGATATTTGCTGGGAGAGTATATGACTACTGAACAGTCTAACAGGAGGGATTTGTAACGGAAATATGAGAAGTGAGCCCAACGAGAGTTTTATGTCAATATATTACTTAAGCCTTGGGAAGCACTACCTCCGATACCTGACATATAGCCGAGGGGTCAAAGCAAGGGGCCAACTTCGGATATCCAATGGCTTGTCTACAATCCCAAATTTATTGTCATCGAAACATTTCAACGAATGATATTAAGCTATCACTAGCTGAGACAAAGAATTGCTGCTAAAAAAAGAGAGAGATCAAATCCTACGAATGCTGGTGTTTAAGAATCTCTTCGGGTGAGGTCACTGAACCGAGCCGTGAGTACAGGAGCGGTTGCGCAAAAGCCACAAGCCGCTCTCTACACAACCACTATAAGGATGGCAAAATCAGATGGCGGATCGCCATAAGCATCTGAACGATCGCTCGATTCCTGGATCCCTGGACCACACTGTAAGCCAGAGAAGTAATACTCGCGGATCTGGGGGAGATGACAGCGCCGCGCGCGGCTAGATCGAGATGGCGGTAAACGCGTACGGGTCGGTCCGCAGAACCGAGCATATCCTTACCACAATACCCTGTTAGTCGCAGGTGGCTTTTTCTTTCCCGGTCGAGAATAGACGGGAGAGACGAAAGTTGTTCGAGGAATGCTTATTTGAAGTTCTGGATTCCTGCATTTTTTTCGTCTTGGAGTCGTGAGATTCAAGCGGTGAGGCACAGGTACCTACCGCCTCCGACGACGCATCCTCCCCGTGCAAGTACATTGGGAATACAAGAACTCCTTGTTGATCTGCGACTTTGGCCGCTCTTTTTCTTATTCCATATTTATCTCCAGTCGTTCCATTTTCTCTACGCCGGAGATGAGGGATTTTCGTGACCAGACATGGGTACGGCTCCTGGTTTTCGTCTCAGCTAGGAAGCCTGGAAGGTATCCTATATCTTTCCACAATTTTCCGCCTTTCTACTTTGTACCTTGGTTTTTCCATTCTTTCTTTCATGCTTGCTGACTTGAGTTAATTGGGCGTGTGCTTCCCAACTTCGTCACAGAGGGGACGCGAAACACGAGGCCCCGATTTGCAAAATGGTCTTTGCTTTGTTTGGCTTGCGCGATTATCTGCTTCATATCCGTTTGTTTATTGACTTGGCCCTATAAAGTCGTACACGTCGACGCCGGAGCCGAGTCGGGTCGTCAAAACGGTCTTGTTATGATCGTGGGTCGGGGACCGGGGTTATGGTCTCGCTGACGAGCTATCAACATTCTTTAGAGAGATATATATTGAGCGATGCCGCGAATATATTTTGTGATGTTTGGAGAAGAGGGTAGAAAGCCTTTCTATTCAAATTTTTTGGGAAGTCAAGTGACTTGAAACCATCTGACCGAGTCGGTTCGATCGATGGACATAGGAGCTTCTCTCCCCGCGCGCTGCTACCTGTGGAGCGAATCAATAACGGCAAGGAGAGCGACATATCAAAACAGAAAGGAAACGATACAGAAATGAGGGAATCTGAACAGCCAAGTGTCTTGAATCCATCGGACTCAGACTCTCCATCATGCATTGCTATGAAAGGACTTAATCACAATAACAGGAGTGCAAAGGAGTCTTACCAGGAATGAGTAAATATAGAGATCAGCAAGCCCGAATAGTCAAGTGACCAGATGATTTACAAGGGCATTTTGAAATGCGAGCGACTATGCCCCGCGTGACATCAGTTTCTACAAGAGTGCTTGCAGAGCTGCCCTATTATTCGAAATCAAATTGTTTCGAAACCGATCGTTTCTATCATGAGGGTGCATCGAGGAGTAGAAACCTGTCGTTTTTTGCTCTGACTTGGGCCTTCTGCCCTGTCTCAAAAATTCAAAATGCCTATCTGCTGTTAGGGGATGTTCTGGTTCCGTTCGTAGTCAGTTCTTGACACGGTTCTCACAGTTGCACTCACCTGTAACCTAGCCACGCTCCTGCAGTTCTTGACACGGTTCTCACAGTTGCACTCACCTGTAACCTAGCCACGCTCCTGCAGCTCTTCACGTATCACGTTTTGCTATCATACGGGGAGAGATCCTTGGGTCTAAGTCTTACAAATGTAGACCAGTCATCCTGTGTGGAGCCTTGTATCTTTGTTGCCTTCGAGCCGATCCTCCGCAGTCCGAGGCGGACGGCCATGAGGGGAAGAACTTTCAAAGTCTGCCTAGGAAGTCTCACAAAACGTCATCGCCACTCCCAAAGATGGAATGACACATACTGGTTAAGTCACTTTCATGGATGCGTGCATACACCTCCAATCCTTCCTGGCATCCTCGAGAAATACTGTTAGTTCCAAATTGCTCATCAGACCGACCCATGTGGAGGACCGTTCTCTCTCGTCCAGAGGGCTCACAGCTTTGTCGATCATCCCGGATGTGGTCGCCTAACCCTCACAGTTCTACTGGCAATATACCTGGCTAGGTCATGGGTTGGTCAAACAAGAGGACCTGGCCTTGACTGGAACCTGTGCCTTTTCTTCCGATAATCTAGTTATACTTCCTGTCGAGTTCGAGTTGTGAAAGTGATTTGGGTCGTCTAGGTGGCCGAGGTGTGCGCTGCCCTCTTCTTCCATGCACTTTTGCCAACTGGTAGAGCGGTCAAGCTCCACATGGACCGACCGACAATTGGCAGTACAGTAGTACCCCGCCTAGGGAAATATTATGGCCAAGTGGTCTATTGTGATAAGACACAAATCTCGTGAGGCTTTCTCAGTGACGGCGAATGAAGTTTTGGTGACTAGGCCTCGATTCTGGCCTCCACCGGTACCATAGCTACTCGAACAGGTATATCAGCCCAGGAGGGAAGCCAGCTGTCCATAGAGAGCATTCCTCATTGGCACGATATCAACGTGGTATTGATTTTGCTGTGCACATCCGGATGTACAGTTAGGCCGGCCTCCTTTGCGGCCGTCTATAGAGACGTGTGATGGATTGCATGGGAGGCCTCGGGCCGGATGACTGACTGGCCTGGCGAACATGTCAATGTTGCTCTTGCTATTGGTTCGACTTCAGGAGACGAGTGTTAACCGGAAAGGTCCGTACATGGCTTCCCTTGATCTCATGGGGCACACTTACTCAGCCTATAATATTACTCCAAACAGGTAGATTCGAATATGGGGTGGTGATAAGGAGGACATCTGCCTCGGAGGATGGTGGCTGGTGTCACGGAGAATAATGCTTGAACTAAGCCACTGAACTTAGATCTTTCAGACGAACTATGTTTTCAGTATACGATTGCCGCAGATTCTGGGGGGTGAGGGCGGCACTGGCGCGCTTCTGATTCTCCGCCCCGCAAATCAGCCCGTTGGAAAGAAGTCACGGTCGACCGGGATAGACTCAGGGAAGGAACCATCACTCCCTTGGAGGATCTACCTAGGTATCAGTTGATCTTGGAGTCTTCCATTAGGCTCAACACGTACACGATGGTCGAGAGCAGCGGGCTTTCAGGAAGCGCTGTGCGGGCAATGCAACCACCATCACACTCAGAGGCCTTGGGATAGACCTTGGGCAGACCTTGGACAGACATCTGGACATTGCTCTGTAGCAGTTCGCGACTTCATGATGGCATTGGCATGGCATGTCGGCGTCAAACACCTGTTGGCCAAGGTCGGCAAATACACGAAATCTTCCAACAGGCGCTTGGATCTGGCGGCCGAATGATGCACATCTACTGTACTACTGCTGTGGAGCAAAAGTACAGTGCAGTGTGGACATCAACGAGGTCTTCTGCATCCTTTTCCTCATCGGGTATATTGTCCTTGGCCACACGATGCACACCTATACAGTAGCTGTATCCGGGCACCATGTGCACAATGCACAGTACTTTGGACACTACGAGCACTATATACGACCAGGGCCGCCCCTGTTCCGTGACTGCACAGTGCACACAAATCACAAATCTCGAAGGCGCGCGGTTACTCGACAACTCACGATACTGCGCCGCACAAGGCTCCGCTCTGATCCATGCCTCCTCCACCGTCGCACCCTTTGATTTGCGGTCGGCCCAACAATCCTGGGCGAAAGGATCCCGCGGCAGAACCAAGAACCATACTGTCGGGACGGGCGTTGGCACACAGGGTCTGTCAGTCACGTTACGAGCGAGGGTACCGTCTCGTCGAAACACTTGTACCCTTTCTGCGTGGCGCAGAAGCCATCCGGGCCTGTCCGTCTCCTGGCCCGGCCAGTACTGTACAGCGCCTTGACTCCGGCGAGGCTGACCGAGGACGTCCTAGTACTAGCAGAGCAGACAGCCAGACTATGGCCGGGGCTCCAGTATTTGAGATGTCGATGGCACCAATGCATCCAGATAGACGTCCAATCACAAGCACCCACGCCCAGGGCCGAGGCAAGCATTTGTATTTGTCTCTCTGAAGTGTTCAGACCTCTATCGCGGTAGCTCGAGCCGTCGAACAGTCGGTCCCGGGCAATCCTTACAAGTTACAGTGCTCTGCCCTACGCATCGTTTACGAACCCCCCGCAGTCAGCTCTGACCATCAAACAAGCGCCTTGAGCGCAGGTATTTGCGATTATTGCCCATGGGCGACATGGGTGGCGGAAGTGCTGCCAAATCATTCCCGCCCCCCCGTCAACAAGTACCGTGTCTGTTCTCGCTTCCCGGTCCAAAAGGCGTCGGCGCCTATGATGCATATGTGCAACCCTCCCCTTTAAAGCAGCTCTACTCACTGCCCCCCTCTAAAGCGGCCATTTCCGCAACCCACAGCTCCTGGCCTTGCCTTGGCCCTTGCTGTGCCTCTGATGTGGATAAAGTTGTAGGCCATACCGGCATTGCTGTTACCTCATGCTGCTTCACCCCAAAATAGCGAGGCTCTCTTGCTGCATGCTGGACTTTTAGGACGACTGGAGTTTGATATCATGAGCAGTCTCTCCGGTTCGTTGCTATATGGACCAGAGATAAATGCTTCGGGGTTGATGTCGTCTTGATCTTTCATCCAACCCTACCACGCTCTACGACCTATCGCCGAATTCCCCAGACCCATCTACTACTCTCAACGTTCATGTCACCCCACACGCGCACATTCATACTCACATAATCCAAGCATATCTTGGGGCAGAATAGCCATTTACACCAATGTCTGCAATGGGAGAGTCCTTATTTTCAGTTCATGCCGGTAGAACACATATACATGGTCAGGATTTGAGTCCGTACACACCCGTATGTGTCCCAAGAGAGACTCTCTCTCCTCCCATGGCTTGCAGATATAACACAGCCACAAACATTTTCTGACCAATATCATTCAGGTTTCCTCATTTAACTTGCCCATCCACTACGACTCGTCTCTAATAACGCCCGTATCTCTGACACAATCTCCACCCATCTCTACCACATCAGGACTCCCGGTACAAAAGGATTTAGACATCGACTTGTCACCGACGGGGATGTCGCCCAACTATCCTTTCTTGGGACCTGATGAGGAATATAGCAACAGAGAGTATCGGCCTCGAAGTTCAATGAAGCCTAAGGATCCCAACTGTGCACTTCATGTCTCCACCGCGGACAGTTCTTTCTCGACCACGCCAGCGGTTTGCTGCTCGCCATATTTTGGGTCGTTTGGTGTTTCAGCAATGCCTGTTTCTGCTTCAGAATCATCCCCGAGCATGAATTCCAGCTCCAATATGAACTCTGTCAGTGGCCTTAATATCGATGGCCAACAATCCCGACACAACACACCTCCTCGGGTTAATCAGGGCTACAGAGGGCCCAATCAGACCCCTATCCTCCTCTCAACACCGAACCCGCTGTCGTTGCGGCCAGTTATCAAGCAAGAGGATGATTGCTACCATCAGAATTATATTAGGCCAAATTCCCCAGGCTCCGCAACAACAGTCCATACGGCATTTCCTGAAACCATAGGGCCTTTAGCACCTCGACGCAAAAGGAAAGCTGGAAGGGACTCTCAAGATGGAGAGATTGTTCTATCAGGCGATATGAGCTCCGAAGAGAAGGTTCTAATACAGCTCACGGAGAAAGAGAACCTCCCGTGGAAGGAGGTGGCCATCAGATTCAAGGAGCAAACTGGAAAGACAATGAAAGTGCCAGCTCTACAGATGAGGAAAAAGAGATTGGTCGAACGACTGCGTGTTTGGACACGCTCCGAGGTAACGTAATCCACTCCTCCATTCTATCACCCAAACTACCAGTCTTCATTGCATCTTCTAACGCGTTGACAGGAACAGGCGCTGACTCTGGCTTGGGAGGAATACGATAAGGCAAAATGGGAGACCATCGCCAACAACATGCCCAAGTACGGCTGCGCCGAGAAGTGGCCCAAGGAGTTAGTGCAAAAAAAGTGGCACGAGATGTATCCCGATGATGCGTCTTACATTCCCGAGTACGAAATCAGGTGGGGCATGAGCCAGAGAGATTGGTCGGACGGAGGGGAGAGTAGAGGCCACAGCTTGCACGATGGTGACACCACGGCCCAAATTTCTGCCATTACCACACCCCCGATCATGGAACATGCTAGGAGCAGAACGGCAAGTGATGTCAGTTCGGATTCGCATTCGCATTTGCAGTTTCAACAACCGCAGCAGCATATGACTTTCGAGACCCAGCAGCAGCAGCAACAGCAACAGCAGCAACAGGCAGCCTGGGCGTCGGGAAATTAATGATTTTCTTTCATCACTAATTTGAAGATATTTACGAAATTGCGGATATGGGATTCATCGCACTGGGGCTTTCTGGGATGGACTACGGAAAGTGCTGTAGACGCATCTTTGCTGGGCTGAAGTTTGCATACATTTCCTTTGTATTAGTATTGCGAGCGCACGTATCAGATACCACGTTTTCTTGCTCAATCCATTCAATGCCTCGGGAGGCAATCATCACCACCCCAGCAATGTCCCAAAGAATGGTACCTGAGGCGAGCATCGGCGTTCTGGCCCTGCCTTGTAAAAGGGGGATTGCCGGTGATTGAATCAAAACATGGTGACATGTCACACAGGAACGTTCTTGCAGAGCGGCTACCTACCTACTTCATTAGGCATCGAGTCCAAGCTTCGGGACGGTAGAAGCGATTCCAAAAGCCATGGAGAAGGGGTCTGAAAGATGAGGAGATCGTCTTAGCCGGTTGCAGCTTGAAAGGCGGCTACTATTGGCGGTCCCACGGGTATCCGCCACCGTGCAATACGCCCAATCGGAGGATTTCCTTGCCCTACTAGGCTGCTTTCCCTAATCCCAGATGAGGCGGGAATCAGTAACTCAGAGGGAAGACTCACGGAGTCATGCTCACTAATGCACGCACAACATATCTGCCTTCCTCCCTGAGCCCCTATGGACCCGTGTTACCGTGCAGCAGACAGGGAAACCCCCGCCTTGGGGGGTTTGGCTTGTCCAGTCCTAAACCCAGTAGTGGATCTAATACTCCGTACGGAGTAGTCCCGGGTCCAAAGCCTAGAGAGGCATGAATTAGCGGGGGGTGAGCGAGGACCAGGATGCGGGGGATTATTGGAGGTGGCCGAGAGAGAGTTTCAGTAGTCGAGGCGTCTTCCCGTCTGTCCTCGACGAAGGGATTCGAAATCTATCTAATGGACCCTCAGCCCACGGCTCTCAAGGGAAAAGGGAGGAAGGGAGAACAGCAGAGACGAGTCAGGGCTGCAAGGGGCATATCTAGTACCTCGCCGGCCTACCTAGTAGTAGTCGTGGTGTATACAGTATCAAGACATGGTGCGGTACACAGGCCCATGATTCCCCTCGATCCTGTTAGCCGTGGGCCGTCTGCCGCCATCACTGCTGCTAAATTAGAGTAGAGTAATGTCACTCAGGAATGAGGAGCAGCGCACGCACAGTGCCCGTTGAGAAAGTCAACCATGGTGATAACGCTTTTAATATCAAAATCTCAAAAATATGAAATGAATCTTCTCCCACCCTGGGCTGTCGTTGGACCCTGGTGGCTCTCTAGACCCGGCTCCAGTCAAGTTTCCCCCCTTTTTCAACCCCTGACCCCTGAGCTGGCGGTACTTTTTAGCGAGGCTTCCCGGCTGCGCTTCCTCTGCTCTCACTCGCTAATATACGGATAAATACCGGGCCTTCGCGGCGGCCTCCTAGCGCGCATTTTATGCACTTTATTTACCGGTCCATTACTTGTGCGCGCTAAAATAGCCAATTCTGCCAATATCGACCAATTTAGCTAAATTACTCGTAAATGCACGGTACTTTTGTTATCACGTCGTCCGTCCCTCCCCCCTTCCCCCCTCTCAAACTCAACCCGCTTTGCGCCCATCGACGACAGCGGCCGCTCTCTCTACTGGAAACACGTAAATATCCGCATTCCTTTTTTTCCCGCGCTGAATTTGAAATCCGCTTTCTCAGCCCCTCCGGCCGCATATGCGGTGTGGCTTTGGAGGCCATATGAACATTGAGCATTTCAAATTGCATCGTAGGACCCAGCAGCAGGACCCACGATGCGGAATTCCCTCGATCTGCGCTCTCCCCAATCAAGGGCATGTTCTCCGCAACGCGGACGCGGACCACCATCCGGCTGAGGGGTCTCTTGTCAGGTGTGGTTAGTGTCACGCTTCTCCCTCCCGTCTCCAGGCCTTCCGGGGATCTCCCCTCTTTCTCCAGGATCTGCCCAGGCCAAAGACTACTGTACTGTAGACGCACAGCGGTGAGATGGCCCGTCTTGAAGTTTCAAGTCGAACCGGCCAGGTTTGGTTTGGAGACTCCTCCTGGACCCGGAATCTAATGGCTGCTGTGGATTCTTCTTCTTTCTCGGGCCGCTTTTGCGTGTACTGTGAAGGGGCAGCTGTTCGGCACGGTACTTTTGAAGCGCGCTGAAATGTTGGGCAGTATGAGACCGAATTAGAAATATCGTGTCAGGGCACGTTGGAGAGGTGATCGGCACATCAGTCCACCACCATAGGGCTGCTCAGCCCCTATCCATTGTGATCGTTGAAGATTCTTGTTCATCGAGCCTCGACTCGGATTTTGGAGCATGATCGAATCTAGTGCCGAATGGGCTTATCAGCAGGGCTTAGTCCGACGGCTGGTGGGAGGGGATTGGATTGTCTATTCTGTACCTAAAGGTTAGTTATCAGCTTGAACAGAAGCATATACGTGGCATCCTCAGCTGATGTATAACCTCATGATGGCTGCAGACACACCTTTTCCGGGGAACTGATCTTGGTCCATGAGCATACAGACTATTACTCTAGGCAACCAGGTGTCATGATCCAATCACAACGTTCTTCGTACAGACACAGGTTTCTGTACGCAAGAAAGCTATAACGGTGTTGCCCAAAATTGAGATGGAAGATCTCCTCTTTCAATCATCGACCAGGCGGCGACGGAGGGGGTGGTTTGGGTGCCCCCTGTGCTGCAGCACGTCGTCCGGGTAGAAGAGCAAAGCTTAGAAAAAGGTTTCGTTTCGACGTCGTCAGGCATCAGAGTCGCACAGAATGGCAACAAACGCCGGCGAGAGGCTGATCGAGACATTAGACGTCATGAGATCCGAGAAATTGAATCGTAGCGCGGAGACTGCCATCGCCACAGAAGTTGTGGAGGCGAATGCTGTTGATAGTGAAGACCAAGCGAGTGATTGTGTCGCTATCTTTAAACTCCTCTGTTTGTCCAGACGATTTTCTTCTGCAGCTTCATCCACAAATTCATCCTCCATCATCTTCACATTTCATTTCCATATGAAGAAGCTGATGGTACAACGAAAGAACAAGAAGGTAAAAGGTAGAGGCTTGCTCTGAATCGCCAGGGCTAAAGAGAGGAGAGTCTCATGCCCTGCAAGTTCTGGGGCTACATCCGCGGATTAGTCAAACTCTGACATGAGCCTATCGACTGTGGCCCCATTTGAGGGATCGCACACAAGACTGCCTTCTAGACCAGTGCATATTCCTCTGAGGGAAATGTAAGCTCTTGGGATTTCTATTTGGGAGAAACATACGCCCCGAAATATCCTGCGCGGACTTGGAGATGAGAGCGGGAGGGGTTGTTTTGAGTAGGTATGTATGTTGACGAAAAATATATTAAATAACCCAGGGGAGTTTGACACAAATTCTGTGAATGTGATGACTAGGATAGGGTCCATCAGTCAATGTAGACAGGCCAATGAAAGAACTTTGTATCGGTTTGCATACCGTATATTGCTACAATGATGAATGGCAGAAGGTTTACAATTATTCTCCAATTGAAACCATCTGGCTGCCAGATCACCTCCGCTCGATAATAGACGTCTCAATCATGCGGATTACCTTCAAAATCTTCCACTGTCTGACATTTGAATTTCTTATGTACACATAGTGACAAAGAAGAACTTAGATAGAGCTCTATACTGTCGTCGTCATTCAAACCGAGATCTCACGAATCCAATGTCCCCCAAAAGGATCTATCGTCTGATTGATAAAATAAGCAGCTTCCAAACAGCTCAACGACAAGTTACACTCCTCGCCCCTTTCTTGGTGAATTTGAGACAAATAGCTCATATCTCAACGGAGATTACTGTTGGCCTGGTTCTTCCCAGTGGCCCCGAACCCACGAAGATCCTAGCAAGCAACTCCAGACCGTTCTGTCACAGGGCATGCCAGCAAAGTACGGAGGCATCTCTCTACCATGATACACTCAGGCAAAGCAAGCGTCACGGTCCTTTATGGCATAGGTCGTTCACGACAAATTTAGGAGCTGAAGTTCGGTAAGTTCTATCTCTGGAAGATAAGGTGCCTCAAGCGAACTGATTGTTTCACAGCGTCTAAAATTATAATATTGAAAAGCTTTATACATGATTTGAACGAGTGTGAGGAATACGGTGGGTGTGTTGAGGTTCCTTCACGGCATCACAGAGAGAATGGTAGAGATAGTCAGTTGGTGCTTGTGATCAGTAACACGAGACGTGGAAGTAGAAGAAGAAAAGAAAAAAAAAATAAAAAAATAAAAATAAAAAGAGAAGAACAGATGTTCTTTGGTATGCAACTGCCGTGAATCGAACACGAACCTCCACCTTACTCATTTGTATGGAAGGGTGGAATCCTAACCATTGGACCACAGAAGCCCGCTTATTGGTAGGAATCGCTCTACATAGCTTTATGTCCAGAGGGAACAAACCTAGAAATTTACAGAATTCCAAAGATGAATTATGTTAATCTGAACTACTCGTCCCATTATTGAAGAGAAAAATGTACTTTGAAAGCATCCTCTGAATCCTGAGTCTCTGATTTCATCCATCCTTACGAGTAGTAACTACTAGATTGTCTCACTTGCGAGTAACCACCCGCTGCTTTACCCAAGAACCAAGAGAAAACAGAAATAACAAGAAAGCGCACATGATACTTCTTCACATGAGTTCCTCAAGCTTCAAGCAGTCCTATAGCAGAGAATCCTACCACCCATCCAATCGAATTTAGGCGCCAAAAACCAGATTTAAAATAAAAAGAATGAAAAAACCACGAGGAAAAAAAGACACCGACATATTCCCGTATGCGGCACGATTATGTATAGAATAATTTGTCACGGGCTGCAGAATCAACAACGTGTTGGTTGTCAAGGACCATGTTTTCTTCAACGCTCGCTCAGCCTTATGTTAGGCTCTCTTGTCTCCCTAAGCCACATGCTGTATGTACATGAATGATCATCTACCCCTCCCCCGCCGCACCTATGATTCGCAGAGAGGGGGGAATCAAGCAAGACAAGACAAGCAAGATCCCAGGATTCTACACGCTGAGATATGTACAGCACATAAGAAAGCACTTCCTGGTCTGCAGAATAAGGTAGCTTATCGTTACACTGCTGGCAGCATGGGGGGTCATGCGAGGTTTTGGGGGCGCGTAAAGAATTCAAATCGATCAGGAAGACATGGGATTCTTGGGGATGCAGTGGGATATTTGGAATGACTGAAAGGTGCTTTTCTCATCGACTGCCGGTCCTGGTATCATGCAGGTGGGAGGATTGCCATGGGGTTGATGTCACGTTGTCACCTACCTTATGCTTCGAAGCATGCCCGATTTCGTCCCCGCAGCAATCAATCCTTTTTGACGGCCCTGAAAATAAAATAAAAATCAACAGTTGGTGCCAGGGTTCTCAGCCTGTCTTCTGGGTTAAAATCAAGAAGACCCAAGAGACCACAAAAAAAGAAAAAATGAAGAGGTGGGGTGAAAGGGGG